CTATATCTATACAAGAGTTCAAGCATCTGCCTCAATCTGGCGTTATAAGGTGATTCAAAAATTATAACTCTCTTCAGAGTGTCATCTATAAATTCAACTTAATCCTTCCTCCTCTATATTACGTCAAAGAGGGCCTTCAATCTCCATATGTGTTTTTGTATATTTTGAATTTGCAAAGGGTTTTACACTCCGGCCTTTTCGTTTATTTTATATATGACGACCTCAAATCCCTTTACTCAAAATTTCCCTTTAAAAATTTCCGGTTTTTTCTTCCCTTCCGCCAAAACTGAATAACTCCCTCTTCCCTTCAAAATTGTTACGAATTTCAAAGAAAAAGGTACGTGGACCCAAGGAATGGGAAGGCAATTTTTTTTTTCAGTTTAACACCATTACCTTTAAGACTTAACCACCATTCTTTGTGCAAGCAGTGCCTTTCAATGAAACACTTTGATGGGATGTAATGCCATGAACACCAATAATGAATACTACATACACCATTAACTGCAAATGGCAATTGGCATTTGCTATCCTAAGGTTGCTAGAACTCACCCAATCTATACATCCATCCATTTATCTTCTCATAATGAAATCCATTCTAATCACAACTCTAAAGCATCATCAACTTTTGTTACCTTCCTATACTTGACAAAATTTACTGACGACAATAATCACCAAGTTGAACCAACCCAACCTAACCTAACCACTTTCTTCTTCACTCTCGACTGGTTTACACCAAACGTCAACACTATCAACCAACTCTGATCCTCTCTCTCTCTCTGTACTCTAGTGCTAACTATTGTTCAACCTTATCCCATCCCATCCCATCCTATCCTATCCATAATATTATATACTACACTTGGTATATTTCAAATTATCAGGTATCTGGATATTAAAAAACTGTAATATTAAGATACATATAATTTATATACCTCTTGAAATACAAGAAATACCACATACAAAACAGTACTCCATAAATCCAGCCCGTCATGTTGATGCCAAAGGAAGAAAGAGCTAAGATCCACAGATACTTGTTTCAAGGTATGTTAAAATAATATTATCGAATGTCAAGTTGATTTTTTTTAGTTTTCATTGTCATAGTTGTTATAAGAATTAGATTTGTAACGAATATTGAATACACTTAACCCATCCTCCAGTCCTATCCAATCCATTTCTCACTGAGTTGAAATTAGTATATTGCAATTGTAAGAACAAGAATATATATGTGACATGCCTGCATTGGGATATTTAATATACTAGTCAAAGAAAAGATCACTTTACTAGGTGATTGTTCCATATGAATTGGCCCACATTGGTTATGGTAACCTAATTGTACCATTTTAAAATTCAAGAATATGGTATATGGTCTGAATTGATATGGATGGAATCGGTTTATCTTAGTCTGGCAAATCTAACAACATCTATTTTAATGTATAAGAAAGAATCAGCCAATTGAATTAAATTAAATTGAAATATTTTTACTAACAGAATTTTTACATCGAATGTTTGTTCAATCAATTGATTCTACAACCATTGGGATTTAAAAAAAAATTAATATAGAAGGTGTTGTTGTTGCTAAGAAGGACTTCAACCAACCAAAGCACGAAGAAATTGACACCAAGAACTTGTATGTCATTAAGGCTTTGCAATCTTTGACCTCCAAGGGTTACGTCAAGACTCAATTCTCATGGCAATACTATTACTACACCTTGACTGAGTCTGGTGTTGAGTACTTGAGAGACTACTTGCACTTACCAGAACACATTGTTCCAGGTACTTACATGCAAGACAGATCCGAAACTCAAAGACCAAACAGAAGATACTAATTGGAGTAGACTACTAGTTTTTATGGGAAACGTCCTACCTAAAAAGATATTAGCCGTTTTCTATCTGTGTATCTTTTAATTTATATCTCCTTTTTTGTTATATATTGTTTAAATATTAATACAAAGCAACATTTATTGGTTTATTAATTTACATGTAAACAGACCAACCTCGTAATACACCTATTTACCACTCTTGAACCATCAATAATAACATCAACCCATCTCATCCCATCTTATCCCATCTTATCCCATCTTATCTCTTCTCTTCTCTTCTCTTTGGTCTATACTTCTTGTCATAATCGACTACTTCTCGTCTGTATGTATATCGCACAGGTGATGGAAAATTTTCAAGTTATGCGATGAGCTTTAACAATATTTCAAAAAAGATATTTAAGATACGATACTATACTATACAATACAATGGAAAGAGGTAGTTTTTGGAGTAGTGTAAGCAGGTAACGGTATAGTTTTGATTAACTGAACAGCATCTATCTAGTCAAGAGAATATTTCCAGAAAAATGTCGACAGCTGATAAATACAAGGATCTACCAGTTACCGTTGAGAAACCTATTCCGGTTACTTATGATTTAGGTCATTTAGCAGTTTTTGATTCTAATGTTATTGATAGAAATGATTTAGATTCATCTAATGCTAAGAGAGAGTCCCATTTATACGATCTAACGCGTGGCAATGTCCAACTATTGATTAATCAAATCTTATCATTGCCTATTAAGACCACCACCGAATCAGCCAGCGGTACTAGTGGTCAATCTTCAGCCATGACATTAATCCAGTTGCCTGAACCAATAACTGAATTGCCAAGAGAAAAGCCATTGCCTAAACCAAAGGCCCCAACAAGATGGGAGCAATTTGCAGCAAGAAAAGGTATTCAATCCAAAGAAAAATCTGGTAAGATGGTATTTGATGAAGCCAGTGGTAAATGGGTTCCAAAATGGGGTTACAAAGGTATCAATAAGAAGTTGGATGACCAATGGTTAGTTGAAGTTAACGATGACCATATAGGAACCGAAAAGGAATTGATGGACCCAAGAGCTCTTTCAAGAGCTGACAGAAAGAAATTGGTTAGAAAAAACGAAAGACAACAAAAGAAGAACTTACAAAACTCTCGTTAAATAACAACCTACCAAATTCAGAAATAAATTCAAACAAGCATTCAAAGAGTCTTTCCAAGCCACACACCCAAAAAAATTTATACAATAAGATGACATAAGACAATATTAAGTTTTGCATAATATATATATAAATATATATAGTTATATGGCCTAAATCTGTACAGTATTAATAAAAAATAATTTATTATAAGTATTAATAAGTAATCTATAAAAAATAAACCAAACTGATTATTAATCTCAATTTCAATTTGTCAGTTCACTTTGTTTTAACAATTATTACAACTGTAAGACCTATATACATACTCAAAACAATTAATCACTTACAACTCATCTCAGCTTGCCCTTGATTGATGTCTTTCCCTTCCTTATAAATTTTTCAGTACTAAAGGTGATATTTTGGCATGGCATATACCGCAAGGGTTCTCTCTCTCTATAATAAATTAAATTGATAAAATATGAAAAATGTTAGACCAGATCATTGAACAGAGACGTATTTGATAGATATTTAATAGATATAATTGAGATAATTGGATGTCAAGGAGTCACTAGTAGATTTATTTTGTTGATATATATATATATATATCTTGCTGTATAAGAGGGTAGGAGCAATGTCAGATTTATTAAAGTACAAGCCTATGATTGACGCTATTATAGTAGCTTCTAATCCTGATGAAGTTAGTCCAAAAAAGATTAGGAAGGCTATTCAAGAGCTGTTTGCCATTGATTTGGATGGGAAGCGTAAGGAGATCAACGAGTTGATTGTTGATAGGTTTTATGAGCTTCAGAGTAATCCTAAAGTTCTTATATCAAAGGATGAATTGAGAAAGAAGGATGAGACTATAGCTAAAAACTTACAAAAGGGAGCTAATGGAACCACCACGGTTTCAAAGAAAAGGACTATCAAGAAGAGTTCTAAAGGTAAAGACGAGACTAAGAAGAAGAAGAGACGTCAAACTGAAGCCAATCCTAATAGTATTAATGTTCGTAAAGTTCTTTTAAGTCCAAAATTGCAAGAATTTTTAGGTGAAACAGAACTTCCTAGGACACAGGTAGTTAAAAAGGTTTGGGATTACATCAAAGAACATGATTTACAGAACCCTGACGATCGTAGAGAGATCCTGTGTGATGAGAAGATGCAACCTATCTTTGGTAAAAAAATGACAATGTTCTCATTAAATAAGATATTGGCAAACCATCTGTTTAATAAGGATGAAGTAGTAGGGAATGGGGAAGCTAAAGTGAAAAAAGTAAAGGAAGAGAGTCAAAAAGCAGTTGAAGATAAAGTTGATGATGATGAAATACATGAAGAAGATGATGATATACAGAATGAAGGAAATGATGAAGAAGAGGATGAACAGGGGGCAGCTGAGGAGGAAGAAAGTGAAGAAGATTAATCACAGTTTTTAAAGTTTTAAATAAACTTCCACTCTTCTATTCAGCTTCTTTACTGTATATCTAAATCCACAATTATCAATAATTTACTAAGATCATGTTGTTTAATAATATTTTAAAGATACAAAGAATGATCAATTAACTATAACCCTTAATCCATGTTCCATTCATTATAGCATATACCACAAAATGTAATATTAGGTGAGAATCATACCAATACAATCGATATCATATTCAATCCACCAAACGACAATCAACACAATATCCATATATTAAGTATATAGAATTTCACTAATAATATAATAATCTATCCTTAATCCAATCCCTCCCTCTTCAAGTTAAATCTACTATAACACTACAAATAAAAGAAAGATTCTTATGACAATCAAGGTAAAGTAAGTTAATGAATAGAGTATGAGGTGTATCTACGAAATTAGATTTATGTTCGTGTCTAGATTCAATAGTAAATACTTGATCTGATGATCATATATATATATATATATAAATGTAGTTCATTTAGAGGAACGATTCCTTATCTAGCTAGTAGTTCAGTTAAATCTTTTTTAATCAACACACAATCAAAGCTAATAGCCAGGCAAGTAACTGTTGGTATGAAATGCAAGTAACTCTTATGAACCTTACGAGTAATTGAATTTAAACATCAACATATAGTTACTTCCAGATGCTTATTAAAACAAGTCCACAATTTCTTATTACAAAGATGGGTCAGTCGTAGACTGATATTCCGTACTCCTTATTAAAATACCTAATGATTGTCTTATACAAAATGTCAACAGGTGTTGGTATTTATTTGTCAAGGACAAGTGTATAATTGTTAAAATTAACGATTAAACGTGCCTTAAGTTATTATCAATTTGTTTTACGTGTTATTGTTTTATTAAATAGTTGCTTTAACGCGTCTCGTTTTATATTAAAAATGTCATATTTAAGGCTTCATCTGAATTGTTGAAAGTTTTAGGAGATGAAGATCCTTCAAAAGATAGAATAGTATTAATATAAAAGATCTTATTGGATTGATACTATTTGGAGATTTTATAACAAGAGAGTAGTGTTCTATTCCTTTTTATTATTAATTCAGGTTGCTGTTTTTATTAGTTTTATTCCGTCAAGATAACTATTCAGAAATTATTAAAGGTGGTAAACTTATTGACAATGGGTAAAGGTGGTTATTATGCTGTTCAAAGAGGTAGAAGTGTCGGTATTTACAGTAGTTGGGATGAATGTAAGGCTCAAGTAAATGGTTACAGTGGAGCTGTTTACAAAAAATTTGATAGTGCAGGTGAGGCCAGTTCTTTTGCAGGTTCAAGTTCCGGCTATGGTGGATCAAGTGGAAGTACTTCACAAGGTGGTTCTTCCTATGGAGGTTCTTCCTATGGAGGTTCTTCCTATGGAGGAGGTTCTTCCTATGGAAGTTCTTCCTATGGAGGTTCTTCCTATGGAGGTTCTTCCTATGGAGGTTCTTCCTATGGAGGTTCTTCCTATGGTGGTTCTTCCTATGGAGGTTCTTCCTATGGTGGTTCTTCCTATGGAGGTTCTTCTTATGGAGGTTCTTCCTATGGTGGTTCTTCCTATGGTTCAGGCACTCAAGCATCAAAATCTGAAAAATACTATGCTGTGAAAAGTAGTAACCCACAAGTTCCTAGTAGAGTATTCAATAACTGGGATAACTGTAATGATTACGTTAAGGGTCAAAAAGGTCTTTCATTTAGAAAATTCGATTCTTTGAATGATGCCAGTAATTTTTCTAAGGGTATTGTTTCAAGTGAAACTGATTATAATATTTTAGGTACAACTGAATCTGATTTTGCAGCTAAAACTCGTATCTCAAATCCAGTACAAAGGTCTAAGCCAGCTGATAAAGTTCGTGTTTATTGTGATGGTTCGTCTTTACACAATGGTACTGCTATAGCCAGGGCTGGTTATGGTGTTTACTTTGATCATGATAACTACAAAGATTTAAATGCCAGTGAAAGATTAAATACCGGTGCTCAAACGAATAATAGAGGTGAGATTGAAGCAGTCAGTAATGCTTTAGACTCTATTTATGATTCTTTGAGCAATAAGGGTAACAAAGCAGAATTCGAAATATGGACTGACTCTGAATACGTAATGAAGAGTTTGAATGATAACTACGAAACCATCGCTAAACAAAAAGGTGAATCGGTAGCAAATGCAGATTTGGTCATGCCTATGATTGAAAAATATGTCAAGGTCAAAAAATACTATGAAGTTAATAAAGATTCCTATCCTGGAACCGATTTCAAGATTAAATGGGTTAAAGGTCATGAAGGTGAATATGGTAATGAGATGGCTGACCAACTCGCAAAACAAGGTGCAATGAAATAGGTTAATTAAGTAATTATGTAGATGGTCAAATTTTTTATATTTTTATATTTGGTGATTATATTTGTTTTTATGAGGTAACTTTTATGTTCCCATAATTTAATTGATGTCTTGTATTGTAGTAGATTGCTATATGAGTATATTGTTTAGGGGAACGGAATTTGATATAGTTTTAAGTATGGATAAAGAATTTCTTGGCAAGATAGATATATGGTGTAAAATATGGGGCTTTCAGTTTTGATGAGTGTGACGCAATATTTTAGTATGGAAGAAATTGGAGACAAATTATGATGAATTTATGCTTAGTTCTCACATTGATGAAAATAGGAAATTTTAAGGTAAACATATAAATGATTCTAACATAACTAACAGTATTATAAACTTGTGTAATTTTAAAATTTGATTAGTTTAATAAACAAGAGATTTATTAAAATAAAAATAAAAAACGATTAAATATGTGATAATTAACCTCAGATTAAAAAAAAATGCAATGCAAAACATTATTTCTTTTTCATTATTTATATAAATTGAAATAATTTTTTTCTGTATTTTTATAAATTGATAACCAATACAGATAATTTAACTTATTATTTTCAGTCATCATTTACTGAAGTCCAATATCAAACGTAACTCATTAGTAGTATAAAAAGGGATGGATAATGGTTGACATCAACTAGATGAATATCAAGGGGAGGGGGGGAGATCATAAAGAAGAAGAGTAGCAATAACAGATATTAAAATTTTATAGCATGATCTATTATACTTATTCTTCAGTATTTTTATATTTTTTTAAAGGATTCCACCTGCTAAAAACAGTTAAAAAACCTTGATTACTTCTTTTTTGGACCACCTAGAGGTTGACCAATATCCTTACCTCTCAATTTGACACCTAGAGCTCTTTCCATCTTACCTAAAATTTGTTGGTTTGGAGCAGCTCTACCAGCTTCATAATCGTTTATCACAGTTGGCTTTTCATTAATCTTTGTTGCCAAATCCTTTTGAGACAATTTTTTTTCTGTTCTTGCCTTTGAAATAGCTTTACCAACAGCAGGGTCTAATTTCTTTAATTTGACAATGTCAGTTTCACGGTCGACCATAGTCAATCTTTGGCCTTCGTTGTTTCCCTTGGCATTAGTAGTACCATACTTCTTATCGACGGAAAGAACGTTACCGGTTCTTCTGGCAGCGTTAATTTGAGCGTTAGTTCTAGCTACGTTTTGTCTTGGACCAGAACCACCAGCTCTAGCCCTTGAACCAATAACAACATTAGTATCCCAGTCAGACATTTTTTTTTCTTTCTTGAATTAATAAACTAGTTAAGATATAGATATAGATAAATACGTTTTGCGTGTACACCGACTTTATCCCTGATGAACAAGTAAAAATACACACTCTAGTACCTGTGAACAGTAGCCAAAACCTGAAAAGAGAATAGCTAAAAATATATAAATACCAATACCCACTTTAACAAAACCTGAACCTTTTGTCAGTTTCGAAATAACTTCTAACACTTTTTCACTTGGTAGTTTCGAAAAGGGATAGTATAGAATAGTATAGAATAGTGTAGAATAGTATATAGAATAGAGACAATAGGTCTCTTTCGCAATCTGCGTTACTATACAAAACTACAACTAAACGATTACGACAATAGCAGGCAGGAGTTATGATCGAATCGAATCAAATAAGCTCAAAAAATGCGGTAGAGTTGGGACGTTTCATTACCCTGCCCTTCTAGATGTTTCCGTTTCCGGGTAAATAAGGTTCAGCGGAGTGTTCAAGTGACTGTTCTTGTTATGCGCCCGTACATTTTTTTCATATTTTTTTGTCTATTCTGAGTTTTTGTCCCTCCCCTCGCCACCTCCCGTTTGCTTTTATTTTGTAAATTTTCTTCTCGAAGTTCCGTCCAGAAAAGTAGCGCACCTGCGAGAGAAAACGGAAAACCCGATGACGCAAAACACAAAACAAGCACCCACCCACTCACATTGAGCTGATTTTTTGAAATTTTTCACCAGTCGACGGGAGCACTCACTAACTCAGGCTCATACCAATTGAAAATTGGTAATGGTTGATGGGAAATACAGCCTACCAACTACTGTGTAATGGCTGTAGGACTTGTGAAAATATCTGTCTACTTTTTTTTTCATCCTACAATTTTTTTCTTGTTTGCTTGCTTCGAACTGACTTGGATTTAGTTTGGTCTGGTCTGGTTTAGCTTTTTTCCTTCTATCTCTCAGCAACTACTGCTTTCAACAATTCTATCCTATCCCATCCTATCCTGTCCCAGCCCATCCGGTACTCTCAACTTTAACTCTCTCTTTCTTTGACTTTGCTATCTTTGGTGCTAACCGGCTCAACTAATGCATGATGATAATTGATTATCATTAAAAATAACATTTAATTATAATCTTGTTTGGTATAAGAGACTAATATCTTTAATTGTCTATATCCTCTTACTTATTAAGAACCCCCTCATACAAGCAACACAAGACAAAATGTATGATAAACCTTTACTTTAATATTGCAATTATAAATGAAAGCTAGTCGATTGAGAAGATATAAGTTGGAATTATTGACTGATAAAGATAAAAAAAACCATAAGATGACTTGGGCAAGATAAAAATAATAATAGAGAACGTTACACTGTTACTCACCTAATCTTTATTTGAAGTTAGTCGTACCCGTATATTCATGTTTTATTAGTACTTACTAGATGGAGATGTCCATATAACAAGATAGTTAGTGATGTTTCAGGAAATATATATGGTCATGGTGAAGAACAGCACTTCAATGACAAGAGTTAAATCCATATGGTAGAAAACTATTATTATAACCTGCATTCTCCCATAATAAATTCAACGTTATTTTTTTTTTTTGGTCGACTGCTAGCATTATTCGATATATATATTTATTTATATATATTAATCAAACTTATTTTGATATGTTTATTTTGATTACTAACATTTACTTTTCAACTAAAACTTATATGAGTTTACGTTGCACCATCATTATTATTACAGGGCTAAGAGAACTAAGAAGGTTGGTATTACCGGTAAGTACGGTGTTCGTTACGGTTCTTCTTTGAGAAGACAAGTTAAGAAGTTGGAAGTCCAACAACACGCTAGATACGACTGTTCTTTCTGTGGTAAGAAGACCGTCAGAAGAGGTGCTGCTGGTATCTGGACTTGTGGTGCTTGTAAGAAGACTGTCGCTGGTGGTGCTTACACTGTTTCTACTGCTGCCGCTGCTACCGTCAGATCTACTATCAGAAGATTGAGAGAAATGGTTGAAGCTTAATCGCTTTTTATAGGAAATCCATCTAATAACGATATTTTTTTATATTTATATTATTTCTCAAAATAAAAAATGAATCATAGCATAATTTCTTGATTATTATTCTTTATGTAATCATTAGATCTTCTATATAAATCTATATTACAATCAACAAGCCATTTAATTTAAAATAACGGATTGTGTTAAATTTAAAATATAGTGTAGTTTATAATAGGTTTTATATTCCTTGAACTTCAAGAAATTAATGTTTCGGTACAATTTCAGTTTTTTTACATTCAAAGTAAAAGAACCAATTGTAACAACAACATCAAAACTTTAAATATAATAAAATGTTTAATTTTTAAAATATAATACACTGCGGTATAGACCCTTCAATTTTGTATTTATTTTATTACCAAACCTCAAGACCCTTATGGCAACAATCGAAATATAACAAAGTACATTTTACATTATTTTCATTTTAAGACATTTGTAATTTACAGTCGTTTCTTGTAATTGTAAAATTTACTAACCCGGAGATGTGATGATGCGTATATAAAAATAAGATCAACAACAATAGAAATAGTAATACTTGGGTCAGAACTGATGAATGAGGGCTAAAAGATAACGTAGAAATATTTCCCTCTGATTTCCCAATGTAGTGCGATGATTAAATAGAAGGGATTATTATCATAACAACAATAGATAGAAACATAAAACACAAGACACATTTGTTTATAAATTTAGAAATAGCTCAAAATATTTCGATTCTATTAATTCTTATTGCATACAAAAATATATCATCAAGAGATTTCCATACTTCTTTGTAAATATCACTGTAGGAATAGGACTGCACCGGTAATAATATTTCATTCGATATTCCCTTTTTTGTTTATTAGTATTGTATTTTAAGTTTATCAATTGTCATTTGATGTGTAATTACTTTTTATATTTTTGATTTAATAGTACGTTAATTGCCGTTATTGACATATTATTAAGTTTCAAACTGTCGCTGACGTGTTAACAACGTTGTCATTTCCATTTCTGGCACCTCTTTTTGACTTAGCACGTCATCAAATAATCAACACTTAGCCTTTTCCTGCATCTATCTTCCTCTCATACTCTTTCCTAAAATAGATTCATTTCTGCTTATGGCCAATTTCTGTGCACATGATCAAAATTGGTATTCTTCAAGATTATGTTCCATCAGCAAGTTGGCCTACATAAGAAAGGAAACAAAACAAATAGAAAACTCGTATGGTTGGATACCATGCATGGATGTTTTGCACACTTTTCTTACCTTTTGATATAGTACGAAAGTAGAAATTGAAAGATGCTTATGGTAAATATCCGCATTTGGTAAACTGGATAAAACGAGAGTGTTAGAACATCTCATACATCGTGTAACATTATATGACCAAAAATAGAAAAACAAAAATATGTAAATATGCCGTTTTTCCACTTTTGGAACTGGAGTTGTATGTTCACCATGTACTTACTTCATGTTAAAATGTGTTTGTTGTTATTGATTCTCAGTCAATTTCTTACACGGATATTATCTCGAATAGCAAATCTGGATCGGGTCAGTAATAGATATGTAGAAGTGTACTACTGGGGCAACTCGACCTCTGATCTTTGTCTCCACTGCCACTGACAATAGTGTACGATCAATTATGTCGTCTCCTCCAAAATACAGGAGAGAATTTCCTATTTTCTTAATTACTTTTTCTGTTGTTTATTTTTACTTTTGTGTACATGCTTGTATCTTTAAAAGATTTCATTCAGAATTGAGCTGCAGGGCTTTACCTCTTGTGGTCGGCGGTTCGTTTTTCTAGGTAGTGAGGGCAGAGATACATCTATACACCGAGAATTTATCCAGTGCTACAGCCTTTTAATTATGACAAACGAACTTTACGCCTTCTCCACCATGTTTTTAGGAGGTGTCCTAAAACGGAAAGAGTAAACAAAAACGACGAACATAACTATCGTTTCTTTTTGTTTCTAGCCATCTTAACTTTCGAACTTCAACATCAGTTTATAAAGTTATTTACAGTCAATTAAAGCAATATAAGTTCTAAGACTAGCTTAATATTTGAGCTTAGACATTGCACTTGTTTATGCTTTTGAAATTGTTTTGCTATATTTATTTTACATTGATAAAATACCTATTCTTCCTACTAACATAGCACACAATTACTTCTCTATTTCTTTTTCTCCTAGAATTGACGATGCTTTCTACTGTTCTTGCCAGTTTGATTAACTTATCTTTCACTATAATATCTGTGTCTTGAGGTCTGAAATCACACTACTAATAACTAGAGTCTTCTATGAAATAATAGCGGTCCCTCATCCCCACTGTACTCGAAATGCAAAGGTTACGCCAGGTAGGACCAATTATTATCTCAACTATTACTATCATAATAATTAATACATTATCTTAATATTGTTTCTGTTTGTGTTTTGGCCTTTTCTTTTATTATCTTGAAATTACCTTGTTTAAACATTCCTTTGCCTGCTTTCTGGTATAGAATTACAATTACAAATGTTATATTGGGAATTATACAATTGCTCTTCTGTTTCCTCTTTTCTTGTTGTTCAGGGAAATTATTTCCAATTTTAATCATATATATTGGGACAAGTTACTTCTATTCGTATAACCATTTTCCGATGGCCTGTCCAAATTGCTTTTATTATTCGATTTAACTTCCTTACTGCCTTGCTTATATACCTTTTTGAAAAACTAATTCAAAATCCAAAATACAATCGACGGCTGCCATCATTAAGCCAATAAGTCAAAAATCAAGCATCTGATCAATCAAGGCAATGCTGTCTGTATTTCAAAATAATAAACAGCGTTCAGGAAATGAACTAAAAAGAAGTATATCCAAGCCTATGAAGAAAGAGGCATTATCTCGTACAGTTAGCCATGAAATTACTTTAGAGACTAAAAAAAATAAGTATATGACATCGAGAAACTACAATCCAAACTTAATTAAATTATACACAGTTACAAAATCTTTCACTCCGACAGAGCCTTTTATGTATACAAACAATAGAATGTGTCCATTTATTTCGGTTCAAAAGGAATCAATTGTGCAAATTATTTCCTATGAAGATAATGATATGTGTTATATTAGACTAGTAGATCAGTTAGGACAGGGATTAGTGCCGGTTTCTCATTTAAAGGAAGATAAAGATCTTAATAGAATGATCCCTTGTCCTGTAGCAAGAACAAATACATTGGTAAACATGACACCTCCAACATCTCCATCAACATTAACATCGAATACCTTCTCAATTGGTTCAAGTTCACGTTCCACAAGTGCATCATCCTCTCAAAGATCAAGTGAAGACGTTTCTGTTCAATCATGTAAATTAATTTCAGTCGACATTGTAGAGAAGAGAGTACAGTATACTTTAAATTTAAGATTAGCCAATAACGGTGAAAACATAGTACACCGTTACTATGGCCAATTCTACAAATTACATACAAAACTTTTATCCATTGGATCAAATTACAATGAAATCAAGTTACCATCGTTACCACATCCTTTACCATTTACCGGATCATTAGAACATAATTCAACTTTAATTAATGACAGAGTCCAAGAGTTTAATGATTATCTGGCGAATCTATTAGATAACATATTAAATTCATCTTCAATAGTTTTAAAAGACTTAATAAATAATTGGTTCATTCATGGCACTGTTGATGTCCCATCAAGACCAAATATCATTAAGATAAAGATTAATTATAACGGAGACTGTTATGCTTCAAAAGCAGTCGAAAATGATGTCAATAATATCTATAAATTACATAATGTAATTTGTGACAAAATTAAGTACCACGGTAATGGAAATCTTGTAATTACTGCAAAAGTCGATGGTTGGTATATAATCGACTTAACAAACGATGAAGTATACTTAAATGTATTACAAAAAGCACAAGAAACTCATAGACTATTATTAGATGTAACTATTAATTGAAAATGCATAGACTGTACTTCACCCTTTAATGAACCCAATAATAAATCAGAAGATTTTTGAAAAATCTCTTTAATAAATAGTTATACTGCTATTGTAACACTAAATACCATTTCCCTCATCTTAATCATAAATAAATATAAATAATAACAGCATATAATGAATAATAATAAATGTATTATATATATACTTTTATCAACCCATCCTATTAAGATGTTAGCTTTTATAATAGCAGCCTTTCATTGTAGTGTGGCTATTTTTTTCCGAGCACCTAACAAAAGAGAATATCAAGAAATAAAACAAGGGCTATCTAATGAGATATAAATAATTTTGGCATTTCGAAGTCAGTTTTATTTATCAGTAATATGGTAATTCAAGAATACATTATCAGAGGATTAAGTTTACAATAGATTGAGAAAAACAATGAATGATATCAAATCTGTGGTACCTTTAGAATCGAATCCGGAAGTTTTTACAAATTTTGCTTATGATCTGGGGTTGAATAGATCATTTGCGTTTATAGATCTGTACTCGTTGACTGATCCTGAATTATTGGCATTTGTACCAACTCCAGTCAGGGCTATTGTACTCTTATTTCCTATCAATGACTTTTTCGAAAAGAATAAAGGAGACACTTCCAATTCCCAAGGAGACGAAATCAAACCAATTTGGTTCCAACAAACTGTGAGAAATGCCTGTGGGTTGTATGCTATATTGCATTCTTTGAGTAACAATAAGCCGTTGTTACAAGGGGATTCAGAACTTTCTAAATATTTGGAAGACAATAGAAAAGTTGATGGACAATATAATGATGATAAAACTGATAATTTTGTTGTTCAATTAAGTGATAAATACTCGACTAATTTCACTGCAGGTGATACAGAGGCACCATCTTCAGAGGAGAATGTAAACCTCCATTTTATTACATTTATTGAAAAGGATGGAAAGATATATGAATTGGACGGAAGAAAAGTGGGTGCCAATTGCTTGGGTGATTCAGTTGCCTCTTCAATTGATGGGAATTTACTGAACGAAAAAGTGATAGTGGATAGAGTTAATTGGTATATGGGAAATGCTGATGAAGCAAGTAGATTGCAATTTTCTTTGTTAGCCTTAGCACCATCGTTAGATTAAAGTTTATCTAATTAATATTTATTCTTAAATGCGGAATAATGAGGGGAGAAATCGATCCAATTCTGAATAAATGAACTATTAATTCAACAAATAGGAAAATTGAGAAGAATAAAAGCTGTTAATATTCATGGGAAGTATTGTTATAAGGAAATTATTTATTTTAGATTCCAATAAGTTCCCTCTATTAACTAAGCAAATATTATTTTGTAATTTTGTAGGAATAAGATAAGAATTCGATTGATTTTATGATTATACTGAATCACTAATATATATTTAGGTACCCACAACTTCTAATCGAGTTATGGAGTGGGATTGGAAACTTTATAGTGGTGGTTTTTCAGAAAAACTTGTGGTCAATAATGTAAACATAACACCGAATGTATTTTTCCCAAATCAAACAACAATAACTGAGAGTTTGGCCGAGTGGTCTAAGGCGTCAGATTTAGGTTCTCAGGGTAAATTACCCAACTACTTAAATTCTCTGATATCTTCGGATGCATGGGTTCGAACCCCATAGCTCTCATTTTTTGCTGTATTTATTTTTTTCCCACACTTTCAAGTTTATTATATCTCATAGCATTCTACATTCCCAAATCTACTAACAATACATAAACATTTACCATAACATGCACACATATACACTTATTGTCACATACAATCAAGACACCTCCTGTCCCTCGTGTCTCTATATTGTCCATCCACATTTACTACCTATATATTCTGAAATTCATCACTTTATTAGTTTAACAAGAATTTTTCACTTAACAAAGCTGAACCGAAATATCTAATTAACTAAAAAATTCGAAATATATTTCAGATTCAGTAATAAGATCGATTGAAAAAGATTATAAGTTGATCTCAAATCATTTCTGGTTACAATTGAGTGGATTAGATTGAATTTTCCCTTTTATCAGGATATCCTACATACATCTAATTGATTTATTTTTATAGTTCAGTGGGGGAGCAAAATGTTTTCGACGTTAAAAACCGTTTCATTTAGAAGAGGTATTCATACAGTGCCAAAATTGCCAAATTCTAATATTTTAAAGCAGCGAGGCATACCTAATATTTTCAGTGCTGCAGGGTTTAATATAGCTTGGAATGAGCAACAGAAATATCTTTGTGATAAATTGACTTTGCTTACAAGTGGGTCAGATTTAGAATCTTTTTTACCTTTCCATATTATTTTGAATACAGCAAAGAGACCTTTCCAAGCTAATATTTTTAACGTAGCATCTGCTGCACATAACAATCATTTATTTATCGAGAACATTTTACCAGACCAAGATGTTGATACTAAACCATCGAGATTATTTCTATCTACTGTTGAGAAATCGTTTGACTGTTCTTGGGAAGATTTGAAAAAGGAAATGATATATCGTGCAGAAAATGATATCTTTGGTGAAGGGTGGTTATTTTTGGTAGAAAATAGGAACAAAGAATACCATATTTTAACCGTGCAAAATAACGGTACTCCATATTACTTTCCAAGAAATCAATCCTTCGATTTGAACAGTGCTACTTCATTACAAGAATATTCACAATTGCATGAAATAAAAAGACTTGTTACTGAACAAGATGGCAAGAATGGTAAGGAAAAAGTTGAAGATTGGACCATGCCACTGATCTGTGTAAACTTATGGGATCAAGCTTATTTACATGATTATGGTGTCAAAGGTAGATCAGAATATGTCAAAAACGTCTTAGACAACTTAAATTGGTCTGTAGTCAACCAAAGAATATACACCAATCCAAATGCTTAAGTTGAAGTTGTAACACAACAAAAAGGAACCCTAAACATATATATCCTACTGTTATTATATTTCTATTATTCTATTCCCTGTATATAATACTTACTTACATAACAAAATGTCATAGATGCCTGCAGTTTTTTGCAATTAATATCTCTAATGCTGTTGAACCCTTAATGGTTTCATATAACTTTAACACCTACTGGTTTTCCGTTGTCATCCTTTAAAATAGTTGCTCGATTCCTATTACATAGTGGTTTGAGACATTTTACTAGTAATAATTCTGGCATTCCATGGAATTCCCAATTTATTGTTTCATCACCTTGACTTAATTCGTAAAGTGTAACTACTTGATTCAATTTCACAGAAGTTTCAAACCATTGTAATATTAACGAAGCCCAAAGATCCAAACTATTCCATAATATATAATACATAGAAGAATTTTTACCATCTTCATACCTCAATGCTTTACCATCTTGGCACATCTGAGTCCATATCTCATCGACAAAGACTTGTGGTACTGTTCGTTGCAATTCCACATTAGTGAACAGTTTTTTATCTTCATTAGTGACATTAGAGTGATCCTCATAGATTGGTTTACCTTCTGCATTCATAGACCAACATTTTCTTCCCTCACAAAACTGTGTAATAATATCAATCCATGAGTTAATCTGCTGTCTTCGAATAAGTGAGTTAGGCTGTCTGGTATACATAGGTGGGAAGGAATAAACTGGTGGTAGAGAAGTCATCTTCAATGAGTTTGCGTATATCTATAACTAAACTATTTCAACAAATATTAGATATAATAATCAACTAACAATCAATATCCTTTAATCTTGTTCCCTTACTTTACTTAAATGTTCGATTTATTCACCCATACTTTCTTAAGTATCAATAATTGTTAAACATTTAAAGCGAAGTTGCCATCTCAAGTAATCAAAAGTGTGGACAGAGAGATACGGGCATATAAGAGTTTGTTGTTATATTGATACCGTTTTAATACGTCTAGATCCAGTGATATAACAAGCTATATATATTTTGTTCATTATGGATCGAATTACTTCCCTGGAGAAAGAACATGTCGAAGTTCATCAAAAGTTGTTGAAAGTGTTAGATCAGTTATACCTTAAAAAGAATGGGTTATCGACTAATTTAAATCGTGGAGAAGAAACGAGACTCGAAAATAGACTTCAATTGCAACTTAGTTTAGAGAAGAGTGGTGCAATTTTACGAACTATAGAAAGAACCTTTAATACAGAAAATTCCTCTGCTGACATAGACTTTGACGATTTTACAGAATTAAAACCAGAGGTCACGAGCTCAGTAGAACATTTCCTGGCACTGAGGCTAGCCACAATAATGAAACAGAATTATGAATTAGACAAGATGCTATCAGAAACACTGAAGAAAGATCTAGAATCTTATCAAGAGTTATACTCTGAACATCAAAATTACAGAAACCTTATGCAAAAATTTATTAGCCTTTCGTCAAGTTTAGAGGCTAAGAAAACCTCTGATGATCTAACCAATGAAGATACTGAAAGTGACACTAAGCTAGCTCTCGAAAATGAAACTATAGAACAATTGATACTTGCTTTAAAAGTAAATGGTGGTTATAATATCTGATGCGATCAGTAACTTATCGTTCCTTTATATTAAAATATCCAAATCACGTGATACATAATCTAAAACGGAATCGCTCTGAAAATTAGTGAAAAATTTTTGGCAAAGGTCATCTCATCTCATCTCATCTCATCTCATCTCAAATTATTGATAATTAATATATGAAATCTTATCGATCTATCAAGTGCTTATAGATACATATTTTATTATTTATTCAGTAGTTGGGTTCATTTTGAAATGTATTTTATAAAATGAAGTGCAGAACGTCGAATCTGGGAATTGTGGGTTACTTCTTGAGTGAAACACTAATTGGAATATTATTTTAGAGAAAGGAATAAAATATCTTATATATTTTGTTTTATCTTTGAGTTAGAAGTTTCATTTGATAATTAACATCGATATAGAATAGAAATAAGATGAAATACGTTGTTGTTTCAGGTGGTGTCATCTCTGGTATCGGTAAAGGTGTATTGGCATCTTCTACCGGTATGTTATTCAAAACCTTCGGTTATAAGGTTACTTCTATTAAGATTGATCCATATATGAATATCGATGCTGGTACTATGTCTCCTTTAGAACATGGTGAATGTTTTGTTTTGGATGATGGTGGTGAAACTGATTTGGATTTAGGTAACTACGAACGTTATCTGAATGTCACTTTAACTAAAGATCATAACATCACTACTGGTAAAATATATTCTCATGTTATCCAAAAGGAAAGAAAAGGTGATTACTTGGGTAAAACTGTTCAAATTGTCCCACATTTGACTAATGCCATCCAAGATTGGATCGAACGTGTTTCCAAAATTCCTGTTGATGATACTGGTATGGAACCAGATGTTTGTATTATCGAATTAGGTGGTACTGTAGGTGATATTGAAAGTGCCCCATTTGTCGAAGCTTTAAGACAATTCCAATTTAGAGTTGGTAAAGAAAATTTTGCATTGATCCATGTTTCTTTGGTTCCAGTTATCCACGGTGAACAAAAAACTAAACCAACTCAAGCTGCTATTAAAGATTTGAGATCACTAGGTTTAACCCCAGATATGATTGCTGTTAGATGTTCTCATATCTTGGATGAACCAACAATTAACAAAATTGCCATGTTCTGTCATGTCGGTTCCAACCAAGTGGTCAACGTCCATGATGTTAATTCTACTTATCACGTCCCATTATTATTGTTAGAACAAAAAGTGATGGATTATTTGCGTGCTAGATTACAATTGTCTGATATAACTTTATCCAGTGAAGATGTTTCAAGAGGTGAAAAATTGTTGATTAAATGGAAATCCATGACTTCTAACTACGACGAATCACTACAAACTGTTAAGATTGCCTTAGTTGGTAAATATACCCATTTGAAGGATTCTTATTTATCTGTCATTAAGGCTTTAGAACACTCTTCAATGAAATGTCGTAACAAGCTGGAGATTTTATGGGTCGAATCATCTCATTTAGAACCAGAAACTCAAGAAACTGATAAAGAAAAATTCCATGATGCTTGGAATAAGGTTAGTACTGCTGATGGTGTCTTAGTTCCAGGTGGTTTTGGTCACAGAGGTACAGAAGGTATGATTTTAGCTGCCAAATGGGCTCGTGAAAGCAACGTTCCATATCTAGGTGTTTGTCTAGGTTTACAAATCGCAACAATCGAATTTATGCGTAATGTTGTTGGCCTAAAGGATGGTCAATCTGCTGAATTCTTCCCAGACTCCGACCCTGAGACACATGTTGTTGTTTACATGCCAGAAATTGATAAGGAAAATATGGGTGGTACAATGAGATTAGGTTTGAGACCAACTCATTTCCAACCAGATACCGAGTCAAGTCAAATTAAGAAACTTTACGGTTCTAAGGATATCATCGAAGAAAGACATCGTCACCGTTATGAAATTAATCCAAATTTGATTAACAAATTAGAAGAACATGGTTTGATGTTTGTTGGTAGAGACGATACTGGTGAACGTTGTGAAATTTTCGAATTAAAGAACCATCCATACTATGTCGCTACTCAATACCACCCAGAATACACTTCTAAGGTCTTAGACCCATCTAGACCATTTTTAGGTTTCTTTGCAGCATCTGCCGGTGTGTTAGATAAATTGTTAGACGGGGAGTACGATTACACCGAATCTGAAGGTAAAACTGATTTCTAAAGTCAATTAATGCGATGGACATTATAAAATTTCATACTTTCATTTTAAAACTATAGATTGTTAGGTAGTAAACTATTTCTCATTTTGTATAATTTTGTCATTAATAAAAATAATATTTGAAGCATAAATTCAATGTATTTAGAACTATTTATTAACCTATAGAATCTTCTTAAAAGAAAAAGAGCGCTTTGAATAGAAGCATTATTGAGATCAAGTTGAAATTCCAATTACGCCGCAAGCTAGTCTCGCACCTGCATTTCCTGTCTTCAAGGACTCTTCATTACCGCCTTTACCCAAGTCATCTTCCTGAGCATGGATGACAACTGCTCTGCCAATGACAGAGTTAGTGCCAATTAGTTTGATTTGATTGTCAGCCGTATCACCTTTTGCCAAACCTGAACCATCTGTTTGGACATTGCCCATATCACCGACATGTCTATTTATGTCCAACAAATCGCCATGGGTTTTATTGAAAGGGTTGAAATGAGTTCCAGCTGAAGTGCAACCATTAGATAGATCGCCAAATTCATGGATATGGAATCCACGAAGGGAATTGGGTGAATTTCCCTTTATCTCATAAGAGATTGAAGTTGGATCATTTTCACTGATCTGTTCAAAGTGGACAATGCCTGACACGCCAGCGGTGCCAGATAAGATTACAGATGCCTTAACCATTGCAATAGAGATATAGGAGGGTTTCACAATTAATATGGTATAGTAATTGAAATTTATGTCAAGGAAGGAATCCAAAAACATTATTAAAAGAAGGAATATATGATTATATGATTATATATATGTATATATATATATATAAGTATGTGTATGTATGTGGTTGTGGGTGTGGACTAATTAGGGATACCAGTCCTTAAATTTGATAAACATGGATGCTTCAAAGGAATGACAATTCAAGTGTGGATATTTATTTCTTCTTCTTATTTAAGCCGTTATACGAATAGCTTGGCAATAAGAGAAGAAAAGTGCTAGTTATTATTATGCCAGTGAACATCCACATTAATAAATCTGCAGGTTTCTTGAATATTCTATCAAAAAATTCAAAAACTGAATTATTACGATAGAAACCCATTTTTTTTTGTTTTTATTCTAAAACTAAATTAGTAGTGGAGTAACACAAATTAAAGAATATACTTTACTGTACTATTGTCCAACCCCAGAATAGCTTTTCTACCTCTAGAACATCACATTTCAAACAAGTAAGTAGTCGTCTGTCGTCATTATCATCACTAACTAAATCATCTCTTCTTATATACCTATGAATTATTCCCATATCTTCTCTTAACCCTTTCTGTCACCCGCATTTTACTGTACCAATTTCGAACAACGAAACACATACATGCGAGGCGCTACCACTAAAACAAAACGAAATTCTTCTATTTTCACAGAAAAAGAAAAGACATTAATCAACAGTTACCCTACCAGCACGTGACCATAAAACGCCAAATGAAAAAAGAAAAGATGTAAACTATTTGTTTGTGTGTTTTTGTCGTTGTTGTTGCTGGACAGCCCGAAATCATCCCAAATAGGTAACTGAAAAGACAACCAAGAAAGAAGTGCAAGAACAGGAATTAAAATGCAAATAAAAAGAAACGGTGTCCTCAATTAACCAAAATTTCGAAAAAAAGTCGAAATTCGAAAAATTCGAAATTCGAAATCTGAAAAATTAACAAACAACAAATTGCTGAGTTGTTGTTTAACCACTATATGACGAATAAAAAATGTAAGGTGTATATATAGGTCTGGGTACTGTTAGGGGATGCAATAACTAATTGTTTTGGTTCAATTGCTGAGGTTAAGTAAACTTGTATCTCGTTGGTGTGTTTTAGCAAAAAATAGAGCTGATATAACGTCAAAAACATAAAGCAGAATTGTTAAATATAGTATCATCACGTAACATAACGTAATAATAATAATAATAATAATAATATAATATAATTTAATATAATATAATATAATATACCTAGTCGGATTGTATATCTTATTGAAAGATGATGAACCCATTTAGAATTTTAGGTGATATTTCGCATTTAGCCAGTATTTTAATTTTACTACAGACAATTAAAACTACTAAAACAATTGATGGTATTTCATTCAAGACCCAAGTTTTGTATGCATTAGTATTTTTAACCCGTTATTTGGATTTGTTGACTTTAAACTATGTCTCTGTCTATAATACTTTGATGAAATTGTTTTTCATCATCTCCTCCATCTACATCGTTGTTTTGTTGCAACGTTCAAAGACAACTCAACCAATTGCATATAAAGAAATGATCTTAGCAGACTCCATCAAGATTCAATATTTATTATTAGGTAGTCTTGTAGCTGCATTGGTATTTAACCATAAATTCACATTTTTAGAAATTGCTTGGAGTTTCTCCGTTTGGTTGGAAAGTGTTGCTATTTTGCCACAACTGTTTATGTTGTCCAAAATAGGGAAGGCCAAGAGTTTGACTATTCATTACATTTTTGCCTTAGGCTTGTACAGAACATTGTATATTCCAAACTGGATATGGAGATATGTTACCGAGCAAAGATATGATAAAATTGCTATAATCGCAGGTATTATTCAAACTTTAGTCTACTCTGATTTCTTCTACATTTACTATAAAAAAGTCATTAAAGGTGCTAATGTTAAATTACCAAACTAATTTAAATAATTTTTTAAAATAAAAGCAATAACAACAACTTATCACTTACATCATTTTCACATACCTTTATTCATTTCGTATTCATATTATAATAATATCTTCAAACTTATTCGTACTTTAGTCCTGATTTTTTCACTTCTTCCTCCTCTACATTTTAGTTGTTGATCTATTCAGACAGTTCGGGCTGATACTGCTATATACAAATAGATATCTTTAATAAATAAGTTAACCAATGTGATAATCTATTATGCCAGTCAATTTATGGACCTTCTCATTGGGTTTATCTATCCTTTTCTCCCCTACTTCCTAGATCCATTTACTTTTTATCTTGATGATTATATATACATGTATATACGTATGGATTTATATTAATATTTCAATGCTTATCAGATATTATTGTATTTTAATTTATTTATCAGATTATTTAATCATTTGACATTTAACTGTAATCAGTCCCTTTTTAGCTCATAAAATTCTTTCCTTACACCATCTTTTGTGACGATCAAGATCTCCAAACCATCACCAACATGAATATGTCTTTCTGTAGCAGAAGTGAAAGCATCTCTTACTAACCTAATTACTTCATCGATCGATAGAAATTTTAGTGGTCTCTTTACGGTACCATCGGAGTCTGGTTCATATTGATTTTTAAAGTTAACTTGATTATCTAAGAATGGCATAATCAAGGAAGCTGCTGCACCACCTGCTCTACATTGTTCTCTTTCATAAGAACCAACTGGATCAAAGGAATAAACTGCACCTTTACCTTCTTCATCTAAACCTGCAATAATAGTATGTACGTAATAAGGGAAAAATCTTTTACCATATAATAAATGCTGAATATTTCTTGCTGCCGAACTTAATGAAAGTGTTTTATCATTATTATCAAAATGATACCATTTAATACTGTTTTTAAATCTTTTAACCAAGGCTTCACCATCTGCCGCAAACCCATTGGCAGAAATTACGATATTATCCCCACAATCAAAAACTTTTGGTTCATAACGGGAGTTTATAGAATAATCAGTTGTATGTCTGGTATCACCTGCCAAAACTGCAAAATCCTCACCGGCAATACCTAAAATTGTACCACCATTGTCGCTATAAGGATTGAATTGATGCTCAATTGGCACATTTTTAACTTCGTTTCCGTATTCAGATGCAATTACACTACCCATTGTTTTATTTTCTTTAACTTCTTTTATTGCGTTTAATCTCAATATATCAATATTATATACACTTTTTCAATCACTTCCTCTGTTCTGGTCAATTAATGTAATTATTTTCCTAATCTCTTAAATTAATAGAAGAAACAAACACGAATGAATAATTTGACAACACAACAATAACGATTACCTTCAATGACAATAACAATGTCCTTGAATATATACGTCGTAATTTGCCGTTCTGTTATCAAAATAGACCTTTTAATGTTAATTGATTGATAATTTAAATGCATTTATATATCAATCTTTGTTTTGCCACCCTTATCTAAAAAAAAATTATTATGAGGAAACAATCGTATATAATTATATACAGATGCGACAGTAATTCAGTCATGTGACAGTAAGAAAGATCTGTTGTTGTGAAGTTAAAGAAGCTATGTTAACATGCAATCAATTCAATCACTTTTGAATTAGTTAGCTCAATAAATCTTAATAAAGAACTACTCTTCCATCTGATTGAAAAATTCCAGGATTGCTTCAAATTAATTATCACATAAATTAATCATACAAACTATAAATAATTAAACAATAATCGATAAACATATAAAGTACAGACATAATATTTTTAACCAATTAGGTATTCAAAATTGAGATCTTCTTAAATTTAGGTTCTGCTACCTATAACTTACAATCTTGCAGAAAAGTCATTAAGAAAATTATTGGAATTTAGTTTTTGTTTATTATCATTCAATTGATTTATTCCTCTTGGCTACTTAGAACGTGTAAGTAATCATAGAAGAAACCAAAAATATGCATTAGGTTATCGGCATCAAAGTGTTCATCAGCTGAATGTATGTTAGCAACCAACTTAGCATTCATGAACGATGGTTGGAAACGGTAAATGTTAGAGGTCAAGTTCCAGTAATGTCTAGAGTCAGTGTTGGCATTCATAATGGATGGAGCAATGACTAAATCAACATCAGTGTAATTAGTGGAACCTGGGAAGGCAACATCTTCAAAGTATGATTTGATAGTTCCTGCAAATTGGTCCCAGACAGCATTTTCTGGAGAAACTGGGGCTGGTTCCAATGTAGTAATGGTATTGATACTAACTCTACCGCTAGTAGTACCGTTAGTAACTCTAGTACCATCAATAAACAGACTCAAATTTAGTAATTGGGCAACTTCAGCAACGTTTGCCGTAATTTTAGTCAAAGTGGCATTGACTGTGGATTCAACCGCAATTCTAGTGTTGACAACGAAATTTGTGGATTCTGGTAAGGCATTGGCCTTGATACCACCATTAATGACATCAACGGCTTGAGATGTACGCAACAAGTATTCAAATGTCTTCCCACCCAATTTGGTTAAATAATCAATTACACGCTTGTTGGAAATAGAACTCTTGTAAGCATTGGCAAAGTCACTCTTCAAAGTGGCTGGTAAGACTTCTGAGTATTCAGCCATACATTGGAAATATTCTGTGACTGGGTTGGCTGGGGTGAACATTGGTGGGAATAATTGCTCTTCAATGGCATTGATCATCATTGCAGCAATACCAATAGAAGTATGATCAGGTGGAACAGAAGAGTGACCACCGGCGTAATCAATTGTAACTTCCAAGTTCATGAAACCCTTCTCACCTGTAGCTGGAGAGGCAATCCATACACCGTTCAAGTTAGCGACAGCATTACCACCTTCATCAATAAAAGAATAGATACCATTTTGACCATATCTTTCATACAGAACTTCTGAAATGTAAGCTGAACCATAATTACCAGAAATTTCTTCATCTGCACCAAAAGCCAACAATAAAGTACGGTTTGGTTGGAAGTCAGGTTCATTTTCTAAAATATATTCAACAGATTGCAACATACCAACGATCATATGTTTGTCATCTAAAGAACCACGACCCCAGACATATGTACCATCATAATAACCAGAGAATGGAGGATACTCCCATTCATCCAAAGTACTGTTATCTACTGGGACAACATCTTGATGGGCATAGTAAATATTTGGTTTCATAGTGCTATTAGTACCGTTCCATGTCAAAAGCAAAGACACTTCATTAACAATTTCGACATCCAAAGTTTCCCAAACTCTTGGGAAATCCTTTGCCAATTGATCGTGTAATTGGTAGAAAGGTAACCAACCAGTGAAGTTGGAGTTGTTTGCAGGGTTTGGATAATCATCGTAGGTGATAGTTGGAATTTTTACAAGGTTAGATAATTTTAGGGCGGTTTCATTTTTGAAGTTTCATTGTAAACGATTCTTGAGATATTCTCCGGGTTCAACACTTCAACCTTGTCATAAGTCCTACAAGAGAAAGTGTCTTGAGCATGAGTTAGGAAATCAAAGCGCAATCCATTTTCAGTGAATACAGCAATTGAAATACATAGAATTGTCATTAATGTTGCTGAGACAGTATATAAATTCCATGTGAATTCATTAGCGCTATGACGTCTTTTGACGTCATTTCTTTTAGTATCCCTCGTCATTTTAAATATAATGAAAGGGTCTTTACAATGGTTGGGATTGTACTTGAATTTTTAACTTATGCAATAGTGTAAAACTGGAGGGTTTTTGCACTTTGTTGTAGTTGATGTATTGAGTAGAATTAAAATAAATTATTAAAATATGAATTTATAGCAATGACGGAAATGAGGTAAAAATCGAATTGTAAGCATGAATTAAGTTTTGCTTATATACGTTTTTCCAAAATTAAGAAATAATTTTAAAATATATTCTAAAGACATAATTCAATAATTGATGATCGATAATTATGTTGAGGGGGGAAGGAGGATGAGAGGAGGGAGCTAGATAGGTGTTGAGTTTAGATGAGGGAGAAGGGTTATAAGCCACTTTAAAAGCCAATTTCAACCTCTTCAAAATTTTTAATTAACTTAGTTTATTGAGGAGACAAGAGGATGAATGATCAACAAAGAAGAAAAAAAAATTTTTTATTGAATTTTAATTATTTTGATTTGATTTTAAAATTGGTAAGGCAAACCATACCACAACCGTTTAGAGGCAGAAAAAGAAATTGTTGGAGTATGTACCACCGAAGTCGAAATTATCGAAATATATATCCAACTGCCTCTTAAAAGAACAGATGATATGAAATCAGTGGGCCAAAAAAAAAACAAACCATAATAAGTTTTTTAAATTTAATAACGTTATTGCAGGGATAGTTAGTTAGTAAGAGGACCGATGTCATCATGAAGAAATGTAGTGAGACAAGAGCTGGGTGGAGACGTTAGTTAGCACAGAGGGAAAATTACATCTAAATTTTAATTATTGGTACGATCAAAGAAGAAAGTGATGTTATCAGGTATGATGGATGGATGATTGATGATGAAAAAAAAATCAAGATGAGGATCCAACAGGGAGCAAATTGTAATATATACTTTCTCCAATAGCCCAGTGATTTAGTGGAGTTTTTATTTTTTATGTTTTTTTTAATGTACAAGAAGACGAATGGGAAGACAGCAGACAAAAACAAGTATAACTGAACATCAGATAGGATCAGATCCATTTCTTAATTTGGTTGCTTGCCTGTGTGATAACTTACCCTTGAATAAATGAATATAATCATAATTTGAATTCGAAATATGACATTGAGAAAAAAAACAAAAAAAAAGGGCAAAAACCAAAATAAGATAAGCTAAATGGGGCGACAATTTCTTACCCTTCAACTAGTTTTAATTTTAATACATAATATTTTTTTTCCCTTCAATTCTATTCCCCTGTTTATCTTGCACTCTCTCTCTTAAAGAAACACTGATTTTATTAGCTTGAAGCAGTTAACTTTAATAAATCATCAATTTGTTCTCCCTTCCACTCTCCAAGTCGAGACAAGACAAGTTAAGATCAAATCCAAAATTCAGACAGAAAAAACCATAATTAGAAATAAAAACAGCTACCGAACAAGATAAAATCTAAATTAATCAACCTAAAATCGTCTATAGAATTTTAGCTGTTACCGCTTCAATCCCAACCCTTTAACCTTTTAGTCTTTTAAGTTAAACCGAAATCAAATCACAATTTCGAAAAGGTGGTAGTGAAGCTGATTTGACTTTAATTCAGTTGTCATATCATGTTTCTTTTTACTGCAGGGTAGTGAAAAAAAATTGTTGATACCGAGTATAAAATTGGTTCTTTTTTCTATCTTTTATGACTATACATAAATTTTTTTTGCTATTTAGTGTAATCCCTCTTTGTTGGTCGGCACCAATCGAAATTGAAAGTTGAAAATTATTCGGAATTGGAATCCGTCTTATCCTTTGCGCGTCCCGGTGTTGTATGATATATAAATTATACAATTTTCTAAGAATAGTATGCAGAGGAGTGATGATAACCAAAAACATTTTTACAAAAAAAAAATAAACGGAACTTCGGTTACATTTTCCATTAAATGACATTTTTCTATCGTAAGACGGAACATTGGCGTTACTTTCTTATTTTATTTTATGTTTTTTTTTTGTTTTTCCACTTTCAGTGTTATTCCGGGATTTCCTATCCTCCATCCGTTGGGCTCCGTTAGCTTCAGAAACCTCTGCAGTCGATACCATCCCACGCACCAATCTCACTTGCAGCTGCACTGGTTTCTCTTAACATCAACATCAACCTCGTGCCGTCACGTCCCGTCTTGCCGTAGCATCGAGACAAACTGCCATAGGCACCGTCAATTTTCGTTTTACTAACAAAAGATAGAACAAGAGAAATATAAACCACAAAAACCTATCGGAAGCGGGAGAAAAAGTGGCCGAGTCAGCATCCGTATCAACCCGTTATCCTTCTATTTGTTATTTTTTATTTTTTATTTCCTCTCTAATTCTTTTTCTCCAATGTTTTCTTTAAAAAACAAGACTATGGGTATTGTATTACCCTTTTGGGCCTCAGCCGGATGAAAACCGTAGTGGAATAATGACCTATTCGGTAAATATCGTTTTTTGCTACGGCAGTTCTCTTCAAGTGACTCTCTATCTCGCTCTTTTCCTCTCTACCCATCTCGTCTCTCCCTCCCGGATACCCAGATTTGTCTGCCAGTCTCATTTACATTCAAGAAAAGAAGAGGAGTGGTACCCCACTCACATTACACTAGGCCTAATGTTCGGGTAATCAAATTACGGTAATTCAAGTGGGGTAAACGGTTAGTTCTCCCTGGATTTCCCAGTGATAACACACAGAAATGATTACTGTCGAATCTGGCTATCCAACCACCCACCAATTTATTCATTAGTCTTCTTCTTCTTCTTCTCCCTCTTTTTATTTCTGTTTTATTTGGGCTTGTAGGTGATCAAATTGGTACGCTGCCTCGAAGCATTATATGTAAGCAATCATGAAAGATTTCTGATTATTCCATGTAGCTTACCAAATTAATTCCAATCACTTTGATCAATTCATGTAAAAGTCAATGGGTTAACTATATTTTGCAAGAGCATCATACTTGATTCAGTTATTTTTTTGGGTATTAGGGAAACAAGATAAGTCTTAGTAAACTATAATAAATGTGACAGTGGTTCTTATTCGACGATACGATTCAGTTCAGTGAGTTTCGAATCAATTAAAACCACGGGTAAACTATATTCCGATAAAGAGGGGAACGCTTGATAATGAATGGGGCAGTTTTGAGGGGAAAATGGACTTTAAAATTAACCCATTAACTTGCTAGAGTAAAAACAAAAATGCCTTCTGTATCAAAGTTTTTTTATCATTATTAAATTTATTTCACAATTTTTTGAAACAAAAGTTATATCGGTGCTTAGTCTTGCTTTTATAGGATTATGAGGGTAAACACTATCAATTATCTTACCTAAGATTTTCGTTTTCATTTTTCATTCTTTACCAAGATTTTAATTATATCGAAACAGACTTAAAAGGAAAAAAGTGTCTTGTAAACAAAAAAAAAAAACAGAGGTCAATGTCTTCGAAAGTGATGTATCTTACATAATAAGGATAAATATCCTCTCACTTACAATCATAAAAAAACAGATACGCAACTACATTAGTAAATGTGAAAGAAATACGGTGAATCATCTAATATACAACCCAGTTTGTGTATTCTTACACTATATAATTTTTATTTATTTATTTTGAATATAATTAAAAATTAAATAAATTATTTTCCCCTGAATAAATTATGTTATGCTGAAAAGAGCGTCATTATGATTATTATCTCATTAAAATGTTACTGCTTTAATAAAATGCTTATGCTTGTTGCATTCACCACATTGTGCTGTCTTGAAATGCCTTGTATTTGATTATAATTATAATTATTATTATTTATTATGATTATTATGATTATGATTATTATGATGATTATTATAATCATGGTGACAATAAAAGATGGTTTTGATCTGCCTCATATCGATGAATAGAATAGAACTAAATCTCAACTCAAACCTAATACCCTTGTATCTATTTCATTTGAGTTAGTACGGGTATCTTAAAAAAATTTAATGCTGTTCAGATCTTGAAACCATTGGTGTAAGATGCTGGATCTCTTCTTCTTGGCAACAACGCTTTGGTACATGCTGATTATCAGTAATCATTTGGTTATTAGCAGATTCTGGAGCATAATATATATACTCAGATTCAGCTGAAACTAAGTATTCATCTTCATCACTGTCACTGTCATATGAACCCGAACTTTCATATTCATCCATCAATCTATCCAATAAGTTTGCATGCCCCACCAACACTCTTAGATCGAAATCTTTCTTTTGCTTCTTCCGCCTTTGAGTACAGCTCATTAATTTACTGTGTACTTTGTTGATCAATAGGTAACTGTTTTCGTATTCCATTTTTGCTAATAATGATTGTTGTAATAAATATTAAGATGCTATTCTTTGCAATGCTATGCTATGCTTTGATATGCTTGGTCTATGTGTTTAATATTTTTATTTGAATGAATTTTAATATTGTGAATAATTTGGAAATATTTTGAAGTCAAGAAATTGAAAAGTCAAGTCTCTATTTATAATTTTTCATTAACCTTTAAACACCTTAATAAAACTTTAACGATTTAGTCTTTACTATTGTAAGAGTACTTCGTTAAAAAAAAAAAAATAGATTTCGTTAATATTTCTTAATTCCAAGTTCTACAGGCATTCTCTTCGAAATGGCTAACCGATGCTCAGATCAAGGAGACACAGACATATTTACACATAAACACTGGTTGTTAACATAAAACATGAGAAAAGAGCATTATCAATTCTTATTAATTCTTTTCGAATAAAGTTTCCCCTGTATTACCTAATTGATCAATAATACCGAAAACTTTTTTTTTCAAAGCTGTTAAACCCACATCCTTACAAAAAATATTCAAAGTCTCGAAACCGTTTTCCGCAATGGCAAGAAAAGAAAAAAGAAAGAAATACGAACATCTGACAAAGAAATGCCCAAGCCAACCGACGATTTAAAAATAGAGAAGCCTTAGTATTTAGTACTCAAAATCCGAAATTCATCTCTTTAAGGTATGAATAACTAACTAACTTAAGAGAGAATCATACGAAGAGAACAAGTTTTCCTTTCACAATGATTACTAACCACACTTATCGCAAAATATTCTTAACTCAAATCGAAGGCCGTTTTTGACTGAAGATGGAAAGAACAATTGTAAGAAAACGAAATGGGAAGAACGAAGGAAAAATTTTTTATCGACAAAGCAACCAACCGGTTCCAGATTTTGGATTTTGTTTGACTAAGTACTGGCTGTACCCCGATGAATAAAACAAACGGTAACTGAAGAAATATCGGTAATTGACGGTTTTAATTCATTTCTTCAATGCAAGAAGTTGAAATAAAAGAAAAATATCCAAAGATCTAGACTCTTCCAATTCGATTCCATTCTGTTCTCTTCCATTCTTCTGCGGAATTTCGATAAAAAGCCACCGAGGCTAGCCGTGCCGATTCCATATTCCTCTTTTATTCTGTTCTCCTCTAAATCAGTCAACCATTCCAAGATCAAGAAAACGCAGAGGTGTCCACACAGGCATGTGAATATAGAGGCAGGGAGTGATTTAAAAACTTGAACTAACTGCCTTTTTACTTCGCTTTGCTTACTTAACATATTCTATTTTTTTTTTTTACCCCCTTGCTAATATATTTTTCTTTAATACATAGTAAAAATTTAAGTGCATAACCGAATCTATAACCGTTTCTACTGGGGCCTCTCTAAGAATTCTTTAATTTGGAATAATCACTTGGCATTTAGGAAGTGAACAGAAATATTTTCGAAAAATGGCACTTTTGATTTCGATTTCCCATTAACCATCAAAATTTCATAGTATTCATTGCAGAAAGGTTCACCCTTCTTCAAAATCCGAATCAAATACAAGTTGGCTTTTACGATATGATATGTATGCACATGAAAATTTCAGCTTAGAGATAGAACCTCTAATCTGGATTACGGCAAGGCTAAACAGTAAGTAAAGAAGAACTCTCAGTGTATTCATGGGGTTCGAAGTTCTAGACTCATTATTATTATTTTTTAGCCATTTACAAGTGGCTAAAATTTTTAGTTTTTTTTTTTCAGATTCATTGATAAGAATTCATTAGTGTGTGCAAGGGGTAAAATCTGTAAGAAAAGGATGTATCATTTAATTTTTCTGGAGAAAAATCAAAACTTACTACACCATTTATTCGTTAAATAGAAGCTCCTCAAACATTTTCTTTTAAAAAAAAAAATAAACATACACATCTCTTTTTGCGAGGTCTAAGTAGTATAATATGATATATTTTTACTATTAGCCAGACGAGTTATTGATTATTCATTGTTATTTACGAGAGGCTATTGAACGAACGGTTGACTAAGGCTCCAGCCAAGAGCATATCTCTGTAGGAAATGTATGTTAGTTCTACTCCAACTTCTTTTTTGCCAATGTTTCGATATCTTTTGCTGATTCATTCGTTCATTATTCACTTATCGTTCTCGCTATGTTGAGAACTATTTTCTTTCCCTAAACTGCATAGAATAGTATGTTCTATAATTCTATCGATTTTATTCTATGGCTACAACCTATTCTCCAAATGAGCTGTCACTTTATCAGTTGTCAGTTCTACATGGGCCTGGGTCTGGCTTCTATTTTATAAATCGCTTCTTTCTATGAATCGTTCTGGGGGCGGTGGGAAAGGTGTAGAATTGCATTCCAGTCCTGAATGCTTTTGAATTCTAGAATACTTCTATGAATTATATCAGATGTATCTACTTTCCCATTATAGTCCTTAATATTTTAGTACCGGTATAATATGTTCTATCGATAGATCTGACAAAGATCTTATGGGTGGTATGTCTGTACTTGTACTGCTGAATATGCCTTTATCTCCAACAGTGTGGCTCCTATCAAAGGGCAAACACCTCCAAGATTGGTCTTTCGATAGTTCTTTGCATTTCCTCGTTCTTATCGGTTTCGTAAAAGAAAAGCCTGAATTTCTAGTCCCTTTAACTTTGTCATCCTTGAAATTAACTTCGAATCCATTATCGTTATTACAATTGTAACTTTGTTCGGATCTTGTTCTTAGTGTATTCAAATCTCAATTCAATAGTCGAGATGTTAATTTTGTTATAATTATTACTAATATTTTAACGATCCAAATTCGAAATAAAGTTTTTGTAATATTTAGTAAAAGATTAAGTTATACATCTGTCACATTTGAAACCACTATTTTGTTTTTGTCGTTTATTCTGAAACTTAAAGTCATTTTTGTTTGAAGCATAACAAATTATGAGATATTTATTTAAAGTTAAAATATTTGAAGGTCCCTTTAAGTGCATATATTTGTCCTTTAAGTGAATATTTTTGTCTTTTAGGTGAATATTCTTCCAATATCTACCTGTTTATACGATATCACATAATTACTCTCGTATATTTTACCGCCATCATGAATCCTATAGGTTATAATCATACCGATACAGTGATTCATAATGTTATATCCATTCTTAACGCTACAGTTGCCTTCGTAAATGTTACCCTTACAATATATTTTATGCTTATTTTCTGTATTATGAAGTCTCTTTGTCTTATGTAAGCAACGAGAGAAATGTCAAGATTCTTCTTTTCTTTTTGGTTTCCTAATTGGTAAGAAGACAGGGTAATCCGAAAAGGAGGTGGTTTAAGAATTTGTAGCACGTGATATATTTATCACGTGACTATAAAGAAAAAAGCCTGACATATGCCGGGTAACAAGTCTTCAAGGTTTGAGTTTTTTCCGTCAAAATCTGTTAAAAGGGGAAAAAAGGACTTCAAATATTGATAATATATCTCTATTGCAACAGTTTTATAAAAATGAACTGACAAAAAAGGTCAAAGTACTTCCGAATTGTTCGATTGACAGACAGCTGCCCATTGAGATTTTGATCTTGATATTAGAAATATTGTTTGGAAAATTGAGTCTGATCCTTTCCCTTCAGTTTTTCATTAGTTCTCCAGGATTCATAAACTAGTTTGATATTTTCTTTTGCTCTTTATCCTAACCATTGACAGTTTAATTTGTAAGAGAGAACAAGAAAAAAAATATAATCAAACACAAAAAAACAATTATGCAATCTATCAGCGGTGGTTCTAATATCCCATCGATATCTAATAATGATATCTCTAAATTCTCTCAATTGTTCGATAGATCAGCAAATGGGTTAAATTATTTACCAGGTGATAAAGCAAAAGATATATTTTTAAAGGCAAATTTAGATAATGCAACATTAGGTTCTATTTGGGCATTATGTGACCAAAACCAAGATGGTACTTTGACTAAGCCTGAATTTATTATGGCAATGCACTTGTTACAATTAACATTATCTAATAATCCAGAAGTTAATCCACTGCCTTCACAATTGCCTCAAGAATTATGGAACTCAATTCATTTGCCTAATGGTACTTCTCCAATGGTGACTCCTACATCTCCTTCTGCCGATGTAGACTGGATTTTGCCGCAAGATCAAAAAGATCAATTTGATAAAATTTTTGATTCTTTAGATAAATCAAATGAAGGTAAATTATCTTCTCAAGTTCTTGTGCCATTTTTCTTATCTTCAAAGTTAAATCAAGATACATTGGCGACTATTTGGGATTTATCCGATTTACATAATCATACCGATTTCACCAAATTGGAATTTGCTATTGCTATGTTCTTAATCCAAAAGAAAAACTCTGGTATTCCATTACCTGAAACTTTACCACAACAACTATTGAATTCACCTTCTCTAGCAATCGCTGCTGCTACTCCTCAACATGGTATCCCAGCCCAACCAGTTCAAACTCAAATACCACAACAACGTGTACCAACCAATACTTCTATTTCTTTACCAGCCAATGCTTCTATTCAACCAAACGTAAATATATCAAATACTGTTCCAGCTACTATTTCCAGATCGGTACAACCAGCTGACAATAGCACTAGAGCAAATCAAGAACTTTCTCGTATCAATGAAATGAAAGCTTCAATTGAGTCTAAGTTGTCAATGTTACAAGAAACGCATAAACAAAATATTGCAGAGACAGAAGAATTGGAAAGTAACGTCGCTGTGGCAAAGAGGGAAGTCGAAGCATTAAAGCAACAGCTTGCTATGTTAGAAACGAATAATAACGATAGTAATAATAAAATCCTAGAACTAAATCAAAAGCTAACCACCTCTAGGCAACTAAATAAAGAATCAAAAGACAAAATACAATATTTTAACAATATGATTGAAGTTTCAGGGGGCAAATTAGAAGATAATAAAATTAAGCTAAAGCAAGAAAACTCTATGGTTGATGTCAATACTAAGCAATTAGAATTGAACCATAATTCTTTGAGCACATTAACTTCCGAATTACAAAATATGTCGACCTTTTTGGTTGCATATCTTGCCAAACATAAAGAATTAGGCGAGAACCAAAAAAGTGTAGAAAACCAGCATTCTCAATTGCAACTAAAATACAAAGCATTGGATGACCAAAACAAAGCATTAGTCGATAAAGACAACGATTTGAAGAAATATACTTTGGATATTGAAGCCCAAGAAAAGGAATACCATGCTAAGGTTGACCGTTTACAATCTTTATTTGATGACTTGTCAAAGAAGAAAATGCTTTTTGAACAGGAGAATGAGCTCTTAAAGAAGAAGAATTTAGAATATGCACAAAACATCCAATCATTGTCTGAAAGACAAATGAAGTTGGCAATGGGTGAGTTACCAGATGACGCTGATGATGTCTTGAAAAATGCAAAGGCTTTTTCCACTACAACTGATAAATTGACTACTACAGACGATGGAGATAGAACTGAAAGTGATGTCTTCGATAAAGATGTCCCAACAGTTGGATCCCAAACTGAAGGTGAACCGGAAGATGAAACTACTGTACATGTAAATGCAGCAAACCCATTAAATGACCGTTTCGATAGCGATATGACTGAGTTCAACATCCCAAGAACACAATCTTTAACATCTTCTGTAGCAAATAATCCTCCATTATCAGTTAGAGATGATGTCGAAATGCCAGAACTTGGTGATCCACTTGAAGAAAATGTAGCAAATTCTGAGGTTATGTCCGAGACTCCAGCCGAATGGAATACCTCTCAAGCAGAAGCAAATGGTATCGCAGGTACTTCAAATGGTGCTGATAGAGAATTAAACCTATCTGATAACATTAATGAATTAAAAGGAATCAGTTCGAAAAATGGGTACCCAAATATTGATGAGGAGTTCCCACCAATTCGTGAACTCGATGTTGACGAAAGTGATTCTTCAAGTGATGAAGATAACAATAACGTCCAGACTAGTAATATGGGAGAATTGAATGATGAGTTTGCAGATTTAGAATTGGCACCATTAGAAGATGGCGATGCTGATAATTTGCAGAGTAGATCTGTTCCACAACCTGAGCTGTCAGTTCCAGCACCTCAGCCTGTGTCTTCTAATCCAACAACCGAAACTGCTGGAATTTCAAATGATGAGTGGAATCAAGTGTTTTCAGGATTGGGCAGTTCCTCACAACCAGATGTGGTCCAAGGCACAAATACATTGCACACACCAACAGTTCCTGTCATTGATAGAAAGCTGGCAACCACTCCAAAATCTTTAGCTATTGAAGAGTTATGTGGTATGGGATTTACTGAAGATGAAGCTGTTAAAGCATTAGAGAAGCATAATTGGGATTTGGATGCCGCAACCAATTTCTTATTAGATAATGCTTGATGGTTTTGTATAGTGATCATTCATCATATATATGCGTTGTAATATTTTGTGAATAAAAGAGTTATGAGTACAGTGTAGTAAAAAATATAGTATTTGATTATTTCAACTTTTGGAGTTGGAGAAATAACTATAATGTATAGTTAGGACATGCTATTTAATGTTACAAATTTTTATATAGGAATATGCACTATATTCATCATTCTTCAACAAGTTTCTTGTAATTCAAGAAGCATGTCATTCAGACCTTGAAGTAAAACTTCATCTGGAGGAGATTGAATATGATCGCCTAGGTGTGTCTTATACACATTTCTCAATTCTTGTCTTTCTAATTCTATTTCATCCTCTAACTCTTTAATCTGATTCCCAAGTTGTTCGTTTACCTCATTAATATGGTTTAGCTTTTCGTCTAACTCTTCAATTGCTTTTAACCGTTGACCATGTAAATTACACTCAATCAGTTGTCCACAAGTCAACTGATCAATCGGTATAGAGTTATCTGATAGTGCTGTTTCATCTTGACCGTTGTCTAGTCTTTTTTTAGCTTCAATTATCAGATCATCTAAATCATCTAATTTTATTTTAACCTGCCTCTCTTCTACAATCTCATTAAATTCACGTTTACACAATTCAACCCAAAACTGAGATACCTGTTCTTGACAAGTCACCAAATTCTGGGCACCTTCTCTAGTCTCTGAATACTCTGGGAAACATGACTTTATTTTATCCCAATTTTGTAATTTAAGTAACGTTTGACTTATAGCCTTATTAAAAACTTGGCAAAACCTAACATATCTGATCTTTTGGTCGTCTGACATACTCAATACTATTAAGAATACCTCAAACAATAACTGAATATCTTGTTAGTTCTGTAATTTGGCCTCTTTAGACTCCTCTTCTCTTCTAGTTCCCGTTTGATTGATGATTGATTGTTGATTGTTTTGATATTTAAATCAAGCGTTTGTTGATATTTAAAGAATTGATTGATATTTAAAACTCGATGAGCTGCCTCAGTTGGTTGATAAACAAGCAAGAACAGTTTGGTTTCAATTGCAATATATCAATAATGATATTTACAATGTGTTCTGGAGGGTGATATTGAAGAGAGATAAGTATTTCTATATTGCTACTGAAACGTTTAGGCTTTTTTTTTCCATATTTGATTGCAATTTAACAATGAAATTGGTAGTTTATTTTATTGATCTATTTAATACTATTAATATTATTATACTGTTATAATTGAGATGATATAATGGAATGCAATGATGATGAAATCATTAGTAGGAAGGCATCATGTATTTACATCTGTATATCGAATTAATTTATTAGAAATTTTAGTTGAATAATAATGAACTATTCCAATCATCTTTTTTATTTGTTGGTTGATTGTTCAGAAACCTGAACAATCTTTAATCAAGATGAAATAAGCACGATGTTCATACATGTGTAGCCAATCTTGAACATATTCAAAGGTATTAGGTTCAAAACCAGAATAATCGAAAGCCGATGTACTCTTTCCTCTATATTCCAAATCTTCAATTAAATGAGGCAATTCAATTTTTTTAATAAATATTTCCAAACCAGCTGAATCATAAAATGGTGGAACCATTGGAATATAATCTTGATTATGGATAATTCTAAAATAACCACCACGGTACATCAGTTTACCTGCTTTTATCGATTCTTCATGTATCCTTTCAGTATGGAACAATTTGTCTATCCATGCCTTTAGACTACCATTGAAGATTCTTGGCATGGCATAAGTGAAAACTGTTGGTTCATATCCTCTTAGTTTCAATTCAATTGCAGCAATGCTTGCCATCGCTGCACCCAAAGAATGCCCTACTACTACTATATTATAAGTTGGATATGTTTCAAAAATCGAATCAACTTTATGTAAGAACTGTCTTCCTAAAGTTTCTCTAAATCTGTAAAAACCTCTGTGAATTTTACAATCCTCACAAGCATCTATTTTACCGCTTTCAACAAGGTTGTTGTATTCAGCTAGGGACCCAGGAGCATAATTTGTTGGGAATATTTGGAAATCGTTAAACCAATCTTGTCTCGTAGAAGAACCTCTGAAAGCAATGATAATTACATTTTTAGGATGATCTACGATGACATAACCTGTCCCCATTTCACCTCTATCGGCACTCAACACCATTTCAACATGGGTATTGTTTACAGTAGGGTTGTCTTCTTCTGCAGAACAGAATTTCAAATGTTGTGGACATCCACCTTCACGTAAAGTCTTATTTTGAAATAATAATCCGTCAGAGATACAATTAGTCATACAGCATGCTTTGCTAAAGTAAACCAATCTTTCATATAGATCTTCATCAATCTCTACTCTTTGGTTTTCTTTTCTTGCATATTGGTTCGAATCTTTACAGTAATCATTCTCTCCAGTACACGATTGAAGCTCGTCTGTAGTAAACTCAGTACTGACACCAGTACTGACACCAGCACCCACACCAGCATACTGTTTTCCCAATGCTTGAATACCCTCGTCAGAATTCAAATGAGAATCTGCTGGATCGACGTTGCTCAATTGATTATAATCGTTATTATCAATTGTGACATCTTGATTTGTGCCAGCAACAGTAGTAGTGAAATGAATAATCGGTTCTGTAATATTCACAATCCTGACTTCTTCAGCCTCATCCATTAATGATGTAGACCTGGCTAAAGCCACGAATGCCAATGTCAAATAGAGAGCTCTCCTAAAGGCCATTATTGTTCCAGATGCTATGCCAACCTCTTTATTTTGAAGTTCTTTTTTCTCTTTCCTCAGTTGATCAAGGAATGGATGGTTCCATCAATAAGAGAAAGATATAAAACATGTTTAAGGAACTAGAACCAGAGGGAACTGATCCAGCATGCCAACACATGTATATTTATACCAATGGTATCCAATAGAATGTGTTGTTCCCCTTGTACCTTAACTGACACAAAGAGTTTCTCTTATTTGTGTTGTTTCATTGGTGACAGAGAGTGAGAGAGACAGAGCCTTCTTGTTAAAAGCAAAACGTCTCGACGTATTTGGTTCCCATAACTTGCTTATAAACAGACCATTGCTAATTGAAGAGAGATGGTGATGTATTGCTGGGGACTTCGATGACTATTGGATTGAACTGAACTGATTGTGATCAAGCAAACAATGTGAGACTACAGAGTTCAACTTCAACATCCCAATTGTCGAAGTACGGAGAGGATACGATTCAATATCTTTTAAGATCAGTAGTTCTAAGTTTGCTGAAATTGTAGTCCCAGTTGCTATTCTTGTGACTTTTACCAACTCATCGCTTTAAAAAATAAACCACTAATGCCAAGTCAAGCATATCTCTAAAATCACAACAAACTTTGCTCAATATAACAGTTTCACATCTTCAGTTTGCTGGTTCGCAATGTAAACCTAAGCTCTAAGTTCAACCAACTTTTATTGCTGTCACCATTGCTCTCTTTCTTTCTTTCTCTGCTTTTGCAAAAATTTCACATTATGAAGTCATCGCTGAGCTAAAACCAACTCTTGTCTTGTATTCTGTGTGTATATGCGTGTTTGAAATGAAAACAGGATTCTTTAACAACTACCATCCATTAAAATTCGAATTGAGTCAAGAGAGTCCAAGTCCATTGACCAATTTATGTATATAGCCTTACCTTAATCTTAGTCCTAGTCTTATTATGGCAATTTGTTCTTATACAGTGCGATTTCAATATTAAAGGCCAAATCCGTTTTGAAAAAAGTTGCTTAAATAGTTACAACAATTGAATTGATTTATTGTTAGTTACTTAAGATAGTTTCAGTTATATAAGTTATTACAATCAATAACAAGACATCGAATATTGTATAAGGTTATAATATGAGTTTGTATGTATATGTTTCCCGTTGTCGTTTGGGTTCTTTGATGATCCCCATGGGGCAATTTGTCGAATCTATAGTGTATTGGAATATTTCTTTTGACTAACATAGGGGATGAGATGATTACAAGTCGAAACTTTGTAATTTGATTGATCGATTCATCTGCTTTATATTCAGTTGGACAGTAGTAGTTACCTTTGTCATTGTGTCGTTAGCGTCTGCCTTATTCTGGGTATTTGCACCTAAACAAAACCAAACGTATGTATAGTTTTTATTAACAGTTTTAAGATGAAGATCGAGACAACGTTCGAGATCGAGATCAAGAGCAAGAGCATAAGAACCTCTGAATGATTACTAACAAGGCATGGACATTTGATCCATTTTCAAATCTCAACAGTGTTTGGAGAAGTACAGTCATATTATCACTAGCGATGATGTATCTAATGTGGGCCATTACATATCTATGTCAGCTGCATCCACTAGTGCAGCCACGTCGTTCAGACTTGAGACCTGAACTAGTAGAATAGAAACACAACCCCATTATTCTATCCCACTCCCTCTTAAAATCAATTCATCCAAACATTTCATTTTCAAAAAATGATACAAACTTTTATATATAAACTTTTTATCTACCTTCTCTATAGCATCCAATGATGTATAACGTTATATAACTCAAATACAGGCCATTTAATACAATTTACAACACATCCCAACCCATTCTGATCCCCATCTTCACCTCATCTATCCTTATTACTTAACCACCACCTCATTTGAACCTTTTGGCATCAGAATGTTCCATTGTATTATTATTGCATTAACAATGCATTTTTAAAAACAAAACTTTCATCATCACCATCACCAATGGAAACTACCTTTAAAAGTTATAATAGAAGTTATAGTCGATGCATACAAAGGTAATCTACATTTGATTATCAGGTGAATTGAATTTACATTGGTTACGTTATCGAGATATTAGTTTTAGTGGGGGTGTTTGCTGTAGTTTCGTGTCTTTTGGTATTTTGATCATTCTGCAAGGGTAGATAAGTTTTGATTATTCAAAAACACATAAAAAGATAAACCAGCATTGTATTGTAGTTGATTAGACTAACTTATATCAGTTCAAGCCAAGCTAAATCGAATAGAATCGAACCGAATTAGACTAGATTAAGTTGGATTATATTATATTAAAATTAAATTTGGATGTTCAATATTAGGTATTCGTAAATTGTTTTACATTTTAGACTTAATATACATATATATTTGAAGGTTAACGGTTAATTGATACACTTAAAAACTGGAGGGAGTGGACATATCGATTGATTGATTGATTGATTGATTGATTTATAGATAGAACCATACACGATTTTATTTGAAAGATAAAAAAAATTAATCATAACATATCATTGACCAAGAAACAGTTACGTATAACTGCCAATTGTAAAGGACACACATCTAGCTTTTACTCTTTTAATAGAGATGATTAAAATTATTTCAGAGATTTTATCATATGTACTTATTTTACGAGGATTCCTTTTAAAATTTATTGCAATTTTATATCGAATAATTTTAATAACTTTTTATTACCTTTATTCATTCACATCATGGGTTTATACAAATAGTTTCCAAAAAATAGTTCAATTATTGGATATATTCCTATTAACTCCATTTATAATTATATTCAAGAATATAATTCAATTGTTTATGTTACCCATAAATATACCATTGAAATTGTTTATGGGTATTACATTTAATGATATCATATTTAATGTCAATACTTGGGAAGGTATTTATATTTTAATCACTATGATACAGTATACAACAGTTTTATTAATATGTGGCTGTATAATCGGTTTAGCATTCGGTTCAAGTTTAGCTGTAATTCATTCTTTTATTAAAGTACCCAGCATTTATATTGACGTTCCAAAAATTATATGGGATTATTCTCCTTCATTAAGACCAAGATTACAAAAATTAATTACTAATATTTTATTATTTTTCAAAAGTTTTATAAAGATACCGTCATTTGCTAAATCTTATTATCCACCATCACCTGTACTATCAACAACAGATTTTAATAATGATGACATTGAATTGGAAGATTTGGAACCAACCCTAATTAAAAAGCCAAATTTGTCAAATTTTGATAGAAAATCAGTTTCTTCAAAAGAAGAAGCTTTAGAAATTGCATCTCTACTACCAAGTGACTTCTTTCAAAAAGAAGAACCTATTGTTTCAAAAACTCCTCAAAAGAGAAAACAAAATTCCTATACATATTATCATACTCCTATTCAATCTCCTAATAAGAGCGACATGTATGATGAAGAAGTTTCATCACTTTCAAATATTTGGGATCAATTCGATGATATACCGACAACTTTAAGAACAGATGGTGGAATGACAACTTTAGTCAGTAATATTAATGATTCGATGTCAACAAATAGAGATACTATAAGTATAAGAAAAGTTAAAAATAAAAAATAAATGTGTGCATGTGTGGTTTCAACTTTATCCATATAGTCATATATTACTTTTTCATGAAATTGCATCAATACAATTCTAAGTATTTCAGTTTATCAACTGTATTGATGTGTTTAGCATTTAGATAAAGCCTTTCAGTTTTAAATAATTTAGCAAAAAAACGTACTATTACAGTCATAAAATTTTCATTTTATAGATATAGGTGAATTAACTAGAAGAATTCAGACATATTACAATATGTTACGCTTTACAACAAATCATTCCATAGTAATGGATATAATAATGGCATATATACGATGGTTGCACTTATAGATCAACTAGATAATTTTTTTACTCAGAATTTATGATAGATTGTAATAATAATAATTACTATATATTTACTCTTGATTTCTTAGGGATTGAATCGATTATCCTCAAGTCGACAACATACTGTTTCATTAAATATAATATTTGTTGTGTTAAAGTATAAATATGAGTGGAAGGGAGCACCGCACCCAGCCAACATACAAAAAGCAAGGTATGTAAAAAGTAATAGATTAATTTAAGCAATTAATTTGGTAATTTATTTAATCCTCTTAGACAACCGCATTATTAATAATTACTTTTCGTCAGAAATAGTAACCTCACTTGAAATAACATACATTAATTTAATACATTATTAAGGGACATTAATTTTAAAATTAATAAGACACTTAGACAAAATACTGGAAAATAATTATGAGTGGTAGAGTGGATTGGACGAGTGCTTTCCCAGCCACTTCTTCAAACATATTGTATCAGTGCAGTAACGCTGACACTGACAGGAAACCCTTTTTTAACGAGTTATCAAGAAGAATGAAATTTTAACTAGGGAAGTGAAAAATAATTAAATAATAATACACATAAAATATTAAGCAAAACAATTTTCATTTAAATTACAACATATCAGTTCTACACAATGTTTAACTAGTATTCAATCAAGACACTTGATGCGTATTTAACCAAACCTAACTATCTGTGAGAGAACACTGGCTGTGCCAGCATTATTTAAGAATAATACAATAGTCTTAAATGATACCAGAGAAAAATTAAGGTTCCATTAATTGAACAATATATTTAGTTGCAAAAAAATAATAAATTTTATGAGCAATAATCAATTTTGAATGAACCTCAATAAGTTTCAGTTGCTGTCATGGGTTTCTCTACTTATCTGCCTTGCATATTCATATTCCATGACAATTCGATAGCAAAATATTATCCTTAAATTATGTTAACAAGCATAATTAAAATGAATGGAAAAAAAATATGAATATAAATATAAAACTACCACCCAACGAGTACACTTACATAACTCTGTAAACTCTATAATACAATTCTTTTATAATCAATTAATCTAACTCCATTAGCTTTTAACCCAGTTGAATCGCTACAACTCTAAAGTCGTAACTAGACCCTTAACAGAAAATCCAATAAAATATCTACAAGATGGTAAAAATTGCAATTATTTCATACTCTATGTATGGACATGTCGATACCTTAGCTCGTAAAATTAAAGAAGGTATTGAATCTGCAGGTGGTAAAGTTGATTTATTCAGAGTCGAGGAGACACTTCCACCAGCAGTGTTGGAAAAGATGCATGCAGTTCCAAGAGATGAAACTATTCCAATCATCGACAATGAGACATTAGTCAAATATGACGCCTTTTTGTTAGGTATTCCAACAAGATATGGTAATTGTTCTGCCCAATGGTCTGCATTCTGGGATAAAACAGGTGGATTATGGGTTCAAGGTACATTAGCCGGTAAAGCTGCTGGTATATTTGTTTGTAGTGGTACTTATGGTGGTGGACAAGAAAGTACAGTTAAGAATAATTTAAGTTATTTAGCCCACCATGGTATTGTTTTCATTCCATTGGGTTATAAAGAAACCTTTGCCGATTTAGCTAATTTGGATGAGGTCCATGGTGGTTCACCATGGGGTGCTGGTACATTGGCTGGATCTGATGGTTCTAGAGCACCATCTGAATTGGAATTAAGATTGGCTAAAATTCAAGGTAAGAGATTCTATGAAATTGTGAACAGAATGTTTCCCGAGACATTGAAGGATAGTGCTAAGAAGGCTGTTGCAGGTAATGCAGCCCAAAAGGGCCAACAACAAGGCCAGGGCCAAGCACAGGCAGCTCAACAATCCGGGAAACAAGCAGTTCAGCAAGGCAAACAAACAGCCACTAAGGCTGCAGAAGACAAAGGATCCCACTGCTGTACAATAATTTAAAAGGAGAAACAAACCTTTAATGAGCTTATAGCAGTTTCTCTTCTGTTAAAACAAACCTAAATGTTTCTCTTTATTTCTATTTTCTCTTTCAACCTTAATTTAGTCTAATATTTTATTTATCCCAATTTTATTTCTAACAAATAATATAATATAATTTAATTACATTCCTTATTGATATATACTGTTTCATCGTTCTTCAATCACAATAATTGCGATAACATTTGCAATTGGAATTGTCATTTGGACAGCTAGGTGTCACGTCACTGACACTTTCTAAAAAATATAGGCGAGTGAAATATTTCTATGTTTTCAAGAACTCAATGGCCACACAATAACGAACTATAAATTAAACAATTTTCAAGAGAACTAGAGAAACCGTTAATATTAAGCTTGTTAGTCTCTTAGTGAACGATAACTTCTTTATAAATCGATTATCTCTTTACCTCTCTATATATATACGTATGCATATCATCTGATACTCACGTGATAAGTTCCATTTCTTTTTTTCGACCACCCAACCCATCTTGTAACTTCTCACGAAACAAGAATTCCAAAACATGCCCGTATTAAACGATTTCCCACAAAAAAAGTTGAAATCGATTTAAAACACGAAATCTGATCCAAACAAGAACAAGAACAAGTTTGATTCAGATGAAGTATTTAATATATAAAAGGTTTGATTATTCACTGTTTATTGGAATTGTGATCATCTGAAGGCTGAAATTGGTTATAATTGGGCAAGTTTAGGTGCTTATACAAAAAATAAACGAATTTTTTTATTAGTTCTGTACGTGGTTTAGGCGTGGCATTATTTTTTATTTACCTCGTTACTGTTTAAACAATCTCTTCATTTATTTAGACCATTAGATCCATTCTAATTGTATCCTATTGAAAAAAGACAACATATAGTTGAATATACAAGACACACAATAATATCATTATGTCAACAGATACAGCTTCAGTTCACCCTGTCTCATATGTCGGTTTTGATACTATTACAAGCCAGATCGAAAACCGTTTATTGAAGAAAGGGTTTCAATTCAATATTATGGTTGTCGGCCATTCTGGTTTAGGTAAAAGTACATTGTTGAATACATTGTTTGCTTCCCATTTGATTGACTCAAGTACCGGTGATGACATTACAAATTTGCCAATTACAAAGACTACTGAGATTAAAGTCTCTACGCATGTTTTGCAAGAAGATAGAGTTCGTTTGAACATTAGTGTCATAGACACACCAGGTTTTGGTGATTTCATTAATAATGACAGAGCTTGGGAGCCAATTGTTAAATATATCAAGGAACAACACTCTCAATATTTGCGTAAAGAATTGACGACTAACCGTGATAGACACATTCCAGACACCAGAGTCCACGCTGTTTTATACTTTGTTCAACCAAACAGTAAAGGCCTAACTCCATTAGATGTCGAGGCTTTAAAAAAATTGACTGAAATTGCTAACGTCATTCCAGTTATTGGTAAAGCTGATTCATTAACTATAGATGAAAGAAATAGTTTCAGGGAAACCATTCAAAATGAATTTCACAAATATGGATTTAATATCTATCCATATGATTCCAGCGATTTAAGTCAAGAAGAAATAGAACTGAATGAAAATATAAGGTCTGTAATTCCTTTTGCAGTAGTTGGTTCAGAAAAGGAAATTGAAGTAAATGGTGAAAAATTCAGAGGTAGAAAGACACGTTGGGGAGCAATTAATATCGAAGATGTTGAACAATGTGAATTTGTTTATCTAAGAGAATTTCTAATGAGAACACATCTACACGATTTAATAGAATCCACAGCCTTCATACATTATGAAGCATTCAGAGCTAGACAATTAATAGCATTGAAAGAAAATGCTAGCAATCGTAACTCAGCACCAATGGCTCAACGTTAAAAAAACAAACAATAACATCATTAAAGAGAAAACAAAATTAAAACTAAAACACTTCTAAACAAAAACTAACCACTTATTTGTCAATTTTTTATCTAAATTATGTAATAAGTCAAGCTACCTGTTTCTTTTTTTTTTTCTTCTGGTTAAATCACTTAACTATGTGTCAAACAAAAGACAATAAGACATTACTCTAAGTATTTATATGGTTCTGTTCAAAAAGAAAGAAAGAAAACAAAAAAGAAATTATTGAAATAAAGCAATAGACATAATAATAAACAATTTTTAGATCCTTATGAAACCCCAAACCCTCTTACTCTCTTACTCTTTAAACCTTATTCAAACCATATTTCGAAGCATTTTCCTTTATCCTTGTCCATATTTCCAAATATGGAAACCATATAATGCATAAATCGAATCGAAATTACAAGACTGCTTACTATTGGAAAGAGGAATCTTCAGGGCAAATTCTAGAACAGAAAAAGAATTTCATAACATCATAGTGACGCTGGATAAATGAACTTCATATCTCTATAAGAACTTGAACTAATTATAGACTGACGTTTTTTCAATATTGGCTTGGCTTACATTATAATTGAAAAAATAAATGAATAAATATATACTCACCAGATTTTATATATATATATATACATTATCTTATATATCAAGCAAAAAACTAACTAGTCTTAACATCAATACTAGTACTATTTATTAGTTACACATTTAAGTAGTTTTTAGATTCATATATAACTCTTGCTATTGATTTTACACTCTACTTTACATACAAATATAAATATAGATATTAAAGAGGAACAATCGTTTGTTAAAGGTTAACTTATTTCACAGATCATCGCCGTTATCAAGCACTATCAAAAAAGAGAAGAAGCTGTGGGCCAGAGATAAAAGATAGTTTTGATTTTAACAAGACGTTAAATAGTGGTTGTCTCTTAAATCTGCAACTAAGTTGAGCAGCTTATTTCTTTGCATCTCTGTTTAGATTAAACTCTTTTTGAAGGCTTGTTTTTTGTTATACATACACGGTTATATCTGTTAGAAAGAGGTACAAGATGAGTTTATCAAAGAGACCATTGTCTGAGGAAAGTGGGAACCAAGGTACTAAGTGGAGACGTTCTTATAGGGCATGTGTGAATTGCAGGTCAAGAAAGATTAAATGTGATTTAGGCCCACTTGATAATCCACATAAACCTCCATGTGTAAGATGTAAGAGAGAACAAAGAGAATGTATATTCCCAGTAACTAAAAGAAGAGATGTTACTGCAAAAATTAATAACATGAAAGGTAGTGAACTTGAAAGATCTATAATATCTTCGATTTTACCTGATGTAGATAAAAAATCATTGAATGGAGGCGGTTCTGCAGGTTCAGATTTAAAGCAAAATAATATAAGGAAAAAACCGACTGATTCGAATTGGCAATCTGACATCTCTACAATGCAGACTGCTTTAGAGTTTTTGGCTAATGCAGTGGGGGTTATTTCAAAGAGTGACACGAGAAGTCTATTAAATTTAAATCAAAATAATACTTTAATTGAAAATGAGGACGCAGATGATAGTAATCCAAATAATGACAATAGTGAAGATGTTAGTAGAAGCGATTCAAATACACCGAAAAGTAGAAATTCTATTTTCTCTTTAATACATGATGATACTGCTTCAAAGGTAATATCTCCATTGATGGGGACTATTGAATCAATTCGTCCTAAACCAACAAGAAATTTGTCAGATATTGAATACATTGGCCCAAACAAATTATTAACTGAAGATGAAGCTAGAACACTAATAAATGTTTTCTTCTTAACTATGCATCCATATTTCCCATATATTCCTTTACAATTACATAATCCAGATGAATTGGTGCGGTATCCAATTTTATTATGTGCTATTCTGACTGTGTCATCAAGATATAATTCATTTAATGAAATATTTATCAACAACGAATATGAAAAAGATAGAAATATCGTTGTCCATGAAAAGTTATGGTTCTATTGTCAACGACTTATTTCAAATACTATTTGGGCAGAAGCCAGCACCAGATCAATTGGTACTATATTGGCATTTCTATTATTTACAGAGTGGAACCCAAGAGCAATTCATTGGACCTGGTCTGATTATGGTAATAATCCTGAATTAACGTGTTTTACGAAAAATAATGAAAATAATATGTCTGAATTTAAAGGTGAGAAGACAACAGGGTTCGAAGCTATGAGACACAGTGACAGAATGGCATGGATGTTTACTGGGAGTGCTGTCAGGCTAGCTCAGGATATGCATTTCATTGACAATAATTATAAAATTTTTATGGCAACACACATATCTGAAACATTCAATGCAATGAACGTTAACCAACGTTCTACTCTTTCCGACTCATTAAGTAATATCAACTTATCAATCACCCGTAGTCATGGTAAAAATAATGATGATGAAGAAGGACATATATTTGCAGAAAATTTTGGGAACGAACAATACTACTTAGAACAAATACTAAAGCATGATAAAAGTAAAGAAAAATGGATTAAGTTTTTAAAAGAGATCAATTCAAATAAATCTAGTGAAAATTCTACAGTGATTACCGACGCTGAAAGAGAATATTTGAATGATGAATACATCCTATATTACCAAAACAACAACCCTGAAACACAACCAACTTGGGGAAACCATAGTGTAACATCCACTTCATTACCTTATCCTTTAAAGTTCGCTAGCTTTCATAAGGCTAAAATTGAAATTTTGAGAATCATGTCTATAGCATATGAGACCATTTATTCTGCTAAAAATAAGAGAGTATTGGCCTTCAACAATCAAAGGCAAAATTTAGCCGTGTTAAGTATATTTTCTCCATTGATTGAAAGTTGGTATAGTAATCACCATGGCCTATTAAAACTATTCGAATGTGCACCTTGCGACATGTCTAAATATAAAGATAAAAATACAGTCCAGAAACTTTCACAAGCGATTGAAAAGGAAAGTTTGATAGGAGATTATTACTACTGCCAGCTATATATTTACTCATTGGCCTTGAAAGTTGATATAAAGGATAATAATTTGAATTTAAGTGAAATTACAAAGAGTGCAAAGTATGTTTATATGGCTTACAATGCAGCAAAGGAGATATTGACATCTGCGGTCAGAGTCAACAAGCTAAAATTGTTAAGGTATTTGCCTGTTAGATGGGTTACAAGAATCCTAAGATCTGTTGCGTTTATTGTTAAATGTTTCTTGCTTTTAACAGAAAGTGAAACTTCTGAGAATTCTGAAATAAATGCAATTATAAGGTTAAGTGGAATACCAGTAGATGAAGCCTTAGAATTGATCGAGACCACGTCTGTCACGTTAAATGATGCTTCCCCTGATGAGTTACATCTTTGTAAGAGATATTCATCCATCTTGTTGTATATGTGCAAAGAATTGAGGAATAAGACACAAAACCTTTATATGAACGAAGGTGTTGCAGCTAAACAAGAAAATGCAGATGTAAAAGTGGGTAACAAATCATTGGAAAATTTAAGCAGTATTGAAAATTCTCAAGAGCCAATTGAGCCATTTATAATGAACGAACACCCTCAAACCGAACTTCCAATAAATACAACAGAACAAATTGCCATAGTTGGAAACGAACATCATGGAATTGAACAAACACCAATATTAAACCCAAATTCAATGTCATTCCAAGGTGAAGTCATAGATTGGTTTTCATCAAGTGCTGATATTGGTCTAGAATTTGTTGAATCTTGGACAGAAATGATAGAACAAATGTATTTGAGAAGTAGTGATGGGGATCAAAACATCCATGTAAATAGTTTATTTGGACATATGGACAGAAACTAAAATGTATAAACTAATCTAAATAATTTGTTCAAACATATACCAGTTAGTAAAATAAACCCTAACCGTACTGACACTCATCTTATTCATCATGTAGCGTATAAAATGACACATAGACAACATTTTTTCATTTCTTTCGAAATCCATTGAAGCAAAAAAAATAATTGTATATAAAGAGGCAAGATCTTGATGATATTAGTTCTATTCTACTTTACACTTTTTTTATACAATTTAATTAATGTTTTTTCTTTTGATTGTTTTCTAAAAAGAGTAACTTTGTCCAAAAGTTTCCACCGCAATAGACAGTACGAGATTTGAGCTTTTTATTCTCACTCAGATTTATCGTGATAAGCGGTTTTTAAGGATAGATCAAATTGTCACTCATTAAGAACTCGAGTGGATTACGTTAGGCTTCCTAACTAAATGAGACTCGAGTGTCAGAGAGTGCCTATATTTTAATTAATCTTTTAAAGAGTAAAGTTATGTAATTCTGTTAAATCAATTTTATTTAGGAGTAATCTTATAAATACGAATAGGTGCAATTAATGGTTTAAATGTCAATTGTTGTTCCAATCTGTTCCCTTGGTCGTCTTCGTTAGTCGTTGTAATTATGGAACAATCAAGTCCCAATTCTAGACATTTTTTTTCGAATAGGTCTAGGGTATCTTCATTTCTAACTGTTGCACTTAGTAAACAGACTGCTGAATCATTAGATGATCGTTTAAAGCAATTAGATATTGTTTCACATAGGTCAGGAACCACACTCGAATCATATGTGACATCTGCCGCAACTATAAGATCTAAATCTAATGGCACATCATCAACGTTCCACCATAATTTTTGTAAGATCACCCTATCATTATGTGATAGTTCGTTTTCATTGAAGTTTTTTAATAATTGCCCTTCAACTAGTTGGGAGTCACCATCAGTAACATATATTTTATCAATGGAATCTTCATATTGCTTGCACAGACCAATACTTACTAGACCAGTGCCAGCACCTAGCTCCAAGATATTCTTCTTGCTCATCGTATCTAAATAACCAGTTTCTACGAAGAAAGATGTCATGAATAATGCAGCTTCCCATGTCCTGAACCCTGTAGTACCAGCTGCGCTGACAACATATGGTGTTTCTTCTAATTTAATTTTAATCGAGTCATTGAATCGATACTGAATAACATCTGTATTGGTAGGATCAGGTTGGCCCAGATTCAGAAGCCCAATGTATTTTTCATATAGCCATTCAGAAATATCAATATCATCCTCAGTAATGACCTTGATAATACCCTCAGAAGAGTCATCTAGCAAATCTATATTATCAGTTAATACTTTGATAATGTTCTTGATGTAGTAAGGATTAGTTGATGAAATTTCATGCAATTCTGTAATAAACCGTTCAGCATGTAGTACTAATGGAGTTTCTTGGTTATAATGAGTTTTGAAAAAGTTTATCAATTGGTAAAAAGGATATCTTTGACGTAAGAGGTCATATATCAAGTCTTCGCCACACTCCATTATACTATATCGCTCTGTATCTTCAATTTTAATCCTATTCTACCCCCTTCCTAAGTTATATCTACCTTTTTGACTATATTATATGATTTATAGGTGAAATTTTTTAACCAGTCAGGTACAGTTCAAAGGGCATCGCTTAGTAAGTGACCCTCTTTTATCCTGGAGAAAAGATCTAAATACAAACTAAGCATTGTTTAATATTTATTCGAGTCAGGAATTATTGACTCAATGCAGTATAGATAGAATAATATGATATGTCGCAGGATATCATACTGCTCTATCTATTTAATTACATATGTCTATTCTATATTCTATATTTCGTGATAATTCATACGTTTAGTGCTTCGTCAATTGCATGTTGAAATGCTTTTTGCAATTCATCTTGAGATTCAATACCAATGCTAACTCTAACTAAGCTTTCTTCAACTTCGTATTTTGCAACTTCATCTAATTTGTCATAATACATTAGCACTGTGTAGGGACATGATAACGTAAAATTTGTTCCCAACGATGGCCCCTTACTTAGGTTCAATTCATTGAAAAATATCTTAGCTTGTTCAATTTTGTTGAATGCCAATGAGAACAGACCCCCATAACCACCTTCTTCATCACTGTCCTTATCAATAGATTTACATCTAACGGCATCATAATTTACTTTGGACTCTGCGGAAGTGAGGCTTGGATAAAAGATTTTTTTGAATAATTTCGAAGGTCCTTCTTGTGCTAACAACACTTTCTTCAACAAAAACTCGGTATTTTGATTAGTTTTGATAGTTCTAGCAATAAAATCACGGGAATTTCGTTCTAGATAGATGGCGTCTTCACACCATAAATGATCTTCGTATTCTCCCAATTGACTCATGAAGACTTGAGCAAAACTGTAAAGCTTTTCTTGTGGATTCAATACCATTGAACCGGCAATAACGTTCGAGCTACCACTAAATATTTTTGTCAATGAGCTACAAACAATATCTGCATAAGGCAATACGTCAATATTGACAAAGCCTCCCATTGTTTCATCAATAATGATATAAAACCCATATAGATTAGCCAACCGCCTTAAATGTGCGAGATCTGGCATTTTTAATAATGGGTTTGAAGGTGTTTCAACAAAGACAGCTAATATTTGCTCTCCTGAATGCAATGTACATTCTAAATCTTTTAAAGAATTAGAATCTCCACATGCAAAATAATGCGTATGATTAAATTCACTTAGTATGTTTTTAGTATCATTATTTGAGAATCCAAATAACACTGTCTTCTTGTAGGGAGGACCATAACCTATCGATGCTCCTGTATTGATTGAATTGTCTGCTAATCCATTGTTAGTGTTAGTTGCAACATTTGAAGATGATCTTGAACGTTGTACACGTCTTGCGTCTAGATTTAGAAGAAGCCTATGTGCTGTAAATAAAGATGCCATACCACTAGGAAACAAAAATACATCTTTCTCAGCATCAATTCTCATGTTAGGTCTATTATTTTCGTTAATATCATTTGACACAGAAACGAAACTATTAATTGAGCTCAAATTATCGTTTGGGGTATCCATTTCAATCGGTTCTGGTGGAATGGTAGATATTATATCATGAGATCTAGGATGATGATCGTCGTCATTCATGGTATCCAAGAAATCTGTATTTATATCCAAAGTTGGATTCTGATGGTTATTCAAATTCAAATGGCTATCCAAATGGTAATTTTCGAAATCCTCCGCTTCCAATTCTATATTATCCGCTACTTTTGTTGCTATTCTTCTCTTGATCAAACCTTTAGCTCTATTTCCAAATGCAAAGTTTAAATTTCTGCCATATCTTGTTTCTATGTATTCCTCTTTATCCCTTTGTTCTAAATGCGTAGATCCTTTATTTGGAGATTTCATTGACTGACTGGACTTTTCCACTATAAAAAGTTCATGCAAGACATATTCCGCCAATCTGCTCGAGATAATTTCCCCGGTGTATTGCCAATACTGTTGTATGAATTTATAATATTTTTTATCCACGAACACAACTGCAATTCTGCATTCTTTTTTCCATCTTGCCTCCTCTATGGTGACTGGTTTTGAAGTTGCCAATTGTAAGATTCTAACTTTTGGTACTCTTAAAGCTTCCCTTGAAGACTTGATTCTGATATATTCACGACAACGCTTGGCTACTTTATAAGAAGGGAAACACAAGCAAGACTCATTTTCCTTCGCATATTTATCAGTAAGCACCTCACATAGCCGTTGTACTGACTTGTGGATATTAAACCTAGGATATCCAGTCTGCAGCCGGCTCAACAGATCAGAATCGCCCTTCGAATACGCTATATTATCTTCCCAAGTAGGCAAACACACGGATATAGCATGGCTTGTGTTAGGCGGAATCGATTGCCCTACCTTCGATGCTATCATACCTCTATCCAATCTTAACAGATGTGTAGTTCTATTTTCGCTTGCGTCGGTCTTAGTATTATTATTTTCCAACACCAATACCAATCCCAATGTATAATAATCTTATAACCTGAAACTCACCATACAATGTAACCCTAGATGAAAGCCCATAAAAACACACCACAACGTTCTAAGAATATCTTGTTTGAACCTATTTATTCAAACTATTAATATTAACAGCAGTGAAGTAATCAATAAATCGAGATTGAAAGAGACAACCACCCAATATCTTGTTTCAAAAAATAGAAAAAGACAGACAAAAATTTACAATACCAGCAAACAATCACACCAGCCAATAATTACGCAATTCTTACCACTTCAAACCAACAATTCTTCCCATAAAACCCATCTCTTATACATAAATGTATATATATATTATATTATATTGTATTATGCTATACTGTATGCCATATTGACTAACCTTTAATAATGGGCCATCTTTTGGGAATTATACCGTTTACGAGAGAGGGATATGCACCTCGTAGTTAATGATATATGATTACCGAGGGAAAAACAAATATATCCAAAATCACGTGATATCCGATTAGGCTTTAAAAATGGCGATGACCTCAATACCAAAACCTCTTTTTATAAGGATGTGGGCAGATATGGGTAATGGAAGTGGGGACAGCAAATGTTTAGGTGCATTATAAGGTGATATATCTGTCTAGGATTTCAGATTGATTTGAGCTTTTCGCAAGCGGAACTTCTTTTTTTGACTTCGATTTGAGGTTTCATAGTGATCAACAGCCAGATCGTCCACAACGGGAACTGCCAAACTAAGCTTTGTTCTTTGAACTTTGAGGTTCAGCAACGCAATGAATGCTTTTCGATCTAATTAATCCATTGTCGATGTGTTTCAGATAGATTTCCCCCAATTAACATATTTAAAAGCAGTGGATGTGTGCATGTATGTTTGGGATACCATGCGGGTCCATCTCTTTTCTGTTTGTATGGATCTCACTTCTTATGCTACAAGAGAGAGAAAGAGAGCCAAGGGGAGTTAGGTACTTTAGAGTTTTTGTATAATGTTTGTCCAAGCTGTTTTCATATTAGCATTGGCTTATTGTAGTACTTTGATTCTCTTCAAAGATACATTCCAATTGCCATTCCAATTCAGGGCAAGGAAAATAGATGCTGCTGCTGCTAAAGAATCAATTGAGCTGGCATTCTTGGACTCTTGGAATGATTATGTCAAATTTGGATGGGGCTTCGATGTGTATGGCCCAATTACTGGACGTGCTGATAACATGCCTCGTTCTGGTGATCCTCTAGGATGGATGATCGTCGATACGTTGGATACAATGATGCTGATGTATAACAGCAGTGTTAACCACAAGGATGAATTTTTGAAATCAATTGAACAAGTCGATTACTGGATCGAACATACTTTAAATTATGATATGGATTCAGAGATTAGTGTTTTTGAAACCACTATTCGTATGCTGGGTGGACTACTATCTTCTTATTACTTGGCTACTGAATTGAATGTAGGGTCCCCAAAAATGTATTTGGATAAAGCCGTTGATTTAGGTGATAGATTATCAATGGCCTTTGTCTGTACCGACTCTGGTATCCCTTACTCTAGTGTCAACTTGCATTCAGGTGAATGTATCAAAAATCATGTAGATGATGGTGCTTCTTCCACCGCTGAATTTACCACTTTACAAATGGAATTTAAATATTTATCCTTCTTAACCGGTAATGATACTTATTGGAAATTGTCAGAAATGGTTTATCCCCCACTATACAAAGTAAACGATTTATTGGGCGACAAATATTTGGGTTTGGTGCCTATTTATACATACCCTGACACTGCTAGATTCATGGGTGAATACATCAGAATGGGCTCTCGTGGTGATTCTTTCTATGAATATCTGTTGAAACAGTACTTATTGACCAAAGAAGATTTATATTACAAACTTTATAGAGCATCTATGAACGGTATGAAGAGAAAATTAGTCTCAAAATCAAACCCAAGCGGGTTTACTTATATAGGTGAAAGACCTTTTGGTATCAACAACGCATTTGTACCAAAAATGGATCATTTGGTTTGTTTCATGGGCGGTCTTTTGGCAATGGGTGCCACTAATGGTCTACCAATTACAGAAGCTCGTAACAGCAAATTTTGGAATAAAGATAGAGCTGAAGATTGGAAATTAGCAGAAGAATTTACTCATACTTGTTATCAAATGTACGCTCAAACTGGTTCAGGTTTAGCTCCTGAAATCGTTGTGTTCAATGACAACACTGAGTTTTTAAATAATGAAGCATCAAATGGTAATTGGTGGAAGTCCCCAACAGGTGATTTCTATATCAAACCATTGGATAAACATAACTTACAAAGACCAGAGACCGTCGAATCAATAATGTTCATGTATCAGTTATCTAAGGACGAAAAGTACAGAAGATGGGGTAAAGAAATTCTAGATAGTTTCCTAGAACATTCATCTGTCATTGATGAAGAAACTAAACGTCCAAAATATGTCAGTCTCTTTAACTGTGTCGATTTACCAACTCAGAAGAAGGATAATATGGAAAGTTTCTGGCTTGCTGAGACCTTGAAATATTTGTATCTATTATTTGAAGATGAGGTTGATCTTTCAAAGATTGTTTTTAATACAGAAGCTCACCCGCTACCTGTCTTAAATACATCTGACTTGAATTCAAAAAATTTAAAAACCGGCTGGTCCTTGTAATTAACTTCATTTTCCTTTTCTTAAATCAATTAATTACCTATAAGTACATATTTTAATGAAATATATCATTCTTTGTATATTTTTACATAATTGGCAGGGGCCTTTCTTTGAAGATAATTTTATATTCAAATATATCTTGCATCTCCACGGTTCCTGAATCATTATCAAACTTAAGCAGACCCAATGGAGTCTCCAATTTCACTACATTACCAAGCAATCTCTGCTTCTTCCCTACATATAATGTTGCAACCTTATTATCTGGACTGATGGTTAGCAACCCAAACCTTACTATATCTTCACCTTTGTATTGAGTAAATCTACTTAAGATCTCATCGGAAGCAGAGTCATCAGAGGGCCTAGACAGCGGAACCTCCAGATCACCTTGAATCTCAACAATTGTGTTACCAAGTGGTGTTGTCACAGTAGTCTGTTTAGTCTCTGAATGAAATAGTGTTTGCAACTGCTTTGTTGAAATACTAACTGATGGCATGTTGAATAGCTGAATAAAAAAAAATCCTAAAAAACCTCTATAAATTAATAACACTATCAGATATACATCATCCAAGTCACCAGCTCTTATTTTACCAATAAACAATCCTCTATCTGTACTTTATATAAATTGATTAATCTTCCTGTTTTATGTCAACTTCCATCGCTAAATTCCATTTACGTTAAATAATATAATTGAATATTAGAGCATATAAAGAAATAGGTACACATTAGTTTGAAGATGAGTATTTAGCTGTCTTTTGATGATAGTGAGGTTAAAGTGCATTTTGCAACTATATAGGTGTGTCAAGGTACTGGTTTTAGTTTATAGGTTATAATTGAGTGATGTTTAGTACGATTAGACGTTGGGCAAGTGGTTCTGATAGCGAAAGCCTTGTCGAAAGGTATACGAAGGACTTATCTCAAATTACTTCAAAGATTCATGATCTGGAGTTGACAATGAAGAAGAACCAAGCTAATTTGGATTATTGGCAACATGAGTTGACTTATTATGGTTCTGGGTTTACCATGCTGGTATTTGCGTACTGTTATTGGTATTTTAAAGATCAAAAATTATTAATTATTATAAGCGTCTTAGCTAGTATAATAGTGGTGATCTTTGCTAAGTGGAGTCTGATAAAGTTGAATAGTATAGTAAGAAATCGCAGAAACAAGCAATTGAGTGTATTACGTGGCTTACATCAAGAGAAATTAGAAAAATTGAAGGAAGACACTAATTTTAATGCCACGAATTCTATTATACAAAGGTTCTCTTCAGGTGAAAACCAAAGTGAGGATATGGTTCTGTTATTAAATGAAGAAATTAATGACAAATATAAAGAATTGAATGAAGTTAAAGAAGAATTAATCAGCTTGAAGAAGAATGATGCTATCATGAATGATAAAGAAGAAAGAGATAAATGGTTCGATAGAATTATTGGAATTGTAGCCGGTGGAAATGAAGTAACGAAGCCAATTGTATGTCCTAAATGTTCTAAACATTTTGGCCTCTTTAGAATGGATAGACCCATTAAATACAAATGCCCAGAATGTGGGAATATAATTGACGAAATCAATAATCAAGAAGTTAATAAACCATTCCCTATTACCCCTACTGACGACCCTGAGTCAGAAATAATAGAGAAACAATAAATATTGAACTAGAAATTACATTTATAACCTGTAGTCATAAGAATTATGTATGAATCTTATCTTTTAAAAACACATGGCATATACATTATATAATATTTAAAAGATTATATTGTCCACATCATATTTACTTGGACAAAGCCATGATAGCGTTGACAATGTCACCGTTGTGTTCTTTCAAAGCTTTGATGGCCTTGTTCTTAGAGACATTAGCTTGAGAAGCAACTAATTCGATATCTTCAGCAGATAAATCACCAGCATCAACTGGAGCTTCATCATCTTCTTCAGCAGCAGCAGCTGGCTTAGCAGATTCGTCACCAGCTTGGTCAGCAGCCAATTGCATGTCCTTTTGGATTTCTTCTGGGCTCTTAGAAACAGATTGGATCTTCTCTTGAGCAGCAGCTAATTTTTGGCTGAAGTTATCAATCTTTGCTTCACCAAAGACAACATAGTTACCACCTTGTGATCTGTAAACTTCTGGATTGTCAATAGCAAAGATTTGGTTGTCCTTCTTTCTGAAAGTGACTCTGTTAATACCAGCAATCTTCTTCAAACCTAACTTGCTGATCATTTCTCTAGCTTTCTTTTCGTTTTTGTTCAAAACGGTAACATTGGAACCTTCTGGGATAGCTGACATTGTTGTATGATATTATCTGTATGGATATTTTTATTTTCTAACGATTGAACATAAAAAGCTAAAAATAGGGAATCAATTGAACCCTATTCTAACACTAATAACCTCTTTTATCTTAAAACTATCCTTAATTAAAGTAACAATAAATTGTCCAAATTTCATTCAAGCTTTCGTCGTTGTCTCTCTGTTCGAACAAAAATTTTTCACTTTAAAATTTGTTGATATCTACACCTGAACACCACACTTGTAACTGCTGACTTAAAGGATTATTAAAAATGAAGAACTTTAATAGTCAACTTACAAGAAAGACAATACAAAGACGAATTTATTAGTGGGAATAAACGGTTAAAAACTTAGGAAATAGAGTAGCAACCCAATCAACAGTTATTAGGAACACTGTTTGATAGTTTGTTGTTTATCTATCTGCATCTTTATATATGCATGGATAAAAATCTTTGAATTTTGAGCAGAAGTAAGAGAATTGAATATAGGATTATAAACATGACAACAGAATATTCAATCCATTCCGCTGGTTCGTACATGCAAGCAATGCAGGCTATGATGCACTCAGTAGATCAATATGACATGAAAATTGGTGTTTCTGAACTCCCTGAGATAAATGGTGAAAGTGACGAACAAGTAGGTAAAACTACATTAATTAAATTGGCTCAGGATAGGAATGAGTGGGATGACATTTTTGATGATTTTAAGGATTTAAACTATGAGAAGTTTGTAAAAATGGTTGATGATGTCAAGAAATGTAATGGTGTCAATGGTGGTGATTCTAGTGGAAGTACTGTCTTCAAGAGATTAGTAAGATTGGCTAGTACCTGTTCTAGTTCTTTGTCTACAGGTACCCTATTGAAATCTGTTCTGGAAATTACATTTGCAAATGAGAAAGGTCAATTAGCGGAACAATTGCTTGATCTGGTTGGTGCAGAGAATGTCGAATTGATCTCATTTGTTTTGGAAAATAGACAATTAATAACTGCTCATTCTTTGGAAGATGTTATACAAATGACCAGAGATATCATTGATTCTTCTGAATTTGATTATTTGACTGAACAAGAAATGAAAGATCAGGTTATACAAAATGCTTATGATGCCAAAAACCAAAAGTTGGATCCTGCTAGAAGAGTAATAAAGTATCCTCATGTTTATAGGAAATACGAAGATGGTAATACTAGTAGTTTGGCTTTTTCAGGCCAAAAATTTTCTTTGCCTATCGGTACAACCAGACAATCATATCAGTCACATGAAGAATTAATTATTCCAGCAGCTGATCCTGATACTAATAAAAAAGTATTTCATACTAGATTAATGAGTATAGATAGTCTGGATCATTATTGTAGAGCTGTATTTAAGTACAAGACATTAAACAAAATTCAATCTTTAGTATTTCCAGTGGCATATAATACTAACGAAAACATGTTAATCTGTGCTCCCACAGGTGCCGGTAAAACAGATATAGCATTGTTGACTATTTTAAACATTATCAAACAATTTTCTCAAGTAAATGAACATAATGAACTTGATATCCAATATGATGATTTTAAAGTCATTTATGTTGCTCCACTGAAAGCATTGGCTGCAGAAATTGTTGAGAAATTTAGTGAAAAGCTAGCTATTTTTGATATCCAAGTAAGAGAATTGACTGGTGATATGCAATTGACAAGAGCAGAAATTCAAACAACCCAAGTTATTGTAACTACGCCAGAAAAATGGGATGTTGTTACACGTAAAGCAAATGGTGACAATGATTTAGTTTCTAAAGTTAAATTATTGATTATTGATGAAGTTCATTTGTTACATGAAGACAGAGGTTCTGTCATCGAAACATTAGTGGCACGTACATTGAGACAAGTTGAAAGCTCTCAGTCTATGATCCGTATTGTAGGTTTATCAGCAACATTACCAAATTTTATGGATGTTGCTGATTTTTTAGGTGTCAACCGTCAAGTCGGTATGTTTTATTTTGATCAATCTTTCCGTCCAAAACCATTGGAACAACAGTTGTTGGGTTGTAGAGGTAATGCAGGAAGTAGACAATCGAGGGAAAATATAGATAGAGTTTCTTATGATAAATTAATCGAGATGATTCAGAGAGGTTATCAAGTCATGGTATTTGTTCATGCAAGAAAAGAGACTGTTAACAGTGCAAGAACCTATATTAGAATAGCAGAACAAAACAGTGAAATCACAGAATTTGCTCCTGATGCAGATATGAAGAATAAATATTCAAAAGAATTGGCTAAAAATAGAGATAAAGATTTAAGGGAACTTTTTCAATTTGGTTTTGGTATTCACCATGCTGGTATGGCACGTACAGATCGTAATTTAACTGAAAAAATGTTCAAAGATGGTGCAATTAAAGTTTTATGTTGTACTGCAACACTAGCTTGGGGTGTGAACTTACCTGCTGATTGTGTTATTATCAAAGGTACCCAAGTATATGATTCAAAAAAGGGTGGATTCATAGATCTAGGGATATCTGATGTTATTCAAATTTTTGGTCGTGCAGGTAGACCAGGTTTTGGCTCTGAACATGGTACAGGTATATTATGTACTTCAAATGATAGATTGGACCATTATGTCTCATTGCTGACTCAACAACATCCAATCGAATCAAAATTAGGGTCCAAATTGGTAGACAACCTGAATGCAGAAATTTCCTTGGGTACAGTTACCAATGTAGAGGAAGCTGTTCAATGGTTAGGTTACACTTACTTATACGTGAGAATGAGAAAGAATCCATTTACTTATGCAATTGACTGGGAGGAGCTTGCTTCCGACCCTCAACTATATGACAGAAGAAGAAAAATGGTAGTTACTGCAGCTCGAAGGCTACACTCACTACAAATGATAGTATTTGATGAAATTTCAATGCACTTCATTCCGAAAGATTTAGGTAGAGTCGCATCCGATTTTTATTTATTGAATGAATCTGTTGAAATATTTAATCAGATGTGTAATCCAAGGGCAACGGAAGCAGATGTTCTTTCTATGATTAGTATGAGTAGTGAATTTGATGGTATTAAATTTAGAGAAGAAGAAGCAGTTGAATTGACAAGGTTATCTGAATCGGCTGTTGAGTGTCAAATTGGTGGAGCATTAGATACCGCCCAAGGTAAGGCAAACGTTCTATTACAAGCATATATTTCTCAAAGTAAAATTTTTGATTCAGCGTTGAATTCGGATTCTAATTACGTTGCTCAAAATGCTACAAGAATTTGTAGAGCTCTATTTTTAATTGGTATCAATAGAAGATGGGGTAATTTTGCTAAAGTTATGTTGGATGTTTGTAAATCCATTGAGAAACGATTGTGGGCATTTGATCATCCATTATGTCAATTTGACCTTCCTGACCCTATCATCCGTCAAATTCGAGACAGAAATCCTTCAATGGATCATTTAATGGACCTCGAACCTGAAGAAATTGGTGAACTTGTCCATAACAGAGGTATTGGTAATAAACTTTTTAATTTAATAAGCAAATTTCCAAGTATTTCTATATCGGCAGAAATATTTCCTATAACCACTAATGTGATGAGAATTCATGTTAACTTAATTCCAGATTTCAAGTGGGATTTCAGGGTACATGGTGATGTACAATTTTTCTGGGTCTTGGTGGAAGAATCAGATAAATCTCAAGTTCTACATTTTGAGAAATATATTCTGAGGAAAGCTCAATTAAATACTGTTCATGAAATGGATTTCATGATTCCATTGTCTGATCCATTACCACCTCAAGTTGTGGTAAAGGTCGTTTCAGATACTTGGATAGGTTGTGAATCGACATTCCCAATTTCATTCCAACATCTAATTAGACCTTATAATGAAACTCTTCAAACCAAATTGTTAAGATTGAAACCACTACCAACTTCTGCATTAAACAATCCTTTGGTGCAATCAATTTATCCATTTAAATATTTCAACCCAATGCAAACTATGACTTTCCATACTTTGTATAATACAAATGATAACGTTTTTGTTGGTTCACCAACTGGTTCTGGTAAAACAGTAGTAGCTGAGTTGGCTATATGGCATGCCTTTAGAGATTTTCCAGGTAAGAAGATTGTATATATTGCACCTATGAAAGCTTTGGTTAGAGAAAGAGTTGATGATTGGAGAAAAAGAATTACACCGGTAACTGGAGATCGAGTTGTTGAATTGACAGGTGATTCTTTACCAGATCCAAAGGATGTTCGTGATGCCACTATTGTCATTACAACTCCAGAAAAATTTGATGGTATTTCTCGTAATTGGCAGACACGTAAGTTTGTTCAAAATATATCATTAGTTATAATGGATGAAATTCATTTATTGGCAAGTGATCGTGGTCCTATTTTAGAAATGATTGTAAGTCGTATGAACTATATTGCGTCACAAACTAGTAATCCTATTAGATTACTTGGTATGTCTACTGCAGTTTCTAATGCATATGATATGGCCAGTTGGTTGGGTGTTAAAAGCAATGGTTTATTCAATTTCCCATCAAGTGTCCGTCCAGTCCCACTGAATATGTATATTGATGGTTTCCCTGATAATTTGGCATATTGTCCTTTAATGAAGACAATGAACAAACCAGCCTTTATGGCTATTAAACAGCATTCTCCAGTGAAGCCTGCATTGATTTTTGTTTCTTCTCGTAGACAAACTAGATTAACTGCATTAGATCTAATTCATCTGTGTGGTATGGAAGATAATCCAAGGAGATTTTTAAAAATTGATGATGATGGTGAATTACAGTATTATATTTCACAAATTACAGATGATACGTTGAAGTTATCGATTCAATTCGGTATTGGTTTACATCATGCTGGTTTAGTTGAGAAGGATCGTGATATTTCACATCAATTATTTCAAAAGGGAAAGTTACAAATTTTGGTAGCCACATCCACTTTAGCCTGGGGTGTTAACTTACCAGCACATTTAGTAGTTATAAAAGGTACTCAATTTTATGATAAGAAAGTTCTAGGATACGTTGATATGGATTTAACTGATATTTTACAAATGATGGGTAGAGCTGGTAGACCTGCTTATGATACAACAGGTACAGCTATCGTCTACACTCGTGAAAATAAGAAGATGTTTTACAAGCATTTCTTGAATGTTGGGTTCCCTGTAGAATCGTCATTACACAAGGTTTTAGAAGATCATTTAGGTGCTGAAATCAATTCCGGTACTGTTTGTAACAAACAAGACGCTATTGACTTCTTAAGATGGACCTTTTTCTTCCGTAGAGCTCATCATAACCCAACATATTATGGCATACTTGAAGATACAAGTGCAGCTGGAGTGCATAAGCATATCAGTGAACTGATTGATAAAAGTATAGAAGAATTGGTTTCTTCTCGATGTGTAGAGGTCTATGGCGAGGATATTGAAGCTACTCCATTCTTGAGTATTGCGTCCTATTATTATATTTCTCACAAGACTATAAGAACTTTATTGGCTCAAATTAAGGATAATGCCAGATTTATTGATGTCTTGAAATGGTTATCATTGGCAGAGGAATACAATGAATTGCCAGTTAGAGGTGGTGAAACTATTATGAATGAAGAAATGTCTGCACAGTTAAGATATCCTGCGGAAACTATTTTCACTGGAGAATATGAATTACCAATTTTTGATACTCATGTTAAAGCATTTTTATTATTACAAGCACATTTAAGTCGTGTTAATCTACCTATCGCAGATTATATTCAGGACACAGTTTCTGTGCTTGATCAATCTTTACGTATTTTGCAGGCGTTTGTTGATGTTGCTAGTGAATTAGGTTATTTCAATACAGTATTGACTATAATTAAAGCAATGCAGTGTATTAAACAAGGTTATTGGTACGAAGATGATCCAGCAAGTGCATTACCTGGTTGTGAATTAAAAAGATTTAATGATATTGAATTTTTAGAGAGTGGTCACCCACTAGATGCCAAATCACAAAGTTCTAAAGTAAACCTAAACGGAATAGCTAGGATGGGATTCAAGAAACTTCAGAACTTAGCAATTCAAAATGATTTGTCTTATGCAGATTTGAAAAATGATGATGAAGTTTCTGAAGAGGTTCTTGCAGAAAGAATTCAGCGTAAGTTTATTAGCGTTTGTCAAAGATTACCAGCACTTGATGATGTTAAAGTTGAGAAACAAGAAGATAATACTAAAGTAGTTATAACTTCAAAACATCATTCTAAGCAAAATAATCGTGAGTTTGAAGTTTATTGTGATAAGTTCCCAAAAATGCAAAAAGAATCTTGGTTCTGTATTGGTTATAAAAATAATGAACTTTACATGATTAAGAGATGCCATCCACAACAGGATAAAGATAAGACAGTTAACATTACCTGTGAGTTCATTGTTACGGAAGAGCTGAGAGGGAAAGATATGGATTTCCTACTGATCAACGATGCTTTATCACTTGAATATCATATTAATCATCAACTTCTAAAGTAATTTGATATACAACTGATTATAGAATTTGTTTCTTAAATAAAAATAAAGTAAAGTAACGTTAAAAATATATAAGTATACTTGATACAAATGTGTACATAAAAGGGTGAGGATTTAAACAATGTTATTATGAAAAGAGCATGGAGATAATCATATTATGATTAGATGCATCTATTTCTTCTTCTTACCAAAAAGACCAAACTTCTTCTTCTTCTTCTTTTCACCAACATCAGCAGTAGAAGTCTTTGGTTGATAAACAGCTTGTTCACCATACATTTGGGAGTTACCACCATCATATGGGTTAACACCACCAAAATTTGGGAAATCTGGTCTTACTCTAAAACCATATTGTTGAGTTTCAAGTTGCTGAGCCCAACTTGGATCACCCGATATAGCATATTCAAAAGATCTGATTGTATCTAAAGGTCTTTCATCTCTAGCCCTGGTTGGATTAGAGATATCTGGTTGATTAATAGGTTGTCCAAATATATCTTGAAGCACTTCATTCTCATTAGTATAATAAGAATGTCTATTGGCATTTTCTTCAAAAGTACCAGCCATCTGCTCAAAAGGCTGAGCCTCTTGAACAGCTTCCAAAATAGGATCAGCAACTGATGCCGTCCTCACCTTCAACCTATCAGCATCTTCCTTAGATAACTTAACGTCCAACTTCTCATTATCCCCATTACTGTGAGATGATTTCTTCCTGAAGTGTACCATCTCTCTCTTTTATTCTCTTTGTTCAACGTATAATCAATAACGACCGTTCCTATAACTCCACCTGCTCTTAAGACAACTTAGTAACAACACAACTCCAAAATGAACCTAAAATATACCTTCAACTTCTTTCTAACCCATCTTTTATATACAAATCTCATGTATTTATTTATTTATTCTTGGATCAACAAAAGTATTGTTTCATTCTCATTGCATCAATCACCTGGAGAAACAATTTTTGTTGTGAAAAGGCTCGTCTCAAATGTTGCAAGAAAGTTGCTAAAAACAGAAGTGTCAGTAAATTGTTGGTGTCAGTAAATCTGTAAATATTGCTGTCACCTGTCACAGTTTTAAGAATTATGTAGATCATTCATTGATTCATCGATTCGTTATATGCAATTTGATTCTGTGAATTGGTTTGATATGCTTACAAATTTGTATTTGGAATTAAATTTTAATCTTTATAAGAAAAGGGCAAATATACAGAAGTACAGTATATATGTGGTAATATATTATATAAAATGATTATAATGACACATTTGAAGGTGACGAATTACAGAATTGTTTTAGGTTGTTTGTTGAGATTACATTATTTTCTCCTTTTTTTTACTCTTTTTTTATCATATTTTTTGGGTTTTGTAGTTTTCTTTTCTTTTCTATGTTTATGATTTTTGAATTATCATTGTTGTTGTTGTTGTTGTTGTTGTTGTTGTTGATATTATTATTCTTTTGTTGGGATTCTTATCTTTCGTAATCTTAAGCTTCATTTATAGAATTGACCAATACTTCGATGATAGTTGAAGTGGCATCGGCGACTTCTTGTTCTTGCATGTCAGCAGTGACCGATATTTTTAAGCTTGGAACAATTGGTAATGTTTCATGTTGTAAAACGATGGTATTACGGGTGATCAAAATATTGTGGTCTTGTAAAACCTTATCGACGATACTTTGAAGGAATCTTTCTTCATCTTCGTATTCGTCAAAGAACATTGTAGTCGTGCTACGTTTCTGTAGAATTACTAGGTTTTCGAATAGTTTTCAGCAGTGTAATTGAACTTACGAGAACGAACTTGCTTAGATAACTTCAAATGTAAAACTGGAGACATATCACTGGAGGTGATTTCCACTAATTCTGAAAGACGTGAGTCGTTGACAAATTGAGAATGTAATACTTGAGATAACGATTGTAATTTTGATACAGCAGTAGAGTCCTTTGTCATTATTTCTAGTGTCTTTGATACGGCTCTTGGGGAATATGGTGGTAATGAGGCAGAGAAACAGTAAGCGTTGGAACCAATATGTTGGTGGCGACACATGACATTGTCACCCAAGGTGAACCCACCAGAGGCACCAAATGCTACAGCCATCGAACCAACAGTAATATCAATAGAGGATGCACGATCCATGCCGTACAATTCAGCAAGACCACGACCAGTCTTACCCAATACACCTAAGGAAAAAGTTTCATCTACAAACAAACGGAACTTGTATTTATTTTTCAATCTAGTCAATTCAGGTAAAGGAGCAATATCACCAGTGTTATGGAACAAACCTTCAGTGACGATGAATTTACGAGGAATTGCAGGTAATTTTTCTAAACGTTCAGATTCGGAGATTTCACGTAACAATGAGTCCAAAGCAGCCATATCATTATGCTTGAAATAGTAAACAGTAGATCTACTCAATTGTAAAGCGTTTTGGACTGCCAAAGAGACTTCATCATCAGCTACAATGACATCACCACGCTTGGTGAATGCTGGAACTACAGATGGAGCAACACAAAAATCTTGACCGTACAATACAGCACCTTCAGTACCAAAAAATTTAGCTAAATCATATTCACAGTTTAAATGGGCATCTTGGTTACCGTAGAACCCAGCAGGGCCACAAGCACCGACACCGTAATTACGAATAGTACGTTCTACTTCGTCGACTACTTCTTTTTTGGTAGATAATTGTAAGAAACTATTTGAAGCCATATTCAAAACATTTGAATACTGTTCGGCACCATTGTTTCTGCTTAAAGCAACATGGGTGTCACCAGGATGGGTTGGGGCATGTAATACGGGAACTTTTGATAATCTCCACATACGTTCGTCGAAGATTGAAGAATCATCGACAATAGATTCCGGTTCCCATTCCTCGATTAAAGCGTCTATTTCAGAAGGAGATAAGTTATTCAATTTATAATTTGAAGTTTGCAAAGTTTTTTTCGATTGTGGTTTTGATAAATAGTAGAACACACCGTATAGAATCAATAATATTTCTATAGCTGTTCTATATGGATCATCCTGATGAGATTTTTTGATGTATGACAAAACATAGTTACCACCAGGGACATAATTACGGATAGTGTACATAGCATATGAGTAACCAGCTACTATGAATGGTGGGATAGGAATTGCCTGCGGCACTTGAGGGATGTGTGCCATGGTTGGTTGTGTGAGAGTGGGTGAGTGAGTGAGTGAGTGAGTGAGTGAGTGTTTTGTATATTCTTTTTTTCTTTTTATTCTTTTTTGATTTTGAGATGCCAAAAAAAAAACACAACTATCTGTACCAAAAACTCAGCTTGCTCTAGATCGAAGTACTAAGACCAATGGCTGAACCAGCAGATCTGGAAGGCCAACAACTCAAATACAAATTACCACTTCAGTATCTCCTTTTATATATGTATATATAATTTTAAGTTCATGGATGAGAAGAAAAGAGATATCCTGCTTTTCGAGTTCAGATCGTTGTGCACGAACGCTGATTTTCGAAATGAGTAAGCCGTTGTGCGTGTGGAGTGACATCACGTGACTGCGCTGAGCAAAGCAAGATCTGGGAGGTTCCTAGCAGTGCGTATGTGATGGACAGACAAGGAAGCTCTTGTTACAAGACGACGATTGATCTATCTATATCTTGGTGAGCAGTGCAAGCAGAGTATCCATTTGCACCGACCGGTTCGAATCTCTATCCCAACGTCAACAAGCAACAAGCAACAAGCAACAAGCAACAAGCAACAGCAAAGGCAACGGCAACGGCAACACCAACTTTATCCAGAGACGTATGGCCAACAGGTGTACCGACATAAGAGAAGGGAAGAGAAGAATAGGAACATCTAGTGGAAGGGATGGAAGACTGAATGTACATTGGAATTGTCATTAACTAGTTATTATTTATTATTTATTATTTATTATTTATTCTTATTTACTTTGAAGGAGTATGAACCTGTTGCAATGTATATGGACATGGTCAATGCGCTAGCAGACGTCAGTCCAACATTAGCAACTGCAGAAGGACCAGGAATTGGATAAAGAAAGGAAGCAAGAGAGAGGTCTATCTGGTTAAGAGAATCGACAAGTTGTTAGTGCGAGTGTGTATCACGATCAACGTGGTTCGTGTCATGCTATCTGGTTGCACCGTTCACTGTTTGTTTCACTTGACCTCTTGCAACCAACGATGAAGAGGTGTCACAACAGTATATTAAACCAGGCTGTTCGACACCTGTCGCACTCTCCATTGGCAACGACTGAGTATCAATTGCCATCGAATATATATATATATATATGTGTGTGTGTGTGTGTGTGTGTCCATCGGTTGGTATAATTCTTGTGCAATTAAGAGACACATCACATCGTAACTACTGTAACTGGATCCATATATATACAGATATATAAACAGAGAGATACATAGATGTATATAGTTCACATGTGATGTTGATGTGCAATAGTGGGGTATGAATGATACTCTTCAATAGTAGAGTCAGAGTGTCTCCAAGTTGATAATGTAGAAATCCAATCAATATAACTAGCATCACGTGACATCTCTTGACAAACGTATTCTCCTGAACGAGGAAACAAACTTCTACATCACCCACCACCATCGTTATCACCACCACCAACCAACCAACTATATACATACACACTTACACACATTATCAAGCAACAGAGATTGGTCTAAACAGAAAACGCATGATTAGTTGCTAACTAACAACTGGCAAGGAAGGTTCCCATGGCTTGTTGCATAGATAAGGTGATCTTATCTGCTCAAATCATCGCAAACGTTTGGTTTCTCTCCCTATCTAATATTGATCCCACCAAGCTCTCTCTTACGTTCTCCCCCATATCCACCAACCCAACACACCTTAATTAATCTATTTCTGGTCAACTCTACAAGTTGAGGAGCTTACCTCAACTTTTAAGGTCCAAGGGAAAAATGAGCAACCGTATTTCTGTCTACTCTAGTCCACTTTTAGTCTAGTCCACTTTAGGTCTAGTCTACTTTAGTCTCTTTTCACATCACTTGCTTAGTTGGTATCCATTCTAGAATAAAATCGTATAAAAAGGGTCTTTTCATTCAATATTTTAAAGAATATACTTGTACTTTATACATTTTAACTTGAATAACTGGTAGTGGTTTTTTTTGCTATTGGATACTCACACTAGCAATAACATCAATAACATCAACTATATAATATGAAATTGTCTATAGTCTATGGTATACTGTTGTACACCATAGCAGCACAAGCAGCTTTTATTCCAGACCAAATTAACTTCTTCAACGGTATTCATGACAAATTGTACGTAAAGAAGTTTATCTCAAAGGCCATCACTTCATTGGGTTTGGACGTATCCATCACAGATATCCCTAGCCATGTTTTAGACTACTGGTATAATATCCCAAAGGCGGACTTATTGAATATACAGTTCACCTCCTCTCCAAAGGGTAACATCATCTCAAAGGATGTAGAGAACTGGGATGATTCTTTGATGAATTACTATGACAATGAATTGTACCAATTGCGTGTTAATAAGGTGAAGGACCCTCAAGTCTTGGGAATTGACCCAGATGTAAAGCAATATTCAGGGTATTTGGACGTTAAGAACAAAGATAAGCATTTCTTCTATTGGTTTTTTGAAAGTAGAAACGATCCTGCTAATGACCCAGTTATCTTATGGTTGAACGGTGGTCCAGGCTGTTCCTCAATGACAGGTTTGTTCTTCGAATTGGGCTCCTCTTCTATCGACAAAGGTTTGAAACCAGTTCACAACCCTTTCTCCTGGAACTCTAACGCTTCTGTCATCTTCTTGGATCAACCTGTCAACGTAGGTTTTTCATATTCTGATAAACCTGTCTCTGACACAGTTGCTGCCGGTAAAGATGTCTATGCCTTCCTGGACTTATTCTTCAGACAATTCCCTCAATACAAGAACAATGGCCAAACTTTCCATATCGCTGGTGAATCCTACGCTGGTCACTACATCCCTGTATTTGCTGAGGAAATCCTAAAATACTCTCCTTCTGAAAGATCCTTCAATTTATCCTCTGTCATGATCGGTAACGGTTTGACCGATCCTCTAAATCAATACGCATTCTACGAACCAATGGCCTGCGGTAAAGGTGGTGCCCCACCTGTTTTGAACCAACAAGAATGTGCCAACATGCATCAATCATTGGACCGTTGTCTATCGTTGATCAACTCCTGCTACGAAAGCGAATCCGTTTGGTCTTGTGTTCCAGCATCCATCTACTGTAACAATGCTCAATTGGGACCTTACCAACGTACTGGTAAGAACGTTTACGACATAAGAAAAGACTGTGAAGGCGGTAACTTGTGCTATCCTCAATTGCAGTACATTGACGATTTCCTAAACCTAAAGAAGGTTCAATCAGCATTGGGCGCAGAAGTAGACAAATTCCAATCCTGTAACTTCGACATCAACAAGAACTTCCTATTCAATGGTGACTGGATGAAACCATACCAAAAGTCTGTCACTAAACTATTGAACAAAGGTCTACCAGTCTTGATCTACGCCGGTGACAAGGATTTCATCTGTAACTGGTTAGGTAACGAAAATTGGACTAATCAATTGAAATGGCAATTCTCAACCCAATACAAGAACAGTCCAACTAAAGACTGGAGTTCTGAAAGTGGGAAAGCAGTGGGAACTAAAAAGTCATTCAAGAACTTCACTTTCTTAAGAATCTTCGACGGTGGGCATATGGTCCCTTACGATCAACCTGAAAACTCTTTACAAATGTTAAACAGTTGGATTCATGGCAACTACAGATTATAGCCAAAACAAAACAAAAGAAAACGAAACAAGACAAAAGAATAAATACCATTACTACATCATCACATCCAACCGTATGTACACTTTTATACCAATACAGTCTTTTATATATATAATCTAATGCTATCCATAACTTATGCTTCCCTTCCCTTATATACATAACCAACATGCAAAGGCCTTGATATCTACCCGTTTAACAATTGTTCAAACAAACGAAATAGAGACCATCACCTTCTAAGAATTCGATCGACATTACTGTATATATAAGAAAGAAAGGTATTGTAAAGAACATATCTATATATTTGTATTTGAATAAGTTTTATACCTTGCTTGGTTTGTTTGTTTTCGATCTCTTCAGGTTTGATAAAGTGTATCTAGCTTAAATTAGTTAATAATATGTCCAGTAAGAATAAGAATCAGGTTAGTGAAAAATCTCAACAACAACAGCAACAGCAACAGAAAAAAGTTGTAACTACAGAGAGAAGAGTACCACAAGTTTGGACCTTATTGAAGTACATTTTCATTTCATTGTGTTTGATTGCTGCTGTTGAATACTTCAAGTTTGGTACTAGAATTAATTATGAATGGTTCCATTGTACTCCTATCAAGGAGCAGGTAGGTGGTCCATCTAGTTCTGTAATTAAAATGTGGGCAGTTGGTGGACCAAGTTGTGATAAAAGAGGTGAGTTCAAGACTCTGTTCAAGAGAATCAGTAGAGATTACGATCCAAATGATGAACCAGTAGCATATTGTTTTGTTGAAAACAAAAATATTCCTTCTGTTCATTATCCTATTGAAAACGGTAATAAAGGTGAGCCAGGTTACGTTGCTTATGTAGGTTACATGTCTGATTATGATTTGATTGAAGCTGAATGTGGTGAAAACCAAATATTCCATGTCTAAGGGACAGAATGCCATTCACAATCATTATCAATATACCCACCCAATGGTAATAAATCATAGATCACTGGCCACCTCTTCCAATTTTATTTTATTTTGTTCTGTTAAATATATATTTACATATATCTAATTATGTTTAATTTGTATAGAGAAAATAATGGATATTTGCATAAACTTTGAAACTATCTGATTCAGAACTATCGATGGTCATCATTACACTCGAATTGCTTAATCTTTCTTAACCTATGGATACTTTAACCTTTAAGCTGCTTGTAATTCTTCGCGAATAATTATTTTGACTTTACAATATAATATATATAAAACATTAAAGCTTCTGTAAGTGAATAAAAGAACTGTTGTTAATCATTGAAAAGGTTTGGTGAATACTGTCAGGAGGTAGGCAATCACAACAAGCAATGGAATCCCTAATAGAGAAGGCAAACCGTGGTGGTTACGTTTTAACAGCAGATAATAGACAACATTGGAAATACGATTGGTTTACACCTCTAAAGAAGAATGAAGTTTCACAAGAAAGAGTTAACATGGATCCAAATTCAATGGAAAATGAGGAATCTAAGTATCCTTTCAAGTACAAGACATGGCTGAAGGCAGATGTTTCTGATTTCCACGATAATAAAGAGGAATTAGATGTATTGGATTTATCTAAATATGATAGAACTAAAAAATTAGTGGTAACAAATGGTGTAAGTGTTACGGAAGATGATCAATCCAGTTTAACAATGGCTGATATTAGGGGAGCTGTTGGTGGTAGTGAGTCTATTCCAGGTTTATCCAAGACTGATGCGGTTACTGAACAACCAGCCGTCACCATTGATGCTTCAGTTACTGAAACCAACACACCAGCTCCAACTGAAGAGCTACAGGAACTAAAGGAAACTCCTGTCGAAGAGCAAGAAGAACCAAAGGATGTCTCAATGGACAATGAAGAATCTAACGATGTATCTGCCAATAATGATCAAGATTCCAATAACGTCTCCACAACAAATGATCAAGAACCAAAAGCTGATGTTGATGAGGATGTCAGTATGACCGATGCTTAAACTTTAAATAAGATTTATATTTATATTGCAATTATCAACTCTGTATTATTATTAATTTGATTACATTTATTATTTGAAACCATATTATATTGAAAGCAATTGTTCGTTGAATGTCTTGTTATACTTTTCTAGTGATGTATAAAATGGATGCGTCTACTATTTTACCAGTAGATGTAGCTTAGTGTATATATAAATGTATATATGTATATGTGGAATTGTCTATTTAATAGTCAGCACAGTTGTACAGACCGATATCCACAGCTGCCTTGACGTCTTCTGCGTTCTTCTTGTTCTCAGCACGAACCCTTTCTAGTTCCTGAAGATATCCATCTTCAACACCCGTGACATAGTTACCAGTAAAGACACCAACTTCAAATTTGTCAATTGTCTCTGTCTTACAACAATCGATCAAATCCTCCAAAGATTGGTAGAAAACTTGATCACATTTGATTGCCTCTGCAACTTCTGTATCGGTTTTTTGATATGCAATTAGGTTCTTAGTGTCAGTTAAATCAATACCATAAATGTGGTTATAACGGATGGCTGGAGCGGCTGATGCAAAGTAAACTTTTAAAGCCCCAGATTCTCTTGCCATTGTGACGATTTCCTTGGATGTAGTACCTCTAACGATAGAATCGTCTACAATTAAGACATTTTTGCCTTTGAATTCTGATTCCATTGGATTCAACTTACGTCTAACAGATGAAATACGTTCTCTTTGGTTTGGCATAATGAAAGTTCTTCCAACATAGGTATTTTTGACAAACCCTTCTCTATATGGTTTGTTTAACGTGATAGCACATTGCAATGCACAGGTTCTAGCTGTGTCAGGAACCGGGATAACAACGTCAATTTCATTAGGGTCTAATTTTTCAACGATATTTTCTGCTAACTTCTTACCCATCTGTAATCTTGTATGGTAAACAGAAATTCCATCAAGGACACTATCCTGTCTAGCAAAGTATACATATTCGAATAAATCTGGACGGTAAGAATTGATTGGTACAACTTGTTTAAATTCAGGTTCCTCTTTATCACAATTTTTTGGAATAATAACTGCCTCACCAGGCTTTAAATCACGGAATTTAGTGAAATTATGTGCTTTTAAGACAACACTTTCAGAAGCTAACATATAATCCTTGGTACCATCAGAATTCTCTCTTTCACCGAATAATAATGGTCTAATACCATTTGGATCTCTAAAACCAAATAGGGCAAAACCTGCCAACATACCGACACAAGCATAACCACCACGACATAGTCGATACATACCTTCTAAAGCATGGAACACATCCTCATTGTTAACTCTATACTTATTATGTTTCTCTAATTCAGAAGCAAAAATGTTCAACAGCAGTTCAGAATCACTATCGGTATTGATGTGTCTATGAACATCTTCATCAAGATAACGTTTCAGACTCAAAGTATTAACTAAATTACCGTTATGAGCCAACGATATACCATATGGACTATTAACATAAAAAGGTTGAGCTTCAGAATTAGCAGATGAACCAGCAGTTGGGTAACGTAAATGAGCAATACCCATAGCACCAGCTAGACCAGTTAACCTTCGTTCAGTGAAAACATCACGAGCCATACCATTACCTTTACATTGGTAAAATCTACCACCTGGACCACAGGTTGTGATACCAGCAGCATCTTGACCACGATGTTGTAAGAAAAGACAGCCATCACTTAATTCAGGAGCAACCACTTTAGTCTGATCACCTAATGCAATACCTAATACACCACACATCTTATTTCAAACTAAAACCGAATATAACACAATATAACCGAGTGAAAGCTCTTTATCAACAACAAACTTGACCCAATATGTCTTCCTAACCTTTCAAACTCACCAATATCTGATTAATCTCTAAGTCAAAATCAATCTGATCTAGTGAAAAGTCTTAAACCTGCTGATGTATATATCTATATCTATATATAACATAGAATAAGAGAGGAACTAACACCTTAACATTTTTGAAACAAATGAAACTACTATTCAAGTATATATAAAAAAAACTATTAAACTATTACTTACATTAAACATTACTTTAATAATTAACATTTCAATCATATCATCATCTTCATTAACATCACCATTATCAACTCGTCCTTTACCTTAAATTAACCTAATTTAATATCAAATTTTAACTCTTTCAGTAATTAAAATGATCAAGATACCAACAAGAGTCAGATTTGTTCTGATTTTAAAAGCCCTTCTCTTCCTAATTGATCAATGATGACTAGAACCAAGTTATTCTATGAAAACTTGTTAAATTAGGAGTGGACCGAGTACAATCAATTTCATTTCATTTCATTAAATCATTCTTTTGATGATGACCGGATAATTCAACTTAATTGATCTAACTTCATTGTTATTAATGAGTTCATTGATTGATGAAAGTTCTTGTCTTATAAAGAGAGACAACAGGACTTCAACTATCTGTAAATGGTTGATTGGTTTCCAGATAGTTAATTAGTTCACTTCAAACTCTATTTCATCGATTGATTAATTGATTGATTGATCTGTGTTTCGAATCTGTAAGTTAATGCTGACGGTAGTGGTAATGTAAGTTCGATTCTTCTGGACAAGGGTCAAACTTCATGCCAATTGAGTCGTTTTCTTGCAATTTCCCAATGATTTTTATGATGGTAATAAATAGTTCGTAGTTATTGCTATTTCTTGATTTCATTTGCATCTTTCGAATTTCAATGGTCCCATTCTAATGAACTTTCTTGGCCGTGGTTATTCGAAATGGTTGCTTCTTTGTATTGCAGATAATATTGATGTGTTTTTCAGAGATTGCATGGATCGATAATTAGACATCTTCATGGTCTTAGATGGCCTTATTTGATCCTGTTCATGTTATATTTGATCTTGATTCTGTTTTTTTTTTTTGTTTTTTTGGATTTTAGTTTTGATTTTATAGGTATTTTTTTTTTCACTTTTATTAAGATTAATGTAGGTATATAATACTAGTTCATTTTTCTGTTTTATTAATGGTTATTTTCTTTCTCATTAGTAATTGAAAAATTCATGCTGACGAAGTTTCTTTAATGATTTTTCTTAGATCTGTGCTACTCAATTTTTCACTCCAGTCATCTTCATCATGTCCACCTAAAACATTTACAACACATATATCTAATTCTTTCATCCCCTTTTCAAGTCTTGTCTTGTTGACTACTTTACCTCCTTCAATCGTTTCCCTACTGACTACAAGTGCTTGGATCTCTGGTACTCGACCCGTTGGCCCACATACATCTCTCAAAGGAACTATTTCGACTTTAAGTGTAGGTTTTAACACCTTCAAAAAAGCTATAACATTGTTACAACGTTCATCAAAATTCTCAAGATATTCCTTATATTTCTTATTGACCAACAACTCTTGATCAGTCACACCAATAATCAATCTAGATGATGTCAAATAACTGGCAATACTTAACAATATTTTATGTCCTTCGTGTATATGGTCAAACGTTCCTCCTAACGCAGAAACCTCATACTTATCTTGATCGCCATTACCATCATATTTTGTTGAAACTTCAACATTTTTCAAAATTGGTAATTCAAACAATTTATACTCAGCATAGTGAAACTTACTCAAATCTTTCTCGTCACTAACAAATAATATATCCCAATGACATTCATTACTATCGAATGATTCAAAATAGATATTTATAGGTAACATATGCAGTGATCTTGTCAATAATACTTCACGACTAATATTATACAGCTTTCCCAAAGTCTCATCTAAATGGACATAGGAGCGAAACTCATCCAGGATAACAATATCCAATTGATCAGGACCATTACAACTGAAACTATCCAAACAATTTTCAAAGATCTCTGACACCCTATGGTAATCCAATATCTTGGTATCCTTTAGAACAACACCTACTCGAGCCATCACTACCACAATAAATTAAAAAATAAGCAACTATATACCTATAACGATACTCAAACTATCTACAATTGCAATTATAAGACCTCACAATCCTCTACCCAACTACACCTCTTAAAACTCTATCATACCAACTTCTATGATTTATTCTTATATATAACCTTTATTTCTTATAGGCGAAATTTCAATATTTAAATATTATACTATTTTGAAATATCATAAATATCATAACATAAAACAAATGATACAAGAATTATAAGTTGAAGTAGGTCTGAGAGGGACATATATGAATGCTGGTAGTTGAACATGAGCAGTTCTGATGGTACTAACCTTGAGGAACTTCAAAGGGAGAATTGGTCCTTATTGAAGGATCAAATAGAATATATTATTGGTAATGCCGATGAGATGAATATAATGGAATCATTTAAACAGTTGTTTGAAGTTAATGTGCTGGTGGGACAAAGGTTATTAGTTGATAGTATTTTGAAGAATCAGCTAAAGAAGGATATTCCCGTTGTGTATGCTTTATTGGTAGCTTTAATCAATTCTGAAATGCCGGAGATGGGTTTACTTATGACCAAAGAATCCATTGCTTTGTTTATCAAGGGTTATAATAATATGAATAATTTGGAAACTTTTACAATGGCAACCTTTATTGCCCAATTATTTAACTATGAAGTGGTACATGAAATTGTAATTTTACAAATATTGCATTTGCTTCTGGAAGATTTAGATAATGGCTCTTTACCGGTAGTAATATCATTACTAACACACTGTGGGAAGAAACTTGTTCAAGTGAATAAAACCATACATAATGCAATTTTTGAAAAATTGAGGCATCTATTACAAAGTGGTAGATTGTCAAGAGATGAACATGTGAATTTAGAATGGTTATTTGAACTGAGAAGTAGAAACTACCAAAACAATGGCATCCAATCTACTAATTTGAAAGTTCTTGAAGGCGAAATGCATACTTTCATGATTGATACAGGAGAACTAAGACCTGATTTTAAACTAACAGAATTTATTTACGACGATAACTACGTAGAGAAAGAGACTTTATTTGAATCATTGAAATTAAAGGTTTACAAAGATTATTTTGAAGAAGAAAAGGATAAAGCAGAGACTGTGATAGAAGATAGAACCGGAATAACTGATGTGGAATTCAAGAAAAACATTTATTTAATATTAAAAAGTTCATTGACAGGTGATGAAGCCGCCCATAAACTTTTAAAATTAAGAATCCCAGATGATAGTAAAGATGAGGTGGTAAATATTATTATAAAGTCAAGTATTCAGGAATCTACATATTCAAAATTTTATGGAATTTTAACTGAAAGACTACTTGGAAGTCATAGGTCCTGGACTCCCGCATTTATTGAGACGTTTAAGTCTAATTATGAAAATGCATCTGAATTTGAACCGGCACAACTTCGAATAATGGGTAAATTGTGGGGTCATATTCTAGCAACTGAAGTCATAAGCTTTGAAATATTTTTAAATGTTCATCTAAATGAAGAAGAAAGTACACCAGCAGGAAGAATTTTATTGAAATTTTTATTTCAAGAATTGGTCGGTGAATTAGGAATTGATGAATTGAGAAATAGACTAGAAGCAGATTCAAGTAAGTCATATTTAGTGAATATGTTCCCCACGGATGACTTAGAAAATATTAGATATTCTATTAATTATTTTACGGCAATTGGATTGGGTTCTTTGACAGAAGAGATGAGAGATAAGTTAAAATCAATTGAGGATGAACTGAAACAAATAAAAGTGGAAGAAGAGAAGAAAAGACAGGAACTGGTAAGATCAAAGAAAGAAGAAGAAGAAAAGGATAGACGAATTTCAAGATACAATCAGAAGCCTGTATCAAGGGGACCCAGATCTAGGACACCACCTAGAAGGAGTCGATCTAGGACACCACCAAGAAGGAATAGATCTAGGACGCCACCAAGAAGAGCCAGGAATAGATCCAGAACTCCTCCAAGAAGACGGTAAAGTAAGACTAGATGTATAAATAAAACCAGAGAGAGAAACATTCATATTTTATTATAAACGCATACATATATAATTAAATAATAAAATAATAATTGTTTATATAATTTTTCAATTGACTAAATTGTCAGTCAACGACAAACAGTCATAATATTTTCGAATCAACGAATAATTTAAAGATAAAATAAAAAAATGATATTAGAACATATCTTAAGAAATAATGGGTATCTGCAAAGGATAAAAAATCCTCTGCGTATTTCAAAAGGTAAAAGAATTAATAAAATAAAAAAAGTGTTAGAGGCACAAATTAAAAAATGTTGATTTGGAAACTAATTCTCTCTCATATTTTATAGTCCTCTTAAAATTAAAAATCAAATATAAAATATTGATTAAGGAAAAAAATAAAGGGTAAACACTAAAAAAAATCAAATGACAAAGAACAAATACGAAGAGATTCTTTAATCAGGATTAGTCCAAGATACCCCAGTACTTTTCACTGTTGTAAGCACCATCAGCCTTCCAGTAGTCGTTGAAAGCGTTGAATAAGATGGCATCGTTACCACAGGTTTGTTCAATACTGGAAATAGCAGCCTTTTGGTTAGCTTCGGATGGAACGGCGACACCACAGTTGTCACCCTTTGATGGCCAACCAGTTTCAGTGATCAAAACGTTCTTGGAACCACCACAAGTAGTCCAAACTCTTTGGATTTGTTGTAAGACCCAAGAACCAGCATCGGCAGCGACAGTGTTTTGGTCGAAGAAAGCATGAGCGTTAACAGCCATGTAGTCAGAGTAGTTACACAATTCAGGGTTGTTGATGACAGCGATGAAAGTGTCGACGGAGACAACTGGACCGTTGTAACCAGCAGCACTCAAAGCAGATCTACCGGTGGAAACGTATTGACCGATTTGAGATGGAGTGGCGGAACCAGCGTTAACCAATTCGTTACCGATGGAGACGGTGTAAACGTCATCCCAAGAACCGTATTGTTTAATAGCGGAAGAGATGGTTTGGACACCAGATTCGATGTTACCCATGTCGAAGATACCCAAGAATAACTTTTGGTTAGAGGCCTTAGCTTGCAAGACGTTGGCGACTTGGTTACAGTCGACACCGTACAATCTAATCATACCAAAATCTTTCAATTGAGCGACATCAGAGGCGACTTCAGAAGCAGACTTACAGTTACCGTTGGCAGTGTAAGGAGAGTAGGTGACACCTCTGGCAGCAGCACTGAAACCAGAACTTGAAGAATCGGTAGATTGTTGGTTTTGGGTTGAGGCAGCAGCTTGGGTGGAGGCGGCAGCTTGGGTGGAAGCAGCTTGAGCTTGAGCTTGGGTGGAGGCAGCTTGAGCTTGAACTTCAGCCTGAGCAACTGGAGTTTCGGCTTGAGCTTGGACTTGAGCTTGAGCGACTTGAGTGGCAGCTGGAGCGGCTTGAGCAGCTGGGACTTCGGCGTTGTTCATGACAGAACCGTCTGGGTTCATGGTGACTTGGACGGTGACCAAGTTCTTGACGGTGGTGGTGACAACATCACGTTTGTTCTTGTGTTCGTGGCCAACAACAGGAGCAGCGACGGCAGCAGAGATTAAAGAAGCGGAAGTTAATAAATGAGAGAAACGCATGGTATTAAAATTAGAACTGAAATAAAACGAAGGACAGATGGACTAGAATATAGAGACACTATTATTTTAGACTAGATGTGTTTTTTATTTTTTTTAATTAATAATAATAAAATCAAAAATCGAAAACAAAAAAGTTGGCAATAACAGAGGGATAAGATAAAATAAAATAAAAGAACGAATAAACAGTTGGTGTTGTTCTATTTCAAGTACACTGGATCTATTGTTGAATTAATTAGAGATGTCTTGGTCAGCTAAGAATTATAAAGTAAAGAAAGCAACTAAGTATATATATATATATGAGTGTATATATATATATGGATGGACGTGAACATGGACGTGAATATGAACAAGAGCAAGAACATGGACGTGAACAAGAATATGAACAAGAATATGAACAAGAACAACAATGATACAGAGAGAGGTAGACAACATGCGAGAGAGTAACGTTGCAAAAGTGAGGTGGAATCTGGCAATAGTTCTATATGACCTCTAGACTAGCCTGGTAGACTGGACTGATCCAGGCCGTGGACAACAAAACAGTTCGAAACGAACTGAAAAATTTGGGAAAGTTGGGAAAAGCTGAAAAATTTAAAAATAAAATCGAAACGAAAACGAAAACGAAAACGAAAATGCAGAGCAGAGCAGAGCAGAGCAGAGGGAAAATGGAATAGAACGAAAATGTAAAGTGAAAAATTTGTTTGGCGAGAAGAGACAGCACAGCACAGCACAGCACAGAGAACTCTACCACCACGAATTGGGCCAGAGACAAACCAACGAACAACAACAACGGCAAGATCCCATCTGGCGGCCACAGCACAGACAGACAACACCCAGAAAGAAAATTTTCAAATTGGGACAGCGACAAAGGAAACGGGGGGGAAGGGGGGGGAGACCCAGTTGGGCCGATGCGATGGCAAGAGAAACGGCCGAAACGCATCATTTGTTTATTTTTGGTTTGATTTGGTGTGTGTGTTTTTTGTCTGTATACTGCCGGGGGAGGGGGCAGAGAGACGTGTAACAAGACAACAACAACAACAACAACAGAAAAAGCATTTACAGTGTGTGTGTCTCCCACCGAGATGCAACGTGTGAGTGTACGTATAAGCGTAAGTATAAGCGGACGTTCAGTGCAGGAAGGAATAAAGAAGAACAACAAGAAAGAAGAAACAAAAAAAGAAAAAGAAAAAGAAAAAGCCGTTTTGTTTTGTTTACCGGTTACTATGCTAAACCACTCTACCGTCATCGTTTCCCGTGAGATGCCTTGATCTCAGCTGTCTGTCTATGTGTGTATCTCCAGCCAAAGACGCGAACCAGACGTCGTGGTGAGCGAAATAAATATACTCACTGATGGACACAGAGACAGACACACCCACGGGGGCCGGGAGCCCACAGGAAATTGCATTTTCGTGTTGGCTGTTAGCGCCGTGCCATCACGTTTGGTCGCACTACATTCTCTTTTACAGTTTTTCGTTCGTTCGTCCGTTCGTCTTCCCCCCTCCTGGTGCTTGTCCATGCTGGTGCCATCACGTGGTGGTGCTAATGTATTTGTGATGCGTCTCGACATTCTTTCGTCCCGTCTGATCTCCTCTAATCCCGCGGTCCAGATTGGAAAAGATAAGATAAGATTAGATAACGATAAGATAACGATAAGACCAAATACAGTATGATGGATCAATTTCAAAATACACACAGTGAGAGCTATTTCAATTGTGTATACAGACAGCACAATAAAAAAAAACATACATCCACCTTCTTTCTCTCCCCTCTCCTAGCCAACAAATGGTAGTTTCGCAACATACCTTCCCAATTACACTTTTTTTTTTAACGTTTGGGTATCAACTAAACAAATTATCCTTAAAATAATATTCTTGCTAACAAATTGTTAAAAAATGGGAATTACTACTATTATGTCTTTCTCTTGGGCTTGCTTGCCGCTGCCACTTCCGACGCCACACTCTTGTCCCCTTTCAGGTTTTTGTGTCACTTTCGGTTTTTTTGCTTAATACTCTCACACATATAAAAACCCAACTAGTTGTTATCCATTTACCAAAACACTCCCACCACATGCACACACACGCCGGTCACCGCCCAATCTCCTCCTACTACATATCGATCTGCCATGTCTGTGGACTCAAATTCAAACATTTCCCTCACTGACGTAGAGTACCCAGCCTGGTGCCAGGACGACGAAGTCCCAGTGACAAAAGCTCAAATAAGAGCAATCTTCGAAGATCTGGCTCTGAAGTTCGGCTTCCAACAAGCCTCAAAGGAAAACATGTTCCATCTCCTACTCTCACAATTGGACTCCCGTGCAAGCAGAACAACTCCACAAAGTGCTCTACTCTCTCTACACGTCTCTTATATCGGCGGCGAACAAGCAAACTACAGGAAATGGTACTTCGCTGCTCAGCTCGACCTAGATGAAGAAATAGGATTCCAAAATATGAAACTGCGCGGCAAAGCAAGAACTAGAAATAATAAAATGGCTAAAAAAAATGGTGTCTCAATCAAAAAACAAAGCGAAGAATGGAAACAGAGAGAACTAGAATTCATTAATAGCCACCCAAAGATCACCCTTACCCAAGAACAATTCAAAGATGATACGAATTTGAAAACTGCAGACTATAAATGGAAACTGAAAATGAAACAACTCTCGTATTACCATATGGTAAGACAAATCGCTTTATATTTACTTTGCTGGGGTGAAGCAAATCAAGTCAGATTCACTCCAGAATGTTTGTGTTTTATATTCAAATGCGCACTAGACTATGATATCGCTACAGAATCTTCATCGACTTATGAATTGAAAGAATTCTCTTATTTAAATAACGTCATTACCCCATTGTATCTATTCTTGAAAACCCAAGTCTACAAAAAACAACAAGATGGAACTTGGAAAAGAAGAGAACAAGATCATAAAGATATTATAGGTTATGATGACGTAAACCAACTCTTTTGGTATCCTGAAGGAATAGAACGTATTATATTGAGAAATGGAGAAAGATTAGTTGATAAACCATTACAAGATCGTTATTTACTCTTTAGCGAAATCGAATGGCCAAAAGTATTTTATAAGACTTACAAAGAAACAAGAAGCTGGATGCATAGTTTTACTAACTTTAATAGGTTCTGGATAATTCATTTCTCTTCATTTTGGTTCTTCACTTCTTTTAATTCTCCTGCATTGTATACAAAAAACTATATCCAACTATTAAACAATCAACCAACCCCACAAGTTAGACTCTCGGCAATAGCTTTGGGTGGTACAGTTGCATGCATTATACAGATTATTGCAACTTTATTCGAATGGAAATTTGTCCCAAGGGAATGGCCTGGCGCTCAACATTTATCTCAAAGATTACTAGGCCTTATCATTTGTTTCATAATAAATTTTGGCCCCTCGGTTTATATATTTGGATTTTTCGACTTAGATGTACACTCAAAGTCTGCTTTCGTAGTTTCTATTGTACAACTGATCATAGGTATCATCACAACGGTGTTTTTCGCAACAAGACCTTTGGGCGGTATGTTTAGATCTTACTTGAAAAGAGGTAAAAAAAGAAGAAGATATATTTCTTCTCAAACCTTTACAGCTTCTTTCCCAAAGCTCCTAGGTAGAAGTCAATGGTTTTCTTATGGCCTTTGGTTCTTTGTTTTTTTGGCAAAATTTATAGAATCTTATTTTTTCCTAACTTTATCCTTAAGGGATCCGATCAGAGTATTATATATCATGGATATGTCCAGATGCAAAGGTGATGCTTTTTTGCAAACTTATCTTTGTAGATACCAGCCAAAAATCACTTTGTTCCTTATAATATTGACAGATTTAGGTTTATTTTTCTTAGATACCTACTTATGGTACATCATTTGTAATTGTGTCTTTTCCATTGTACTATCATTTTCATTGGGTACTTCAATACTGACGCCTTGGAAAAATATTTATTCAAGATTGCCAAAAAGAATATATTCAAAAATTTTGGCTACTTCAGAAATGGAGACAAAATATAAATCCAAAATATTGGTGTCACAGATATGGAACGCAATAGTAATATCAATGTATCGCGAGCATCTATTATCTATCGAGCATGCAGAAAAATTACTATATCAACAAGTTGATTCAATGGCCATGGACAAGAGAACTTTAAAATCGCCAACGTTTTTTGTTGCACAGGATGATTCAACTTTTAAGTCAACTGAATTTTTTCCAATAGATTCAGAAGCTAAGAGAAGAATTTCATTCTTTGCTCAATCTTTGTCAACACCAATAACTGAGCCCGTGCCAGTAGAATGTATGCCAACATTTACTGTTTTAATACCCCATTACTCAGAAAAAATTCTTTTAACCCTAAAAGAAATAATAAAGGAAGAATCATCAAAAGCTAGAATAACAGTATTAGAATATCTGAAGCAACTTCACTCAACCGAATGGAATTGCTTTGTAAGAGATACAAAATTATTGAAAACTGAAAAGGATGCAATTAAAGAATCTCAAGATATTAATGGGGATTTTTCAACCTTTAATTATGGTAGTGCTGAAGATTACGATGAAAAACAGGGGTCTGCTAAATCAGAACAAGAAAATATACCTATAGTAGAGGAATTAATTCAAACAAAGATAAACGATCTACCATATTTTTACTTAGGGTTCAATTCTTCAGAATCATTTTACACTTTAAGAACAAGAATTTGGGCTTCTTTAAGGACCCAAACACTGTATAGAACAGTTTCTGGATTCATGAATTATTCTAAAGCTATAAAATTACTATATAAAGTAGAAAATCCCACCATAATTCAAGTGTACTCCAAGGACCTAGACGCCTTGGAAAATAATTTGGATAATATGTCTTATCGAAAATTCCGGATGGTGGTTGCGATGCAAAGATACACCAAATTTAACAAAGATGAAATTGAAGCAACAGAGTTGCTTTTAAGAAGTTATCCTAATGTTAACATTTCGTACTTACTTGAAGAACCTATAGAAGGAACACAAGAAACCGAATTCTATTCTTGCCTAACAAATGGTTATTCTACAATTAATGAAAAAACCGGACTAAGAAACCCGATCTTAAAAGTCAAATTATCTGGAAATCCAATATTAGGTGATGGAAAATCTGATAACCAGAATCATTCTATCATTTTTTATAGAGGTGAGTACATTCAAGTTGTTGATGCTAACCAAGATAATTATTTAGAGGAATGTTTAAAAATAAGATCGGTATTAAGTGAATTTGAAGAAATAGATGTAATAAGATCAGTGCCCTATATACCGGGCATTGAATATGAAACTGAACCACCTCCAGTCGCGATTGTTGGAGCAAGAGAGTATATATTTTCTGAAAACATCGGAGTTTTAGGTGATATTGCCGCAGGTAAAGAACAAACTTTTGGAACCTTATTTGCAAGAACTTTAGCAGAAATTGGTGGTAAGTTACATTATGGACATCCTGATTTTATCAATGGTATATTTATGACAACAAGAGGTGGTATATCTAAGGCTCAAAGAACCTTACACCTTAATGAAGATATCTATGCCGGTATGAATGCAATATGTAGGGGAGGACGTATTAAACATAGTGATTATTATCAATGTGGCAAAGGAAGAGATTTAGGGTTTGGATCTATATTAAACTTTACAACAAAAATTGGCGCAGGCATGGGAGAGCAACTGCTTTCAAGAGAATATTATTATTTAGGCACACAGTTACCGATTGATAGATTTTTGTCATTCTTTTATGCCCATCCTGGTTTCCATTTAAACAATCTTTTCATTTCGATGTCCGTCCAGTTGTTCTTCTTATTGTTATTGAATTTGGGTTCTCTTAACAACGAAATAATCATTTGTAATTATAACAAGGATGCCCCAATTACTATGTTAGAAAAGCCAATTGGTTGCTATAATTTAAAACCTGCTTTACACTGGGTAGAAATTTTCGTGTTATCAATATTCATCGTATTCTTTATTGCATTTGCTCCATTGTTAATTTTAGAACTATTAGAAAAAGGCATATGGAAAACGGTTTCAAGATTTCTTCATCACTTATTTTCAATGGCACCGTTGTTTGAAGTCTTTGTTTGTCAAGTATATGCAAATTCATTGTTAAGCGATATTACATTTGGAGGAGCTAAATATATTCCAACTGGGAGGGGGTTTGCAATATCTAGAATAGATTTTTCACTGTTATATTCGAGATTTGTTCTTGTATCCATATATTCTGGTTTTCAGGTCTTTATGATGCTTTTATTTGCCACGATCACTATGTGGCAGCCAGCACTTTTATGGTTCTGGATAACCGTCATATCTATGTGTTTTGCACCTTTTATATTCAATCCTCATCAATTCGCATTCTCTGAATTTTTTATTGATTATAGGAACTATATCAGATGGCTATCTTCAGGCAATAGCAAATATGAAAAAGAATCATGGGTAAGCTTTGTAAAGTCATCTAGAGCTCGTTTTACAGGGTACAAAAGAAAAATAATAAACGATAAATCAGAGGTAAATCAGGGAGAATCTAAAAAAGCTAGTTTCAGAAATATATTCTTTGTTGAAATATTTATTCCATTTTTCGTTTTTTTAATAAATTTTACAGCATATACATTTATGAACTCTCAAAATGGTGTAAAAAATGTGAAGCCAACGAATTCTATTATTAGACTAATAATAGTAACATTTATTCCAATTGTATTGAATATGACATTATTGCTGGCACTATTTTCTGTATCATTTTTTATCATGCCATTCATGTCATTTCTTTACAAAAAATCTGGGTCATCAGTGGCATTGATTGCTCATGGAGCCTCAGTTATATTTTATTTGATCAATTTTGAGCTAATGTGTTTTTTAGAAGGCTGGAATTTTGGCAGAACTTTAATCCTATTACTTACATCCATCAATTTACATGTTCTGCTTTTCAAGTTGGTTACAATTCTATTTTTAACAAGGGAATTTAAAAATAACAAATCAAATATTGCTTGGTGGACAGGTAAATGGTATAATACTGGTATGGGTTGGGCTGTCATCTTGCAGCCAATAAGGGAATATACAGTAAAGGTGATGGAATCTAGTTACTTTGCAGGTGACTTCTATTTGGGTCATATTTTGTTGTTTTTACAGACACCATTTGTCTTAACTCCTTTCATAGATTACTGGCATTCAATGATATTGTTTTGGTTGAAGCCTGGCCATATTATAAGCAATAAAAGAATATATACGAAGAAACAAAAAGCTAGGAGGAATAACATTGTGAGAAAATATTTCGTTCTATATTTCGTCATATTATTTTCACTTTTAGCGTGCATAATTGCACCTATCTTAGCTAATAAGTTTTTCCCGTCACCTTCATCCATGATTACTTGGAGTCCAATAGAAGGTTTAATCCAACCTAATCATCAAAAAAACAACGATACAGGGCCCAATGCTCCATCTACTGTATTAACAACTACTCCTCAACTTCCACAATTCAAAACAGTACCTTGAGTTGCTCCCAAGCCTTGACAGACTGTTGCTAATACTTGAGCCTGCAATGATAAGGTGTTAGTTATAACGAATCAGTAACTAAAATATTTGTTTTCATTTGCAGATAAATCAAAACAAAAAGTGTATTCTTTTTTTAGAAAAATAGGTATTAGAACGATTGGAATAATCCCTAGATATAGCAAATGCAAGTTTAAGATTAAAGATTTATCATACAGTTATCATTCAATAATGCAACCAAGGACAATAAATTACGTGTTTGTATTTATCACTATCTAAGGGATGGCTCATTACCTTTGATATTACTTTATCAATCAAGTTGTGCAACTTCCTTCAACATAGCATAGGTTCATGTCACATTTAATGGATTTTAGCGTGTATAATAATCACTATAAACATACATCCAAACAAAATCATTTTTTGTTCCGATCTGGGGAAGTTTCTTTTGGAATTCACTAAATTAGGAAACATAATTTATTGATATATTACCTGTAACAGAACGAATAGCAGATTTTTTAATTTGCCTCAGTTTCTTTTTTTATTTTACTGTTGTTGTTTCCCTCCCCCCTCCTGCTTACTCACTCCCACAGCATCTCAATGATTTCAGATTAACAATTATCGTTAGATTCTAGGATCTCACTCGAAATAAAAAATGAGTTTCCTATAAATTTAAATATATTAGGTGATTCGAAAAAATTTACCTGCTGTTGACCATCGTCGTTTCTTTTTCAACTTGCAATTTTTTACCGATTTCTATTTTCGCTCAGGCTTTTTTATACTGAAAACAGGAAAAAAGAAACTCTTCAATATTTGAAATTTGGTGTCTGTATTATACTACTTTGGGATATTATGTTAGTGCGCGTTTTTACATGCAGGCGAAAAAAACAACAACAATAAATCAAAGAGAAATGTATGGACAATTTTTGCTAAACAATTTCAGCACTATATTAAGAAATTTAAAGTGGTAAACATCATAACAAGAAAGCAAAAATAAATAGATCATTTCAGTTTCGAGATGTTTGTAGGAACAAATATCGCAGGAAGTTAAAGTCGAGGCTTCGAATCTGCAAGTAAGTATGCTTAATTTTTTAACAAAAAAAAAAAATTGTTTTTGATTTCATTTTCGAGTTGTGTGCTTTTTATTCCCCTTTCCTAATATTTTCTTTTTGATTTCATTCCAGAGATTGTTATATATATGTGTTGCTTGGAAAATATATTTAATCGACCATGATTATAAAGTTTTCTTTAGTCTTTGTCTGATTTGATTTCCTCTTTGCTTTAATAAATGTTTTAATTTCATTTCAGAGAAACCAGCAACTGACTTTTTAAACACTATGCTATTTAATAAAGTTACTTCGTTCGCTTTAGCCTCTTTATTAGCAGGTTACGCTACAGCTGCTGACTTGCCAGCTATTGAAGTTGTTGGTAACAAATTTTTCTATTCCAACAATGGTTCTCAATTTTACATGAAAGGTATCGCTTACCAAGCTGACACTGCCAATGTCACCAGTGGTTCCTCCATCAATGACCCATTGGCTGATTTCGCATCCTGTTCAAGAGATATCCCATACTTGCAACAATTAAGTACAAATGTCATCCGTGTTTACGCTGTTAACACTACTATGGACCACTCCCAATGTATGGATGCTTTGGTCGATGCAGGTATTTATGTTATTGCTGATTTGTCTGAACCAGATGCCTCCATTAACAGAGACAGCCCAGAATGGACCGTCGAATTGTTTGATCGTTACAAGTCCGTTGTTGACATGTTTGCTAACTACACCAATGTCTTAGGTTTTTTTGCTGGTAATGAAGTCACCAACAACAGTACTAACACACCAGCTTCTGCTTTTGTCAAAGCTGCTGTTAGAGATACTAAAGCCTACATCAAGGAAAAGAACTACAGATCTATTCCAGTTGGTTACTCCTCCAATGATGACGCTGATACTAGAGTTGCAATTGCTGACTACTTTGCTTGTGGTGACAGTGATGAAAGAGCTGATTTCTATGGTATCAACATGTACGAATGGTGTGGTAATCAAAACTTCCAAAGTTCTGGTTATGCTGACAGAACCAAGGATTTCCAAAACTTGACTGTTCCTATTTTCTTCTCTGAATACGGTTGTAACTTAGTTCAACCAAGACAATTTACTGAAGTTCAAGCATTGTACGGTGCTAACATGACTGATGTTTGGTCTGGTGGTATTGTTTACATGTACTTCGAAGAAACTAACAATTATGGTTTAGTCTCTATCGTCAATGATAAAGTCTCTACTTTAGCTGATTTCAACAACTACTCTAAACAAATTCACAGTATTTCCCCATCTTCTGCTAACACTGCTTCTTACACTCCAACTTCTACTTCAATGGCTTGCCCAGCTACCGGCAGATACTGGAAAGCTGCTACTGCCTTACCTCCAACTCCAAACAGTGGCTTATGTTCCTGTATGGATGCTGCTAACTCATGTGTTGTTGCCGATGACGTCGATTCTAAAGATTACCAAGAGTTATTCAACTATATCTGTGGTGAAATCAGCTGTGATGGTATTTCTTCTAACGGTACCACTGGTAAATACGGTGCTTACTCTTTCTGTAGTGACAAAGAAAAGTTGAACTTTGTTTTGAACTTGTACTACCAAAATAATGGTGCTGTTTCTTCTGCTTGTGCATTCAGCGGTTCTGCTTCTGTTAAATCTGCTACTACTTTATCTGTTTGTTCATCTGCTTTGGAAGCTGTTGGTTCCGTTGGTACTAACATCTACACTAGTGACATTTCTATGGCTTCTGGTTCTTCCACTTCATCATCTTCTTCTGCCAAGAACAGCTCCAAATCTAGTTCTCGTTCCAACTCATCTGGTTCTAGTTCTTCAAGTTCTAGCTCTTCTGCTACTTCTACCAAGTCTAGTAAGAATGCCGCTGGCTCTTCATTCAAAGTTAACATGGCTCAAGTTATGTTATCTTCCTTTGCTACCTTTGCTGTAGCTGCTGGTTTAGGTTTCGCCCTAGCCTAGTGGACATTAGATTCAAAGCAAAATTGTTATGAATTATAAAAACTCATCAGTAGTTTGATTGTTTTATTTAGCTTACATATGTTAACATCATGATATATTATAAATTAAAAGTGATACGTTTTAAAAGTTTATTCTAGAAGATAACAATTTCATAAAATTGTTTACTTTCTATAGTTTTTTTAAATGAATTTTTATTGTTAATGCTATTATATAAGGGTCTATACAGTTTTTAAATTATTTTTTTGGGAGACTTGTTTAAAAGAGAAGCAAACTACTATTACCAGCAGTGTTATGTTAAATTATTTCAAGTATTCGTTACCATAAAGATTTCGTTTAGAGCTTTAGAATCCATTGTTGCTGCTCTTTTCTGTTTGATCCATCTTGAACGGACTGAAAGTCTTGTACTTACCGTAGAAGGAATGTTTGAAGCTGTTGTGCTCACTTCTATGTTATTTTTTAAAGATTTTTTATCTTTCTTGTCTTTCTTATCTATCTTATCTTTCTTATCTTTCTTATCTTTCTTATCTTTCTTTTCCTTCTTTTCCTTCTTTTCCTTCTTTTCCTTCTTTTCCTTCTTTTCCGTCTTGTCTTTCTTATCCTTCTTATCCTTCTTATCCTTCTTATCCTTCTTATCCTTCTTATCTTTCTTGTCTTTCTTCTGTTTCTTACTTTTATTCTTTGAACTCAATTTTTCATCATCATCATCTCTGGATCTCTTTTTATCGTTAGAATAACTTTTCAATTTTTTTGTTTCTGGATCCCAAGTACTGGCCAAAACATCTCCTCGTACAAAATGGATACCCCATTTACCATCTATAATCTTTTGCTTACGTTGTATATCCAATTCCTTGGAAATCTCTTCTTGTTTACCGTTCAATCTGCCCAGAATTCTTTGAAATACATCAAGACCTGCACATTCACCATTATCAAACTCATCTTTTCTTTCTGTTCTCTTGATCTTAGCACCTAAACCCAAGTTATCATCCTTGATAGATACTTTGATATGAGTCTTGTGTGAGGAAGTTGGTGACATACCTAGTCCCATACCAGGCTTCCAGCCAAATTTTTCTAATTGAAGATGACCAAATCTAGAGGTATCATTACTCCAGGCAGTATTTCTTGGATCTAAACCAAATCTTTGCTTTGTTTTCGTACCAGCTAAACCCATTTCTAACGATTGACACAGCTATTGCAACTCTTGGAACTCCTTAACTACAAATTTAACAATACAATTTCTTCAACTCATCTCATCTCATCTCATCTCATCTCTTTTTATTTGCAATTTTTCACTTTATACCATTTTTCTAAAATTTTTCAATATATATACACCTTTACACCGCATTATCACAGATCAAAAATAAAAAGATACATAATAGTAATAGAATTGATCAAACTTCAATCATCTGACAACCATGACCAACTAACAAACTCGATTGAAGACAATGGTTTTTCTATATCTGATCCAGCTAAACTTGAAGAGATTCTCATTCCTGACAATTTCTTTTCTTTGTAGCCTAGGTTTCATTTTGACTGATTAAAATATATCTAGATAGTGATTTTGAATATATAATATATAATAGGCAAGTATATATCCTGCATTGCTTTTGATCAGTTGACCCAGCTAGGATCTAAATATTCATCATCTGAAGAGTATACAGTTCCAGATGGTTTATAATCTTTTAATTTTTCTGCCAGTTCGTAATTGTCAATGATTGGATATACTGCTTCAAAGATTCTAAATCTATCCAGTAGGTTCTTAGCTTCTTCTTCTTCATCGACAGCATCATCTTCGTTTTCAAAGAAATCTTCAATACCGTTATAAGCAATTTTATTTGGAGTTCCGTATTTGAAGAACAAGGTCAACTTGTTGAATACGTCCTTTGTAGATAAGTGTAACAGTTTATCTTTAACATCGAAGGGTTCTACACCTTTGTCCAGCAATATTGCAGCTAGACCAGCTACTACAGGAGATGCCATTGATGTACCTGAATGCGTTACATGCTTATGATGGGATTCTGGGGAATTTGACAATGATCTTATTTTAACACCAGGAGCGAAAATATCTACACAGGCACCCCAATTTGAGAAATAGGCTATTGTTTCAGTTCTGTCATCAAATGCCCCAACGGTAATAGCATTTTTAGCAGAAGCAGGACTTGTCCAGCAAGCACTGACATTTGAATTACCAGCTGCGACCACCATGATCAAACCTGCTTTGAAGGCTTCATGTATGGCTGCGTTAATTATATTATTTCTCACCGTACCCAAGCTCATATTTGCAACACATTGTTTACCTTGTGTTTCTCTCATCAATCTACAATGGTCTACTGCGAATTGAATACCGCTTAATACAGTAGTTAAATTTCCACTTCCTCTACCTGTTAAAACTTTAACTTCGACTAAAGTTACATTTTTGGCTACACCAAAGGTTTTAGAGCCTAGTATTCCAGCTACGTGAGTTCCATGACCGTTTGAGTCACCAGGACCTTCTCCAGTCATGTCAGCTCCTACAATTACTCTATTTTCAAAATCTGGATGTTCTGCATAGATACCAGTATCCAAGATGTAAGCTGCTATGTTGCTACCTTTGAATTGGTCTTCATAATAATAATGAATGAATTCTTTAAATTCGTTTTCATTTCTTATATCGAAAGGTAATTGGCCTCTTGATGAGATTCTTCCTAGATGTCTTGGAGCACCGTACTGAACATTTATTCCATTATCGTCTTCATCATCGTCGTCATCGTCATCGTCATCGTCACCGTCATCGTTGCCCTCGTCGTCGTCTTCATCCTCAGATTCATCATCTACTTCGTCATCGTCATTATCTTCTGAAGTATACCATGGGGAACCCTTTTCGAACATTTCAAATGCTAAATTTGGTACTACATCAGCAACGAATGGGTTTCTTTTCAAACGCTCAACAATGTCAATTGATAAGTTTTTTGCACTTAAACAATTGAAGTCACCAAATGAGTAGATTTTATCCAATTTATCATTACCGATGACGTCTTTGACTTTTGAACCTACACTATTTAACAATTTTGAATTAAAGAATTTTTGTAGAGTGTCTTTATGTTTTAATCTGATAACGTACTCCCGACCATGTACAATTTGGACAATGGTTGACAAATACCAGATAGTCAGTAAGTTGATCAGTTTCATAGTTTGGGTGCTGTTGCTGGCATAAGAGAGAGGAAGAGAGAGTATTGCAAGAGAGTGATGGGATTTTTAAATAGTTTGTAGTAAGGGTCAGGTATAACAAGAATAATGAGTTGAATTGAGTTGAATCGGATTGACTAGCATGGTGAAGTAATGTTCAAATTAGAACATAGCAATAGAAGGGTATTACAAAAGATACCATTTATAGTAGCGCTGCAGTAGTTTGTGTCATTGTGGTTGAATTGTTTCAGATTCGATGCGATGCGATGAGATGAGACGGAATGGTAGCGTAGCACAAAGAGACGAAGACACATAGAGAAAGAGAGGATGGTCAAGTATAAATGACGCAAGTGCAAGATTCAAGTATACGACGCTACCAATGCAATAAGAGCATACCAGAGACCAGAGACCAGACACACAGATACAGAAAAGAAACCATCTTCTATGAAACGTACAAATTAAAAGCACCACGGTGTGAAACAACAAGCTAAGCAAAAGAAGACAAGACAACTGTAAATTTGAAGGGCTCATATATCTCATCGGTTTACTTGATTTGGATATGGAATTGTGATTTAAGATTCGGTTGGTGGTTAGGGGACGGGACAGAAAGAGTTGCGATGGGATGCGATGCGATGGACACATCGTCGTTTAGCTGGTTTATACGTTGTTGAGTCTGATTTCGGGTTCGCCATCTGGAGATTGGCGCGCAAGAGAAAACAGTTGTTCCCATCGTTTAACAAGAACTAGCAAAGCGATTCGTTTTTAAAATTTAATGTTTCTTAATTTAATTTTGGTTGTTGTGTAACAAACAGCAACACCTACTGCCAGCTACTGCTGCATCGTTCCGCATTGCACCTCATCTCATCTCATCTCATCTCACCTCATCTCGTCGTATTTCACTTCAGCTCTCTGCAGCGCATCGTATTTATACTGTGTTACACAAAATCAAACATTCTTGGCTCTATTTCTCACAGATGGATTAGATTAGAGAGAGATACATACATACACACAATATATATCCCAATCCAGACAATATCCATGCATCTTTCTTACAATATTCTTTTGTGGAAACGGACACAAAAACCAAAAAAAAAACCCGTAAAGAAGAACGACAAAGTGCAGTACGCAAGACAATTTATTTTTTGATCAAAACACAAAACACAAAGTCGTAAAAAAAGATTACAAAAAAAGAAAAAGTACGACAGAGAATGTCTAAAAAGAAAAAAAAACACATAACACAAATGCTAATGCTAATGCTAATGCTAAAACAACAACATAAAACAGTGCTCGTCAACAATGACAAACCAACACACACATACACTCTCTCTCACTTTCACTTTTCATCGTAGCTCGAAATAGACACATTAACATTCCAAAAAGAATTCAACACAACCACTTGTCAGAAACAAATAAAAACAACAAAACCAACCGAGCTGGAATCGACTTAATGAAGAAATCAAATAGCTACCAATCTTCCCACTTCATAACTTCATCACTCTCGTTTGAGGATATCCCATACTTCAAAAATATCGAAATTTCTAAAAAACATCAAAAACTCAAATTTCACATTGAGTACGTAATGTCCAGCCATAAAACTCCAGTGTTTGTATGTTTGTATGTTTGTATACAGCTATATATCTGCATGAGAAAGACCTCTCTTGTTCCCTTCCTTCTGCTTTCATTTCAACCAACCAAATTTTAAAAGCTTCCATCTCTGTGATTCCGAGCTGTCCTCCCTCCCTCCCCCCCCATCACCCATCGCCCATCCATTCTCTTGTCTTCTCTGGTCTTGTCTTGTCTTGTCTCTCTATTCCTTTTCGAAAACCTCTCTTTGACTGTATTAATTTTTCACTTTTAATTATGCTCATACGCAATGCTCTCGTTTGAGTTAATTTACACTGGTTGAAATTATGAATTTATTTGCCGATGACATATATAAGGAAGGCTTTCATTCAATCATTCTGGTTTAGTTTCCAACTCTTTCTCATCCAATTTTAATTATTTTTCTTTGCTGTTTCCTCTCATCAGAACCCACTCAAACATACATCCACGGGAGTTCTGCTTATTCCCTTACATCACATCACATTACTCATGAAATTATTAACTGCTGAAGAAATCGAAGCTAACAGGTACCACACCTTGATGGGTGGTCTACAAGGTCTAGGTGCAGGTCTATTAATATCTGCCGTAGGTTTCAAGTACGGTCCAAAGAAATTCCCAAAGTTTAAGCCTTCTGCTTGGCCTTGGTCCATGAAAACAGCTCTATTCATCACTCCACCAACTCTATTGTCTGCTATCTGCGCTGAAGAAGCTTCAAACAAGTTCGACGAAATCACTTATGGTTCTGGTAAAGAATCAAAGGAATACTTGGAAGATCAAGTCAGATGGCAGAAGTTGTCCTTTAAGGAAAAATGTTTGGAAGGTTTCTCAAATAACAGATACAAGATTATCACCGGTGCTTGGGCCCTATCCATGTGGGGTTCTTGGGAGTTGGTCAACAGAGATAAAATTATGTCAAGTGCTCAAAAGGCTGTGCAGGCAAGAATGTACGCTCAATTCATCACTGTGGCTTTGTTACTTGGTTCCATGATGTTAAGCATGTACGAAAATAAATTACATCCAAACCAACGTCAATTGAATGAAAAAAGAAGATGGGAAAAAGCTCTACAACAAGCTGAAATCGATCAACAATTACATGAAGAAGGTACTGAAATCGTCCGTAAAACTGGGTTCGTCTCAAACCAAGACAGAAAGAATGCCAAGATTTTCAAGTACGATTGAGTTCTTTTGACCCCCCCCTCCCACTACACTATTCATCTCAACAATATACATTCTTCCGATTCTTCATAGTCACTTCCCTCATCTCATGTCCTTTTGGTAATATTCTCGGCTAACCGTTATAATCATATTTATTACATATATAAACTCTTTTCTTAATCGTGCAATATCTATATAATGTCCTCTATATTATTATATTTAGATTTTATTAATAAAGATAATTTGTTTTATTTACTTTTGTCTTATATACAAGGGTTGACTGGGAATTATTTATAAAAGCTCTTCTCTGTTTTAAGCTTATCTTCTCTTTCTTAACATCGCTTCTAAATCACCAACATCCAACTTAGTGCCTCTAATGTAATAATGCTTGTTTCTTCTTCTTTTCCTCTTGTTAGGAACATCGTCTGTTCTCTTCAATATGTCAATTCTTTCAATTAATGGTGAAAACATTGGTACTCTCAATTCTACAAACGTTTTACTAATTTGATTACGCAACAGCAATGATGAATCTTGGATCAAACGTTTTCTATCAACACCCAAAACATAACCAACAAATGAATCATTGTCTGATTTATTAGAATCATAAACAACACGAACGATATCACCAGATTTTATCTTTAAAGATACTTCATTAGGTGCCGGAGGATATCTACCTAACATTCTTCTCCTCCATTTCGTAACGTCCAGTTTATCTTCAATATCTTGTTGAGATAACCTTTCACACACCAATTTACGTTCAATATTAGGTTCAGCTGCTGGATATACTGGTATGATTTTTTTACCTGGTTTAACTGGTATTTGATATAGTCTCTTAGCTTGAATTCCTCCAAATCGAGTGAAAAGACCCGCAAAAGAACCGTATTTAAACATTTATACCACAGGACACAATTGAAAACCTCCTTAAACCTTCTGATTGACCCTGAATCCTATGGTTTATTGTTGTTTAACCACAATTTATACAGCTTTATAGATATAGTTGATGAGTACTTTCTTATATCCAAAATGCCCAAAATAAAATTTAGACCCAGAATATTCTAAATATTCGTGACATATGATAAACACGTGATCTCTACTAGCTGTATAGCAAGAGAATATGGTGTATATTACCAAGAAGAAGAGAGAAACATAAAAATAAAGAGATACCTACCCATATACAATCTCTATATATCAATAACCTATCAACTACATGGGTCAATCCTACTCCATCAATATCTCCTTTCTACTCATCAAAAGCACAGCGACACCAGCATGCTTTAAATGCCTGCTGGCTCGATGAGTTGAAGAGTTCAGTTCATGGAAACAGACAAGTATAACAACAACTCACAGAATCATAAATACATACATCTACATGGCCAGTAATCTTTGACTTGTACCTCTTTGCTATATTTTATACTATAGCTACCTTTTTTTGCAGTATTTAAGACACACCAAACATTGAAAAATTGCAAGACACTGAAAAATTACCAAACCTCATCTCATCTCATCTCATCTAATCTTGTTGTTTCATTGATAGTGATTAAAACACCATTGACCAGAGGTTTAGAGTCTTCAGGATGAATATTTGGGTTGCAGCCAGTGATGGTGATGTTGCTGTTGTTGAAAAGTATTTAAATTCAGGTAATGGCTTAACTGCTAACAGTAAAGATCCTAATGGATACACTCCAGTACATGCAGCAGCAGCCTATGGTCATATAGGTTTACTAGAGAAGTTATGCAAAGAGTATGGTGGTGATATTAATGTCAGAGACAGTGATGGTGATACTCCTTTGCATCATGTTGAAGATGCAAACACAGCTAGGTTTATAGTGGAAGAGTTAAACGGTGATTATAAATTGACAAATGAAGAAGGTAAGACTGCTTTAGAGGTCTTTGAAGAGGATAGCGAGTTTCCTGAGCTTATCCAATACATGAGAGTCAAGATGGGGGTTCCTGCAGAGCAAGACAGTGTTTTGGGTGGGGTTGATGGCGAGCAGTTACAACAATTTAAAGAAAGTATTCGTTATACATTGGAAAATGATCCAGTTGATGAGAATGATACCGAAGCTTTAGAACGTAGAAAAGTCTTGGAAAGAATCATCCAAGGTGAGAATGCTGAACAGGAATTGGAAAATTATATCAGAGAACTGGTTAGATCCCAAATGTTCGAAGATAATTCAGAATCGAATAAACGTAGAAAATAAAATTGAACGTTACGAATATATTGATATGTAATCTTAAATAATCACAATAATAAAGTTTTAAAGAATATTCATTCTACATGGAAATACATCTATTATATTTGACATTTTTCTAACTTAAATACTATATACAGAAGAGCTTATGAATAGATTACAAAATATTATTTAAAATTTGCTTGTGTGTCAGCGTATATCTTTGACAATGGTTCTAAAAATGTAAACCTGGAATCCTGACCTTCTTCAATGTCAACCTACGACCAAGAACAGGTTTAGGTAAACGACTTTTAGCCAGCTGTTCTTCTCTATACTTCTTGGCTGCTAGAAGAGCAGCTTCACGATCTCTTTGTCTTTTAGCTTCTAGTTTCCTCATATCCTTCATCCTTTTAAAATGCTTATCCTGAAGGTTATTGTCAATATCACTGTCTTTTAAAATGTAACGAGCACCATTCTCATTATGCAATTGATTCCTCATCAACGATGGTATAACTGATAATACCTGACCTCTGAACAATTTAAGTACTGGGAAGTCCCTCAATACTTGAACTTTAACCCTTACTGTACGCTTCGAAAGAGCACTTAGGCAAACTGAACTTGGACGAAACATACCAAAATATGACCCTTCTGAAAACAAATATCACCTCCAACAATCACCAATGGATCTGTTAGCACTATTTTACACCAATTCTTTAACTTTTAATCCATATTAACTAAGTTTGACTTGACTGTTTTCTATTAATGCTCTTATAATTTTTTTTTTGATATCGATTTTATCATAATGAAAAAAAACATCAGATGAAAAAGAGAAATAGTAACTATTTAAGAACAGAAAGTTGGCTTAAAAGGTTGATTAACAACTGGTAGTTCCAAGAATTACAATCAATCTGGTGTCGTAATTGGGGTTTTTTATTGGTATTGTGAATTTGTTTCAAGTCTGAAGGTTTATTTATCATTAGAATATGTCAGGTTCTTCTAAGGCGAATGCTAAAAACAACAAGAAAGTTGTTGAAGTTGCAAATACAAATAATGCTGGTAATGGAAAGGTGCTGCCTCAACAGATAAATCCTCCACAGGTTTCTTTGCCTACCGATTCATATATTCCTTCTTATTTGAGTGAATTGGTTCCTGAATTGAAGTCTTATCAGCAGTTAATAGAGGCAGAGAAGAGATTAGATGTCTACTTGGCTAGAAAGAAGATAGACCTTCATCAAAATGTTTCCCAATGGTCAAATAATGGTGTTGGAAGTGCTTTTTCTATGGAAAACTCTTTGAACCGTCGTAATATCGAAAACACCAAATACTTGAGAGTATTTATTTCCAATATTGCTGAAAACCAACCTTGGCAAGATCCATCTCAGGAGTTATCCGCTGGTTCTTGGACTATGAGAGTCGAAGGTAGATTATTGGATTCACAGAATGTTTCAGATGCCAACAGACCAAAATTCAGCTCATTTTTCCAAGCCATTGCTGTCGATTTCAAAAAGAAGAAAAATGAATCATCAAGCAATAAAAACGAAACTGATACTGCTGCAACTACAACTACAACTGGATTAGCTTTACCAAATCAAAATCAAGATGTAGAAATGAAAGACGTGGAAATGAAGGATGATGTTACTAAACAGGAAACTGATATAGCAGATGCTGTCGAATGGCATTTTGATTCAAAAAATCCTGTAGAATTTGACGGTTTAGATATCAAAAGACAAGGAACAGAAAACATCGATTGTACAGTAACCATGCAATTAAAAAACATAACAGGTAAAGAATTAGACTACTCACCCGAGTTAGCTTCTATCATTGGTTTATCCCAGGGTTCTTTACATACCGCTGTTTATTCCTTGTACAAATACCTCCTAATAAACAAGTTATTGATCAATGACGAATCAAATAATCAAGGTCCTTCCTCCTCTTCACCATCATCTGAAAATACAAATGGCGAAAAGACAATAGTTCAATTAGACGAGTTCCTGTCGGAGTTATTACCAAACTCAAATATAGATGAAACTGTTCCAAAACCAACCACAATTAAATTGGTTGATTTATTACCGCTAATAAACCAACATGTCTCCCCATTAAAACCAGTTAAAATTAATTACACAATTAGAGTTGACAAAGCTTCAACATATGGCGATTGTGTCTTCGACTTAGCAGTTCCAAATCCTCAACAATCATCAAACGCCAAGGAACCATCAGAAGAATCAAAAGAAGGTCTATCCTTATTAGCCGAATTAAATAATTTGACCACAGAATTTAAACCAAAATTACAAGAATTAGATATGGAAGCAAGTGCTTTACAGCTACAGTTGAATGATTCTGCTAGTAGATATCAATTTTTCAAGAAAATTTCAAGTGATCCAGTCCCAGTTTTACAAGAATACATCGCATCAAGTGCTACTGCATTAAAAGTTTTATCTGGTGATGAAGGATACAATGAAGACACAGTTAGAAGATCTCAATTTTACAAAGATAATGAAGCCATTCTATTTGAAAATTTGGGTGTTTTATTGGCTAATGGTAGAATGTAACCGGGTTGTGAGATATTATTGGAGTCGATTTATGTAGGTTCATTGAATAATATTTAAAATTGTAACTAGTACTTAAAGAATATACGTTAAGAAGATAAAATTTGAAAATAGTCATTCTGATACATCAGGCTTTCAGATAAAGTTCTTGAATAATGATTTGGGTAAAACTTAGTTATTAAATTTTTGGCTTTTTTGGAAGGGGTCCTTCTTTGCCATTTGAAACTAAACCAACATTACCGTTTTCATCAATTTTAACTTCGTAACCTGCTTCAGATAAAGTTTCGTCTTGGACTGCTTTCTTTGCCTCCAGATCAGCTACAAACGACTGGTTTTCTTTGTTTTCTGTCAGTAAGAATCTAATACACATAATACTTCTTTCCTTAATGAAAGGATCGTTATCATCAATTACACAGTTTGATAAGATTAGTTCCAAACCTCTTAGCTCTCTGATATTGTCTTGAACTTCTTTGTTTTCAAATGTTAAATTTGATAGGATTTCAACAAGTAACGACTTACATTCAGGAAAATTTGTTGCTTTAATAGCCTGGTGCTTATAATCAACCCTGTTATTTAACAGTTCACTACTTGTGATTTTATCTCCCAATGAATTTGTTGACTTTATATCTTTGATGTTACCTTTATTGTCCTTGTGGAAATTAATTTTTATTAAATTTTCTTGTAATATTCTGAAGAGTTCTATTAGTTTTTCCAAGCCTTGATAAAAAAGAATGAATTTCTGAACATGTTCATATTCTGACAATTTTGACATTATATCCAAGGAAATTGTAAGTTTTTCATGTAAGAAGATAGCAATCGATTCATCATCTTTCTTTAGCTCAAAGTATTGCTTTACAGATTCTGCCGATTGTTCAAAAATTCTATAACACCATGCCATAATTGCTGTTAGCTGGTATTTATCCCATCTTTCATGGCTTGTAACAACTAATTGCATTAATTTGAAGAACTTAAAGAAATACTCTTCGTCATCCTTTTCTGTTTGCTCAAAATATGGTGCAAACGATTCATTTGAAGCAATTCTTGAAAATAATTTCAAAATATGTATCTCTAATGATGACAAATTATGGATATCCGATGATATATGTCTCTTATTCATATATTTATGAAGACTGGTGTTATATACAACAATATCTTCTAAAATAATATTTCTTAACACAATATTTACATCCTTATGGCGGTAAAAATGGTATAAGAAGTCGTCATTATACGACAAATTCAGGAAAAACAATACATATGGATAGATAAGATCCAATTGTTTCCCCTTATGTAGTAATGGATACTTCAAATAAATCATAATTTCATCCATTGTAGTTTTATCAAACAAATAGAAACCTTTTGTAATGTTATGCAATAAACTGGAAGTGATGATAAACAGAGACACTTCAATCTCCTCATATGTGCTAGAAAGGCTAGTTACATGGGTGAAACTATTAATCACCGTATTCTGTATCAACAGGTCTCTAGCTATTTCTTGATTACTTGCTGACAGGTTTCTTAGTAATAAGATCAAACCTCTCAAAGTCCTTAAATAAATAAACCTAACATCGACACTGGCAATTCGCTGAGACTTATCTGAAATACATCTCCTTAAGGAATCTCGACAATGAACCCAAATATCTCTATTATTAGCCAAAGTTTCTCTATATTTTTCATCTTCTGATGTTTTAGATACCATAGTGCCTAATCCAACTAAAACATCTTGATAAATCTGAATATTTGAGGGACACTCCTCCAACAACTTCCCAACATCATCAATAACCTTCACCACTGATTCAACCATGTTCAACGGATCAGTCTAGTACCTTTGCTTCACTTTTATTCTCTCTTGATTAGACCATCTCATCTTTTATCTTCTCTACCAAGAATTTTTATATATGGTTAAAATAAGAGCGATGAGCTTTGATTATATGATCTAATATACATATGTCATGTATACCAGAAGAACACTTTGGAATTGGTAAAATTATACCTATATATGTTAAAAATGTGTCTATTCTATAATTTACAATGTTATTTAGATTAAGTTCAATTATCTATGTTAACTACCATTAACCAATTGGAGAGATAAAGAGAGAAAGTGAGAAATAGGGTGAGTGAGTACGTATGTAGGTGTATCTGTGCGCGGATGAAGTTAACATCTTTATATATGCAAAATTTCAACATCAATCAAGTAGGATTTCATCGTCATCACTCTCTTCATCTTGTAGAGGTAAATTGGTTACTTTGGAATCGAAGCCTTCCCAGCCTTCTTCATCGTCATCATCCTCTTGTTCCATTTCTTCATCACTAGATTCTGAATCGTTAACCATCATTTCCTCATCACTGATTCCGTCAATTGATCCATTTGTAGACATCAAGAAGTTGTATGAATATTTGTTGTTTGTAGATGTATTAACTGCGTCTTTTGCAATTCTTCCTAGGAACCTTTGGATGGATCTGGTTGCTGTAGAAAACATATGTTTATGAGATTTCATGTAGGTACCGTGTGAGGATAATAAAGCTTTGATCCAAAGTAAATTGAATTCAAAATGTTGAGAGTCTATGGAAAATTCGCCAATAAATTGTAATAACCTAGGTAAGTATACTACTGGCAATAAAGAACTAACCAATTGAATCTCTGAAATAGGAATGGATTCATATACTCTGTTAATTAAGTAAGATTCATTTAACCTGAATGCCATAACTAAAGCATTTAAATATTCCTTTTCATTTAAGGCCTCTATAGTGCTTTGTGGGGTGACATCAACATCTAAATCGAATGGGTCAAACATGATGGTTTCATCAACAGAATACAATAGGATACCTTCAGTTGATGCTGCTGCAAATGCAGATGCAGTTGGTGAAAATTGAATAGATGTAACTCTTATTTCCGGTCTAACCCTTCTAGTAGACAAATCACCACCAGCTCTGGAGCCAGGTAAAGTTTTGTCGATACGGTCTTCTAGATCAGACTCATCACCATCCATATCGATCAAATCTAATGCACCTGCTTCGGTCATACGTCCACTATTCAACAACTCCATTGTACCATTTAGTGTCATGTTTTTAGACACTATAAACCTTCTCAATAAAACTTCATTCGGTATATCATATAGGCAGATAGAGTTATTATTACCACCAGCTACGATAGCAAGGCCGTCAAAACTATAAGATATCGTTGTGAAATATTTCGATCTTTCTGAATTTTTGGCTGTGAAACGATCTTCCATGTGTCTACCTGCTAAAATATCTTTTCTACAGTCGATATTTCCTGTTTGTTGTCCACTCTCAATGTCGAAGATAGTAATTTGTCCCTTTAAAGTAGAAACGGCTACAGATTTACCATCTGGCCTAATAGTCAATGCTAGAACATCGGAAAATACCTCAATTGGTTCGACCTGCTGTGATCTTGAAAATATAGACCAAATTCTAATAGTCTTATCCCATGATGCAGATGCTAACACACTATTTTCTTGACTGAATGCTAAACATGAAACAGGACCCTCATGACCATCTAAAGAATCCAATAATTGACCAGTTTGTACAGACCATACGTGAATTTCAAAACTATCTGACGAACCTGCACAGACGACTTCACCTGAAGGATCGACAGCTAAACAGTTAAATGGAATTCTTTGAGTTGATGTAAATGTTCTAAAATTACGGAATCTTATTAAATCCCAAGCTCTTACTGTACCATCTAATGAAGAAGAGAATAAAACTTGACCTCTCTTAGCAAATTGAACAGCAGTGACCGAAGATGTATGTTCACTAAAAGTAGCTAAACAGAAACCAGATACAACATCCCATACCTTAATTTTACCATCGTTAGCTGCTGTGACAACTCTTGCACCATCAGGAGAATACGTCAAACCATTCAATGAATCAAAATGACCTTGTTGTTTCAAAATATAAGATTCTGATTGCCACTCATAAACTAATAATTGACCCAATGCACTTGAACCGAATGCTAACCATTCACCTGTATTGTTGATAGAAACTGTATTCACGGCATTTTGACCCATTGACAATTGTTGTACCAAGGTGAAACTTGGCAAATCGTATAATCTGAATTCACCATTGCTGAACCCAACGACTAGTAAATTTGATCCTGGGTGGAAAGTTACACATTTTACCTTGGCTTGATTTTGAAAGAAGAAATGCTTTTCAGCAATTCTCCAACTGTACTTAGATAGATCTATCTCTTCATCTTCATCATCTTGATCTTCTTCCAACGACGAGTATTCCCAAATGAATAGAGCACCATCTTTACTGACTGTATATATCTTTTCTTGATCAGCAGTAAAAAAAGCACCAAGCACATTATCTCTATGACCTGCAAATGTTGTAGCAGCCAATTCTTTATCCTCAGAGTAAACAGACCACAATCTTGCTGTCAAATCCTTGGAAGATGATACAATAAATCTAGAGTCATAAGACCAGGTAATTGAAGTAATATCTTCGAAATGGCCAGCTTGAATTCTATGACGAACAAAAGGAGCGAATTGTCTATCTTCAGTGGCATTTGGAGTCTTCCAAATTTGAATAAACCTACCAGTAGCCAATGCAAATAGTTTCCCATCAGGACTAAACTTAACACTTAAACATTTCTCTCTAAAGTTAAAATGATGTAAAACATTTCTTGATTTATAGTTAACTAAAATTGCACGTCCATCTTCATCGACAGATAACAAAAGAGTACCTTGCTGATTCAAATCAAAAGCTGATATATTCTTACGATGCTCATACTCAAATGTAAACGATTTATTATTAATTAAATCAAATACTGAGATCCTATTACCAACTGGTGATAACAAATGTGTACCATTCTCATTAAATATAACATTACCTTGTCTATAAACAGTACCCAAAAGATTGGAAAACTTGAAATCAGACTTCATAGCAAATCAATCACACAATTTCCCTTCAACTGACTACCTCAATCCACAACTCTTGTATGTTTATCAGTTGCTATGTTTCTTATAGTCAAGTTAATTGAAGTTTCAATATTTTTGAACTCATCTCATCTCATCGCATCTTGATTTTTCACTAGTGAAAAATTTTTCAGTACTACTGCTAAAGAGCTAGAGGAAGTAGTTTATAAGAACAAAGGATATATCTTGTAAGAATGGATTATGATAGGGATCATTGGATTGCAAGGCAATTGGGATTGATACTTTGGGTATTTAATTGACTAGGAGCCCTTTTGTTTGGAAGAGAAGCGATAATTTTTGGTAGATTTAGCGATGAGTGAGATTACAGGCAAGCTATCGAATCGAGTAATGAACATGAAGTTCATGAAGTTCAGTAAAAGTAGTACTGATGAAACTGAATCCGAGGTTGTTAGCACTGCTAAGAAGTTTTCCGATAGTTCTGAGTGGACTTTACCTAAACATAAGGGTACCGATGACGATCAAGTTCAGAAGAGTAGTGTCAGAAAAGTTATAAGAGTTAGAAGGACTCCAATTGTTCTTTCAAACGTAGGGGTAGCTACTATTAAGGAAGATGTGAACATCATTAGAGGTAGGAGGATGGTTGGTGAACCTCCTCAGGAACATGTAAAAAGAAGTTCAGAAACTGCAGAAATTTCCTCTGAGAAAGAGGATGACGGTTACGAACCTTGTTTAGATCAACTATTTAAGGAATCTAAGAACTCTCAATCGAATAAGAACAAGAAGAATAAACATAAGAAACAAAAGAAGAGGAATTGATAATGCTGTTTAGCTTTAGCGAACTGACTCTCTCTACACACTTAGTCCGAGTCCCAGTAGCAAGATAACGATATTGCGAATATTACATATTATGATTGCTTATTGGATAAAAAAAAAATGCATCTATTGTTTCTATAATTTTATGAATGTACATATATCAAGTGTTTCTTTTGAAACCTGCCTTAAGGACAGCTTCTCTTGCTGTTGAATTGATATGCTTAAATCTATCAGGGCCTAAGTGGATACCACCAAACCAACGTACCACTACCACCATCACGTTCCACACATCCATAATAGTCACCAAATGCAACATTCTAGAGCCAGCCGCTGTCTCACCATCATCGTCTGAATCTTGGAAGGCAATAGCATCTTGCTTTACTCTCCATGCTGACATGACATGATGTGATTTCCTGATTTTAGGATCTGTCTTCAATTGTTCCAATTTTGCAAATGCTTCTTCTTCAGAATTAACATGTATGCAGAACCCCATGAATGTAGATTTTCTATCAGTGATAGGTTCAGAGGCTACCCAACCTTCAAATGGATCTATTGAAATTATTTCCTCAGTGCTCTGGTGATCGATGTCTTCATCTTCATCTTCTATGTACAATACACCATCTAGTTCAGTCAGGAAGTCAAATACACAGACTGATTGTTGATGATATACAGAATCCATAACCTCTTGAAATAAATGCAATATATACTTTTGATCATACGTACCATTTTTATTTATATTCACTTCAAGCACATTTGGTGCTTTTACAGATGGATATTCCTTAGGGAATGATATTTGAACTGTGACATACTCATGTTGAGGAACTTTCATTCTGATTATACTACAATCATCCAATTTGCTAATTAATAAATCTGGATATATAGCTTCAATGGCTTCAATTTCTTGGACCAATTCTTCATGGTCAATTGACATCCTGATGGTAGAATTCTAATCGAAATATCTCTGGAGAACTGAAAAAGTGAATTCACTGAACCTCTACTGTACTTAAGATCAAATATTATCAGATGCTTAACTTCAATCCATGCTTTTAAGACTATCTTTTGCATAAAAGAGCCACCACCTTTAGTTATGCTTAGTTTAACATTGAAATTTTTCAATTCATCACCGCTATAAAACTAACAGCTGCTATATCTCCAAGTGGATAATTGTTCAATACAATCAAAACCATTGAATATCAGATCATATAAACAGACCAATCAATACATTCAAGCTTCTTTTCTGATCCATGTCATTTGAAGAGTATAAAACCACTGGCAATACCTATTTTAAAGATGGGAACTATTTAAAAGCAGTTGAATATTATAAGAAATGCATTGAAGTTGAACCTGAGAACCCAATTGGTTACAGTAACAGTGCTATGTCTTTGATTAAGTTAACAAAATATACAGAGGCTTTAGAATCCTGTGGAACAGGATTAAAGTATGTTAATGATGCAGATAGTCAAGTTTACAAGAAGTTGCAATATCGTTATAATTTAGCTGATACTGAACTGCGAAAACTATCTAACAACGATGAATCTCTCCATAACATTGACATCTATGAGGTAGATAGCCTGCCAAATGAGTTCATTAACTTATGAGCAACGATCTTGGTACCAGTTTGCATTTTTAAAATATTTATTTTTATATTAAATTGTCAATTATATAGCATCAAAAGATGAAAATAGAACGAACTAACTATACGACTTCTTACACATTACCTTTTACTGTTAACTTCAAAATGTTCATTTATAGAAGATCATTGTTTAATCTTTTAAGTTCATCTGAACATGATTCACAGTAGCTCTGTAAATATGGATTCTTATCCCAGATATCATCCATTTCTGAATTCACAGTGTTACATTTACTTAATTCACTTAGTAAAAATCTTCTGTAATCACCATTGACTAATTCTTTTTCTACAGACTCCAACATTTTTAACTCTGTAAGCAATTCATTTCTCTTTATATCTAATTCATTTCTGGTATCCTCATAAATATTATCACTTTTGGCAACTTTTGCCCTAAATGTCAAATATGCAGAATTTGGATCTTCCACAGCAACCTCTTTAACCAAGGAATTTAATTTATCTAATGTTATAACTCTTATCATTTTCATATTATCCCCATTTTCCATAAAGTTATTCATTGCTTTGTTAATACCTCTTACCGAGAAATAAGAATTAACAGCTTTACCTGAATAACCAATATTAAATATAAGAGATAAAACCAAGGCTAACAGTATTGTGGAATTCAATCTCATTAATGTAGATATCAAATATAATGAAATGGCAAACCCCAACTTAATCCCATTCTTAATCAATTTAATTGTACGGAAGATTAACCATTTCATTAGATATCTTAGTATTACAAATAATGAAAAAGATATATCAAATGTGACACCTTTTCTTCTTGGCGTATTTTTAATAAGATCCATTTCAGCTTCAGTTAAATTGGCTACTGCTTTAGGTTTCAGAACTGGTAGCATACCACAGATACTAATTGCTTTGCTTGTTTTACCATGCTTACCAATCCTGTCCATATAATATTTAATCGCCTTTCTTCCCAAGTAATGCTCTCTATTTGACCCAATTAACATAATCTTCTTTGCAAACTTTTCAACTCTACTTAGATTTTTCTTTGCCTTTTTAGTCTTTGGATCTATAAATGTTATCTTATAATAATAACTTAATAGGGATTTTGCACCAGCATCTACCGCCTTCGTTTTATTTTGTACAGTAGTTTGAGGTAGCTTTGATATGATACATTTAGTACTGATGCCACATGGATCACAGAATGGCAATTTTATAATAATCATATCATTATTTATCTCATAATATTCGTTATTGATCATCTTAATTATCCTTTGGGTCATACAATAATCGGAAGAAGTATGAGATTGAAAGAGTGGATTGTCAGGATGAACCTTGAATTTCATTTTTAATTGAAAAATAATCTTTCTTGTTAATTGAACCTTTCCATCTTTAGTCTTATCTTCTATCCAACATAAATTCATATTAAATTTGCTATCATGTTCTGCTAATAATACAGAATGATTGAATGCTTCAGAATGATCACCATATAGTATGTGTAAAATAACTTTACTTGAAAAATCATAAACATGTCTATAGCCAACAGTGTATTCTTTGTCAAATTTCTCAAGCAATCTTATCAAATTAACTTCAGTACCAGCTGAGCTATACATGGAATCTTCAGCAAAGTCAGTTTGAAAACTGGGTGCTATCGTAGTATCTGCACGCAATGCTTTTTGCTCTATTTCTGACAATTTATTAAGTAATTCGTTTCCTGTCATCGGATGCATTACCAATTTATTCTCCAACAAGAATTTCACCTTAGCTTCAATTACATCAATTTCATCAAAATAAACATATGCCTTTGAGCTTGATCCATCAAAGTTATATATGTTTAATAAGTGTTTATCATATTTATCCCTATCCATACCAACTACTGAATTTAAGTTCTTACGAGTCAGGCATACAAAACCCATTGTATTCATATAACTGTAAACATAATTAGGAGTAATAAATACAATAGTAGAAAACGATTGTTTGTCATTTGGATACCAGAAACTTCTATATGAAAACAATACAATCTCGTCCTTGGGTTTTATATGGTCAATATTAAAAGAATAAAAGATGGTCTTGAATTGGGCGTCAACTATTCTGGCCTTTTCTGAATAACTCTCTGGGAAAGTAGGTGTCTCCCTTAGTATAGCAGATGGTATTGGTTTGAACATATTTTCATGTTCTTCTTGTTTCTCTGAAGAATTAGTAACTGAGTAATCTGACCAATTTGTTGTACCCCAGATATTAACAATTGATACCTGAGGGATAAAATTTGTAGTAGAAAACAAACTTTCCAGTAATGCTAGTTGGGTAAACTTAGTTGTTATGGGAGTGACAATCATGTTGTAATTGTATATGGGTTCTAAACTACGTTCATCATTCAGAATTGCCAGTGAATCATATTCCGTAAGTTGAGCATTTAACATTTTTAACAGGCTTGCTGTTTCTATTGAAGTTGTGGTAATCATACTGTCACTTGAAGTTGTTGAACTACAGGCGAATTCACAATATTTTGGTGGGAATACGTTTGTCGCAAGATAATGACCAATACTTGTTTCTGGGAATCTATTTGCGAGAATTTTGGCATTCTTGAATGTAGTAAACCAACTTTTCAATTCCTTTAAATTTTCTGCTTGGAAGGTCAATACTATATTATCTGTCTTATTGGCAATAGAATAATGTGATTTTTTTTCTTTATTTATGTGAACATTGAAACAGAATTTCCTTGGAGAAAATGATTCAAATCTGACATCTATTAACGAGACACCAAACTTATCAGATTCCTCCACGTATGTCTTCGAAGGAGAAAGAGAATATACACCAAACACAGAATTTTGAACAAAACACCACTTTCTGACCCAAATTGTTCTACTTGGCTTACCTACAGAAGTTTTCATATATAACCAACCTGCAAATTCAGGACTGGAGCCAGTCCCTGATCTAGACTTTATGGAGTCCAGAATTGTAGCATTGATATCTTTAATAGTATAGTCTCCAATTTCTCTTGATGGAGTAAAACGTGCAATTGTAAACTCCAAAAGTTGTTTTTTTACATGTTCCATATCCGCAGTCAATTGGCTTGTGGATACTATTGATTTTTTAATCCATGCGTCATAAACATCAAGATAATCAGTCAAACTGCCAGTGACGGCCTTGTTTAATTCATTTTCTTGTACCCATGATTTTTTAGATTTCAATACTTGTAAAGTGTCTGCTAAGAACTTATCCATCCTCAGTTTAAAAGAAGATATCGCGATAGTTAAATCCAACGAAGCCTCTAAATAACTTTTTTTAATATCAAACAAGTGGAATGCATCTTCCATTATGCTGTTAGAGTTTGCACCTCCTTGTAAAATGTCTACAGATTGGAAATTTGCTAACATTGTATCATATTTCGATTGGTAGTACGTAAAGTTAGTTCTCTTTTGCTTATAAGGTTCTATAGCATCGTTGACCAATCCCATTGCCAGCTTGGAATGATTATTAATATCTCCCATGACTAGTTGGAACAACTTAACAGAGAACTCATGGTAATCCTTATTAAAATTATCCACTAGTAATGGTGTAAAAGACTGATTCAAAATAAACCCATTACTTAGCATCACGGGAGAAGGTAAGAAATGTGGTAATAAAGTTTCATAAACCCTTCTGAAGTTATCAGCAGCTGGTGCAAACTTTGTATCTAGAAAGTCTAGTTTCTTCTGCATTAAATCTTCAAAGATCTCTACTCTGGTATGGAAGAAGTTTACCGAAGCTCTGAAAGCAGGGGAATCCATAGAGGCCTCTTTCAACTCCACAGATATCAATCTCAAATGAATACCGCCTTGTTTTTCATCCTTTTTTGAAGTAGCCATTATTAAGATTTGTTATTATCATACAAAAATAAACCTGCCCTGTTCAGTGCCAAAAAGAATTAACTCACAGAGACACAACACTCACCAAAACTACCTTGCCAGATACCTCTCGACCAAAAATATCTAATAGCACAGTATTCAGTAACCTAACCTGACTGACTCTTGTGTGGTTTAAATAAACATTGCCAATGTAGTTATCATATACACTTTAACCATTTCGAAATCTTTATAGTAAGTAAATTCTCGGCGATACCCAATAAGGGAAATGTAGGCCAAATACTAGAAAGGCACACGGCGCTATCAACGATAGAATAGTGAGCACTATGAAAAGTTGCGATAGACAACAACGAGACCAAACAGAGGTTACAGACACCAATACATGGTGTTTCCGAAACCATTAGTTTCAAGATACCGACTGATTGGTTCTTATGTATCCTGTACCTCGAACATGAGCAGGACGACAGCAGTCGTTAATGGTGTGGCTGTGACGGTAATTGAAAAGCCATAGGGGAGAGAGCTGTTATGGCAGTATGTTAAAATAATTGAACAGGCCTAGAGTTGTATATAGAGGGAAACAAAGACATATATATAACGAATACATGAACTAGTCGTTGACACTAGGTGAGTCAGCTGAATGAACTCATCAGTGCGTGTGTGTGTTTCCGCATCACGAGACATCTACTTACCCTGCCTTCCCATACGAGTATGCTCACCAACCTTCACCCAATCGCGATTCGACCTGTTGCAGAAGCATTAAGCCTCAAACAAGTTTCTTGACTTCCAGCAGAAACACACATGCCCAAGCGTTCAACATGCAAAGTGCAAAGTGCAACTGCTCACCTAACTTATATCCCAATGCCTTCCTCGTTAACGGTTCCTCCATCCCATTGTTAATTATAGCATCCAACATACCTTACCAAACTAATCACTACCAACGATTACCATTATTACTGAACATTCGGCCCCTATCAAATATCCAAATTGACAAATACCAACCAAGACAAGAAGAACCTTTCGAATACAATTTCGTTAAGAGAACCCTACTTTTAATACATACATGTATATATATACATGTATATGTTTTAGTTTGGTTGTTTTTAATTAATTGTAATTTGTTGCTTCTTTTACAAGGTCTATCAAGTGTGGTATTGTGACAGTTAGTTACAGCTTTGGTACTTTTTTCAAACAATTAACGTCAACTTGGGCTTACTGATATCTGTGAAACTGCCAAATGTCAAGAGCTTCATCCGATTTGCAACGAGCTATAAAGAAAGCTTGTACGGTTGATGAAGAGGCTCCTAAGAGAAAACATGTCAGAGCTTGTATTCTGTATACTTGGGATCATCATTCTTCAAAGGAGTTTTTCCAAATTTTGAAAAATGGCAATTATATGAATGATGAGATTCAATTATTTAAAATGCTTATTTTAATTCATAAGGTTATTCAAGAAGGTCATCCAAGTGCTTTAATTGCCGGTATCAAGAATAGAGAATGGATTAAGTCCATGTACAGGGTCCACGGTGGTTCTTCTCCTTATGCGAAATTGATTGCCAAATATGTAAAGTTTTTAATTATGAAATTGGATTTCCATGCTCACCATAAAGGTTTCAGAAATGGTACTTTCGAGTACCAGGAATACGTCTCTTTGGTCTCGGTTTCTGACTTGGATAGAGGTTATGAGACTATTCTGGAATTGATGGCTTTACAGGACTTGGTAGATGAATTCGCACAATACATCTTCGCCTCCATTGAGAGAGGTTATACCGCGGATTTGAAAGTAGCTGGGTTGGTCCCACTAATTGCAGAATCTTATGGTATTTATAAATTTATCACCTCCATGTTGAGAGCCATTTACACCCAATTGGATGATGAAGGTCTTGTTCAAATGCTTGAAGAAAAAGTAATGGAACAACATTTAAGATTATTCGAATTTTACGCCGATTGTGCCTCTATCAAGTCTTTGTCCTCATTAGTAACTATTCCAAAATTACCAAGGGATCCACCAAGCATGGCTCCAAAACTAGAGTCTGTTACTTCCGCATCAAAAAATTTAGCAAGAGAACCTTCACCTGCTATCTCAAACCAACAAAGGTCAATGACTCCTCAATCGATTAGCAGACAAGCTTCCCAACGTCCACCAGCTTCTTCTTCCGTCACTCCTTTAGCTACTCCTGCAAATGTTCCTGACTTTGCTACTGCTCTTGCCACTGCTCCATTAAAGAGAATGTCTACCGCCAATGCTTTCCCACAAGCAGCTGCAATGACAGGTGGTGCTAACCTTACAGCAGCAGCCACCGGTTTCTTTGTTCCTGTTACTACAGATCTTGCCGCCAACACTGCATACATGAATGCTTCCTTGACAGGTGGTGCTAATGCTACTATGATGAATCCAGTATTAACTGGCGGTGCAAATAATGCCTATATGAACGCAGCTTTAACTGGTGGTGCAAACAATGCTTACATGAACGCAGCTTTAACTGGTGGTGCAAACAATGCTTACATGAACGCAGCTTTAACTGGCGGTGCCAATACAGCTTATATGAATGCATCATTCACTGGTGGGGCTAACACTGCATACACTAATGCTTCCTTGACAGGTGGTGCTAATGCTACTATGATGAACCCAGTATTAACAGGTGGTGCAAATACCAATATGATGAACCCAGTGTTAACAGGTGGTGCGAATAATGCTTATATGAATGCATCGCTAACTGGCGGAGCTAATCCATCTATGATGAACCCAATGTCTACTGGTGGTGCTAATTCTGCGTATATGAATACTAGTTTGAGCGGAGGTGCTAATTTACCATATATGAACCAAACTGGTACTTTGAATAATCCTGCATTAACTGGAACCAACATGGCTCCAACAACTTTTATGACCTCTACAACAACAGGACCAACCACAACATTTATGAATTCCAATAATACAGGTGGTGCCAATTCAGCTTCTATGACTACTCTAGCAAATCAATTTACCAATTCCATGACATTAAATCCTACTGGTTCGATTCAAGCAAGCTTCTCTACACCCTCATTACCATCTATGCAGCAAAATAATAGCAATCAAACTGGTAATTTAGTTCAACAAATCCAAGAAAATCAAGATCTTTTACAAAAATACGATGATCAGTTACAAAAAAATGAAACCGAATTAAATAGATTAAGACAGCAATTGGCTTATAAAGAAACAGATATGAAGAATGTCCAAGATAAATGTGATTCTATCTCTAAACTTTATTCACAACTACGTCAAGAACACTTAAGGATCTTACCTCGTGCACAAAGCTCACCACAACAAACTCTAGATTTTGTATTACAAGCATCAATCAATAACCTACAACTACGTCCAACAAAGGAAGATGTCTCTAAATTTGCAACTGAGTTAGCCACACACATGAATAATTTCATTGTTTCTAACTCGGACTTCAACAACGTTGTATATGCAGCAACAGCTTTCAGTAATGCTATGGCTACACTAGCAGCAACTTCATACTCCCCAGAGATTGCCCAAAGGTGTTCGTATCAAGCTCAACAATATTTAACCCAGCTGACATCCAGCGTTTTATCTCCCCTATCAGTGGAGATAAAGACTGATACAGTAATCAATGCGAATATAGAAATGCAAAGAGCATTACAACAACTTTGAAGCCCCCATTTACTCAGTACAAGAAATACAAATAGAGTTTTGAAATCTCGACCAGACTTGGGGCCTAGCTCAGATTTGAAAAACACAATACAATCTGACTAAACTATAACTAATTAAGAAAATTTGTATAATATATACTCAACCTAATAGTAATGATAATAATTGTATTCTAAATGTAATACAAACAACAGTACCTCATCTCTTCATCTTATATAATACATCACCTAAGTTTCCTCTATTCTACAGGGCCATTTTATCTCTCAGGCAACATTTTCCCCATAACGAAAATTTTTTTAAATGCAATATAATAAAATATATTCATGCATATATAAAAAGACATGGATGGATACAATAAGCATGTACTGAAGTTGACAGGTTAGGAAGAAGAATATAGTGCAAGTGGGATAGGAAGGACGTTGTAGCAATGCCCAGAATCAAGACAAATAGGACAAGAAAGGCCCCTGATGGGTTCGATAAAATCGAAGAAACTCTAAGAGAATTTGAAATACAACTTAAAGAAATTCAAAACAAGAAGACGTCCAAATTAAGTGCCAATTCTAAGGAAAACGAATGGGAGATTATGAGAATCAACAACGAACGGTCTAGATACGTGTATAGTTTATTTTACAAAAGGAAAGCAATCTCCAGGGACCTATATGAATGGTTATTGAAGGAGAAATATGCAGACAAATATCTTATTGCAAAGTGGAAAAGAAAAGGTTATGAAAAATTATGTTGTATCCGTTGCATTCAAACCGATGAAACGATACAGGGCAAAACATGTATATGTAGAGTGCCTAGAATTCAACTCGAGAACGAATCATCTAGACAAGAGAATAAAGTAACATTCCAGCAATGTGTTCACTGTGGCTGTAGCGGTTGTTCAAGCACAGACTGAAAATTTAAAATTAAAAGCTAAAAGGAAAAGTAGAAAACAAGACGAAACAAAACATTAATTAATTGGCATCGAAAAGAACATACCATATTTTCGAAACTGCCTCATTCTATAATCCCAAAATGTCAAAGAAGTAGTTCTTCATCGACAAGTTCTAGCTTCCAATACCTAAAACTTACCTCTCCCTACAATGAATTTACCAACACTATTTTCGTTTCAAGTAAAAACTTCCAATAAAACCACTAGACTACGACCCAGGATAAAAGAAACTGAATTAGTCCCTATCATACTCCCCCTCCAACTATAGATAAATATAACAAATCAAAGAAAGCACTTATCAGACCACTTTAGTATACCAATACCAATACCAATACCGCATTGCATCGTAATGTATCTATTAAGTGCAACGTATCGTATTGCATCGTATTGGTATTGGTATCTGCAACTTTCATGTAACTTCTTATGGTCAGATTAGTGGTGCATGACACGAAACTTCAATGAAATTAATTATTTTTTTCTTTTGGAATTTACGCGTCGCATTTTCGATAATTTCTTTTAATAAAAAAGATGACATTTCGCGTTCCTCTGAAAAGTTTTGACGTGAATTGTATATAAAAAGACATGAATCTAGAGAGATCATTTCAAGTGCCAGTGACAATATATGATGTGGGTAGTTTCTGATCTTGGGTCTGTGTCGAGGTAGCTTTGGTTTGGATTCTGTTTTGCTTTTTTGATCTGATCTGCTTGATTTTTAAATTATTTTTTATTTTTTATTCAGTGGGATTTTCTGATCAGACCTTATATTTTACATAGACAGCTTACTTCTAATTGATTTGATTCCAGTGGAAACGTAAAAAGCAAACTGGCTGGCAAGGTATTAATAAGACGTTTTGCATTGTGAGAAACTTAGGGCACTTCTCTGTTTTTTTGATTTCTATTTCTTTCTTTTTTGCTTTATTTCACTTGGTTTTGTTCTAATTTATCCTGTTTTGTTTCCTTTTTCATTCACTGAATTAAGTGTATCATTACCCCTCCTCCTTTTGGTTCTCCGCTTCCTCAACCACATCACGCCTTGTAGATGAGTGAGGTTATTAATACAGTTGCAGTATTGCAGGAACCTGTCGGTGTTGATCCTTTGATGGATCTGTCAACAAACGTTCAACGCCAACCCGATTCCTCCCCTATTGCAATGGTGAAGAGAAGTTTCAGCGATTTGAACGACGGCGATAGTGTCGATACAAAGGATATCATCACTCCTCCAAATTCAACAATTAGAAATAGTAAAAGTGACAAGAATAAGTCACACCGTCAACCTTTATCTCCAGAGATGTCTTCTCCGATTACTCATTCAAAGACTAAGAAACAGAAAAATGAAAGTAGTACCCGTTCAAATGGTAACTTGACGTTAGATGAATTGATAGAAACTTTTGCTACCAGAAAGTCAAGAGGTGAACTTAATAAAAAACCTCCTTATTCATATGCTACTCTGATCAGTTTGGCAATCTTACAATCAGATGATGGTAAATTAACTTTGTCACAAATTTATAATTGGATTTCTTTACATTTCCCTTACTATAAGCAGAAAGATGCTGGTTGGCAAAATTCTATTAGACATAATTTGTCATTAAATGAAGCCTTTGTGAAAACTGAAAAATCTGGTGATGGTAAAGGCCATTTTTGGGAAGTTCAAGTAGGTTATGAGTCAAGGTTCTTTAAAAATGAAACGCGTTCTCTTGAGAATATTAGAGAAACTTTAAAATCAATTGAACATTTTTTCGAACCTGGCACTGAAGTTTATAACGATAGCGAAGTACCGGAAGATTACAAGAATGGCGAACAAGAACATTATTACGCTTTTAATAATGGTTACGCTCCTTTCGATATCGACGGTGAACAAATTCAGCCTAAACCTCAAGAAATTAGAGGTAACAACGTAACTACGACTCCCGATTATCCTGTCTGTTTGTCTCCATCGGTTGCCATTCATTCTAATTCAACTTTTAGTGCAAATAAGTTCTCTCCTGGAGGTTCTTTGGAAAATAATTCTGATGGGAACTTGGCAATTCCTCAGGGTCATCTTAAAAGATTTCACACAACTTTGGGACTGCCAAGGGTATATGATAAGAATAATTTATTATTCGAAAATTCTGGTAATCCCTTCAATCCAATTTCTTCCGCAAATTTATTGAAATCACCTCAAAATTTCAAAAGATACACTTCTTCATTTAATTCAAGTTTCGAAGAAACCTCACCTTTACCAACTAAAGAACATAATAGAAATTTCTTCGAAGCTCAAGAAGATAATGAATCTATAAATGAAGAAGAATTAGGATCTTCAACATTATTAACAGCATCACAATCAATTGTAACAGATCTTCTGAAAACACCAAAAGTAAAAATATCAGATAATTTAGATAAAACACCAGTTCGTTTTATAACCACTCCTCGTGATGACAGCGCAATACTTAGAAAATGGCAAACACCTTCAAATCTATTCGAAGATTTTTACTGCTCACCATTATTTAAAGGTATGGGTACACCAGTAAAATTTACAAATAATGCAAATAATAATACAAGTAAGATATTATCCCCAGATGGGACACTAACAATGCCACATTTAATGAGAGAGTCAGATAGATCAAAACTTTCAGCAAGTGGATTATTTGGTGTTGATGTGTATTCGGTTTGGAAAAGAGCAACTGAAAATGCTCAAACAAACCCATCAGATGCACATTCTGATGAATATTCGAAATAGTAATTTAAAATAGGTGTTGATCTATGTTAGGTTTTTTTTTATCAATAATAGATTTCATTCAACTACGAAAGTTAGAATGAAATAGGAGAAATTTTTGGGTTTATTTATTATAAATTGGGAGGTTGTATAATTAATTGGGATATACAAGCCATGTATTCTAAAGAACTGGAATAGTATTTGTCATTTTAACAAATCAAATATATCTTCTGAAAATACATGGACAATAAGTAGCGTTGATAATTAAAGTTGAGACATTGTTGGATTTTGTCAAAAAACTATTGTAACAGTATTAAGTAATCTATATATATAATAGATATATAATTGCGTTCAAATAATAATTTCATAAATTAATCGACTACAGGGAGTATAAACCTGTTGGTATTAATGAATAATATCGATATTTGTTTTTTTTATCAATAAATTTGGTTAATATGACACTTCTTGTCTATTGATCTAGAATTTCTACTCGATTTCAATATCCATTGAAAAAAGTTGAAAGGCATCGATTTATAAGAACAACAACAAGATAGAGTTTTACATTTGGTAGAGTTGGTTACTAAACCAGATAAGATTGAAATTCTTATTTATGATGGATGTAAAGGTTAGTGATCCTTCTGATTTTTTAAGCTGTGCTATACCTAATCTTTCTCAATTGGATACGCTATTGAGATGTCACATCTGTAAGGATTTTTTACGTATTCCTGTGTTAACACCTTGTGGGCATACCTTCTGTTCTATATGTATACGTTCATATGTTAATTCTGAGTCTAAATGTCCATTATGTTTGCATGAGGTTAGAGAATCAATGCTTCGAAGTGAGTTTCTCACTAATGAAATTGTAGAATTTTATAAAACTATAAGAAGTGATCTATTAAACAGGTTAGCTAATGATAATGAAGATGGAGATGCTTCAATTATAGAGTTGGAATATAACAGTGATAAGTTAGATGATGAGCTGCAAATAATAGCAACAGGTTCTTCTTCCAAGAACAAGTTTGTTGAACAAAAAGAGGCGAAAAAAGTTGTCAAGAAGACCAGCAATATTCAATCAATGCTTAAATCCCAGAAGCTTGGGAAACAGAAATTTAATGATAAGTTAGCTCAATGTCCTATTTGTTCAGATTTTTTCCCAATCCAACTCTTAGAAAGAACTCATCTTGATGAATGTCTGACAAATCAATCGCTTAAACCAAAAACAAACAATGACATAACTAAGATAGAATTAGACGAACTTCCTGTCGAGATTAGTAAGTCAAAGAGTTCTGAAAGCATTAAATTAAGTGAATCATCAAGGATAAATAAAGAAGCATTGTCAATACTTCCTAGGGAAAGACCTTCATTTATACAAAGATATGAAATGTCATCTGCTAATATCACCAACAATAGGCTACCGAAAGTCAACTTTAATTCAATGTCATTAGGTCAAACTCGACAGAAACTGTCAGCTTTGGGTCTTCCAACAGCTGGAACTAAGCAGGCTATGATAGATCGTTATAATCATTATGAGATTTTATGGAATAGTAATTTCTGTGATTCTTTGGATCCAGTCGATGAATCTGAACTGAAAAGACAATTGGTTAGTTGGGAAGCATCACAGAAGGAAACCCCCATCATCTTCTGTTAATACTATTTCAAATTTGATGAAAAGAGTTAAGAATAGTAATAATAGCACATTAAACTACCATAAATTATTGGAAAGCTTCAAAACAGATCAATTCAATAGGAAAGAATGGATAAAAATGTTCAATAAAGAATTTAAAGAACTTAAGAAGGAAGCAAGGCAGAAGCTATATAAAATAGAATCATCAAAAGAACCAATTTCAGCTAGTGCTGAATCTGATAATTTGATTCTTATTAAAGATAATAATGAAACAAATTTAAGCAAGGAAGATTCATCAATAGATATCAGTCTCACAGATAATGACAGTAACTAGAGCATTTGTATATAAGAATATGTTATAGATATAAACGATTAGCATCAATATTTTTAATTTAAAGTCACTAAATTAATCCGTCTTTATATCATTATATGGATTTAGAAGTAGATAATTGTATAGAATTATCAATTTATCTATATACTATCAATTCTTGTTACATCAATATTACAGACCTTAAGGTTACTATGGAATTCCAAACTTGGTTAACTAAGTTTTCCACTTTGGCGATGCCTCCATTGTTGTATAAATAATACTATAAGATATCGAATTCAGCTAGAGTCATAGATTATTTTATAAAAACTGCGAGTTCTTTAGAATCAACATTTATTGACGATAAAAGAGATAGATACCCAATATATAGATGCTATTACAATGGCAGTTGAGTTATCTGAGAAGTTAAATTTAGATAATCATCTAATTAGAACTAAGAAAGTTCTTTCTATTCAATCTCATGTAGTACATGGATACGTTGGTAATAAAGCATCAACCTTTTCATTGCAATACAAAGGTTGGGATGTAGATGCATTGAATACTGTTCAGTATTCTAATCATCCAGGGTATGGTCAATTTAGTGGGTTTAAAACTGATTCTAAAGATATCAGTAATATTTTCCAACAAGGACTTATATCAGGTTTAGAGATACAATACGATGCTATCATAACTGGTTATATTCCAGATATTAAAAGTTTAGAGTTCTTAGGTGAAGAGATATCTTCATTGCGTGAGATATGTGATACTTTAAAGTGGATTTTAGATCCTGTCTTGGGGGATAATGGGAAGATGTACTTGGCTGAAGGTATCAAGACAACCTACAAGAATATCTTATCTTCTAGCAAGATATATTTAACTACACCCAATCAATTTGAAATGGAAATGCTTACTTCTATGAAGATTAATGACATATCATCGTTACGACAGGCATTTGTAATCTTTCATGAATTATATCCAAGAGTTGAGAATATAGTAGTTACAGGTATTGAAATCAATTATAGAGAAAATGGATACATTACAGCAGCGTGCTATGCTGGAGATGAATTCACTACCACCAACAACACCTCAAATCAATTGCATATTAGTGGATATGTAGTACCAAAGATTCCAGCACAATTCAGTGGCAGCGGTGATCTATTCACATCTTTAATTATGAATGAAATGATAACTAAATCAAATATTGCCTCAACAGATCCTAATGAAACCCTTTCTAGAAAACTAGATATAGCATTAAATCAAACACAAGCAATTTTACAAAGAACTTATAATCATTTCAACAACAGAATAGTCGATGGTGATATCAATAATAATTCAACTTTAAAGATTAATGATTTAAGATTGATTCAATCTAGGGATATCTTATCCAATAACAAATTTGAAAACTTCAAATTCGAACATATAACCATCTGACATCAAAATAATAAACTGATAGATACAGTTTACTTGTATATCATCAACTTGTAGAATTATAAACCAATTAATCAATAACATCTCTTGAAATAATAACATTAAATTAAGTCGATATCCATCTCTTAATTAAGGCCTCCGGAATCAAAACTTCATATTTAAAGTGATTATCAGGGTTTATAACAATACAATCATCATAAATAGTACTAGATAGTAACTAAGAGACACTTGGAAAGGGTTAATACAAGTGATTTGACATTCATAAGTTTATATAAGATGATTTCTAATGATTATACCAAGTTTTCTAGTAAACGGAGGTCGTTAAGGTATAGTAATAGGATACTGTTATTGATGGGAACGATATTATTGATAGTAGTTTACTTTTATTCAGATATATTGGTCGATAAGAGTATTATTATGTTTAGAAATGAAAATAAAGGACAGATGCTGTCAGGATCATTTACTCTGAGGCATATTTATAGACATGGTGTTGATAAAGGTCATCGAACGCAAGAAGTGTTGGATATTACTAAACAAAACGAAGATGCGTTTGGAAGATATTTTAAAAGGGAGTTAGACGAATTCAATGCCAATGCGGTTGGATTGAATACTGATGATCCATTAAGAGAGCTATGGACTTCAGACAAGCAATTTATTACAGATAATCCATTCAATTTTAAATTTGGGCTTAAAGGGAATAAACAAATATTGCATAGGATGGTCGATAGAGATCCAAGTTTTATAGAACCATATTTGGATTTTGCTAGAGAATCTCCAGATATGGCAGCTAAAGTTACTATAGATTGGGTTGAGGGCGGTGAAGTCGTTGTGGTTCCAGATATAACGGATAAAAATACAGTAGTTTCTTTAGCACTTATGTCATCCAATGCTTATGTTAGGTTACCATATACAGATGATTGGAGAAATGTTTCTTTGCCTTGGGATAGCAATGATACTCCTGGTTATGGCTGGGAAAGCAATGGTATTCGTGGGCATGTATTCGTTAATGATTTGGAAAATATAGTTGTAATTTCCATTAAAGGAACCAGTGCCCAAGGTCTGCCTGGATCAGGAGAAGATGAAACTACTGGAAACGATAAATTAAACGATAATCTGTTATTCTCATGCTGTTGTGCCAGAGTAAGTTATCTTTGGACTACTGTCTGCGATTGTTATTTGAAATCTTATACATGTGATGAAACATGTCTTGAACAAGCCATTAAGGAAAAGGACCATTACTATCAAGCTGCAATGGATATATATAAAGATACTTTGAGGCAGTACCCCCATGCTACAATTTGGTTGACAGGACATTCCTTAGGAGGTGCATTAGCAAGTTTAGTAGGACGTACATATGGTTTACCTACAGTAGCTTTTGAATCACCCGGTGAATTACTTGCTGCCAAAAGATTACATTTGCCATTTCCACCTGGCTTACCAAGTTATGATGAAGGTATATGGCATATCGGACATACAGCAGATCCAATTTATATGGGTACATGCAATGGGGCAAGTTCTACATGTTCAATTGCAGGGTACGCGATGGAGACAGGATGCCACTCAGGTAAACAATGTGTGTATGATGTAGTTCGTGATAAAGGCTGGCACGTCAACATGTTAAACCATCGAATCCATACTGTCATTGATGGAATTCTTACCAAATATGACAAAGTAGCAACTTGCCATGAACCAGATCCATGTGTCGATTGTTATAATTGGAACTTCATGCCCCATGGAAAGAAGCCAAAGAAGCAAACGACATCATCATCATCTGAAAAAGTGGATACTAGTACAACTAAATCGATAGATAGAACTACAATTACTACAAGAACCAATGAAAAGAAATGGCATCCTAATCCTAAAGATCCATCCACTACGACAACCGATGACAAGACTCTCATGAGTAGTTGTTTACACCGTAATTGGGTAGGAATTTGTACTGAATACACTACTTTCACCAAAAGACTGATATAATCTCATCGCATCGCATCACATCACATCGTATCTAATCTAATCTAATCTAATCTACTCTTCTCGAAACAGAAGAATATTTTTACCATATTTAGAGAGCAACTGAGTACAGGAAGATGGAAGGGGATTAAAATTATTTAAGAGAACTGGAAACAGTAAAGTGCCTAAGGAACCAGTTAAAGTAAGATGGAGGCTGGAGACATGCCTGTACCAAACAAATAAAAAAAAAAAGAATAAGAATTAACCACTCTCATACTTGACGCATAGAGTTTTCACTCTGTCTATCCATAACCCAAACACAGAGGTACAAATCAATTTTACTTAATTGCATGTATTCATTTTTTTTTTTTTCCATTTTTCGCAAGAGTTATGCAATACAATGTCTGTCTGTTTATGAGCATTACCCTTTTAGCACACCATTACAGAGAGACTTTATGCTTATTCACTCGCAGACGGTTTTCCCACTTTCCCTGTCTGGTTGTCTATCTTTCTTTCGTCACTACTAATGTTTCCAAATACAATACAATACGATACGATACAATACAATACAATACAATACAATACAATACAATATATTATATTATAATAAACAGAGAGAACCTAACATGGAGAGACAACGTAGTAAGACCCAATTCCACTATTCCCAGATGGCTCAGAGGATTCCTACCAATACAGACAGATACCAAAGAAATAATACAAAACTACTCTACTCTTGGCGACAACAGTATCCTCTATCTCAGCTGTAGTTCTACCTGGCCCACACAGTTCAGTTGTTCTGGTCGAGTTTGGGTCTGGTTTGGGTCTAGGTTGTGTCTGGTCCTATTGGTATTTGTAGCCTATATGAAGTCGGGTTTACCCGGATACTTTTTCGATACGAACAACCCAATTTTAAATTATGAACAGCGTGGCCACGGAGGTTTCTGAGGAGAACATACGTGGAAACTTGAAAAATTTTATGTTAATTGACAACACAGCACCTAATAGACCAGTAACTGACCAACAAGTGGAATTAGTGAATAACAATTCGAATTAATTTAATTTAGTTTCGAAAAGTCAGTATACCTGTTATTCGAAAGTTCTAAATGGTTAGTTATATTTAATCCTTTGGATTAGTGGGCATAACTTTTTATTGAAAACTTTCTTCCATTTAGCATTGCAAATAGAAAAGTTTCAATAATAGGATATTTTATCTTTTGAAGCCAACTAGGAAGAAATAACACCAGGAGAGTTATTAGAGTATATTTCTTGATACTTATTTGAGTTAGGATTGCTTTAAGAATATATTCATCCCCTTTTGCAAGAGTACTAACTGATATTTGACAAGTTAATTTGCTTATCTGTGACCAGTAATTTTTCAAAAGATAATACTGCTAATCAAAGAAATAAGGACATACTGATACAATGTGGTTTAAGAACTGTTTGTTTTTGATTTCAACCTTTTTGATGTTGAATCAAATCGTTGCTGGTTTGGACTATGATAAAGTTTATGAACCAAATCCTCCTGTTACTCATCGTGCTTTCATGACTATCAGATATTTCGATAGATCTGCAGGTAAGACTAAAGAACAAGAAATTACGATCGATCTGTATGGTACTGTTGTTCCAAAGACTGTATTTAACTTTGCTTCTCTAGGTAATGGTGTCAAGGCTAGAATTCAAGGTCAAGATCCTGATGATATTAAGGTTTTGGGTTACAAAGGTACTAAATTCACCGAAGTTGTTCCAAATGGTATGATTTTGGGTGGTGACGTTATCCCAGAAATTGGTCCTTTCTCTGTCCATGGTCCTGGTTTCCCAGATGAAAACTTCTTCTTGAAGCACGACAGACCAGGTAGACTTTCTATGGCTAACACCGGTCCAGATTCTAACAACTGTAAGTTCTTCATTTCTACTAAAGTTGAACCTGCTACTGAATTGGACAACCGTAACGTTGTCTTTGGTCAAGTTGTTTCCGGTTTGGAAGGTTTGTTGGACAACGTCCAAAATGTCGAAACTGGTGCTTACCACAGACCTGTCAAGGATGTAGAAATCACTTCTTCCTTGGTCAACGAATTGAAATTAGCTGAACCAGAAGCTCTACACACCGGTTATGTTCAAAGATTAGAAAAATTCAAAGGTGGTGATAAATCTCAAGGTATCACCATGAAGGAAATGTTAAATGAAGGTTCTAAGAAGAAGAAGGTAGTAAAGAAGTCTAAGAAGGCTGGTGGTAAGAAAGCCAAGACCGTCTTTGGTATCCAACCAACTCAAGCTTTATACGCTATCATCGGTTTAGCTGCCGTTTTGGTCTTGATCAAATTGGTCAGAAAACAATTAAAGAACAGATCTAAGAACGTCTCTATCAGAGCTGATTAATCGGATTGAAATTCATTCGAAAAGAAAAAAGATGTTATCACTGGCATAGTCTTTGTTTATACGTGTATGCCACTGTTTATTAATTATCCTTTTTTTTGTTTTATTAAAAGAAAAAATTATCTCTAACTCTCTCAAATGAATTCAATCTTTCATGCTATTCAATATAAATTTGATTGTATTTTTTGTAATTAATGTTAATCCATTCCTATTTCCTACATGGTGAGCTAGAATAAAATACAAACATATATTTAAATAAGCCTTTTATAGTTTTTATACTCAATAGATTTGATGTATTAATTGGTATCGCTCAGAAGTCAACTTTATTCAACAGAATAAAACTTAAACCAGATAATCAAAAGGATACTAACATCTTGCAAATAGTAACCAGTCCATTATCCAAAGTCTTTAACCTCGTTTTATACCTTTTACTTGCTTCATCAATGAGGTATATATTATATATATTTCCATTACCAGAATTTAGCAACCGCAAGTTTATTCAATATCTAATCCATAACAGCCGTTTCGACATTTATCAATCGAAATATTTAAACAATAGATTGTTTGAACTTCAAGACTATAAAATGAAGCATTAGATCATCGACTTGGTTCTATTTTGCTGCTAACTCAAGGTTGTCCAAGGATAGTGAATGTGTAGATTTGAAAGATGAGTTGGTCCTATATTGATTCCGTAGTCATCGTTGCTATTTCATTTTATTTAATACAAGCACCTTATACAAAGGTTGAAGAAAGTTTCTCTATCCAAGCTATACATGATATTTTAACTTATGGTATCTTTGATTTGAGTAAATATGATCATTTCAAGTTTCCTGGTGCTGTGCAGAGGTCTTTTGTTGGTCCTTTAATTATTGCTTATTTGACTAAACCTTTTGTATTCGTTTCAACGATTGCTAATGGTGGTACTAAACCACCAACTGATTTTGAAACACAGCTGTTAGTGAGATGTATCATTGGATTGACTAATGCCATTGCTTTAGTCTATTTAAAGTCCTGTGCTGAAGCTATGTTTAGGGATAAAGAAGAAGAAGATTCGAAACAAAGAAGGACCACCGTTTATATTTCAAACTCTTTGGGTGTATGGTTTATAGTCTTTATCTCTACTGGTTTTCATTTGATGTACTACAGTTCAAGACCATTGCCAAACTTTATCTTGACATTGCCTTTAACCAATGTCGTAATTTCGTGGATTTTGTTAGGTAACTATAAGTGGGCAATTAGTCTATGTGCCTTTGTTTCAGTAATCTTCAGAAGTGAGGTTGGTGCTATGGGTGTTGGATTAGCTTTATTCTCTATCATCTATAGAAAGGTGTCATTGTTTAATGCTGCCAAGTTTGGTTCAATGGGTTTTTTCATTGGTATAGGTATTTCATTATACGTTGATTCATATTTCTGGAAAGAATGGTGTGTTCCTGAAATTGATTCATTTATATTCAATGTAATTAATGGACAGGCATCCAAATGGGGTACAGAACCATATTTTGCATACTTGACTCATTATTTGAGAATGTTATATCTACCACCAACAATTTTGTTTTTAAATTTGTTAGGTTTTAAATTGGCTCCTGATATCCTAAAGGTTATTATTTTATCTGCTTACTTCCATATTTTAGCTCTTTCAATTCAACCACATAAAGAATGGAGATTTATCATATATGCAATTCCTCCAATTACTTTATCAGGTAGTGTTGCTGCTGCTTATTTATGGGAAAATATCAGTATTACTTCTATTCCAAAATTAATATTTATGACTCTATTGCCATTATCACCAGTACTATCATTCTTCGTATCAGTGATGTTCTTATTTGTTTCAAAAATGAACTATCCTGGTGGGGAGGCCTTGGCGACATTTAATTCAATGATTATAAACAATAACATTACAAATGTATCTGTTCATTTGAGTGTTCCTGCTTGTATGACTGGTGTCACATTATTTGGAGAACTAGATAAATCAGTTTATGGAGTAACTTATGATAAATCAGAAACAGTCCAGGAACTAGAGGAACTATGGCCATCGTTTGATTATTTAATCACTACTGAAAAATCACCGTCAATGTTTGTTTTCAATAAAACAGAAGAACATTGGGAACTGGTTGAAACAACAACGATGTTTGGTGGTATCGATCTAAAGTTCATAATCAATACCTTCTCAAGAGAGGGATTATATTTAGCAGATCTTCTAAAGGAATGGTTCATTAACAAAGATAATAGTAAGAATTTCTCTGCATTTATGGCAAATATGATTAAATATGATGATTTCCTTTATACTTATAAAAGAGTACCTCTAAAGGATCAGAATAACAAAATTGAATCATGATCGGTTGCTGAGAAGAAATTATGTTTCAGAAAATATATACTTTATTAAGTAAAATCTTTTATTGATAAATAAGTGCATTTCATATTAAGTTGAAAACTATGTTACATTAGGATATTCTATATGCTTTTACAATTCTAATATACATTTTAGTGTGTCCAAATTCTGACCATTTTGTCCTTACCACCACTACAAACTCTTTTACCATCAACACTCCAATCTACGGTGTAAACTTCGTCTTTATGACCTGGAAGGTCAACTGATAACTTTCTTGTTCTGATATCCCAAACTTTCAAAGTTGTATCCTTGGAACAAGAAACTAGTAGTCTACAATCAGAAGACCATGCAACTTGATATACACTAGCAACATGACCTCTGAAGGTAGTAATGAATTTACCATCTCTGCTATCCCATAATTTGATGGAATTATCGAAAGAAGCAGATACGATATGCCTACCATCAGGACTGAATGCCACATGATTGACTAATTTTTGATGGCCTGTCATTCTGGCAATAGGTTTTGTAGTTCTTAAAGGATCCCATAAAAACATTGTAAAATCATCACTTGCAGTAACCATTAATTCAGTTTCTTTACCATTTCTCTTTGCAACCTTTTCATAATTTTTTAAAGCTTTAGCTTTAGCTATTTCAGGTGTAGCAGGCTGTTCACCAGTGTAATCAAATGGACCTACTCTTAATGCATAGTCAGTTGATAATGACAGATGGTTGACCCAATGGGCATGGTTTTTCAAAATATTGATACATCTACCAGAGTTTTTCATATCCCAAACTCTAACAGTTTTATCATGAGAACCACTATATAAAAAGTTTTGACCACCCCATTTAACACAAGAGACTGAAGAAGTGTGACCACTTAAAGTCATTGTACAGACTCTTCTTGTAGTATCCCAAATCTTGATAGTACCGTCTTTTGATGAGGTAGCTAGTCTTGGTCGTTCACCTGGAGTAACCAAATGAATTGGTTCCCAAGATAGAGAAGTGATCCATTTACCATGGCCTCTCAAAGCATCGCCAAAAGGTTTACCGGTTTTTGACTCCCATAGTCTAACAGTGTTATCCATAGAACCAGTTGCAATTAGTTCTCCATCAGGTGACCACGAGACACATAAAACCCAATTGTGATGGCCAGTCAATGTTGCCATTGGAGTTTGAGTATCACAATCCCAAATTCTAGCTGTATTGTCACCGGCACCTGTAACCATCCTGGAACTAGTATGAGGAGCAAATGCAGAACATAAAATCGTAGAACCATGACCTGCAATAGCGGAAGAAGATCTTGTAACTGGTTTAACCTTGAAGACAGCTCTAGGTGTAAATACTAAAGTAATAATATCTTCTGTAGTATTATAACCAGGTTTCAGTAAAGTTGAATATAAATTGTCAATAATATCAACACTTTTGTCTGCTGAATCTTTTGTTGTAACATTTGCGCTAAAAGTATAAGGAACTGGATCATCAGAAGTACCATTCAACTGATTCAATAACTCTTCCAACTGCTTTTCGGTAATACCAGCTGGAACTCTAATAGCACCGCCAACATTCTCACCAGAATCTAACGCTTGGAATTTTATAGAAACATTTGGTAAATTTGAAGGCAGTTCAACTTCTCTTGGCTGTTGAGCCTCTCTTTTTTGCTTCTTCGATGGAGGTGGAATTAGTGTAGACATGTTTAAATTACCTGACCTTGAATTAGACCTCTTGGTACCTTGTATCAATAGCAATCTCAGATATTAAATACTTTTTTAACGTCTGATGTCATCTCATCTCATCTCATCTCATCGCTTTCTTTTATCTTGAAACTTTTTTTTTTCATTAAAATCGGCGAATGGAAAATATACATATTTATCACGTGAAGTTTGTATTAAAGATTGAATTACCTACCTTGTTCATTCCTTCACAAATGACGAAGTTTAACATAATGAATAGTCCATGTTTCTATGATAGGTTTGGGGCTATATAACTAAATATACTTGTATAAATAATGTGTAGTTCATCTAGTTCTGCTGTTGTTCAGCTTCGCCCAGACTGGTGTTTGCTGAGGTTTCTGAATCTGGAGTACCGAATGCAAGTTCACGAATCTCTACAATCCATGGATCAGTCAACAATTCTACAGCAGTCGCTCTCGTGGATGGATTCTGTTGTAAAGATCTCCTTAAGAATTTAAAACCTATTGTTGATAGTTCATCGTTGGCAGGTAGTGGCGGGATATGTCCTGCAGCTACATGGTACATGATTGCCCATTCGTTATCCAAGTTTGCCCAAGGTCTTTTACCTGTAACCATCTCTAGGACGACACAACCTAGAGACCAAACATCATCAGCACCGAATTTACCTTTGCTTGGCGAACCAGTGATTGCTTCAGGAGCCATGTACATTGGAGTTCCGACCATATTCATAACACCATTTCCATCATTCTTTATAGACGACATCTTCGTGGTGTCTTGGTCATCTTCAGCATCCGATTTGTTACTAGTCGTAATGAATTTCGAATTACTTTCAACTAATTTCCTGGCTGCACCAAAATCGACATATTTGATAATACCATTGAAATCTAACAGAATGTTTTCAGGTTTAATGTCACGATGGACAATACCAGATTGGTGTAGGTAAGCCAAACCTTCTAGTAATTGCAATGAGTACATTTGTGTCACCATTTCATCTTCGATTCTTCCGTGTTCTAGCAAACTTGCCAGGGAACCACCTTCACAAAATTCCATAAATATATTAACCTTATCTCTATGTACTTCGATACCGTAATACTGGACAATATTTGGATGGTTTAACATTTCTAAGACTGACATTTCCTCCTTAATGAGTGGGAAGATTTTTTCCATTGTCTTTGAGTCTTGAATCTTAATTTCTTTTACCGCTAATATTTCACCACTACCTAAGTTAACAGCAGAAAAAACATTTCCAAATGTACCAGAACCTATAAATTGTCTCTTTTGCCATTTGATTGAAACGTTCGACATTGATGATGCTAACGATAATAAATATTTATTGTCTTTGTCAGTATCATCCAAAACTTTCCCTACCCGATGTGGATTTCTAATAGTTTGATTTTCTAATTCTTCTATTGCCCTCATTCTTACTTGTGAATTTATCATTAACATGTCATCATCTCCAACATCATCTTCGATATCGATATGAGGTCTTATCTGTTGTGGAGTTCTTTCGGCTTCAAGGGCTCTGGCACCCATAACGTCAAAGTGGGAAATTAATAGTGACATACTACTTGCAATTTTTTGTTTTAACATTGTAAATTGTTTATCATCCAAACCAAGGATATTCCAACCAGATGTTATCTGCATTGCAAATTCAATGGCAGGAACACACCAACGGAAGGTTCTCAAATCTGTAGGATCACACTTTTCCACCAAAAATGATAACCATGTAATACTTATTTTCATTAGTAACATAATAATAACAGATTTTTTAGCATATGTTGCAACATTTACTCGTAAGAAACTTCTACCGAAATCTCTTGCAAATAAGAAAATACTGTTCAACAATTCGTCACCGGGACAGATTTTATGATATGTACTCAAAACCTTTGGAAAGTTGTTCAAAACACTATAGGTGATTCTAAAATATGCCTTATTTATCCTTTGTAATCCATTTTCAACAGAGGAAAAAGAACACTTTCTTTCAACAAAAGAAATACAGTTCCCCGCCAATTGTAACATTTTATCAGATAGGTAAGTTAAGGAATGGCTAGAACCCTGATTTAACATTGTTAGATGGTTGGGTGAAACCTTTATTTTGAATTCATCTAATTTCAAGATGAAATCATCGGATAAATTGTACATCTCACCTTCCCATAACATTGGTTCCGATGGTGATAGAACTAAAATACAACCTAGAGATTGTAATTGCTTTTCTAATGAAAATAATTCTTTATCTGGGTCATGAAATATTCCAGAAATATTTCTAGGATTTCGTCTTGTGTTCAACTTTTCATTTTCATTTAAAATATTATAGTAAGATGTGCCATCATCTCCAAAATCATGTGTAATTATTGAATATGGGTTAAAAGCACGATCAGATGCGTTGTATAAGGCTAAACTGTTTTTAATCTCTAGTTTTGGTATTAAATCACAGCCAATATCAGAATTTTGAAGTATTTTTAGTATTTCAGTATCTTTGCAACCTAACAATTCTGGACTACCAATCAAATAATAACCATTTTGTTCGAGTTCCCCTCCTGTATATATTAAAAAATAACCAGCATTTTTTAAATGTTCTAAAAGAAGATCATGGTCTTCAATTTTAAAATTAATTGAGTTTTGAACAGACTTAGCTAAAATATTAGTAAATCTATTCAATTTTCTTTTCGTTGTACCAACATTTTCGAATAATTGCAAAAGCCACTTTTCAGCCTCTATGGAAGTAGGACATGTAGGATGTTGTATATGTTCTTGTAATGTGTATAAATGCAATCTGTTCAATAGCCTTAATGATAATCTATTGAATTCACGTGCAATAAGTTTACCAGCACCATCAATATAATGTCCAACGTTTTTCAATTCATCCCAATATTTAAATAATTCATCTGGTTCTTTAAATGTTTTAAAAGACATTTTCTGAGAGTCTAATAATTTTAGATTTAACAATGTAAATAGATATGATATAGCTTTAATGACCGTGTCATTAAAAGTCGGATCTATTTCAACTTCAAAATTCCAATCTATGCAGTATTCATTAATTGTATATTTCAACTGAACAGAAAGTCTAATGTACGAAGTAATATCATCGATCATTTCATCGATCATCATTAAAGTTGGATTCTCGATTTGTTTGGCGTATTCTAATCTAACCAATATAACTTCCTTTACTAATTTCATCGGAAACATCAATAAAAGTTCTATCTGTTGATATGGATAGGAAAGATTTAATGAGTCTATTATATCTCTATAGTCAAAGAAGAAAAGTTTTGCTTTTAACATCCAGGGAGCCAATGGAAAGAAGATTTTCTTTTGGAATATAGTTTCAATTCCTTTTTCGTTCATTATTTGTTCTGCAAAAGACCTGCCGTTATGATATACCCCTTCTATATTACTTGATGACATCATTACCTTAGTTACATCTAGATCTCTATTACCAACCCATTCCCTTAAAGAATTGATTTGAGATTCAAAATTAGTATAAAAATTCAGCCAACTTATCAATGCATCTATCTTATTGCTATATTCAGGAGTTTTCGTAATTGGTTTGTCTTCATACAATTGTTTTAAATTACACCAATAATTAATGATTTTGAAATGTTTATTTATTAATGGAGTAATAATCGATTCGGCTTCTTCAAATGTCAGATCATCATCTAATTTAAAATGCAAAATCTCTTCGAAGAATGAATCAGTAGAGTTTCTTAGATTTTCTAATACTTTCTTTTGATCCTCTACACTCTTACCATTCATCCAAGATTTTAATTCTAACCAAATATCTTGGTTTATTTGTCTATTCAGTCCCGCAGGTTTCACTTGACTAGCAATTTTTGATTTTTCACTTTTGATAATATCACCCCTCAGAACATTTGAAAGCATTGTTTGCCATTCAAATCTCTCAATGACTAATGGATGTTCCGAAAGTTGAGATAGTAATTTCTGGCTGTCAATTGGTAAACTTGAAAAGTTTGATGCTAATTCATCTTTACCAAATTCAGATTTCCCATTTATATTTTTGAACACATCTCGCACAGTCATGTTTGAAGGATCAGAATGTTTCAACCATTCTAATCTATGCAAAAGATACTTTGAACTCATTAGTATTGAATTGCTTGGGTTATTGTATTCAGTGAAAAAATTTGTACCGAAATCTACATCATCGTCATTGTTAATGCTATTTCCAATCATATCATCCATCTCCAACTCCAACTCAGCATCTTCTTCTTTGGTGGTTGATGCTACAATACCTCTAGTGTAATAATCATGAGAAGCGTAATTCTGTATTTTTTCTATATATTGTTTTTCATTCCATGAATTTTGTTGTACTTTAGATACTGGTGTAGTTGATGATCCCAGATTGTTTAATGAGATTCTTGAGGATGATGCCATTTGTTGAGTATTTTGCACCGTAGTACTAGAACTTTTTGCAGTAGCAGATTGAGCAGGTGCATGTTCAGGACTTTGATGTGACAATGAGAAATTTGAAGTACTTTGAGTCTTCAATGATGCTAATTCTGGCGGTAAAACCAAAGTTGGAATAGGTGTTGCGATATCTTGATTCTGACTTATTTGTTTTGGACCCAAAACTGGAGTCAAGGTATTCGATCTGCCAGGAGTTCTAGCAGGAGAAGATTGTCTTGAAGAAAATACTTTTAATGATGAAACGGAATTATATGCAGGTACTAAAGATGGTCTTCGACTGGAATTTCCAGAGGAACCACTGGAATGTTGATATTCATATTGAAAAGGTTCATCTTTATAGACAACCATTGAACTTCTCCGTCTCCTTACGGAACTTCTTCTTGCCCTTGAAGGTGAAGAAGACTTATCTTGATCTTCATTTCTCACACCATTATTAAAAACAGACGGATTACTGCTTGTCAATTCTACATTGTTGCTGTAACCAGCTTCTTGCTGCTCCAGCTTATTTCCCAATGGCGAGTTCTTGGATTCAGAAGGTGGAATCAAATCTGAAACCAAATTGGAATTGCCCATTAAGCCCCCATTGATATCTCTCAATTCTCTTGAACCAGATTTATAAGGATAAGCAGCAGAATTACTCAAACCTGGATGGGCACTGGATAAAGGATTTCGACTAGTAGGCATCTAATGGATAATATAATATTATATCGATACTACTTTTGCAAAAACTCTTGTTACAACAAATACCAAGTTTCCTTTCAACAAACAAATTTGCCTCAAATAATTGTGTGTTTTTCCTCTTGTTAGAAACCTTTAAAGCTACAGCAAAAGCCTCTCTTGCGTCCTCAAACCAAAAGTAACCTAAATAAAACAACCCCAATGATACTGATAAGGTATCACACACTCTGTTGACACTGTTTCTGGGCTTCTTATCTACCTTTTCACCAACCAAAAGTCACCTTAAACAAAGTTGCTTCTTGTTACTATCACAAGTGAAACTTTTCAATATCTTAAATCGGATGCCAAATATTTAAATATTAATGAAAAATGTCTATAAAACCAAGTGAACTTTACAATGTTTATAGAGTTGTTGTGATGGATAGGGTAGGTTAATGAACCAAGACAGGAGTGTATTGTGTTATATTGGTGATTAATTTTATTATTCTGGTTTTAATTTGGAGGTTTTACTTTTGAACTTTTAGAAAAGGTGCAGTAACGATGGAATTAGATGCGTGTTTAGAGATATTGTACAAGGGTCAATTGCTACCAGAGGCTACAGTTCAGGCCTTGTGTTTTAAGTTGAAGGAAATGTTGGTGAATGAGTCTAATGTTGTTTATATTAGCACTCCTGTTGCTGTTGTTGGTGATATCCATGGTCAGTTTCATGATTTGTTGGAGATTTTTCAGATTGGTGGGCCTGTGCCTGATACCAACTATTTGTTTCTTGGTGACTACGTTGATAGGGGGCTGTATAGTTTAGAGACCATCATGTTGTTGATCTGTTTGAAGCTGAGGTATCCCAACAGAATACATTTGTTGCGAGGGAACCACGAGTCTCGCCAGATTACCCAGAGTTATGGGTTTTATACAGAATGTTTGAATAAATACGGTGGGGTATTCCTAAGATTTGGGCAGTATTTGACTTGGATTTAATTTGATTATTTGGGTTCTATGCTGTATCATCGATGACAGTTTATTCTGTGTTCACGGTGGGTTATCGCCAAACGTTCAGACCATCGATCAGATTAAAATTATCGACCGTTTTAGGGAGATTCCTCATGATGGAGCAATAGCAGACCTGGTCTGGTCAGATCCCGAGGACCATAACATGTCTGCAAACCCTGGAAATAGAGAAGAGTTCTACAAAGAGACCACACAGCATTTCCAAGTTTCCCCTAGAGGTGCAGGTTACACCTTTGGAAGAAGCGTGGTAGAAAAATTTTTGGAATTGAACAATATGGAGAGAATCTATAGAGCACATCAATTGTGTAATGAGGGATACCAAGTGTACTTCAATGGACTAGTAACCACAGTGTGGTCGGCTCCTAACTACTGCTATAGATGCGGCAACAAGGCCTCGATATTGGAATTGTACAGCAAAGATGAATTTTATTTTAACGTTTTTGAAGAAGCACCAGAAAATAAACTTCTTAACGGTAATAACCACCCAGCTGGGAACATGGGATCAAACTCCATAACTAACAAGAAACTGATTTCAGACTATTTCAGCAACGACACTATATCTGATTCATTCCATCTGTCATCCTCATCATCCTCATCCTCATTGCCATTCTCGTCTACTGACAAAGAAACAGATCTAATTAATATGTCCAAGAACAACGACCTCGACATATTTTCAGACGCTTACCAAGCAAGATCAGCTGCTACAAGAAGAGTAGAATACTTCCTCTAATTCTTCTCACAATCCTCGCATTCCTTTACAGTCATCAGGTTTTCAATTCAATGTATTCATTCAATCAAATAATAATTCTTGGGTAGATAGATAAATAAAAGGATAAATAAATAGATAGATAGATACAATTTTGCAAATATACCCCACTACAATCAATGATTAACCCATCCCCTATCCAACAAATAACTCATAAACCACCCACCATCACCTAAACTGATTAAACATCAATTCCACTCTTAACCATCTCTTCATGCAACTATCAGCTAATTTCGAGATGAGCTCTTGTAAGAAAGATATAAAAGAAAATCTGAAGAATTAAAAGGTTTTAAACAAGAAGAGTTTTGAAGTTGTTTTTAGGTTTGGGTAAGAGTTGGTATGGCCATTGGATGGCAGATATTGTGTTATAGTGATTACAATTTATTCCAGATGACGGTTTCTCGAGTGTTTCATGTTTTATTTGTTGATTCTTACGATTCTTTTACTTATAATGTGGTAAGGCTGATAGAACAACAGAAAGTTGATGGATATGATGAGATCAAGGTTGTTATTATTCATAATGATAAGTTTGGTGATGTGAGTGAGTTGTTGAAGTATGTTGTTTTGTTTGATTGTATTGTTGTTGGTCCTGGGCCGGGGAATCCTATTAATGGGGCTAAAGATGTTGGTATTATTGATAGTTTATTTTGTGATGAACTGAGAGAGGTACCAATATTTGGTATTTGTTTGGGGTTCCAATCGATGTGCTACTCTCATAGTGCGTTAGTGAATGAATTGCAGACTATCAAACATGGTCAGGTTTACGATATACATTTGAAGCAAGATTTCAGTGATGACTTGTTTATGGGACATCCTGCGACTTTTAAATCGACTAGATACCATTCTTTGCATGTCTCCAAGATTAACGACAAGGTTATTCCTCTGGCTAGTACCACTGATGAAAATGGTGAGATCTTGATGTCTGCAAAGATCGAGGGGAGACCTTGGTACGGTGTCCAGTATCATCCGGAATCTTGCTGTTCTGAATTTGGTGATTTATTGATTAGAAATTTCATTAAAATAGCTAATAAAAGTAATATCAATAAAAAAAGACAACAGACAAAGACGAAATTCATGAAGGAAAACGAAGAACTCTACTTGAGTTACATTACCGCCCTTGACAAAAGTATTGATAGATCTCCCATTTCCAATATTAATTGCAACGGCAATAATACCGAGCATCAAGAGTCCGATTGTGATGAATCTTCTGGTTTAAAATTACAAGAATTCTCAGTGCCTAAGGATCCCAAAATTACTTTGAAATTATCAGATTTAATTGAAGACGCTAAATTTATCATGGCGTCTTCTACTATAAATGCTAATAGAGGCGAATGGTCGATAATAGCATTTCCAAACGAAAATTCTACAGTCTTTACACATTATGATCAGTTGCACAAGACCACTGTTCACAAATGGAGAGATCCATCGTTGACTACAAACGTTCTTAACAAGGCTTTACATAACGATATTAAAAACTCTTCGATTGAGGTCATTAAGGAGGATAAATCTCATTTCTGGAATACTATTGGTGATTTTATGAAACCTAAAATAGATAATATTCATAGTGATATCCCTTTTATCGGTGGTCTAGTGGGTATATTGGGCTATGAGATGGGTTACTTTGTATATAATAAAATAAATCCCCAAGAAAGATTAATACCAGATGCCAAATTAGTTTTTATCGAGAATTCAATTGTTATAGATCATAGAACTGGTTCTCTTTATGCTATTTCCTTAAATAATAAATTCCCAAAAAACATTTTAGCTATTATTGAAGATATCTCAAATAGTAAAGATGATTCTATTTGTGACATTCGTTGGAACAAAGAACTACCAAAAGATGTAAAATTTGATATTACTATACCTAAGAAGAGTGACTACGCAGATGCATTCGCTAAGTGTCAGCAATACATGCATAAAGGTGATTCATATGAAATGTGTTTAACTACTCAAACTAAAATTGTTCCCTCAAAAAGAATTGATCCATGGAGAATTTTCCAAACACTTGTACAAAGAAACCCAGCACCATTCTCTAGTTATTTTAAATTCGATGACATTATTGATGATAATCAAGACAATGTTTTATGTTTATTAAGTACTTCTCCTGAAAGATTCATCAAATGGGACAATGAAACTTGTGAATTGCGTCCAATTAAAGGCACTGTTAAGAAGGGATCAGATATGACACTTGATAAAGCTACAGAGATTTTAAAAACTCCAAAAGAATTTGGTGAAAATATGATGATTTTAGATTTGATTAGAAATGATTTGTATGAGTTACTCCATGATGTTAGAGTTGAAGAATTCATGTCTGTAGAAGAGTATGAGACTGTTTATCAACTTGTCAGTGTCGTGAAGGGTTACGGTATAACAAAACCATCACCATCTGGAGCAATATATTCAGGTTTAGATGTTTTCAAACATTCATTACCAGCAGGTTCGATGACAGGTGCCCCTAAAAAGATTACCGTTGAAATGTTACAAAATGAGATTGAACAAGATTTAAATCCACACGTTAATGGTGGTGTTCGTGGTGTATATAGTGGTGTCACCGGCTACTGGTCTGTAAATAATAATGGTGATTGGTCAGTCAATATTAGATGTATGTATTCCTACAACAACGGTAACTCATGGCAAATCGGCGCCGGCGGTGCCATAACTGTATTATCATCATTGGAAGGTGAATTGGATGAAATGTACATCAAATTGCATAGCGCTTTGCAGGTTTTTGATTAATCGTTATATTGTTAATATTCGTTTCTTAACATAAATATAAAAGCTTTCAATTCCTTTGATCACCAAAACCCCAAATTGAACAAAGGGTAGCACCAAGTAGGTGCCAACAGATTCCCAGTCTTGATGTTGTCACTCTCCTCCCCTCCAACCCAATTGTTTGTTGTTGTTATTGTTGTCGTTGTATAAGGTTTAGCTATTCATGGTATATATTATGTATTATTTCGTTAAGACACCCGTGCATCGCATAATTAGTGTCTAATTAATGTAATGTCTAAATATATAAATTAAAAGGGTTTTGCACATCAAATGAATATAAGTTTCAAGTAACTCCAAGATGATCCAAAAGGTTGAACAAAGGTGATATATTGTTTGACAAGAGTGGTAAATTGATTTTTGTTGAAGTTATTGGATGGTTTGTTGTTTTTGAACGGTCCTTTGAAGTGAATAATTGAGAAAGTTGACAAGAAAAGGCTACATTTAACTTAATAAGGGTACTTTCTGATCCAAGATATTGATAGATCTCCTATAATTACTATATTTTAGACAATAATAGAGTTACATTTTAACTGGGAGTGTAGAGATTACGATTGTGTTTTGAAATGACTACAACAGTCCCCAAGATATATGCTTTCCATGAGTTTTCTGAAGTTGCTGAGGCTGTAGCTGACTACGTTGTGTATGCTCAGAACAATGCTTTATCAAAAGAGCTTGTAGATAGAAAGATGTCAGTTAGTAGTCTGAATGTAAATAGTGAGGTGGAATTCAAGGACGTCCAGAGATCTGTCTCGATAAAGAGTGTTTCTGGGGTATCTCGAGAAAGTTCAAAGAAACCCAAACGTGAAGTAAGATTTAAAATTGCCTTATCCGGTGGTTCTTTGATTCATGTATTGCATAAGGGTCTTTTATCAAGAACGGATGTAATGTGGGGGAAATGGGATATTTATTTTGCTGATGAAAGATTGGTACCTTTCGATTCTGAACATAGTAACTTTGGGTTGGCTAAAAGAGAAATCTTAGATCAAATTGATACTGAAGCCTACGGCAAGCCAAATGTTTTCCATATAAATGAATCTCTAATTAAAGATCCTCAGGAATGTGCAGATGACTATGAAAAAATTTTAATAAAAGGTTTTGCAGGTAGGGATTCTGTAAAACTACCGATGTTTGATCTATTTTTGTTAGGTTGTGCTCCAGATGGTCATATTGCTTCTTTATTCCCAAATTTCCAAGAAAACTTACGTGAAAAATTAGCATGGGTAGTGCCAGTGACAGGTGCTCCATCAGGTCCAACTGAAAGAATATCTTTGACGATACCGGTTATTTGTCATTCTCATAGATTAGCTTTCGTAGTTGAAGGTTCAACGAAGGCACCTGTTTTGAAGACTATTATGGAAAGGCCAGAAAAGGGTTTACCAAGTAGTATAGTCAACGAAGGCGCTGCTGGTCGTGTTTCGTGGTTTGTTGATGATGAAGCACTAACTGACGTATCTGTTATTAAAAAGGATTACAAATTTCGTTCGAATAAGTGATGAAGATAATTTAAATGTTTTAATTTCTGTGTTTCTGAACAGTAATTAATCACAAATAAAATATGAACTTAATATACAAAACCTGGTGTCACTTTAATTTTCTGTCATTTTAATAGTTGCTTTCCTATGATTGCATATCGATATAAATCTTATGTGATTCTTTTTATTTCGATATTTTTATTGTTCTATGATGGTTTTAGGTTACGGTCCGAAGCTATCTTAAAGTCTATATTCTTTTAATTCACTATGATAAGCATTAGTTTTTATTATTTTTCCCAATCAATCGTTCAATCAATTCATTTTATTATCTCATTGATCAATGTCTGTGGTTTACATATCTAAACATACTTAGTTATATAACAGTCTTTACAGACAACCTCTTTACGAAAGGTAAACAGGTTGGACCTGGATAATTGTACCAATATATTATATATTATTATTACCGGAAACTATCTTTAAGATCTATCAAACATGTTGTAATTGCTTGAAGCTCTTTCAAACAAGTATCTACCATCTTGTAGAGAATATGCATAATCTTCGTCCATTCTCCTACGATTTTCATTATTTGAGGATAGAGGATCAGAAGTACCCTCTGATGGTGAGGAAACTGGTTCATACAACATCATTCCGAAGAATTGATAATAATATTCCTCTCCTAAAACTCTAAGTAACACTTTTTGCTTGAGATCATATTGGTAGCTAATTGGGACTAATATCATGAAAACGATTGGAGCATATCTATTTAACATATTCACCAATGGGATAATTTTTAAGTCATAGTAAAGAGTAGTTTCAAAACTACTTTTTGAAGCAATAGTGTCGTTGTTGGTTGGTATCAAACTCATCAAGTTGAAACAAATGGGGAATAACAATCTACTTGAGTACAGAGAGTAGTATAATGCATTTGAAGGATTGCTTCTTCCATTTGGGATTAAATGGAAGTTGCTGAACTTAAATTTACTCATTGCATACAGTGAAACTAGGGTATTATAAGATAAAATGATGAACTGTAAACTGAAATTGTACCACCTGGAACCAAAAAATAACCATCCATGAGCCCATCTTATTGGTATTAATTCCAAGAAGAACACCAAAATGGATAGAAACATACAAATAATTCCAAAAAATATTATCACTAATCTTTTTAAGTTAGATACTGAAGGTGAATTTGCGTGTGCTAATGTATGAATAATTGAATTCGAATGTTCTCTATAATACAGGAAATTGTAATATTGGGTAATGAACTTGTTGTAGACACTGTTCAGTTTATCTAGAGTAACAATATTTGCCTGTGAATGCAATACTGAGTTTGGATTTGTAATCTTCAACTCTGCAAGCAACGATTGAACTTCAATTTTACAATTAGAAAGTACGTCATTGAATGTAACATCGCCATTGTTCAACTCTGGCGTTTGTAAGATGATAGTTGCATTCTCGTTCATTACTAGTTGAGAATCGTTCATATCATCGTTAGTTTTACTTAATTCAACGAAAAGTCTATTATTTGATTCCTCCGTAGGTAATCTTCCTTGGGATAACAAATGAGATGGCAATAAGATCAGTCCTGAAGATAATAAAAGAAGCATATAGCTCAATGAATATAGATGAGCCAAAGAAATCAACAAAGATTTCAAATCACCAATTGCATGACCTGTAGTTGCAATTAAATAAATTATTCCTATTATTATCCCTACAGCAGAGATAAGGTAAAATTTAATATTCTGGAAAATTGCTTTCTTAATTCTTTCTTTTACTTCAACTCTAGAGGCATAATATTTCAATGAAACGTATGATATCAAAATTGGGATTGTTATCCAACATAGAACAAATTCTAACCAATATATTATCAACCAAATGATTCTATAATTATGCTGTACCGCATCCAATTTAGTATGTAATAATTTAGTCAGAGATTCAGTGCTTCTCTGCAATAAAACAGTGCTATTAGAAACAGGATCTTCGTAACTTGAACCACTAGTAGCACTATAATACAAATCCAACGGTAGTAAATATGTTGTAGATAATAGTATCATCATATTCAGCGAAAGCAAGGATAACGTTACGGGGTATGTATTCTTATGCAACTTAAACGAGAAATATCGGTTAATCACCACCAATGACCCCACCGCCACTAGGATAGTACCTACAATCGATACAATTGTCATATTCCTATTTTAATTTCTTATCCAGAATCAACCTGGCCTTATATTAACTTCTAACTAAAGCAGAAACCGCTATCTAGAATACCCTCCAGGAACAACCAGACAACCAAACAAAAAAAAACACTCAATAAATACAAATAATCATCAACTGGACCTTCCAATTGACCTTAAACACTCTATTTGTTCAATAACTTCACCAAATCTCTTAAACCTTTGGTGGTTAGAGTTCTCTTCTAGTTGATATTTCATCAAATTTCGGTAACTACTTTATATATATATAACCTTCATATTAAAAGATATTTGGAACCAATTCTAATTAAAAAGAGGTTGATATAACTAGAACCATTGGCAATTTGTGGGTCAGTGAGTGGGGAATTATTGTAATTTGAGATCAACAATGGATTCCTCGAGTGATTTTGTACTTAAGGAGGCATTGCCCAATGTTCTTGGTACTATTGTCATTGATGAAAATAATAATATTGTTGCATCTACTGGTATTGGATTAGAACGAGTTGAAGATGTCGTTGAGTTGTCTAGAGTGAAGCTAGATGATTCAGGGTATGGTCTGTTTCAGGATCACGACGTCAACTGTAATGTGTACAGGCAGGATGGCAAGACTGTTGTGGTCTACACGGCTGGAAACTGAAATATACGTTATAGAAAATGTATATGAGTAGGTTCTAGGATATAGGTGTCATTGGGGTTAAAGGGAACCGTTGATTGGTTTCTGATCTCTGGATTTGGGCTATATTTTTAACCTCATAAATTAATATTTAAAATATTTATCATACGTAATTAACCAAAAGAGAATAAAATAATAAATACTTCTATATATATATATCTTCAGAGTTAAATGAATCCTCCTCCCCCAAATCCACTTGGTCCTCCTCCAAAGCCATTTGGATTATTACCAAATCCACTTGGTTTGCCAAATGGGTCATCGTATTTTGATCCTGGTATATAGCCAGGTCCTCTATTTCTTGTACTGTCGTCAGGGTTCAATCTTGAAGGATCAAATATCATTCCACCTTGGCCAGTGGTGTTTCCAGGTTGGCCATGGGGTGGAATCATTAATGGATTGTTTAAATCTATGTTTCTTTGTCCCATTGGAAATAGATCAGGGTCTCCGTACCCTTGAGGATGGTTAGGACCTAAATTTAATCCAGGGAACCTAGACGTACTACTTGGCTGGTTGACTTCGTACTCATCCTCGAATTTAGGCATATCATCAGGTCTATTAAACCCAGATGAAGTGGTGGGCACACTTGAACCTGTATTTAACCGGTTCTCTAAACCTTTGTTCTTTAATGAATCATTGTCTCTTTCGGTGTCTGATAATTCACAAATAGTCTCTTGCAACTTTTTCTTTAAGGTAGTCTTCAAATGCAATTTGTTCACTAAACTCTCTCTGATTACTACTAAAGCTGCTCCATTTTTCTTGAACTCATTAAACTTTAACGGATATCTAGTACTATCAGTTAAATCAAAGTCACTCTTATACTCAAAGATACTTTGAGCAATCAGCTCATCTTCCAAAAAAATGAAAATAGAACAGTTAATACCATCTCTTATCTCAATACCAGAAACAAGTACTCTATACTCTTTAATTTCACCGGTAGTTTCATCTTTTATCTCTTCATCTTTCACTTTAAGAATACTCTTCACGCAATTCTTCTGCTCATCCCAACCTGTTTCAACAGCACAAGGATACAACTCTTGAAGATAATCAACAACAGCAGCAACTGAAAACCCTAAACTACTAGAAACTTCCATTATCATATGCCTTAACCTCTTTTCTGACTGTTATTTTATCAATTATGGTTAATATAGAGAGTTTAAATCTTTCTTAAGGGAAGAACCCTTTAAATTCGTTCTTTGCCTTTAAGAAACCTTCAAGAAGAAAAACTGGCTGATGAGGTGACCATACCACTTGGAACTCATAGATCCAGGATAGGTAAGCTTTGACTATGAACAAATATTTTTTTTTATATTAGATATACATACTTATACAGATAAAAGTAACCATTGAATTGACTGATCAAAATTACTTTAATTCGCTGATTTCACCATTTCTTGCAACTAAACCCATAACATTTAAGAATAGGTTCAAGTCTTGGTATAATTTTTCTCTTCTATATAGTGCTGATTGGTCTTGAGGGTTAGCTTTTGTTAAGTCTTCAGCAGAATTGATTGTGCCAAAGATTTCATCTCTAATTTCATCTATAATAATTCTTTGATGGTTCAATTTACCACTCAATGCTAGAGAAGCTAGGAATTGCCATATGTAAGCTTGATCGTAATATTGAGGAGAAGATTGTTGAGGGCTTGATCCGGTTGATGATGATGACGATGGTAAAGAAGATGAGGTTTCCTTTACAACTTTGTCCTGGTAGTCCTTTGGAGGGAAAACTAAGGATAATTTTGTCTCCAAGGAGATGAATAGTTTATCGTAAACTTCGTTCCATGCTTGAATGTCTGGTGAAGATAGACTGTTAGTTCTATTACTATCTTGCTTGATTAATGCAGCACGAGAAATTAGGATCGTAATTAAATTCAAACCAAGTTTTGATGTAGAAATAAAGGAAACGTTATTATTTCTGATTAAGTGCAACAATAGACCCATGATTTCAATGAAGTTGGCACTGGATGATAGGAATGAAACTATAATCTTCAAGAAGACAGCTTGGAATAATTCAATTTTCTTTAGTTGTGAATCAGTTGGGGATGGATTGGTTTTGAAAGAACTAATGATGATAACATTCAAGTGAGATAATTCACTGAAGAAAGTTTGCAACAATTGTAATTTTTGTTGTTTGTCTAAGAAATTGAATATTCTTGGAATTATTTTTACACCTTTGTCAAAGGACAACATAGAGATGAAAGGACATACTTCAAATGATTCATCGCCAATGTGCAATGATTCCCATAGACTAGAGTTATCGGTTGTTTTGCCGCTTCTTAACTGTGCTTCTAATTCCAAAACTACTTCATAAACAGATTCGATTAAAGATAAAACAAACTTTCTACCACCGGAACGAGATAAAACTGAGCTTTGATCAACAGATGAAAAGGCGTATGAAGATCTTCTTCTCGATCTGGAATTTTCACTAATACCAACATTGTTCAATGATTCGGTAACTTCTTCTAAAACAGGAGTTGAAGCATTCGATAGTTTTCCACTTAATTCTTCATCTTCTTCTTCACCTGACTTTGGAGAAGGAATTTGCAATTGTCTACGAGGAGCTTTACTGTTCATTGCAGAGGAAATTTTACCCAAGACACCTTCACGAGCAATATCTGAATGGTCCTTATTCTTTTGAGGTCTTTCCTTTGCTACAGTTACAGCTTTTTCAACTTGGTTTTGCATTCTTTGTAAGGCAACATCAGCTCTCTTATAACGACCACCCAATCTATGACCTGAATGTTCCAAGTAAGCACGAGCAATTAAATCTTTATTCGACTTGCCAGCAATACCACCACTTTGGATGATCTTGTAGACTTGGTAATAAAAATCTTCATTGTAAGGGTCTTCAGTAACAATTTGAGACAATTGGTAACGTGTAATGAAATCTTTGTCACGAGGGGTCATTAAACCAGCGTTTTTCAGAATTTTTTCAACTTTAGCTTGACGTATTTGTAGTCTTTTTTGTTCCTCTGGGGACAATGGTTCACCTCTTTTTGACATACGACGGTTAGATTCTCTCATGGTATTTTGGTTAACACCTTCTCTTTGTTGGTATAATGGGGAGTGTTGATGTGGAGGAGTTGGTAAAGAGGAAGCGTATTTTTGAGAAGCATCTGAGGAAGCCAATGATTCAACATCAGCATGTTGCAATTGTTGTGGAGGCAATTGTTGTTGCTGAGATGGTTGTTGTTGCACGGGCTGTTGTTGTGGAGCTTGCTGTTGTGGTTGTTGCATTTGTTGTTGAGGCTGTTGTGGTTGTTTTTGTTGTAACATATGTGGTTGAGGTGGTTGAAATTGTTGTGACATAAAGTTCATTTGTTGTTGAGGGTACATTTGAGGAGGAAATTGTTGTTGTTGACCTTGTTGTTGTTGTGGAAACATTTGAGGTGGCATTTGTTGGTATTGTCCAGGAATACCGGGAGGCATGTTCATCTGGTATTGATTACCAAATTGCGCATTACCTTGTGGTATAGGTTGATGAGGATAGCCTTGGATAAAGGTTTGTTGGTTAGATATCTGCATTTGACGCTGTTGTCTTTCCAATTCTTCCATTGAGATAGCCCCAGGAAGTGGGCCTTGAGGCATTACATTCTGTTGTTGTTGTGGTGGTTGTGGTGGTTGTGATGGTTGTTGCTGTTGTTGTTGTTGTTGTGGCTGTTGTTGTTGTAGTTGTGGAGGCAACATGTTTTGAACAGGTTCATTGCCCCACAAGGACTCCATTGGTCTCATATCCAAATTAGTATCCATAGGTTGCTGTTGTTGTTGTTGTTGTTGAACAGGAGCAGAAGAAGCTGCTACAGCATATGATCTTGAATTAGTCGCATACGATCCTGAAGTTGTTGCGCCCTGACCAGAAACATTGGCACTTCTTGATCCAGATGCCCCACCACCTAAATTGGAATGCCCAAAATCGAAATCAGTACCAAATTCAACTTCAGCACCAAAAGTCTCATCGTTCAAATAATCGTCCTCTTCTCTTTCGTATTCACCAAAGCCTCTATAAGTATCTTCAAAATCTAAAGGTTTATTAGAATTGCCGGATGACCCATGGACGTTCCCAGACGCAGGGCCACTAGTGTCAAAACCAAAAAATGACATCGGAAACTACCTTAGATTAGATATACCTAATTAATCACTCGCTGAATCTAGTTTGATGGTCTATCCCTCTACTAAATCACCTTTAAAACCATTATCTTATAGTATTCTTTAATGAAAGTTTTTTCTTTTATCTTGTTTGCTTAAAAGCTTTGTCCTTCCAAAAAGAGTTGACGTTGTTCGTCGTTGCTAGTGACTCCGGGTAATCTTCTTGAAAGGTAATTCTGGTCATGTGATCCCTGGATAATACCGGTATACCGGTAAAAGTGGATCAACCAAGGTGGTTTAGAAGGTACAATTGGAAGGCAGATGCATCATCACTGTCGGTTTGTTGATTCATGTGTCTACTTCAGTTTGTTGATCCATACCTTTTGTCTGTGGGGAAGAAACTCGAATACGATTGAATATCTTTTGGTATTTACAAGTGCCTATATATACATATATATATATATATATATTTATATTAATGTGAATTTATATAATGATATTATTATACGGAATAGTATTTTATGGTGAAATGTGATGCGGGCCGTTACTGTCGTAGCCAGATCGTCTATTCCTTAGTTGGTTTTTTGGCACCATATTTGGAACGGGAGCTGATTCTATTCACGACACCACTTAAATCACCAGCACCTCTGACCAAATGGTACTTGACACCGGGAAGATCCTGACAACGGCCACCTCTGACATACACAATACTATGTTCTTGAGCGTTGTGACCTTCACCTGGAATATAAGCAGAAACCACGTTACCATTAGTTAGTCTCACTCTGGCAGCTTTACGTTGAGCGGAATTAGGTTTCTTAGGCTTCAAGACCATAACACGCAACACAACACCTTTTCTAATAGGACAGTTATCCAAATCTGGAGCCATAGACACTCTACTACGACCTGGAGGACCAGAACCTCTTTTGATCTGGTTTAAAGTAGCATATGCAATTGAAGCAGTGCTAAACGGTTTGGCAGCCCCGAAACCCAGCACTCTAGAAACAACAGAGCCAGTGGACCACACACTTCTTAACGACATCATCTTTAACAAACCTCTTGTATCCGTTCCCTATCCTATCCTATCCAATCCTATCCAATCCTATCCAATCCAATCCAACCCAAACCATTGAAACAATAACTTCTCTTCATTAGTACCAAACCTCTGTTGTTAATGTAGATGGCTCCTGTTTCTTATAGATTCGAATTTGAATTTGACGAACATTTTTTTGGCTTTGAGATAGTTCGTTGGGTGTGATGTGAAAGCACGTGATTTCAGATTGTTGGGAGCTCTGGGAAGTGACAGTTAATGCTGTCGTCTGTAGCGTAACAGTTCATTGATAGTTATATTATATTATACTTAATGGTGATTGTGTTATTGGGAATAATTACCTTGGCTATCTTTCTATTTTGGTCACGACTTGGGTTTCATGAATAATATTTAGTTAGTTAACTATCATTTTAGGTTTCTTTAAATACTCTTGTGACTACATAATATTTAAATTTTATATTTTATTTTTTGGTTTCTTTCTTTATACATTATACCATTGTCAATTCATTAACCAACCATTGGATACTCCAGTTTGCCCATCCAGTTCAATGTCATAATTCCTTCAATTTCTGTCATTGAAAGTTTTGGTTTTGGTTTTGGTTTGCACCACATCACCAGGACTACCCTCAATTGCCAAGACCAACCTGTCGTAAGTATACATGCGATACTGCTATATTCACGTATTATCTGTCCAAACACAGGGGAAACAATGAGAGATACTTTGTAAATATGGTCGACCACCAATCTCCAACGACACACTTACATTAATCCTCTATATTGCACTAGTTAGTTCATTATTTATGTCCGATGTTGTCACTTTCCTCTGCTAGCGCCCGCTGCATCACCACAGCAACACACCTTTCCCAAGACCTCATCCAACAGGAGAACAACCTCGAAACCGAATCCCAATCAACTAAACTGAAGTGAGCCCAGATATACATCCAACGTTAATTTAAACAGCCATCCCATCAAGAAACTTTATCATAAATATATATATATATATAGATGTTTTGTATATTTTTGTATTGCTCACCTTCTTATTATTGTACAGTATACCCAATCCAACAGGGCACTGCCATATTGAGATGCCCCAATGGCTACGTCTCAATCGTATATCCATATAAGACCTGCTTCGTTATGGAATAATTTTAAGAAGTCTGCTACTAAAAATGTTAAAAGTGTCCAAGATCATTCAAATTTATTGCTTCGAGTCCAATTGCACAAGTTCCCAAGTCTTATCGGTCATTCTACAAGTAGGATCAATCGTCGTTACAATGATGACACCTACTCAATCAATATGCTAAAATTACCATCTGTCGAACAAGAGATATTATTAAATAGAGGTGTGGGCCCATTACCATTGGATCCTGCAAACTACAGATCTGTTTTAAACATGTCTGTGTTCGATGGCCACGGTGGAGATAGGGTCTCAAAATTACTAGCTGAGAATCTCCATAAGGAAGTTTCAACTGGATTCTCAGATATATCAGAGTTCTACCAGTTACTGTTGGATTATAAAGACAAAATTGGTGGCCCTTATTGGGAAAATGTTTATGAGAATAGGTTCAATTTCTATGATAAATTTATTAAACGTTGCAATACTAAACAGGAGCAAGTACTCTTTGGTTCCGATAATTCAGGTTCAAGAATGATTTTTGATTCATATGGTAATATAATAGACAAGACTGCTCTTTTGAGCGAACAGGAAAGATTGAGAATATACTATTCGTTCCTTAAGTTCGATTTCTTGAAGTGCTGTGGTTTTGAAGACAGTACAGAAATGCCATTAATAGATCGTGCAAAACTGTATCCTGGGGGTTCAACCGCATCTTCAATCTTTGTATCTTCTTATATCCAAGAAGACAATCTATTGGATGAAAGTTTTTTTGTAGATGCAAATGGTCTTTTGAAATTGGTGGTAACTCAAGTAGGTGATTCAAAGATTATACTATGTGATTCAAATGGTATAGCACATAGTTTAACTAAGATACACTCACCAACATCAAGACGAGAGTCCAAGAGATTAGAATCAACCACTAAAGAGGATTCCTTGCTGGAAGAGGATTCCTTTGGAGACGTGAGATTCCTGAACAATTTTGCAAACACAAGATCATTTGGCGACCTCGTTGGGAAACCAGAAGGTTTAACTGGTGAACCTGATATTTATTCATATCTTGTAGGCTCTACACGACGTTTACCATATACTGAAAAATCCAAGTTACAATTTGGTGGTGATGAATGTTTTGTCGTGTTAGTTACAGATGGTGTAACGAACATTTTATCTGACCAAGAGATAGTAGACCTAATAACTTCAACCGTCAACTTACGTGGATTGAAAACAGCATCTCCTCAGTATGTTTCGGAAGAAGTTATTAAATTCATTATGGCTGTTGCTGGTAGACATGCTGATAATGCTACTTGTCTTGTACTTCGTCTACCAAACTGGGGGAATTGGCCTGCAATTGATAGATCCGGTGCATCAAGAGAGAATAAATTGTTAAATTCATCCTAAGTATGTTATCCACATATCCACAGGAAACACACTTGATCTCTATTTTTCTTATACATTTCAATTTATTATATTATAGTATATTATTTTATTTTATTTTATATTATATTTTATTTAACTATATATTCATGTTAATCCCTTTTTAAATTCAAACTTGAATATAAAAACTACACATATTTGCAACCGTCACACATAGAATATCAATGCCATATTTACAAGATCCAACCAAACCCTGGAAGGAATACTATTTATTCTTAGTTTGAGTATATCTAAATCTCTTTCTTGTTGGAACAAACTGTCCCAATTTGTTCCCAACCATATCCTCAGTCACTTCAAAAGCAACGTAATCCTTACCATTATGAACTTGAAACTTCAATCCAACAAACTGAGGAAGAATAGTAGCACTTCTAGCATTAGTTCTAATTGGTGTACCTTTAGCCATAGCTTCTCTTATAGGTAAGGGAACAATATTAGGACCCTTCCAAGCTGAACGTGCTAAAACTCTTAAACTTGGAATCATCTTCAACAATCTTACTCATACACTAGCAACGAATCAATACCAATGATAGATAGGCTTGCTTAGGAACAGTAAAGATCTCTTTTATCTCAATTGTTGTCCTCTTATGATCAAGTTCTTAATATATGGGAAAATTTTCAGTTAAGCTCTTAAAGTGAAAAATTTCAAGATATTTAAAATGTTAAGAGGTATCGATGAGATGAGATGGGATAAGATGGGCATTTAAAAGAAGTTTTATGGTATAAGAAGACCAGTGAGGTTGGTATGTTTGCAGTTAGATTTGATCCCAGTCAGTTAGTGGAGGAGTCTGTTGAAGATGAGGCTCCAAAGAAGGTTATTCCTTTGAAGAGATCGAAATCTGATGAGGAGGACGAATCAAGTGAAGAGGAAACAGAATCAAGTGAGGACGAGGAAGAGAAAGAGAAAGAGGAGGTTGCTGATGAGGATAGTATGGATGTCGACGATGAGTCTAGTGGAGATGATGATGAGGAGGCAGAAGAAGGTGAAGTTGATGCGGCCTCTGATCATCCTGATAAACACAATTCAGTTATGTCCAGGTTCCAGCAGACTCTTGCTTTACAAGATAAAATGGACTCAGAGAGTTTGGTAAATGAGAATGAAGAGGTTAATGATGAAAATATAGTGGAATCTCATAATCTGGAAAGAATTCCTCAACCTGCAAAGGTGAAGGAATCTGCAGTTGCACCTGCCGCTGTTTCTCAATATAAATCAGCAGCGTGGTTAAACACCGAAACTATTCATTATGATAGCTCAATGGTGAGAAAATTCTCAGATTTTGAGGACCAGATAGATCCAAAACTATTGAAGAATATACAACAAAATTTCTCTACTGATACTTTCCCAATCCAATCCATATTATTGGAAACTTTATTACCTACTTTGAACTTCTCATATAATATTACCAAAAAGAATTTTACTAGAAGAGTAGGTGACGTATTGGTGAATGCCTCTACTGGTTCAGGTAAGACGTTGGCATACTCTATACCGATCTTACAAATTTTATCTAAACGTACTGTCAATAAACTAAGAGCATTGGTTATTGTGCCTACAAAGCTATTGATTAACCAAGTTTACGAAACGTTTAACAATCTGGCACAGGGGACCAGTCTGATAGTAAGCATCTCAAAGTTGGAAAACTCCTTGAAAGAAGAAAATAAGAAACTGCTACAAAATGAACCAGATATTTTAATTACGACTCCTGGTAGATTAGTTGATCATTTACAGAGTGGTGCGGTTAATTTGAGAAACCTGAAATTCTTAGTATTAGATGAAGCAGATCGTCTATTGAATCAATCATTCCAAAATTGGTGTAACGAGTTATTGAATAAATTGAAAACTGATAAACAGGACCACATGCCAGGTAATATCGTTAAAATGGTGTTCAGTGCTACTTTAACTACAAATACAGAAAAACTTCATGGATTACAATTTTACAACCCTAAACTGTTTGTCATGGATTCTGTCAAACTTTATCATTTACCAAGAATGTTACAAGAATACAACTTGCATATCCCAACTGCTAAAACTTCATACAAACCTTTATTCTTATTACGTCTATTATCTGAGATAAATGGTTCAAAGATGCTAGTGTTTGTGAAATCAAATGAAAGCTCGTTGAGACTAGCCTCACTTCTATCCATCATGATTGAGCACAAGCTAGGATCGCAATTTGACATCAACTCAGTCAATTCCAACAACACTAAAGCCGAGAACAGAAGAATAGTCAACGAATTTGCTTCAAATAACAATACATCCAAGGTACAAGTGTTAATCACCACCGATGTGATGTCGAGAGGTGTCGATATCAACGACATCACAGATGTATTGAACTATGACGTCCCAATCTCTTCTCAACAGTATATCCATCGTTGTGGTAGAACTGCCAGAGCTCAGTCGAAAGGTACCGCTTATAACATGCTGATAGGTAAAGGTGAAAGAACTTTCTGGGCTACACATATAGACAATGATATCAGTAGAGACATCGATGGATGTCAACCACAAGTGTGGGGACAACATGATCAACAGAATCAAAAAGATGAAGGACAAGAGGAAGAAGCCCAGGTTCTGCCATTATTAACCGTCGATCCAGAAACCGAAAGTATTTACAAAGAATGTCTAAACTCATTAAAAGAAAAAGTGGATACCAACAGAAAATAGACAATCAACTCAACAATGTCATCGAAATCAGCCTTAACAAACCTAATTAGATTGATTTCTTACCTTTACCACTCTTATCATTTTAGGCAATTTGCATCAATTTGTATTATAGAGAGATAGATAAGATATATATACGCACGCTTATATATATATATATAAATGTAGAGATTTCTGCATAATGATCATTAGAAATTCATTATTACAATACTGAACAAGCTCAATTCGATAAGTCTGAACAGATATCACCTGAAAGTATCAAATTGTCTTGTTCTTCATAGTATCAAGTTATAGTTACATATACATTAAATTTTCACTATATAAAACTAATGAAAAATTCTTGGCAGTTAAGATAAATTAACAGACCCTATAAAAATGTTTGATGGTATACTGAGCAAGTATAAAGAGTTTGCAGGGTCTAAAAGTCTACATATTAAATATTGTGTTGAGCAGGATCAGATTGTAGAGTGGTAATGAGTCCTACTAAATATGTTCTGGTTCCACCAGATGAATTGCATCCTTATATTAACAAAAAGGATGAAAATAGTAATGATGGTAATAATGCCAATAATAAGGAAATGACATATCCTGATTTTGATCCTTGGAGGCATACTAAGTCAGAGGATGATATTATGATAAATTTTGTTTCTAAAGGTTATTATACCACTCCCAAGGTTAATTTTGAAAGTATATCTGCTAGATCATCGTTACAAGAGTCGTTGCCAAAACTTTCCAATCATTTAGCTGAACAGTTCTCACAGGTGCTTCAAATACGTGAGAAGGAAATAAACAAGATACCATATGGGAATAATGATCCATCTTCTTCATCGACTCAGCATCAGCTATTTAGTTTATTGAGTGGTCCTGGTTTCCAATTGCCAAATAGGGTCACATTAACAGATCAGAGGAAAGATCAATGGTTACAAGAACTGAGTTCACCGTATGCATCATTAACAAAGATATCCAAATTTATACCTCATGGATTGAAAAGGAGGCAGGTACTAGAACAATGTTGTATGAGGCAGATCCCATTAAAGAGAGCTATTTGGTTACTAAAATGTTGCTATTCAATGGAATGGAAGGCATTATCTACTAAACATCTAAACTCAAAGGAAATAAATTCCCAATTGTTGAAAGAATGGACAGAAAATTTTATATTCATGTTAGAAAAATTAGTATTTGAAATGTCTCAATATTATAATGATGCTGCTAAGTTAAAAGTTTGGAAGAGAGAAATTTACTATTTCTTAAAGTTACTAGGAAATTGTTATACTTTAGAGCTTATTAATAAGGATATTTTATTGCATTGGTTAGTGGAATTCATTTCAAAAATTGAGATTTTCGAATATTTACCATTAAGTCTACATATACTATCACTATTCTGGCATGATATATCAAATGTCAATGAATCAGCACCTTCAGCACAGCCAATGTTTTTAGTAACTAAAATATCGGATACATTACTACACAAGTACATTGCTGTCTCTCATAACAAATCAATGATTAATGATGAAAAATATATTATAAATGATGTGAAGAAGAACAACAAAATAAAAGAATCCATATTGGCGGTTATAAGAAGATTAATTTGCGATTTGTTTCAAAGACAGTTACTTGAAGTATTTTTATTTCCAACCTCTAGTTGGGATCTTTACAAACCGTGTCTTTATGAAATCACTAATCAGTTAAACGATACACCTGAGATGGTAGCTGAAGTTAAAAAGAAATTAGAATTAATCAGTTACAGGAATGAGTCGCTTAAATTACACTATACTTCTCGATCACATACACCTGAAGATGAATCTGGTACTAATACATCCAATGATGAATCTAAAATTGAATTCATAAAACTAAATTGTATTGATTTTGAATTGACTGAAAAATTAGATGATAATCCTATTGATTTTGATTGGGCCTCTTTTGTTGATAGGGAAATTCAAAATGTTTCTCAAATTGTACAATTGATATTATGGGTTATTCATCCATCTAGAGCTTGTAGATATGAAGGTACTCAGTTAGTTGCTAAAATTTTACTGTTAACAATTAGTTCCGTGGAAGGATTACAAGAATATGTCGTTGAAGATATTATTTGGTCGGTTGTTTTCCAAATCTCCAAATATTCAGAACAGAAACGTTCAACATTTGTATCATTACCATCACTATACAAGCTTCTAAACATGCTAATCACATATGGAATTGTTAAGGTTCCTACGTATATTAGGAAGTTAATTAGTTCAGGTGTGTTATATTTGCCTGAATCCAATGATAAATTTTTCCATTGCGATGCATTGATAAATTTAAAGATATCTTTCCTAATGAAAAGTCAATACAATATGGTTCTGAGAAATGTCATTGAATATGATGCCACATTCTATGAAAAGTATAATTTTGATCAATTATTGTCGGTTACGGATGAACTGAAACAGAAGATATTGGATTCAGAAGAATTAGATATGTCAGAACAACCATATAGCATCAAGATAATGATGGCTGAGTGGTATTTAGGTCTAATTTGTGGTGGGGAGTTAGAAGTTGTTAACAAACAAACACTGATGAAGAATTTTAATTTCTTTTGTATTCATTTCGATGTCTTCCATCATTTTTATAAGTGGGTGGAATTTATCGTCTATCATCAATTACTGGCGGATATAGAAACTTTGGAAACCCTTATGAATATTTTACTAAGATATGGTAAACTATTTTCCCAATTTATTAATGACCATATTTTATTCACGAAAACGTTTATTTTGATATATACCAAAATCCTAAAGGAAAGTGACAATACAGCTTATTCAGTAACATCATTTATGCCATTCTGGAAATTTTTTATGAAAAACTTCTCATATACACTGAATTTTGATGAGGATTTGAGAACTGATCTTGGATCTGTCTATGAAGAAGAGAAAGCTAAAGTAGAGAGGTTTCCAAAAGATAAAGAATTGGTATCCTTGTTGAACGATGATTTGCATGGAAATATTTCCAATGCAAAAGGGTTGGTTTGTAATTTCCCAGAGGTTTTCCAAACCAACTTAAGAGTTTTCTTTAGTTCAGAGGAATACTCATTATCTAAAAAACAAGCTAGATACATGTTACTTTTGATTATGAATGCAAGTACCAGGGATTACAATAAGTTTATTGCTATATACTTGAAGAGAAAAGATTTTAAGATGGAAAATTTGGTCCATTTAATATCTTATAAGTTATTAACACTTGAACAAGTTCAAAATGTTTTAGGTATTGATTTCATTTTGGTATTACTGTCATATAAATATGAAGGATACGACTTGGGTTTTGAATATTACAGAGATCATTATGTCAGATTAAACTACAAGCTTCTATTAACTGCCTGTGAATCGAAGTTAAACGATCACTATACTCTATTTTTAGAAATGCTAATACAATATGGTAATCTTTGGAAGCTATATGACATTACATCCTCTGCATTACTTGCTGTTTTCAATGATTCGAATGTTGATAATTATAAGTTTCTACGTTCAATTTTATTTTTTGGTGTTAAGAACTATGATAAGGACGAGGATATAGTGATGACAGATGGCATCAGTCCACATGTTTGGTTAGACTTTACTAACATTTGGTTATTCCAATCTTACACGAAGTATATTTTGTTAGATACGCTATCTTCAGGGGAAGGGCTAGAAAAGGCTAAGAATTTCTTGTTTAGCATGATTGAAGTAACTAATTATAGCTGTCTATGTGCACAGACGTTTGGAAGGATAAATGATACTGATACCATAAATATCCTGATCAAAATATTCGAAAGGAAGTTTTTTGATACCTGCCTATACGACAAAGAAATATCGAACCAATACCTGAGAGTTATAATAGAGGTGATAACATTTCTGTCTCAGCAAATGGCTATAAACAGTCCAAGCCATCAAGATATGAATGTTACATTTATTGAATCATTGAGAACTATATCAAAACACTTCGCGAAGAAAGATGAGCAGGAATTAAAGAATATTAGAGTTAAGCTTGACTCATTTTTAAAGATATCTATAATTCATCAAACTGCTATATTCGAATATGTCAGCAACCTGATTGAGACGAACGATATCAAGATTGTGAATAGCTTACTGGATGATCTATTCACATTGTTTGAGAAGATATCCTTTGATTTGGGATTGAAATTGATGCTTTATGAAATATTGTCCTCATTGAAGTCATATTGCCAGTACAAATCCACCACTGAAAGCGGTAAAGGCAACAAATCAGTAATCGTGCCTACGAAGTTGTTGGAACTGCCACCTTTCCAAGTATCATCGTTCCTGAAGGAAGAAGATCCAGATGACAATGAACAACAATTGTCATTGGGTATTCAAACCGAAGATGACATCCCCTATGGAGGCAGGCCGTTGTCATCCCATCCGCATAGCGTCAATAGATGCTATCAAAAGCAATGGTTTATATACAGCAAGAAAACTAAAGAGCACTGGTGCAGATTCTACAATGAGCCATACCATTGCATCAACAATTACCAATCCGAGAGCAGCAGTTCGTTCAATAACTCTTGTTTGAACCTGAGTCTTTTTGACGCCAGGTATGAGAAACGAAACCCAAAGTAAGAGGGGAGGGCAGGTGTAGAGGAGATGGAGGTGATGGGGAACCGTCATAATATCCCATCTTTCTATACCCATATATGACAATAATTCCGTTCTATTTCTATCACCATCAGCATTGAAACGATTGGCGGCTAAAAAAAAGGAAAAAAAGAAAAGAAAAACACCAAATCATAAAGCACGAAACATACAACCACGTGATACATAAATTACCCGCACATCGCGCAACACGAAAGCAGAGGTGGCAAAACAATAACAAATTAATGCATCTCTTAAAAGGTAACCAACAGATAAATTGAAAGATATAAAGGTGAAGGTGATGGAATAATGTTTTAAAAGTGGTTTAATCTACTATTTGTCCAGTCCAAGAGGTATCGAGGCTTAATTAATATTGAACGTAGTGTCCAGATAGGTTATTACTTCAAGGATTGTGCTGTTTTTCACGTTTCTTTATCGACAGCCGAAGGTTTTTGAACAGAAGATTTTGATTGATTTATTGATTTTGGGAACTTATCAATAACAGTTGTGGTATTGATTCATTTCAGAGGATTCTGTATTTGTAGACACTGTTAGATTTCAGGTTCTATTGTTTTTTTTCACGTTAGTTGAACGAAAAATACAGAGTTGAAGAATATACGAGTCTAGTCATTCTTTGATATTGATACTAGTATTGATTTTGTTTTAGTGAATAAAGGTTGTAATACATCAGGTTTTTTTTTCATTTTCATTGTTATTGCAGCTTCTTCTATGTTTTGATTTGAGCTTATACAATCATTACGTTTGAAAAAGAATCCAAGATTTCTTTTATCTTCATTTTTTATTTTTTTTTTCATTTCTTCCACTTTTGTTGACTTGTTAACATCCATTTATTTTTGCATTTATACTTCATTTCCATAAGTGATGCTAACTCCTGATGGTATTAGTGACTCCATAAAGAAGTTTCAAGAACGAGATATAACCGAGAATGAGGATTACCTAGTTTTACTGCAGCAAAGAGATATTCTCGAGAAAAAGCTTTTAGATAGACGATTCTTAGCTAAACAACTACAATTGCTATATCACCAGCTAGACAAAACACATAATTACCAAGAGTTCGTGGATGTCCTTATGAATAATAGAGAGTTATTGAGAAATATTTTCACATTAGAAGGCCATTTGAAGAGATCAAAGTACTCAGTCAATTTGGATGTAGAGATCGATTGGCAAAAATTTGGACTAGATATAATGGAATACATTACTAATGACGATAAGTTATTGGCCTTGTATAACGATGGATTGCTATAATCCAATTTACGTATCATTCAAAGTCCGGGACTTATAATTTTGATCATTTAAGATTCAACTTCAAAAGAATGGTTGCTCCCACATCTGCTCTTTTTTTTTTTGTATATTATGTTGTCCCTTCCCATGCATAACACCAACCTTAACATTTTATTTTTAATCGCAACGCTACTATCTCATCATCAGCCAAGTCAGAATCAACATCCAGTTGATCACGATTTCAGGTTTGCCTTATTATTTTATTTTGGGGGTTTTCACGACTATTTTTCACCACGATCATATCTTTTGTATATAGTTTTAACGTTTACTCATCTTTGGACACCATGCATGCTCTCATAGACATCCTCAAATGCCTATTATTACATGTATCTTTCTACATATCTATGTCATTAAATAGTTTTTAAAAAAAATTGTATCATTACTTAAACTATCAGATATTTCATTCGCTTATAAAATATCATATATATACTCTTGATGATGAGGTATATATGAAGCAAGCAACTTAGTTTGTGCTAGAAGTAGGAGACTAAAGTTAGACCATTGGGTTACTGGACGTTTTAAATAACATTTCACCAATTGTATTGGTATTCCAATTGCTTATACTTTGCAGATATGTCTCGATTCATTCCATTGTCCAAAGTAATTAATGAACTAGTTGCCAAGGGGAAGCCTCAAGTGATATACTCTTACAAGATTAGACCATTGGTCAGAGGAGGTGCTTGTACGTTATCAGCAGTTTTCTTTGCATATGGTGTTTCATTTGCTGATTGGTCTTGGGCTTCTTCACTTGATATTTTTGAACAGACTAAGAAAGATGATGAATTGGCCAAGATGAGTATTTTAGACAAGGCTAAATTTTATGGGTTAACCTTTAGTCCATTCTTATTGATTATCATACCTTTTACACTTTCGTTTGCCTCTATTGTGATTGCTTCAAGAGTCGTTTCAAGTGTGACTTATTTGCCAAAAGTTAAAGGTTTACCACAGCAATGTCAAATAACAAGAAGATCTCCGATCACAGGCAGACATATTACGGAATTGAGGAATCTAGAAGACATTTCAAGAAGTGCCAAGATCCGTGTATTCACTGGTAAAGGTCCTAATGGAACAGACGATAAATCCTCATTTATCTTTACGTTATTTGATTCCAATAATTCTATAAGATATAGATGGCAGAGATTCTTCCTACTATCGAGATCAGGAACATTTTATGAGAATGATAGTAGAATTTTTGACTATCTGTTTGGTGGAGACTCTATAAAAATGTTAGAAAAGCTTAAAAGGGAGAAAGAAGAATTAAATTATACAAGCCAACTTGAAAAAAATTATAAACAAGATGAAGAATTATCACAGTTGAACAAGCAAAAGTTCAGCAAACTCTCAGATATGAACTCTGAAAGAGCAAAAATTCATTCTGGATCTTCAAAAGATGTGCTGAAATTAATGAACAAAAAAAATTGAAACCAACATTCATGAATGGTCATCAATATTATAATAATCCAAATAATTTCAACAAATAATCAAATATTAGAGCATACGAGAAGTATAACCCCGTGTCAATATTACTGATAAAGGCTTTCCAACAATCTTTTGGATTGTCTAAATCGACATTTTTAATCATTGTAAATACTCTATAGGCAAAAATAGTCAAACCACCAATAAAACCTGGCCCCAGTATCAATCCACTGTTAATACCTGCGATAGCCAATGATCCGAACTGAATTGTTGCCAAAGTGTTACAGATAGTTTTGGTCTTGTCGCCCCAAGCTAGAGCAGTTGATTTAATACCTGCTTTAATGTCAAATTTCTTGTCTTGATGAGCATAAATGGTATCGTAAATCATACACCACAGGAAACTGCTAGTGTACAGTGGGATCATAGTTGACCAGTCCATTATACCCATAGCAGGGAATCCCAGCAGAGCAGCCCAGTTGAAACAAGCACTTAGAGCAATTTGTGGGTAATAAGTGAAACGCTTAAACAAAGGATACGTGAAGACTATTGGCAAAGATGCCAAACCCAACCACCAGCAATTAGCAGGCAATTGAGTCAATACCCCCATACCTACTGCCGTTTGAGCCCCCAAGAACGCAATGGCTTTCTTTTGCGAGACCCTACCAGAAGCAATAGGTCTCTCGACGGATCTGATGACTTTGTCATCCAAGTTACGATCACACAGATCATTGATAGTGCAACCAGCACCTCTCATGACCAGGGAACCCACACCAAACAAGGCCAACATCCACACCGTAGACCCTAGAGTGGCTGACGTCTGCATTGCAGCCATAGTGATGGCCCATGTACCTGGTAAATATAGTAACCAAGTTCCGACAGGTTTCTCAAGACGCATCAATTCAGCATAAGGAATCCATTTTTCAGGCAGTTTCGAAACCCAAGGACCCAATCCCTTAATACGCTCCTGTCTAGCCCTTTCCAACTCTTCCTCAGTGAAAGGTTTGGTGTTGCTTACCAAAGAACCTTCACTGGTTGAAGAGATGTCTGCCCTTTGTTGCAAATTCAAACCAGATGGCCTGTCTTTCTGGCTCAAACCCCCAACGAACCGAACACTGTAACGAGAACCAACTGCATGCAACCTAACATTACCCAACACAGCTCTAGCGGACGAGCAATTCATCAAACCAAGCCTGATCTTTGCAGAAGCTTGGCCAAACATCATCTCTATTCCCAAAATTCTGTATCTCTATCGGTATATAAGCTAATCCAACCAGAGTAAAAAGACGTCACCGAGCACCAGAACCAGCTAAACAATCACTGAACCTACTTTATAAACCTTGCAAGCCAACTACAAGTCCTCAGAGTCCATTCCATCCCATCCCATCCATCAAAGTTGTTTGTCATAGCTGGTTCTAATCCAGTGCATTTATATATTTTTAAAGATTTAGATATTTTTTCTTATTCTTCTCATCTGGATCTTGGGCCACTGTTGCGATGCGTAAATCACTGTATCTTGAGTTCTAGAACAGTTGAAAACAGCAGAAAAACTGTGAAATAGAACCAACAACCTACTAATTAACCATCACCAACAATCGCAACGCTTCAATCCCACTCGATAACCTCCAAATAAACCATTCTTTCTTTAATTTCCACCTTCGTGATCTTAAAATATTCATTTATCGTATTTAAAACATTCCTTCTGACGTTTTAACGAGCCTGAAAAAAAATTTTGATAAAAGTTTTGAACCGATACAACAAACAACAAACAACCAACAAGAGCATCAAGGTTTGAGTTGGCAAAGAGTATATAAAGAGTGTTGATTCTAGTGTTGGTTTGGATATTCTTTTAGTTGTTTTATCCTTTACTGTGAAACTTTTCTCTTATTTTATTTTGGTATAAACTTTCTGGGTTATACTTCCAACTGTTTCAGATATATATATATTTAAATATAGCTGAATAGAGATAGATTTTGGGTATTAATTATAACATCGATCGAGACACCATGGTTTACGTTGCATCCACTACCGCACCAGTTAACATTGCTACTTTGAAGTATTGGGGTAAGAGAGATAAGGATTTGAATTTGCCTACCAATTCTTCTATATCTGTTACTTTGGCTCAAGAGGATCTGAGAACTTTGACTTCTGCTGCTACTGATGAGGGATTCACTCAGGATAAGTTGTGGTTGAACGGCAAAGAGGAATCTTTGGATAGTGCCAGAACTCAACAGTGTTTGGCTGATTTGCGTGGTTTGAGACAACAGGTCGAGGCTCAAGATCCTCAGGCTCCAAAGATGTCTCAATGGAAGTTGCACATCGTCTCTGAAAATAATTTCCCAACTGCTGCTGGTTTAGCTTCTTCTGCTGCCGGTTTCGCTGCTTTGGTTGTAGCTATTGCTAAGTTGTACCAGTTGCCTCAAGACTACTCTGAGATCTCAAAGATCGCAAGAAAGGGTTCTGGTTCCGCTTGTAGATCTCTATTCGGTGGTTACGTTGCCTGGGAAATGGGTGAAAACTTGGATGGTTCAGACTCAAAAGCTGTGGAGGTGGCTCCTTTGAACCACTGGCCAAACATGAAGGCCGCCATCTTGGTTGTCAGTGACATGAAAAAGGATACCCCTTCCACTAGTGGTATGCAATTGACTGTCAAGACCTCTGATTTGTTCCAAGAAAGAATCAAGAACGTGGTACCACAGAGATTCGAAGAAATGAAACAAGCTATCAGAAATAAGGATTTCCCAACTTTTGCTGATTTAACCATGAAGGACTCAAACTCTTTCCATGCCACTTGTTTGGATTCTTACCCACCTATCTTTTACATGAATGACACTTCAAGAAAGATCATTAGATTAGTACACTCAATTAACGCTTTTTACAATGAAACTATCGTCGCTTACACTTACGATGCTGGTCCAAATGCTGTCTTGTACTATTTGGAAGAAAATGAATCTAAATTATTTGCATTTATCTACAAATTGTTCGATAAAGTTTCTGGTTGGGAAACCAAGTACACTGAAGCTGAATTGAACGATTTCCTAAAGGAATTCGATCAATCAGTCTCTCCAAAATTGGATTTCGAATTAGATGACGAAATTTACAGAGGTGTCTCAAGAGTCATCTTGACTAGAGCAGGTCCAGGACCACAAGATACTACCGAATGTTTAATCGACGAAAACACCGGTTTGCCAAAATAATCATTGTAATAGCTTCTTTCTCCCAATAAAAGTTTAATATTAACAAAAAACATCATACCATTTTATTTTGGCTCTTTATACAAATCACTAAATAATTTATTGCATTTGAATTATTATATAAACTTAAACAATTCAATCACAGTTCAATAAAATAAATAATATCATTAATAATACATTTACTTCATATCTTTTAATTTAAATCTTCATAATAAGTTCCTTGTAGAAACCTATTATATCACCATCAATACTCACCTGGTAAATAAAGATGATATTCAAACTTACTAAGCAATTTAAACACTTCGAGGCTTCCCTCAAATACTAATTATACAATTACATGGTATATATATAAATATACTTATATATATACTTATATACAATATTTTGACAATATATTAAAATGATCAATATGATCGTCGATAACGTTGCAAGATGATAATTCTTTTATATGAATATTCCGTTAAAAGTTGTGATGATTCTACTCATGTTGGTTACTATTTCATTTCTTCCGCATTTTTTAATAACTTTAGTTTTGCTATTGGTAAACGACAAACTTAGAATCTTTCCTTTTTATAATTTTTTAGGTTACAATCCGCCACTCCAAAAAAAACAACAACATAATTTCGGGTTTAGCTTCTTATTCTTTAACTTCTTTAATTTTTGGGTCATTTATATTTTCAGTAGCTGGGGCTCTTGTATATTTCCAGATTCTAGCTTTACAGTCACCGCTACCAGTAGCAAAGACACCAACATTTGGACCTAATGGGAATCCATTAGCAACTGCAACAGAAATGACAGAATTTCTATGCCCTTGTAACATTAGTAATGGGTTACCAGATTTGGTATCCCAGAATAAAACGCCACGATCTTTTGAACCGGATAAGATGTATTCATCGTTTTGTGTAGTTGCTACAGACAAAACAAAATCCTTATGACCAGTGTATGTGACTTCACAAGTACCGGGTACGTTTGGCTTAACATCTTGATTGTTATCACCACGTAAATTCCATAATTTAACAGATCTATCCAAAGAACCAGATACAACGTTATTACCATCTCTAGTGAATACTACACTGTAAACAGAATCCTTATGACCTGTACCTAATTCATTTTCAGAATCTAATCTTTCAACTAAGAAACCAGTTTCAGAGTCCCAAACACGAACTGCACGGTCCAAGGAACCAGCAGCAATGTATTTACCATCACCTGGAGAAACAGCTACTGTAGTGACACCATCTTCAATGGATAAGGTCAATGAACATTGTCCATTACGTAAGTCCCAGATTCTAACAGTTCTGTCACCAGAACCAGAGACTAATTTGTCACCAGATGGGAAGTAATCCAAAGAGTAAATATCTTGTTCATGACCTTGTAATACCATAACAATCTTCTTTTGGGCAATATCCCAAATTCTAATCAATCTATCTTCAGCACCAGTAGCTAAGAACTTACCGTCTGGAGAGAAACATACAGAACGGATATATAAATCCGAAGAGGCAGAAGTAGATGTGGCAAAAGAATTAGTTTCACCAGAAGTTCCATCTGCAGTACCATTGGCGGCATCAGATTGACCTTGGACACCTTGTGAAGTCGAGTCGTCAGATAATCTAGCAACTAACTCACCATCGGAAACCCTGAAAACTTGAGTAGTCTTATTACAACCTGTAGCCAAGAATTGACCATCATTACTGAATCTAACACAACAAACTACTGAAGTGTGATCTAATGAGTGTAATAAATCAACATTAATCTCCCTTGGCAATGCAGGATTATATAAGATATAATAATCGTTTGTCTGTTTCTTCAAATGAGGCGGAACAATCTGAGAGTCTAAGTCTAGCAAAAATGGTGGAATTGGTTTGGTATGATTTGCACGTTGATTATATGGAACTAGATAATGACTTTCTTGTTCTTCTGTTGTTCCTGCTACAGCTGGTTTACGTTCTTCTTCTTTTGTAACTTGTGGTTTTTCTTCTTCAACAGGAGTTTGTGTTTTAGTAGGTTGTGCTGATTCTTGAGCAACTGGTGTTGTAGTTGAAGAAGCAGTAGCTGCAGGAGCAGGGGCGGCACCAGCTACTGGTGGTGTAGAAACAGGTTGTACAACTGGTGAAGTTTGGCTAGCTACAGCTGGTAGAGAAGGTGTGGCAGTTGCTTTAGCTGCGACTGGAGCCTGAGTTGGTGCTTGAACTGCAGAAGTAGCAGGGGTACCAGCCATTGGAATAGGTTGTGTAGCTGGTGTGGCTACATTATTACTTGGTGCCTCAATTGGAGGAATCATTTGCTGACTGCCTTCTTGTTGAGTGATTTGAGATTGAACTGTAGGTACTGGCAACGGGTTAGTAACCATATAGTTGCCTTGCAAATTTTGTTGCTGTTGCAATTGCTGTTGTTGATTGGAAGTAATAACAGGTAGTTGTGGAGGCATTTGGTTGCTTACATTACCTTGAAACTGAGGTTGTGGAACAGCAGATGGAGCACCTTGTTGCATATGGGAAGAAAATGGAACATTAAGCATAGCTGGAGAGCCTTGTTGCTGATGTTGTTGATGTTGTTGCTGTTGATGTTGCTGCTGTTGATGATGATGAGCAGTTAAAGATGCAAGTTGACGATCTCTTTGATCTAATTCTATTTTCAAACGATTTATTTCTTCCTCATAAGCATCTTTCATTTTTCTATGAGTAAGTTCTAACTCATAAACAGTATTTCTTATTTGTTGCATTTCAGCCAACTGTTGATTTATTTTTGAATCATAATCTTTTTGATTCTGTAAACGGTAAGAATTTGCATCTTGAGAAACTTGAGCAAATTCTTGTTTAACAGCTTCTAGTAGTTCATTGATTTTACTTTGAGAATTCGAGATTGCAGCTGACATTTTGAAAAGATAATATACGATACTGTAATCCTACTTAACTCGATATATTTGACTTTTGTTTAATTTATTCTTATCGTTTATAATAATTATAATAATACAATTGAGTATAACTTTGACAAACCAAAAATAATAAAAAAAAAAATAAACAAAACAACTAGTGTAAGGCGAGCTTAAGTCAGTTGGATATTGTGTTAATTGAATATCTAATGATGGTTTTCTTGAAAACTGTATATTCCTATTGAATATCTAATCTTGACAGTACTCCTATTATAGTTGTCTGATTGTGTATAAAATGAGTCTTGTTTTAGTTAATAATCAATGTTTACTAAATCTTTGATTTTTTTTTTTGAAAAAAAAACTATAATGAAAATGTTAATTTAATTCTTTATTACAACAAAATTTGTTTTCTTGATGTTATTTTTTTTTTTTATTATTTTGGAAATAAGTTAGAAAGGAAAAAGAAGAAGAAAAAAACAAACAGGTAAAACAATAAATAACAGCAGTGTTGAGAATAATAGTGAAGCAGAAATAAACAGACAATACGGTTTGTCAATCAATAGAATGTAAGTTTCTCCCCCTTTTCAAAACTGAAAGTTAGCCAAAGAAAGAACTAAAGAAATTAAAACCTATAGTCGAGTGAAATGCACAGACAACAATTGAGACAAATTTTTTTTTTTAGTTTTTACCTAAACTAAAACCTTAGTTTCTATCATAGTTGAGTGTAAGGTAGACTACGTCAAAGCAAAGTGTGAGACCCCAACAAAGATAAACAATAGGTTGCTGTATAATAACGAAAAAATTTTTTTTTTTCTGATTCCTTGTGAAAAACCGAGATAATAGGTGTAAGATTTTTAATGTTTGAAAAAAACCGACCGAAAAGCAATAACTAAACCAAAACATTCATGACATTACCTTACACCGGTAGCGTATAAATCCACTTCTCAACGGATCGTTGTTTCTTTTCAACTACCTAATTTCTTTTTTTATTTGCTTCGTTTTCAGAATTGAAATGTAGTTTTTTTTTTTTATTTTCATTTTCATTACTTTCACCTAAATCACTGTTATATTTTGCAAACATCAACGAAATGAACCCAAAAATGAACAATAATTTCTTTTTTGCCCAGCTGATGCCTTGTAATCCTTGAATTTCTTTTTCTCTATATTTTTTTTAGGCTCGCTATGCCATGCAATGCCATGCTGTGTATTTCTAGCAGTATAACCTCTCCTTCTTAACTGTTTCTTTTTTTTGCCCAAATCATAGTAATTTCCGAAAAATTCAATTTGCCATGAATCCTAAAACAGACCAAACTTTCCCAAGGATGGCTCGAAAAAAGGGAAACTCTCGAAAGATCATTTAAGATAATTACTGAGACCGGTCTCTCGTGGTTACTAATCACCGGCAATCTCTCTGCAAGTATGGTCCCGAGATTTGTTGTCCTCTTTATTTAGTTTTGCCTCTTGCTGATTTCTCTTGTATTTTTTGTATCTTTAGCTTTGGTTAACTTCAACTGCAAGAATAGCAGCCTATCCTTTAATCTACCGTAATATTTCTGATCCTCTCCGGGGAGACTGGAGGGGAAGTGAAATTGCACAGTCAGTATTTTGGGTATTTTTTCATTTGTGTTTTTTATTTTAAATTTTTATTTTTCATTTTCTGAAGTCATTGATAAAAACAGTGGAGAGAAGCACTAAACACATCCATTTCAACCTGACAATAAAAAAAAGATGTTATTGTTCTTGAAGGGCATAGCAGTTAGATTTTCTGTCTTGAACCCAAGTAAAAAATCAATTGCTTACTGCACTAGATTTGTTAACTTCCTCCGGTTGAGGAAAACTTTTAATACGTATCTGTTTCACGGTTCGGCCTTATTCCTATACTTCATTTTATCTATGGTTTGACTGATGCAAGTAGCTGCATTTTTGAGCGAGAGTTAGCGCTAGTAACATCAGAGTTGGTTGATATTAATAGTAGCGGTATCGTTAGACGATGTCGTTGCTCTTGTCCTTGAATTTTGAGGTTCGCGAAATACGACACATATTATTGTGAGATTATGGGAAAATATAGGACCACAATTTTGCTCTATCTACATTTTTTCTTTCTTTATTTTTTAAATGTTTTTCTCTATTCAAGGTTTTCCTCATTCTTTCTAGTGCATTTATTGCTCGTACGACGTCCAAACACTAAAACTTAACATATATATAACTACCAACAGTCTCATATGACTATCTCAGCTTAGGTGTTACCCGCAAAACTTCTATCTCGTTCCGTTTCTCCTAAAGGCACACCGGGTAAATATCGATTTTTAAATTCCGTTTTTGTGGCAGATAAATTTCTCAAGATACCTTAATGATCAGACAACGGCGGCTAATTCCAAACCATACTTGATAATTTGGTAGTTATAGCAAAGTATTTATGACCATGTTCTTGCAATCAGCTCAGATGGCATACCTTCTATTTTCCAAAAAATTCCAAAACTACTAGTAGTAGTAAGGATTAGATTAATATCAATTTGATTAGTCAAAAAAAAAAATAAAATAGAATGCTGCAACAGAAACTAAACCAAGAGTACTTTTTCACTTCTTTCTCTCTACCCTTCCCCCACGTAACATCATATACATACTTACTGATTCCAATACATATTCTTGCAGTCAACATAAAGGTTATTCCTTCCCACCTTCATAAACTCCCTTTAGCCATTGGCGGTTCCCATTCTATTCCATCTCTTCAAGTAGCACCGTTAAAAAAAATCAAAACAATATTAAATACTCCAATATTTTTCAAAGTAGTTGACTAGGTACCCATGTTTTTTTATCAAACATTACCTTAGATAGTTTACATATATCTATTTTTAACAAAAGCCATTTATGTAGTTCCTGTTAAGGACTCTCCTTTCTTATATAGATTACTGATACTTTTTCCTGATCCTTTCCCATTCGGAACTTTACGTTTTTTTGGTTACCCGCCTTTGGATCTCTTTCGGTTCCTTTTTTTGTTTTTTCTTTTTATTGCAATTTAGTATGCGGATATCTCATCAGTTCTAACCTTTAAAGTCGAATTTGATATAATAGACCTGATATATAAGAGCAGATCATATTGTTGGGTCCATCGATGGAATTTTGATACTGAAACATCTCATTGAGGACCAATTAAGTTGAAGAGGATTGGGGATTCTTGTTTGGATTAGTCGATTTTAAGTATATCCTTTGACGCTATCTTTTTTTCATTACAATCTTTTGTTAGGATGAGTGATAGTTTTATACAATATAAGAAATCTATTAAAGAAAGGCTCGATAATGCAGATTTACTGGTTTCGAAGGTTATCCATGAAAATACGTTGTTATCGCAACAATTAGATTCTAGGAATGAGGAAATATCTTATATGAAAGAGAAGTTGGATAAACACAAGACAAAAGTGGATTCTCTTAATGATAAGATTACTAAACAGAATGAGAATTTGGAGATCTTCAAAGATCTATTTGAACACCTTTGTGGTGTCAGAGTACATAAGTCATACGAAGACGATACAGGGTTATGGTTTGATGTTTCGCAAGGCTCTGATTCTGGTGTGATGGATTATAAGTTGGGTTTCGTTAAAGGCGAATCTTCTCAATCGAATGAGAATGATGAAAATATTGATGAAAATGAAGAGGATAAGGTTAATGATAATTCTGGGTCTGGTACCCAAGTGATATATGTACCGCTTTTGAAACAAAGAACCTCTAGTGAATTAAAAGTTTTACAAAATCAACTGCCTAGTTATATGTTTGATACTTTAAGTTTCCCTTTAAAATCGTTAAATCAATTTTACGCAAAATTAGCAAGAAGTCTAAACAAGAAGTAATATTTTTGATTGTTTTAACAACTCAAGTGATGTCAAATCAAATCAATTAAAACAGAATATTAAAACGCAAGAATCATATTAACTCTAACACAGTTTTATTCACATTTAAATAAATCTATTTATATATATTTGTATATTTAGACATCTGTTCATATACTGGGAACTTTATTAGAATATCCCTGTTTGCATAATTTAAATTTATCCCATGAACTTGGTCAACTTTATCCGGTTTCTATTCTTTTAAGATTAATCTACCTTCTTCATCTGCAATTAAACTCTTCAATAACTTCTTCTTAGCATCTTTGTCCTTCATATTTTTCATGATCTTATATAAAGATTCACCTTTGCTTAATTTAAGCTTCTTTTCAGAGTTAGATTCTTTGCCTTTGGACGGTTTCTTATCCTCCTTTGGGGTTTCTTTTGGTTTTTCCTCTACCGGTTGCTTTTTGTTAGATTTGGGTTGCTGTTGCTGTTGCTGTTGCTGTTGCTGTTCTTTCTGACCCTTTTGCTTCTTTCCTTGATACAAGGCCTTTTGATATTTCTCATCCTCACTAATACATTGGGTGTGTTTCTTATAGCTGTAACCATCGTCAAAGGTTGTAGAACAATCAATACACGTGTAATAAGCCTCTTGACAGCGGTAGTAATGCTTTTCAGTATTCTTCTTTGGAACGGTTTCGTTACAAACCTCACAATTAAAGGTTACCATTATGAATTGCTTTTATGATGTCTTTACGTTTCGAAGTACACTACAAAGTTTACATAACAACTTGAAGTGTACTTCTTTATCATCATATGGTTAATATTTATATATTATATCTTAGCTCATCTCATCTCATTTGAATCTCATCGCTAAATAATTTTTCACTTATCACGTGATACATAATATGTTACGATCAACTTCTACATAACACTACCTACCTTCTTATAGATAGAACAATAAGGTGTAATAAGTTACTATAATTAAGTTATGAATCCATTAAAATACTATTTTAAATTATCAAATTTTTTTTTTAATATGATTTTGACAATTAAATGAACGTAGATGCCTATCATCCTTTCATTTATCACCAAATATGGCAAACATCAATTCAGAATTATATTAAAACATATTTGATTATTAAATATGAAATAAAATGAATAATGAATTGTATCGTCCGAAAAAACTTACAGACATAAATTAAATGTATATTATTGGCATTATTGAAAATAATCTATAATCCTATTCTTAAAACAGAACTCCAACTAAAGCCCACAACATGAAAGGTTCTTTTTTATGCCCATCAAAAATTAATAATCTTCTATGAATTATCTCTAAGAAACTTTACTTATACAACATTAATTAAAACTAAAATGAAAGTAAATATACACCTTTTGTTACATACCTACCAGTTTATACAAAGCTGACACACTTCTGAAATGTTGATTTTACAATTCAGAATTTTAGGAATCTCCGAAATAACCTGGCCACTGACAGATCACATCATCCCTTCAATGCTGTCATTATCATTGTTGAGATGAAATATTGTTGCCTATAACCTAAATACTGATTCTATTCTTTAATTATTCAACATCTTCTATTACTCTCTCTTAATTATCTACGGTAAACTTCTCTTTAATTGTACGCGACATTATGAAACATTTGTCAAACCGCTTTGAATAGAATCTGAGTATAAGATGATTAAGACTAAAATTCGACTAGTATGCTAGAAGTTAACCAATTCACAAACTGATTTACAACTCTAAGTTTAAGATATGGTCAGTGTCGAAGCTCAATATTGTTTAGAATATGTTTAATGCTTACCTTGCTTTAGTAATAAGAAAGAAACATATTGGAGTGACATGAAATAATTAAAAATTTAATAATTATATATATAAAGAGTAATTGTTATGTAATGATTAAACTTGAATTATGTCAATTTCATATTATATTATTATAAGTTAGATTAATCCATAACAACAAAGACAATTAAACACATAAATAATGATACCCCAGTTAGCTATAAATTCTTTGACTTTAGTTGCACTAGCAACCGCTGTCAATGGTTATGCAGTTAGATATTCGAATAGTTCTATTCCTATTTCCGCTTCAGCTATTTCATACACTGATATATATCCCACTTTTGACCCTTCCATTTACTCTAGTTATAAACCTTCCTCAGTGTCATTTTCTTCTTATATTCCTGCTACTTCTAGCTTGTCTGAAAGAAAATCTATTGAAGATGTGAGTGGTTCAAGCATTCAACATCTATCTTCTTCATTCATTGAAAGTGAATTACCGTCATCATTTCCTTCTCATTCTGATAAATCATCAAATTATGAAAGTTTAAAGTCCGTCGAGTTGTCTTCCAATTATGACATCACTTTTTTATCTTTCAACTCTGCATCAAAAATTTCTAAATCCATTGAAAACTCTTTATCTGGTAGAGAATCTAGCACTTATTCCTTTGATACAGTTACCAAATCAACCCCAACTTCAGCATCTTCTGTTTTCGAATCAATTCAATCACAAGTTATAAATTCATATGACATCTCAACTGATGATGATATATCAATTGATAATTCTAAATATTCTGATTCAATTGGCTTTTACACAACTTTAAGTTCAAATACCCTAGAAACCAGTATTTCTAAATCTTTGGATCTAACATCTGAAGGAATGATAACTGAAACAGAAGATGTAACTGTTACAACTTTTATAAGTTCATGCCCAACTACATTTACTACTCATGACAGTACTGGATCCCAATACTTGACAACATCAATTAAAATCACTACCGTCACCTCTACAATTTGTCACATTTGTACTGAAAAACCAGTGACATCGGAAATTTCAAAAACTTCTGAAAAGATGTCTTCTACTATTGAAACTTCAATTTCCACTACATGGGTTGAAATCACTACTACCAATCTTTCCCAAACAACTACCACCTCATCACCAGCACTTGTGATCACTTCGACAGTTACAAATGACAGTGAGGTTACAATTTTCACAACATGGTGTCCTCTTACCGATACCAAAGTCTCCAGTTCTCCAGATTCTACTACTACTACTACTACTGCCATTTTAAGTACACATAGTGAAGCTGAATTTAAGACGTCATTCACAATTGAATCACGTTTACTAAAGGAATCTTCAAGTACTTTAAGAATTGCGGAACTATCATCTTTACCCATTTCTAGCTCTTTGATATCATTAACCACTCAATATTCTACTTCTACTCCTTCAGCCACTAAATCTGGCGAAAGAAGTACCAATTCTTTGAGTCCAAGTTTTGCTCATACTACTTCTCCAATTGAAGAAATTTCCTTCTTTGTCACAACTTATACTCATTTAAGGACAACTACATTTACAACTGAAGTTTGTGAAAGCTTGATTTGTTCCAAATCTACTGTTGAATCCATTTTATCCAGTACTCAAATATCAACTATCACATCCTCTACATCTACCCCTAATATTCCTGAAAATACTGTTAAAACTGTAGTTTGCACAGAAGATAAATGCTCCTCATCAAGTTCTATCTATAATCCATCTTCAACAACTAGTGTCACAAGCAAGATAATTACCAGTACACAATCATTATCCACAACTGAGTTACCAAAATCCACACTAACTTCTGTCAGTCGTTCTAGTTCACCATCACCAACAAGTTCTACATATCTAAAAACAACTGAATCAACATTATCAACTGTAACTACAACAAGTAATGGTGTAATTACCATTTATACTACTTGGTGTCCTCTCACCAGCACAAGTAGAACAACCTCAATTTTGTCTACAGTTTCTACTGTTACAACTACTAGTAATGGAATAATTACAATTTATACTACTTGGTGCCCATTATCTTCTACTACTTCAAATAATAAACAACCAAGTAGTACTACTTCTATTACTAATTCAAGTCAATCCTTCAAATCTACAATTAAAATATCTACTTTCATTACAGTGACTAAGACCACTAATATAGTTTCATCTAAGACATCAGAAGCTAGCAATAGTGTAGCATCATCTTTCCTTTCCACATTAACAACTACTAGCAACGGAGTAATCACAATCTATACTACTTGGTGTCCTCTAACTTCAAATTCAGTTGTTAAATCTACAAGTTCAGTTCATAAAGCTTCAATTGATTCTAAATCTAGTATTGTTAAACCTACAACAGTATCGACTACTGGTCCTATTACTGGCTCCAATTGGATAAGAACTGTCCAGGTTTCTACTTCAAACACCTCAACAACATCATCCACATCTAAGTCATCTACCTCAATCACTTCAACTACTTCAAGAGTTACTACCACTTCAAGTATCTCTAAGAGTTCTTCTACTACCTCAACTAGCTCAACCAGCTTAACCAGCTCAACCAGCTCAACCAGCTTAACCAGCTCAACCAGCTTAACTAGCTCAACTAGCTTAACCAGCTCAACCAGCTCAACCAGCTTAACTAGCTCAACTAGCTTAACCAGCTCAACTAGCTCAACTAGCTCCACTTCCTCTACTTCCTCCACTTCCTCCACTTCCTCCACTTCCTCCACTTCCTCCACTTCCTCTACTTCCTCTACTTCCTCCACTTCCTCTACTTCCTCTACTTCCTCTACTTCCTCTATCTCCTCCACTACAACTACCTCAAAAACCTCTTATATTCCAACCACTGCAACCACTCCAAGAACTTCATCTACATCAACTAAAAATATCAGATCTAATGTGACATCTTCTATTACCTCTTTACAAATAAGTACTTCCATCACAACCAATGCGGAACAAGTTTCATCTTCAACAACTCCAACTAGTTATGTGATGTCAACAGTGTTTACTACTAGCAATGGTGTTGTCACAATGTATACAACTTGGTGCCCACTGAGCTCCTCAACATCTTCAGTTTATATTGTCAACAAGACTACAATTACTTCCAGCATTATGTCCTGTTCTGAAGGGAAGTGTAGTGAAGTTTCAAGTGCTAGTAGATCAATTTCTACTTATACTTCTGTTGATAAGACTTCATCAGGCCAAGTTGTAGTAGCTACTTCTACTACTAGTAGAGTTGATACTACAACAACTACTGATGTCGCCACCACAAATATTCATACAGTAATTACCACCTCCCCTGTCAGTAGTGAAATAGAATCTTCTAATAAAGTTACAACGGGAACAGATGTCACATTAAGTTCAAAGATAGCTTCCAAAGAGTCCTCTGCCGGTTCAACTTTCTTGGGAACTTCAACATCAACAACACCAGCTGCACCATCTGTAACCAAAAATATTGAAACATCTTCAACTAAAAACATTAGCATTGCACAATTCACATCCTCATATTCATCAACTGAATCTGCAACCATAAGCGAATTCACAGGCGGTGCCAATACTTTCATCATCAATAACCTATATTTTGTATTAGTGACATTATTGTTCCTATGATCAGGTATTGATAAAAAGAAATACTATTTTAAATATAAGCATTAATTCCATTTTGTAGTGTATATATATTACTAAATATGAATAAAAATAATAAAGAAATTGAAAAAACATAATAATGAATTATTATTGTTGTAGCATTATTCTTCAATTATTTCCCCTTACTAACATCAAATTTCATATCAGTAATAGAAACTTCTTCACCAGCATCGTCATCATAATCATACCATTCATTCTCACCTTGATCAAATTGACATTCTAATTTACTTCCAGAGACTAATTCAACTTCAAAGACAACACTTGATGGTTCAAAGCCGATTATTTCACAATTTCTACAATCAAATTCCAATGGGATGTAAATTTCTTTGCTAATATTTTTCAATCCATTCTTCTTTCTATGAGTACTCACTTTTGTTAAATTTTCTTCATTTGACTCGACTTCATTATTATACCAATCTCTTTCAAACTGAGACATATTAACAGAGCAATCTTTAGAACAGAATTTACATTTCAATAGGAAGGAAGCCTCACCTCTACTACCAGGCATTTCATGTTTCTCAAATCTGTTAATCAAAACATTAGAATCATGTTCTTCTCGACAATCTGTGCAGACAATTTTAAATGCATATTCTGCTGGCGCTTCTTCACTGTCTTTAACAGATATAGACTTGATATTTTCAGATAACTGACCTTCTGCTGTCAAATATAACATCTTCAATTCACGCACCAGTTCCTAAGTCTCTGGTAAGATATAATCTTCATGTGTATATTATTATAGTTTTTAATACTCATTTAAGTTGTATTCCTCTATTAACCTTTAAAGATTAATTCCATCCTGATATTTTCAATTTTATTATATAATCACGTGATAACACTTACCCTGCCTATCACATGTAAAATTGATAATGCTAGGGGCGTTATCAGATTTGTAAATGTCACGTTACTTCAACATTATCACCTGATCAATCATTGAATACGTAATATTTGACAATATATATCAAACTTCTTTATTTGAAGCATCATTGAATAATTAAAGATTTAAAAGTTCGCTATAGCAAATATTTGAAGGCCATCTTGATTGATATCAGAAGGGTAGTGTTGGCATTGATCGTCGGAGGAGGAGGTGTAGCTCATGACGTTATAGATAATTGTTTAATTTATTTTGTTTTTTGATTTTTACTTTTGTTGTGATCATAAGGTTAATTTATAAAATTTCAAGTTCGTTTAATAATAATAATAATAATAATAATAATAATAATAGCAATAGTGGTCCACTAGAAAACAATATTAGAAACTGGGATGAAAAATCTGTCTAGATCAGTCCATCGAATATGGCGGCTATGTATTCGAAATACTGAGAGACACTATAGCAGGTTTTCCTTTAGGAATCGTTTTCCTGACGTGGTCGCTTGCAAGAAGGAACCTTCATTTGGTCGTATTTTATGGGGCTATTTCAATGCTCCTGGTAATGTAATGTTTGTTACTACTAACGTCTTGACATTGACCGGTATGGTGGCATATAGCACAATAGTATCTTCAAGAAGAGATTCTATTGTCGATGACAGGTTTTTACCATTGCATAAAAGGGCCAATGTTGAAAATACGGTATATAAAGGTTATAAAATGTTACCTCAAGTAGAAGAAGAACCAGTTCCAACAGAATTACAAGAAAACGTGGATGAAAAGGAGAGTATTACTCTAAGTTCAGAAGAAATATCAAGAATTGAGAAATCGACAATGAAAGAAATCGAGAAAGATCGCAATAGTGATGAAAAAGTTCATTTACCTTATAATGTCTACAATGATGATATATACTTCGAAAAAACGGGTAAATCATGTTCAATCGATTCTCAGTTAGTAAAAATGTCTTTGTTTAATTTGTTATACGCCTATCATTTATATTTAGAGGTTTTACAAAATAACAAGAATGTATCGAAAAAAGACAAAAAATGGAAAAAAGGAACATCTAAAAAAGATAATTTATGGAAACAAGAAGTTGAAAATTTACAAAAGGACATAAACAAAGAGACAAAGAAAAATAAGAATGCCAATTATTTTTATAAGTTATGGAAGAAGGAATTTACAGACTCATTTAAAGAATTAAGTAAATCACAACAATTCCATTTTCCAAGATGGACATCATACCCAGATGATTTGCAGAAAATATGTGAAGAATTATATTCCAATGATATGGAAACATTGAGAGATTTCGAAAAGTTTTATAACACTGCAGGAGTATCTTCGAATGTCAGACATTTGTTAAAATTATGGTTATTCGACTATCCTCATTTAATTTGCAACAATAATAGTCCCAATAGTATCAAAAAGAATGAATTGTTTTATAGAAACCTGATAGAAGACTCATTCGGAAATACTGAATTATTTCTGAAATACTCCTCTATTGTGACAGATCCATTTAATACTAAAAATCTGCTTTTTTTCCCACTCTTTTTAACCTCAAAGGGGAGAAAAGTAGTAGTACCTAGCATATCCTTAGACACCTTACTCTCAGTGCTGAAAGGTTTCACAATCTTAAAAGAAAAAAAAGGAGTTGAATGCCATGATGAAATTGTCACATTAATATCGATGTTGAAAACTAATTGTGTTTTAGATAATAACAAACAAAACGGTGAAAGCGAAAACTCAAAAGTAAGAGTCTTATTATTACCAGAAGATAATGATGGACAGAAACGAAAAATGGTAAAAAAACTTGAACAAACACCAGAGAATGAGAAAAGGTGCTTCCAATTAGTGTCACACAATTCTAACCTAGTTGAACTCCTAAAAACAATTTCCAAATGGTAAAACCCCATCAATATGCATAATATATTAACATTCACATTTTATGATCATCACCAAATACAAAAGAAAAGACTTTTCCAATTTAAAGTATTCTTAATATATAAATATAATTAAAATCTATTCATGTAAATAATATAATGAAGCAAGCATTTTTTTAATAATTTCAACTAATAAATCGATTGGTTATATTTTAGTCCATTTCTTATTATACCTTTCCTATTATATTAGTATAACTCATTGTTAAGGGCGCTAGCAAAAAACATTTGAAATTTTTTTTTCGTGGGTAATATAATATGCAAACAAGCATAAAATTAAAAAGAGATGATGTAAAACATTTAATATTAAATTGATAGTAATAGTCGATGAGATTCAATATCATAGAAGGATTGACAGCAAGAGTTTTAGGAATCCAAGAGGCACATCAGGATGAAGTTTTTGACCACCAATTTTTTAAAATGTTCTGTTAGTGCTTGTGATAACAGTAACGACAATTTTCCATTATCCTTCGATGGATCTAAATGTGAACTTATACAGGATACCACAATCGAGTTCAACCCAGAGTTCATTATGAATGTGATTGATAGAGTTGACTGGGATGCTATTGTATTAGTTGCTCAAGAATTGGGCAACAACAGTTTACCTGCAGCTAAGCCTGTATTAGGTTCTGTAGAAGGTTTAACTGAAGATGACATGGCTGTTTTAAGAGACCTTCATCTTTTATTCATTCAAACTTCTATCAAAGAAGGTGAAATGAAATGTAGAAACTGTGGTCATATCTACTACATCAAGAACGGTATCCCAAACCTATTATTACCTCCACATCTAGCCTGAACAAATGATAAAAGAAAAAACTTACTGTAATGCGTTCGAAGTATAACAACATATTAGAGTTCTTTCTATATTATTATCTTTCAACCTTCAAAAAGCATTTAATCAAATCAGTACAATACACAAACATACACACACACACACATATATATAAACATATATCTATAAATATAAATATATATAATAGTACCACTAGATAGTTCTGTATCATATTATAATATACTGGCTGGAAAACAAATTCCAGTTTTTTAGACAACGAGCTCTAGTATAGATATTTTGGGTGACTGACAAGAATCTCTATTACAATTTTGCATTGAATCAATTTAGATACCTTTAGCATCCTATTATTTGTATACTTCTAAAGATCAATTATCGTAACAACTATTAGTCAATGCTTTTTAGCCGCCCATCAACTTTGCAAAACTTTAACTATGGGAATGTTGAATGTGACACAAAACCTTAAAAAAGTCCAAAAAAAAATATCTTTTGGTATAAAAGGCCAGCGGTTTCGGCGCATTTGAAGTTGAAGGAATTTCCACTCTTGTCTATAGAATTAATACCAGTATATATAGATCAAAGAAAGAAGAGACGTTTTTGTATAGAAATATTACAATTGACAAGGTGTTCAAGTAATACATAACATTGGTTTACAGTCTGAGATATGTGGATCTTGCATCTCGTCATGGTTTGTTGATTCTTTAGAGGCCACTTTTTTCTGTTTTAGCCGCTAGTGTTGTTGTAGTCATAAATATTCTAAGGAAAGTTCATCACGTGATTTTGGTTAACAATCAGAAACATCATCTCAGTAAGTAAAATGGTGTCTAAAAAATCAACCATAGAGGGAAACAGAAAGGAATTTGTTTTCTCATTCCAGATATGTCAATATGTCCTATTGGGATCAAGTGAAATGCTGGAATATAGGGTATGGGCAGCATCAAAACAACTATACTTGTAAGAAGGTGGAGTGCAAGAAAAGAAACGGTTAGGCGATTCCGACAGAGTATCTGATCGTCATCATAAAAAATCAAAATAATAAGTAAAAAAATACACTGAGAGATAAATTATCTATCCTTTATTTTTTTTTTATATAATTTTTGATTTGTAAGTGAATTTGTTTCTTGTACGACAAATTTCAAATAGTCTGTTAGCACGCTTTATTGTTGATCGCGAAATGGTTTAATGGCAAATTTGAATTTTCAGAATTTCTTTATTTGGTACTATATTTTTTCACTTAGTTCAAAAAGAAATTGATATTTCGGTTACTACTATCTTTACTCAGTATTTGGAATTATATTGCTATTAACAGGTATGGAATTCATACTACGTAGCAGGCAGGCAGAGATTATTATTAATTTTTGTTATCTTCCTAGAGAAATAAGGTAATTATAAAAAATTTAGTACAAACTTAAAAAGAATTTTAAAATTATAAATTTTCAGACAATTTGTGTAGACGCACAGCCTTTTTTTTAAGTAGTATTGTTAAACATTGCTTTTATGTTTTTCTGGTATTGATTAAGCACTGTTATTCGAAACAAGAAATCCTCAATGAATCGAAATGTAAGAACAGCAGCAGCAGGAGCAACAGAAGCATGGTTATTATTCTGATTATTATTATTGTTATTATTATAATTAAAATTATAAATCATAATTAAAAAAAGGAGAAAGTGATACTTTTTCAATTTTGTTTTGGCGAGTCCTTCTATATTTTCCCGCAGTTTAGATTTAACAAAAAGGCAAACAAGTTTTCAATCTCACTAATAGTTTCACTTTTTTATATGGTAGGTTAGGCTAGGTTGCTTTGGTTAAGCTAACTAGTAATAATAATAGCAACTATAGTTGGTTAAGTTTAATTAAATTCTGTTGACTAAATAATTATTATATTAAACTTATTGCATCAACGTTAGATTTGACTGACATATTTATATTTTTCTTCTCACTTGCTGCCAATTATATCAGAACATCAAATATAAATCACAACTAGTATAAGCCATAACAAGTATATCAAAACAGCAAGTATTAGTAACTATAAAGGGTTTGATATTCTAAGTTTAAAAGATTATTTATTTATTTATTTTGGTTTTTACAACATTCCTTATAGAATTAGGATACTTAAACTTTCGATAACTTTGCTGTTATACTCAGCTAAACTATATTCCCTTTGAATTTTTAAAGTCCTACATTTAGATAGAAATATCCTTCATTGAGCAACTATTTAAAGTGATTTTTGGATTCATCATTACAAAGATCAAGAAAATATAATAATTTAAATTTGAAAAAAATTAGAGTTAAAGCTGAGATTCATTTTTACAATACCTTAACCCTATATGTATTATGATAGTTCAGCTCCAATGATGACTGATAACAACGAGAAACAACCACTAGATAGAAATAGAAGTGTCTCTCTTTCAAAACTACTCCAACGTTCATTAAGACTGAGTAACAATAATAATAGTAGTTCAAATAATGAAATTTATGAAGATGAAGAAATGAATTCGGGAACTTCTGATGCAAATATAAATACTAATAGTAGTTCCAGTAATAGTATTGAAGAACGCTCTCATTCACCTAATAAGTCGGATAAAGAAAATGAAATTAAAGGGTCAAGATTTTCAAGGTTGAAAAATATGTTTCAAACTACCGCTGCTACTACTGCAAGTTCCACCAGCACAGTTAATACCAATAGTGGTGACAATACAAAAGAAAAAGATTCTGGAGTATCTAAGATATCCCATTTTTTGAAAAGCCATCAGTCCTCGAATTCTTTAAATTCTTCTTCAACTTCTCCTACAAAAAATAAATTTTTTACATCATCAGATTCTGATTCAAATTTAATTCAACGAGATTTGGTTAGTAATTCAATATTACAAACTATTGAAGATGAAAATACAGTTAGAATAGAAACTGAAAATTCCAAAAATGATGAAATTATCCCTAATGAAAATATTAATGACAACAATACAAATAATGATAACAATATTAAAAGTGATGACATATTCATGAACAATGTAAACGCATTTAATCAAAATAAGTCCCCAAATTTACAACATGCACATTTACATTCGTCGGTTGCATCTTCTCCATTGGCTAGTACTACTGAATTATCCACAACAAATCCATTTTACAATAAAAACTTTGCATCTTTGCAAACATCACCTATTCATAGTAAACCTGATTTAGTGAATAATTTGGATTTTATAAATGAGTTTGATACTCTTTCATCTAAATTTTCCCATGGTGATCTCCCACAAACATCCAATACTGTTCCAACCTCAGCTGGATCTAATCCTCTATCCTTATCTTTGCAAAAAGATTCAAGGAATTTGAGTAATACTTCATTAAATAAAATAAAGGAAAATGAGGAAGTTCAAGATTTCTATCATATAAATGCTACTTCAAATGTAAAATTTAGTGCAACAGTTTTGATGAGACAATTTTCTGATAATTCATTGACAAATATTGAGGATAAACAACCATTTCCAACAATAACAGTCGGAGTTAATGAGGAATCTAATGAAGAAAATTTAACTGCTGTAAGAACACGTTCAAGAAGAGCTGCTTCGGAACCAAATTCTGTTAAAACAAGTACCTCTAACCGAATTTCTAGTAGTATTCAGTTTAGCAAGATTTCAAATGAAGAGTATATTTCTTTGGAAACTTCTAGAGTTTTAGAAAGTCATGATAGCTATGAGCCTAAAAGATCTCAACGATTAAGAGCAAAGTCATTCAGTAATAAATTTCAAGATATTATTGTATCGCCTAATTCCTTTGAAAAGATTAGACTATTAGGTCAAGGTGATGTCGGTAAGGTATACCTAGTTAAAGAAAAGAAGTCTAATAGATTATATGCTTTAAAGATCTTCAGTAAAGCTGAAATGATTAAACGTAAAAAGATTAAGCGTATTCTAGCAGAACAGGAAATCTTAGCTACAAGTGACCACCCATTTATTGTTAATTTATATCATTCTTTTCAATCAGAAGATTACTTATATCTTTGTATGGAATATTGTATGGGTGGTGAGTTTTTTAGAGCTCTGCAAACAAGAAAAACCAAGTGTATATCCGAAGATGATTCTAGATTTTATGCCAGTGAAGTGGTTGCTGCTTTAGAATATTTGCATTTGATGGGGTTCATTTATAGAGATTTAAAGCCTGAAAATATTCTATTGCATAAATCTGGACATATCATGCTATCGGATTTTGATTTGTCAATTCAAGCGAAAGATGCTAAAGATCCTGTCGTTAAAAAGTTTGCTCAATCAACAGTAGTGGATACCAAGGTTTGCTCAGACGGATTCAGAACAAATTCATTTGTTGGAACTGAAGAGTATATAGCACCTGAAGTGATTAGAGGCAATGGTCATACAGCAGCAGTTGACTGGTGGACATTGGGTATATTAATATATGAGATGCTTTTCGGATTCACACCATTCAAAGGTGACAATACTAATGAAACGTTTTGTAATGTGTTAAAGAACGACGTAAATTTTCCAAACAACAATGAAATTTCAAGAACATGTAAAGATTTAATTAAAAAACTGTTAGCTAAAAATGAAGCTAAAAGATTAGGGTCCAAAATGGGTGCGGCAGATATCAAAAGACATCCATTCTTCAAGAAAGTTCAATGGTCTTTTCTAAGAAATCAAGAACCACCATTAATACCAGTGCTTTCAGAAGATGGATTTGATTTTACAAAATTATCATCAAACAAAAATGTATCTAATAAAAACAAAACTGAACTATCCAAGATGGATGAGCAAGAAAAGATCATGTTTGAGGAAAGAGTAGAATATGACGACGAAGTTTCAGAAGATGACCCGTTCCATGATTTTAATTCAATGAGTATTATGAGACAAGATAATAATTCATTGATATACGGAGATAACAACTCTTATGGTAAGATATCATATACTCCTAACTCAAACAGATCAAGAAGTAATAGTCACAGAGGCTTCTTCAAAAGATAAAAACAAATTTTCCTAACTCAAAATAATTTTTATCACTGTTTTTATCGCCTACTATTACTATCATCATCATTTATCATCATCATATTCCAATAAATGTTTATAATATCAAATATGCATATGATTTATGTTACCATTAATCATTAATTGTAGTCAAATGCACATAATAAATACTATTCTATTATATAGATTCATATTAATATCATAACGTTTGTTACATTTTCACAACTGTCACTTGATCATAATTATCTATCACCTCTTCTCTTTCATTAATATCATCACAATTTACCGAAATTAATAAAATTAATGAAATTAAGCTACTGAAAAAAGTTGAAGATGAATAAAAAATGAGATGATGAGATGGTTTGAGTTGAAGTTTCAGGTTTGGGATATACTAATGTCACTTGCAGTATTCATCATATCATAAGTATATTGTCCTATACTCATATTGTCTTATTTAAGGTTTTATTTTGGGATATTGAATTGAAAAATAATTAAAGTTTGCTGCTTCTTTGAAGTGAATTCCTAAACTGTACCTACGCATTAGAATAAAACAAAGTATTAACTTTATGGAATTGTTGACAAGGCAAATAGACTCTGTATTAAGTAAGGATAATATTTTTTTGGGTTTACGATTAATAGAGTTTCTCTTTTGAAATATATTTTAGGAAATAATGGAGACTAGTACAGCGCAAATTAGTGATGAGAATAATACACCAGGTTTCCTAATTATGGACACCTTTGAAGAAGAATCTCAGAGAATTGTTTTGGCACAGATATGCTTATTTATGGTTAAATTAGATAAGAATAATTATGAACAATTTAAACTTAAGATCGATTACTTGTTAGAAAAGTCAAATATTGAAGTTTATTATAAATATTGGAAGAAATTATTACAATTGACTGCTATAGATCTAAATAAAAATGACAAGAAGCTTAAAGAACTTGTTGATATTCCTCTACTTAGATTGTTATACAATACTTTTATGGAATTGCCCTATAAGGATGTAGATGTCATATTATTTTTGAATCAAAATATACTTAATGATAAGTCATTGAAAATAGTCTGTGATTGCAATCTCTCTGATATCATAAATCGATTCGATACTTATAGTGATAGTAAAATATTGGATTCACTGAATATAATTCAAAATTCAAAGCAATATGCTGATAAATTACCAATTATATCGGATCCATATAAATATTTGAGATACTTTTTTGATAATACCACTTCTGAAACGTTCTCATTTGACTTGGCTACTTTCTTATATAACAATAACACTATGGAAGTTGCTGATATATTAGCATTACTTATAACTGAAATTATTACAAGCGGTTCATTGGATATTGTTCCAAAAGATAATAGTTGGTTAATCCCTAGAACTATTAAAGCATCAAGAATACTGAGTACTGATTTTTCAAAGGTAATTAGTTTCATTTCACTAGGTCTAAAAGTAGATTGGAATAGAATCTTCAATCTAATGTCAACAAAGTACCTAGATAGAACAGCAACACCTCCAACAATTTTTGCATTGAATTTCATTCTAAATCTATTAGGTGATGGTAAACTCATTGAAAAGTTCTTATATCATGATTGGCAAATTGATTTTAAATTTAATATTGTATTCAATTTACAGGAACTATCCTCTCATAAAGATAGCTTTGACTTCTCAAATTTGAAAAACATTATCAAGATCCCATTTGATGAAGATTCACAAAGAAATCCACTTTTAAATATAAATTCAATCAACTGCATAAATGTCCAGCTTTACCTTATTCAAAAAGAAATTAAAGATTCCAAGTTAAAAAAGAATTATTTCATCAAAGTAAAGCAAGATATGAATATATATCCAGAAATATTTTCCTGGGTAATCTGCTCAAATAAAAAATTCCTTGAAAACTCGATTGAAAATATCAACGAAAAGGGGAAACTACACCTTGATCTATTGTACAAATCTTTGAAAAAAGAATCTGATGCTTTATCATTAGTTTTGAAAGATTCTAATGAACCAGAAATAATATCATTATTAGGAAATAAAATAATAAGTAGTGACCCTACGCTGTTAAATGTATTTTTGAACATACTTGATAAACATAAATTATTATCACAATATTTAATGGAAATTAATATTGATACAATATTTAAGGTTTTGGAGTACAGTGACAATGAAAATATCGATACAATTTTTGACATATTATTCAATATTAATCAAAATAGAAAAGATGAATTTTTTAACTATATCACCTCAAACTTGAAAAGTGGAAAGTATGAAAATATCAATCCTTATATTACTTACAGATTACTAAAACTTTCTAAAAATCGAGAACTCTCTAAGGAAGAAGACAAATTTAACTCAATTCGATTTAGCATCATCGAAAAATGTCCATCTGCTATTATTTGTTCAAGTCAATTTAAGAATAACAAATTAAAAAGTTTAGCATCAGAAAAATTGGAAGATATCGAACACAAAGTACAGCTGTCCTTCCAGTCTCTTTATAAAGGAGAGATAACAGTCGATAGACTGGCTGATTTTTTACTTACCTTAAAGGAAAGTGATCAAATAGAAGATGAATATAAATTTTCATTATACATTCAAACAATATTCTCTGAAAGATTATACTTTAAACAATACCCAACTCAAGCTCTCCATATAACATCGGTATTATTTGGCTTAATGATAAAACTGAATATGTTGGAAGATTTCCTATTGGATATGGCGTTTATCATGTTATTAGAATATGTAAATGACAATGAGCCTCAATTATTCCAGTTTTCGGTTATGGCAATTGAAGTATTTGTTACCCAATTGCAATCATATCCTGGCTTCTGTAGCCAACTAATGTCCAGCAACTCATTTATGAATTCTAACTCAAGTGTCTCTCAGTATATTTCGAAAATCTCAGAAAACAAGTCAAGTAATATGAAAACATCTACAAAAGATGCTAATTCGATTCCTGAACATATACAAATACATAATTTTGGTGTTCCAAATGATCCTGAATTAATGAACCAAGTTATACCTCCAAATGCTACAAAGGATAAAATATACTTTACAATGAATAACTTAACTGAAGAAAATATTGACATTGAAATAAAGAAAATAGCAGTAGAAGTTAATGAAAACTATTTTAAATGGTTTGCACAATATTTACTTTTTGAACGTGTATTAAAAGAACCTAATAACCAAAAAATTTACTCTTTAATAACTACTAAGATAAATACAGACATTTTTGGATATATGCAATATTTCACTTTGAAATTATTGCATAATTTGATATCGACAAAGGATATTGAGAAGATAGACAAGAGTATCCTTAAAAATGCTTCATTGTGGTTAGGTAAAATAACACTAGGAAATAATATTCCTCTCGATAATCCAAGATTTTCTATATTTAGAATTATTTTGGATGGATATACAAGTAATAGGTTGGAAATTGTTATACCATTTGTAACAAAAATAATGGCAAGCACTGCAGATTCCATTATATTTAAATTTCCAAATCCATGGACCCTAAAGATCCTTCAATTACTAAAGGAAATGCATCAAAGATCGGAATTATCACTAACCCTAAGCTTTGAAATTGAAATATTATTCAAAGCCTTGGGTTTAGACTTAGAGGATATTGGAAATTCAGAATATTTGATTGAACATTGTAAACTAAAGGAGAGTTGTGATATTGAAATGGGCGCAACTACTGTCAGTAATAAGTTGAATACGAAAATGTCCAATTTGGATTTAAACATTGATAATTTTAATAAGGCTCAACAACATATTGTCGATAATATGTCTTCAATTAAGATTAACACATCAGGTCTCTCTCAATTAACATTGGATATTTCATTGAAAAATGTATTTGAAATGTCTATTTTAAACTTCAGTGATCCAAGGTCATCGAAAATTGTTCAACACATGTCAGAAGCTGTTGTGTCTGCAACAATGAATAACTTGAGTAATATTTTGAATTCATCTACAGAATATAATGAAATCATTAGAGTAGCATTAAAATTATCAGAATCCATGTTTGATGCTAATATTCGTGGAGATATTAGAGATATAATATATTCTGAAATATGGGGCTTTCTACAGGGCAATTTAGTCAAAACTAAGCTAAATATATACTTTGACTTGCAAAAGGAATTTCAACTTGCTATGTCTCAAAACTATTCATTAATAATGGCAATTTTTCGGAGGTCTGTCTTAGACTTATCCATAATTGAAATAAGGAACAAGATTGAAAATCATCTAAACATCAGCAGATTAAATGGTATTTATGGACAAGGTAATTCATTTAATAGTACTTATGGTAAATCCTCTACGTCCATTCAATTGCCAATTCCAAATCTTTCAAATATTCCAAGATTTCCAAATATGCCAGTGATTCAAAATAATACAAATTCCATGCCGCCTGGCTTAGCCCCATCATTGAATAACAATAGTCATCCAATGCAATTCACTTATAATGGAAGTCCTCAGTATCCACCTGGACTACTAATCTCACCTGCTCCAATTAATACTGAAAAAATTGCATCAGTACCAAATCAGTTAATTCATAATCAAGATATGCATATTTTGACAACTTCAATCAATTCATTAGGAATTTTTCTTGAAGCTTTGAATGCCAAAAATGGTGAACAAATACCCGACCTGGAGAATTCAATTAAAAGTGTCATGTTTCATATTTGTTCATTTTTAAAAATTAATGAAGGGAATATTCAATATACTTTAGAAACAATAAAAAGCATATTGAATTTATTAACAAGATATTTACATAATCGAGAATCTCAAAAGATTTTGTTTGGATTTCTAAAAGATGTTTCACTACAAAATAGGTCACTAAGCTATTTTGTATTTATATGGTTTGACAATGCTCAATTTGATTTCAAGAATAAATCTCATATATTAATTGAGCTATTAAATAGTAGCTTAATTTCAATACTTGAAATTGATCAATATCTTTCAATGAAGATTAAATCATGCAAGTTTGGGATTATTGAAAATATATTTGTATTGATAGAGAAAATATGTCTATCAAATTCCACATTCTCTTTCTACAGTGATTTTTCAAAAACAATCAGTTCTTTAATAGTCATTGAAGATCCTAAAGTCAAGAAATTTCTTGAAGATTATGATAATTTATGTTCTACTTCTAAAATAGTTAAAACTTTAACCAAAAAGGAGCTAATGTGGACAATATTTATTGAATGGGTAAATATTACTGAAAAAGAAGAATTTGATAGTGAAATTGCAAGTATATTTTTGATGCAATTAGTTCAAAAAAATGTATTAAATACCAGTAATAATTTTATTGATTTTATTAAATACAGCATGGAATTGAGCATAATTACATTTTCTAAAACCGGTAATAATGATAAAGCATTTTTATTAATTGATGCCCTATCCTACTTGATATTTCAATTATATCAATCGTTAGATTATGATAAATTTACCAGAGAATCATACCTAGAACTTGTATTGACCACACTAAGTCTTCAGTTGGTCAAAGATATTAATACTTTAAATGAAAACTTTAATGAAAGATTATATTTCCGTCTTATTTCAAATATTCTTTCTTTATGGGGAAACAATTACGAGACTACTACATTTACATCTGATAATAGAGATACCGAAGTAAAAGAAATCGAGAAATTGGGATACCTAAAGATTATTTATTCCTTTATTAATTTGATTCAGCCATTAGCATATCCAGCGTTTGCATTCTCTTATCTCTCGTTGATTTCTCATAGAATGTATTTGTCTAGTTTATTATTATATCCGGATCATAAATGCTGGGATATGGTAAATGTCCATTTACTAAGCATCATTGATTTTTTAAAGCATTCTTCAGAACAGAAACCTGTTATGGAACTGTCGAATGTATATTACTTCGGTTTATTAAGAATTTTGTTAAGCATCATCAATGATTGTCCGGAATACATAATTGAAAACCACTCTGCTTTAATATCTAGAATTCCAGATAAGTTAATTCAGATAAAGAATATTATATCCTCAACAACGCCAAAGCAACTTGATTATGTTAGCCCTACAAGTGAAATTGATTTCACTACTGAAATAAATTCATTTAGTGGTATATTAATTAAAGATAAGGAACTATACACTAACCTGGTACTGAAGAAACATGTTCGCAACTATTTGAGGATACCTACTAGTTCATTAATAAAGTCTATTAATAAGGAATTACTGTCAAAGGTATACAACGAACATTCTGGTATCGGCTATAAGTGGTTCACAGTAGATATTTGCAGAGTAGGAGAATTGGTGTTACAAATTCTTGTTGATATTGGTAAAGAAAGTAAAAATGTTTCTCTAAAAACTATTTTTAGCAAAAAGGGATCACACTTCCAATTACTGAAGAACTTGATTGATACTAACAATGATGAAACACAGTACTTTATTATCAAGACATTGTTTGACTATTTGAGGTATCCAAATGTCCAAACAAACTGGGTTGTTTTCTTCTTATTGAAAATATTTACTGAAGGTAATGGGGATGAAAAATCATTAAAAATTCGAGAGATGATTATTAGATGTCTGATCGAAAGATTGATAGTATTCCCACCATATCCATGGGGGTGCGTCGCTTTATTGAATCAAATATATTTAGCAAATAGTTCTTTGTTGCTACAAATCCCATCCTTGGAAAACAATCTTATATTAAAGAATATGGTAATCCAAATCATTTACAAATTCACAAACCAAATTTCTGATAACTGATAGACAAGTTTCTAAATCATTTAAAAGTATTTTCCATGCCAGAAACTTTGATTTAACGTCCATATTGAGCTTGGACATCTGAGAAGAAAAAGACTCCTGATTTGAATTATAATTAACTAAATAAAACAATGATAAGTATTGATATATAAACTCTGCATTAATGAGGATTATACCCCATTCAAACTCTATTTAGTGTGTGAACTTCACACAATTCATCTTTATAGTTCTGACCTAAGACTATCTGTCATCGGATATATTATGATCTAACTAGTTTACCCGACGGATTTTTTCACAGCCATCATCAAGAATATCAAGATCAAATAATAAATCTTTAAGAGTAATAATAATTATGAATCTATAGATCCATAAACCCATAAATTAAAGGTCGACCATTGATTTGAAGTTGCATCCAAGGTATTACGTTGGTGAATTAGTGTGTTAAGTGGGTAAGATAATTTGTTGAGAATAGGTGGGGTGGTTTTTATCCATTTATGTTTGTTATGTAATGATTTTACAATCGTTTAAAGAGAAATGGTTTAATAGAACAATAAATAATGATAACGAACCAAATAAAATAAGGTCTAGAAGGCCATTGAATACTTCATTTCGACAACAGCGGTTAAAAGCATGGCATTTAATTTTGTCTCCTCAAAGTGTATTGCCACTTCTGATCTTAATTTCGTGTATGTTTGCTCCTATTGGAATTGGATTATTAGTAAGTAGCACAAGTGTTCAAGCAATTTCAATTGATTATACGGAGTGTGATAGTCTGATAGTTGATAGTAATTATGTTGAAATTCCAGAGAGTTACATTAGCTATAATTTTAAAAAAGCTATGATCACAAAGCCACAATGGAGATTAATAAGCGAGGCTAATAGTGAGGATTTGGTTTGCCAATTACAATTCGAAATACCTAACACGATTAAGGAATCTACATATATATATTATAAATTGACTAATTTTTATCAAAACCATAGAGAATATGTTGATTCAGTTGACTTGGATCAATTAAAGGGTAAGGCTTTGAGTCCTAGTAGCTTACGAGATAAATGTGATCCATTAAGGAAACTTGATGGCAAGGCAGTGTATCCGTGTGGACTCATAGCAAATTCGATATTCAATGATACGTATTCCCATCAATTGACAGGGTTCAATGGAACGGAAAACTTTTTATTAACAAACAACCACACAGCATGGAGCACAGATAAACATAGATACAAAAAGACTTCATATAATGCATCTCAAATAGTTCCACCTCCTAATTGGTATAAAAAATTCCCAAATGGCTACACAGATGATAATATTCCGGACTTGCAAAATTGGGAAGAATTTAAAATATGGATGAGACCTGCAGGACTTCCAACATTCCATAAACTAATATTAAAAAATGATACAGCTGTAATACCACAAGGACAATATGTAGCAAATATTGGTTTAAATTATCCAGTAAAATCATTTGGTGGAACAAAATCTTTTGTCCTAACTACAAACTCCATTGTTGGTGCCAAGAATAATTCATTGGGAATACTATATCTAGTTGTTGCAGGAATATCAGTTGTGTTCGCTCTAATATTTCTGGTGAAAGTAATAGCTCAACCTACAAAAGTAGAAAATATATCATACTTAGATTATCACAAAGCTAAAATATCACATCCAGAGGAAGAAGAGCCACCAATTGATAGAAACTTTAGGGAAATTTTATAAATGGTTAATGCATATCTTAAATTTTTACAGACAACGATATTTATATACTTTTGTATATACATAAATGAAATATAACAATAACATCATGATATATTAAATTCATGTTCATTTCTATTCTAATGTATTAATTTCCAAAATGATATGTTCAATTGGAATTGATTTAAGGATGTTGGTAATTAGAAACTTCCTAACTAAATTTAATAATAAGGAATATGGAGAAATTTTTTGAAAGACATTTTCAGAATCCATATGATCCTCTTGTATGTGTTCTCTTCAATCTATCACGCATCATTAAAGATGACGATGACTGGGTACGTGATGGGTTCCCTTGTGGTGTAGAAGTTCCACTTCCATCAGTTTGCACAGGAGTATTGGATGCAGAACCACGATTAACTGGACTTGAGCTTAAAGGTTCATTCTCTCTTATTACTGTATTGGCAGAATTATAAATACTTTGAAATGCCATACCTGCAGTTGGCTTTTTTTGAAGTTGGGGTTTTGGCTGTTCAATTTGGTCAGATTGGTCTAATAAATTAACATAATTCGATTTTTTTGATTCTGAAGATGAAAACTTCCAACCATTATTTTTAGAAGATTGAGGTTCTGATGAAGCAGTATCATCATTATTAACTGTAGAAGAAGATTGCATTTGTTTCTTCAGAATTTTCTTCTCATCAGGAAGGTCATCCTTATGACCTAGCCAACCAGGAAAACCTTGAAACGGTTCCTGATTCTTATAGAAATTAACCATCGCTTTATGAACTAAAGTAGATTCTATAGTGCTACCATCTGATTCTGTTTTAATAGATAGATGGGAGAGGGATGTGGAAATATTTTTAGTAGACTTCGTAAATTTATTCCATAAATTCTCTGACCCCCCATTTGAAGACATATTGTATGATATTAGTTCACTATCTGACAACCCCAATAGATACTAGTATGTGATTCAAGTTAGAAGTCAATTTTATTTGTCAGTTTAATAACTTTTTATACATAGTACCTTTAAAACAAAGTGGTTCCAATAGTTTTTCAATAAGGTACGGTTCTGAAAAATTGATATTGATTCGTAAAGGCCTTCATGCTAAAAGTTATCATCGTTTAAGAATAAATAAGTTGGGCATATTTGAATTTATTGATACAAAATACATGATGATGAATTTACAATGATTATAATATTAATAATCATTTCATGAAGAATTGATTAGAGTTTTTCCTCTGCTTATAACATTATTTTTGGTGTCAATTTGATAAATTTTCAACCTGATACAATTTGATGATTTCAGTGTTTGAATGCTTCAAGAATAAAATAAATGGTATAGAGAAGAATTTTATTTAATATTTCATCATTATATGTAATTTATGTAACCATTTAAGCTAAGGTCTTTTCTACGAGGAAGATACCGTATTTTTCCTTTAATTCCTTCATAATTGGATCATTAATTTCAGGAGTATAAGGAGCAAGCAAACCTGGGCCCTTTATCTTTCCATCTAATACTAATTTTGTAGCAATAGCACATGGGAAACCAACAGTAGCTGCCATGGAACTGTATCCACCTAGTTTACCGTAATCAACTAATGTAGAGGTTCTTGTTTCAGTAGTACCATCCTTCCATTCAATACCAAATTTATGTTGTAATACGACCATATCACGTTCTGTTTCAGAGTATTGCATTAAATCTTCTAGAGTAGCACATAAAGTATCTAATGGATTACCCTTTGGTGTAATAGGGGTACTTGAGAAGAAGCCTAACCAACCAAAGCCATTTAAGATTCTCTCTCTATCTTCTTCAGACTTCCAGCTTGTTAAACTATCAATCTTCTTTATTATATCAGATTTTGAAGTAGATGCACTGCCAATATACTGATGAATAGCTTCATTCCAAGCAATAGGTTTGTCGAAAATTGGTGAAGGATCTTCCTTAAGGAAACCCATATCAACCAAAACTTTTACAAATTCTGGGAATCCTTGGTATCTTAAAGTACCTCTAATTACTGTATCAGCTTCCGGAATTTCATAAAGTTCTCTGAAAGCAGTGGAATCCCTGTTAGGATAGCAAACAAAGGCGTAGCCTGGATAAATGAAGTATGGAGTGGCAGACTTCATTAAATCTTCAGATGTGACCTGAACCAATTCACCATCTTTATAGTACTTGGCAGAGTTTCTCAAAGCTAACAAAACACCTCTAGAAGACCAAGAAAACTTATAGCCTAAAGGATTGTCAGAATCTTCAGGTGCTGGTAACCCACCACAGTAAGAAATAAATGATTTAAGTTTACCACCTTTCTTATGTACCTCATCGATGACTTTGACAGCATATAAATGGTCAATACCTGGATCTAAACCAATTTCGTTCATTACTGTAATACCTGCTTTTTTTATCTCTGGCTCCAATTCCTTCAAGGCCGGTGAGATATAAGATGTAGTAACAACATCCTTTTTAGTTCTAATAGCACTTTTTACTACATTTGGATGGTAGATATATGGAATTAATGAAATTACTAGATCATGCTCTGATAATACTGTGTCTAAAGCATTATCATCTGTAACATCTAATGAGATAGCCTTTGAACCAGATTTTACAGCCAAATCTTTTGCATTTTCTAATGTTCTGCATGCAACTGTAACATTAATCCCCTCAGTGGCAGCTAAAGTATCAACAACAGGCTGTGCTACAAACCCAGAACCCAACAATAAAACGTTCTTACCCATTTTCAAATTATGTTAATATTAACTTGTTGATCTACAACTATTTAAATATCTTTTTCTTTTCAATTAATAACAACCGCACCAACTCTAATGAATGCCAAGCTGCCGCTATAATTGATACTCTCTTAAACCAGGGAATATTAAATACAATTAATTCATCAACAAACAGACGACATAATCGGTTCGATCAATTATCATTGCCCTTATATACCTCATCTATCAATCAAATTTATAATTACCATTGGTTCACCTTCTTGCTTTCAATACTATGCAATTTTTTTTTTTTTTATAACTATGACGTATAAAAAATTCCACCGGAATTGATATGTAGACCGAAACTGGTTAAAATATGAGGAACTTAATAGTCAAATTGTTAGTTGAAACTGCCAGAGATGAAAGTAGTTTAACTTCCAAAGGAATTCGTTTGAAGTATTATTTGATTTATTGATTGATTCATTTATTAGTATACTAGGGATTAGTCACATTCATTTTCGATGTTTTATTGATATGATGAGACCATTTATGCAAAAAGAAAAAGCTGTTGGACCTTTGGTCTTATCCACTACTCTTTGATCAATTTAACCACTCAATAGTTGTAAACCCTCTGATCTCGTAGATAATTGATAATGGTGTATTCAGATTCAACAATGATTTTGTTTGTTAATGGTATGGATAGTATACACTATACACCATGTGTAACCTTGAGTTGGTGTGTTGAT